CTTCTAATCTTTTTTGCCAAGATGGTTTTATATGTTTATTTCTATTATAGGTGTTACTTTCTTTAATTTTCGTTCCGTTACAACTTGCTGCAGTATATGCAGCGATGTAGATCAAACTATGCAATTTATTGAAATCTAAATCTTCTTTTAAATAGTCAGGTAAGATGTTTGTATTAATGAATGCTACAATCTTTGCAAGATTTTTGGATGTTTTCTGTTTGGGTATATATGGTCTACTTGTTGGATCAGTATATTCAAATTTTTCAACAGCTGTTACAAATTGCTCCGTGATTCTCTTCTGTATATCTGGTTGTAGATTATTATTATCGATGGTAGATATTTGTTCAGTATGTATGTATGTAAGATGCTGTGTGTTTGTTAACATTGTCTGTTCCTTTTCTATTCTGGGTATTTGTATGGTTTCGTAAGTGAGGTTTATATTTGGTTGGTTTTCAGGTGGAGTACTAATCTGGATTGTATGTGTGTAGGCTTCTACTTCCATTTTTATTTCTTGAATCCTATTTTGTGTTACCATATTGTTGTTCATTATTGCTCTTCTTTGATCTGATAATCTTTTTTCTGTTATATGTGACAGGTGTGGAAATCGCTTTATAAATTCACAGTGTAACTTTTTCTGATGTGCTGTCATATCAGTTTCATTATTTGTTACCTCAAAGTAAATACGTAAAATAGATTCATTTATTTCATTTGACCATCTCATTCGACTTCCGGTTGACTGTGTTAATGTTAGGGTGGGCTCACTATTTGATGGAAAATCTTCAAGTATTGACGACACATTGGTCTTGATTTCATCAATTACAGATTGAGGTAATAATTTATTGTTTATGATTGCTCTGCGTTGATCACCTATTCTTTGTTTAGATGCATTCATTTCAGGGTATTTTTCAATGAATTTTCGGTGTAGTGTGTCTAGATAGTTTCGCGTATCTGTTTCCATTTTAGTTATAATAAGGTAGTTGCGCAATATAAATTCGTTCATATCTGGGCTCCATTTACGTCTTGCGCTAGTAATGCCAGAGATGGGTGCTAGATTATCGGCGCATGCCTCCTGCACAACATCAACTGACTCTGGCGATAAAGTGGATGATCGTGATGTGGATTGTATTTCAGATGGGTATGAAGATGAGTTAGGTGATGAAAAAAGGCTATTGATTGATGAAAGTGAATCAGATGATGGTGAATTTGGGTGAGAAATGTTTTCGGCTGTAGTATATTTATCGACGAGAGTCCGCCTGTTCAACTCTCCGTCGCCAATGGTTCGTATACTGTGGCATCCAGCATTGGCCCCAGATGCGCCCCGGCGACCCCCGGGTAGCGGCCGTAAATTATATTTCCTTTTATTATTTTCCATCATATATTAATTTGAGGGTTAAGGGTTGGGATCGTTAGTTTGAGGAGGGTAGTCTAGATGTTAAAGACTGTTAATCTGTGATTTTTACTAAAATTAGTGCTTAAGATGGTATAAGCTTATGTCCTGCACCATACTCCCCGTAAGCCCCCCCACCGCGCCAAGGTGATCCCTTGGGGGGGTTATTATTATTATTTTTTAAATTTCACTAAAATTCTCATCTCCCCTCTTAAGGAGAGGAGATGGCAACTAACCCCCGGCAGAAGCACAGTCGGCCGGGGTTCAGGGCCCCAGGGAGAGAAACCGGCGTACAATGCGGGCAGAATCTAAGAGCACCGCTTTCTGCATCTTTCCCGGGAGTGAGCCGCCTCGGAATCCCAACCGTCTGAGATGTTGTTCCAGACTGGTTGGGATAAGACCGTTCACCGACATAACGATTGGGATGATTTCGGTAGATGTCACCCCCCACATTTCGGTCACCTCGTGAGCCAGGTCGAGATATTTTCTCTTCTTCTCGGTTTCGGCTTTCACGAGGTTCTCGTCATGCGGTATGGTGACATCCACCAAAAACACCCTCGAGAGTGCCCGATCCATCACCACGATATCAGGTTTGTTCGCAAGAACGGTCCTGTCCGTGATGATGGATCGGTCCCAGTAGAGCCTTACGCTGTCGCTTTCGAGGACCGGCTGGGGCTCGTACTTATAGTACGGCAACCTCTCATTCGCGAGGCCGTACTTCAGAGCTAGCTCTTGATGGAGTATTTTGGCTACCTGGTTGTGTCTGTGCAAGTACTCAGTGTTGGCAAGAGCTGAACAACCCGAAAGCACATGTCTGAGTGACTCTCCGGGATGGCGACATGCCCGACAGATGTCCTCAGTGCCATCCTTCAGAATGTGCTTTCGGTAATTGTTCGTCTTAACCACCTGATCCTGTATTGCACAGACAAAACCCTCGGTCTCTCCGAAGAGATCACCGAACTGTAGCCAGTGCACGGAGGTCTTCGTGTTTACGTACGGCCCGTGAAGGGCTTTGAAGAACCTTCCGTGCAACTCCTTCTCTTTCCATACGGCCTCCCGCTGAGAGGTACCCAAAACTTCGGGTTTTCGCCAGTCCTCTTTAGCCAGAGAAAGAGGGGTGAATCCTTTGTCACATTCTATGACCTCTCTATGCAAACCCTCGTCTATTTTCTCCAGAAAATATGTCCTGAGGCTGTCAACCTCGCGGTTGTGCATGGTCTTAACACTTAACAAGCCTCGACCACCAGCCTTCCGCGGGATATACAGCCTCATGACTGACGATTTCGGGTGATGCATTCTATGGAGGGTCATAGTTGTGCGGACTTTCCGATCCAGGGCTTCGAGATCGGTTTGAGACCATCTGAGCACGCCAAAAGTGTAAAGGAGTACGGGTATGACCCAGCCGTTATAAGCTCGGATTTTATTGGCGCCCGACAAAGAACTTTTCAGTACTCTTGTAAGGCGCGCAAAAAATTCCTCGCGGACTGACTGTTTCATATCCGTCTCCTTCACACCGATGTTTTGTGACATGCCCAGATACCGGTATGTTTCAGCCTCGGAGAGGGTTTTAATATTAGAGGGATCTGTGGCGATCCCTTCAGTTTGAGTGACCCGTCCCCTCTGCACATGGAGGACCGCGCACTTGTCTATTCCGAGCGCCATCCTAATAGAGCTGCTATAATCGTTTACGATATTTAGCAGCTCCGTCAGGCGTTCGACGCTCGGAGCTAGCAGTTTCAAGTCATCCATGTACAGAAGGTGAGACACTCGTGTACCTCCTCTCCGATACTGAAATCCAGTCCCCGAATTCTCCAGTAAAGTACTGAGTGGATTCAGGGACAGGCAAAACCAAAGTGGACTCAAACAATCGCCCTGGAATATTCCCCTCTTTATCTCTATCCGGTCAGCGGTATCCGTCAATCGCTCGCCCTGGATAGTCAGGATCGTCGTCCACTGCCCCATGCATGCCTCCAAGAACACTCGAACTGTACCGTCGATCTTGTACAGCTCGAGTATCCTCCGGAGCCATGAATGGGGCACGGAATCGAACGCCTTTTTATAATCTATCCAGGCGGCGGAGAAATTCCGACGGTTCCGCTTGACCACGTGGCCAGCGACAGCATCAATGAGGAGCAGCTCCTTCGATCCGCGGCTACCGCCCCTGCATCCGTTCTGAGCGCTAGATAGGATCTTATTCTCGTACACATGACGAGAAATCTTAGCGCTCAGAACGGATGTTAACGTCTTATATATTGTCGTAAGACAAGTGATGGGGCGATATTTAGATGGATCCGCGGTATCGTCCGTCTTAGGAGCTAAATGAGTGATCCCGGTTGTAAGGAAGTTCGGGAGCGTCCTGTTTTCGAGGACACTCTGGAATTGCACGGCTAAGGTCGCATGGCTGGCCGAGAACGCCTTTAACCAGTAGTGCTGCAATCCGTCGATCCCCGGACTTTTCCAGTTCGGAGCCCGACGGATCGCGGCAACCACGTCTTCCTCCGTAATGACAATGGCGTTCATCGGCGTTATTCGAGCACATGCTTCCTCAACATCGTGCATCCATGCGCCCTCCTCATGTTCCACAGGTTCAGACCACAGCTGTCTCCAGAAGGCGACGAAATTGGCTGTTTCGGGTCTTTGTCCTGTGGGCTGTAGTTTTGGGCGCTCCAAGTTCCTATAAAACTTCCGTTGATCACTCATAAAGAGGCGATTCTGTTGATACCTCTCAACCCTCTCAGAGTACCGTCGGAGTCGCTTCCCCCATGCAGCGATCTTCTGCTTCAGTTCATCTATGCGCTCCGTAAGTTTGTGCCCGAAGTCCGGCTGGAACAGACGTACACCTGTCCCTGCAAAGGCCTCTTTTACGGAGCGCATAATTCTCGGACGTGTGTTGCCCTCCCTGAAGCAGAGCAGTCTACCAATGAGGACTCTGGCCTGGCCGATCCGTCGTTCAATCCTTCTTTTCCAGGCTGGTTTCATATTATCCCTTTGGATATTACGTCCAGCCCGGGGCATTTTGCGCCGGTATATCGGCATACTGCCAACGCAGCGCCAAACAGGATTGAACTCGTCTCTCCCAGGTCACCGCTGCCCTCAAGGTACTGAGGCAGCAGTCCATTTGTGGCCTCAATGGCATCCCGCGTCGCCACATTTGGATATATACGGGGAAACTTCGGTCTCTCTTCGAGGGGAGTTCTTCGGATCTCTAGAATCGCCTCCTCTAGTATGCTCCTCATATGCTCTATATCCTGGGAAGTTGTTCCGTCCGCATCCGCTTCTGAAAGCGTTTCGGCAACCACCTCTACGCTAGGTAGCACGTCTGAGATGGGTTGCTCTACGGTCGCGGAGTTTGCTTCTGGAACAACTTCACTTCGCAATCGTTCGAGTTCGGTCGCGCTAAACATACCAGAGCGCTGTATGTACCGAACTCTGTCGGCTAGGTTCTGTTCCGAGACGTTATTATTATTATTATTATTATTTTTAATTTAAATTTACGATATCTCGGCTTAAAACCGGTTTTACAGGTGTACACGGGCCTAAGCCAAGTGCATAACTGTGTGCTATGTTTTTTGTATAAATGTAATTTGTCTGGTAATCTGTTTGTAATATTATGTTAACCTGTAGATGTACCAGGAACGTCTAGTCCAATTTGCAGAAACTTCCTGACAATTCGGCATGTATTTAGGATTACGGCTTTCTGTAATTGATGGTAAATATTGGGTGGTAACTTTAGAGTATTTATCGCGTGATGCAGTTGTTTTGGTATTACACCTGTCGTGGACAGTACTATTGGAACTATTGTCACTTTTTGTAAGTTCCAAAGTCGGGTGATTTCGTATTGAAGTTCGGTGTATTTAGATATTTTCTCTGCTATTGTATTTTGTATGTTGTGTGTATTAGGTACAGCTATATCTATCAAATAAGCAGTTTTGTTTGTTTTGTTTATTAATGTAATATCTGGTCTATTGTAGTGGATTGTTCTATCTGTGAGGATGGCTCGATCAAAATAAAGTTTAGCTGTGGAATTTTCTAGTACACTCTCAGGCTTATATTTATAATATGGTTGAATGGAGGTAATGAAATTGTTTTGGTAGGCGAGTTTTTGGTGTATTATATTGGCTACCTGGTCATGTCTATGTTTAAAATCAGTTTGCACTATTGCTTTACATGCTCCTGTGATGTGTTGAATCGTTTCCGGGCAGCTATTGCATTTACGACATATATCAGATGTAAGGGTTTTTGTTATATATTTCTGGTAGTTTTTAGTCTCTATTACTTGATCTTGAATTGCCATGATGAAACCTTCAGTCTCTGGGAAGAGTTCTCCTCGACTTAGCCATGCGTTCGACGCCTCTTTGTCGACATTAGTTTGGCATAAGTCTTGTCGATGCCTTCCATGTAAAGACTTTCCAGTCCACTCGGCAATTTTGGTCTTTTCTTCAATAATTTTTTCGTTATTTTGTGTCGTTTTATTTTTCAGGTTAAGAGGTGTTAATTTGTGATCACTATTTATTATTGCTTTATGGATTGGAGAGGATTCGGCTTTATTGAAGAAATATTGCCTTAGAGTTGTAATTTGTTTATTATGTAGATTCACTATGTCTATAAGGCCCCTACCGCCTTCTTTTCTGGGCAGCGTCAGTCTTTGTAGACAAGATCTGGGGTGATGTTTATGTGTCTTAGTCATTGTGGTGTGTATTATTCGTTGTAGAGCTTTTAGGTCTGATTTTGTCCAAGTAATAATGCCAAAAGAGTATGTAAGTATAGGGATAGCAAAACTATTAATAGCTTTTATTATATTTCGGGCGTTTAGTTGCGTTTTAAGAATAGTGTTGAGTCTGTGACGAAACTGTTGTTTTAATTGTTGCTTAATTTCCTTATATTGAATTTGGCGTGCCTGATTGTACCCTAAATATTTGTATGTTTCCTGTTCTTCTAGTGGTTCGATTTGTTCTCCTGTAGTCATTGTATAGTGGTGTTGAAAATACTGCCCACATTTAATTGAATTTATTCTACATTTGTCTATACCGAATTCCATTTTAATATCTTTTGTAAACTGTTCAGTGAGGGTAGCTAGTTGAATGAGATCATTTTCACTACTGGCATAAAGCTTTATGTCATCCATGTAAAGTAAATGATTTATGGTTTCGTTAGGTTCTGGATGTCCATTAATACTTTTATCTTGAATATGAAATCCTAATTGTGTTGAATTTAATATATTTGAAAGGGGATTTAGGGCAAGGCAGAACCACAGAGGGCTTAGTGCATCACCTTGAAAGATACCTCGTTGAATTTTAATGGGTTGCGTCTCTATTGTTGTAGATGATGTGGGTATTTTTAATTGAGTGGTCCAATTTTTCATTGCCGTCTTTAAAAGGGTAATTATTTTTGGATGTATTTTGTATATTTCTAGTACTTTTCTTAACCATGAATGAGGGACAGAATCATAAGCTTTTTTATAGTCAATGTACATAGAAAATAAATTAGATTTTGACTTTAAGGCTTGTTTTAAGACCACAGAATCTATAATTAATTGTTCTTTGCATCCTTGACTAAATTTTCTACATCCTTTCTGTTGTTCGGCTAGACATTTATTTTCGGCAATGTGTTCATATATTAGTTCAGATATGCAGGATGTCATAATTTTATATAACGTTTGTAAACACGTAATTGGTCTGTATTTTGCGGGATTAGCAGGATCTTTAAAGTCTTTAAGAATCATAAAAGATATTCCACGGGTGATGTAATCTGGGATTGTGTTCGGGTTTTCAATGAATTGATTAATATGTTTAAGCAGATGTTCATGGGTTTTAGTAAATTTTTTATACCAATAACTGTGGATACAATCTGAACCTGCTGATTTCCAGTTATGTAGGTTACTTAGTACTTTTTTAAATGTGGTCATTGGAATGTACTCAAATGTCATTTCTTGTATAGATGAGTTGTTATTTGCAGTTTCAGACTGTATCCAGTCAGCTTGCATGTTGTGTTCAACAGGATTTTCCCAAATTCCTGCCCAAAAGTCACGGAGGTTCTTCATATCTGGTAGATTGCCTTTATTATCACTATTTCTGTTTTCTTGTATATTTGTCGTTGCTTGTATAATATTTCTATAGAAATACTTTTCATTATTGTAAAATTGTTTATTTTGTGTCTTTCTTAATGTGCACGCCTTGTACCTTCGTAAGCGACCTGATACGACTGCGAGTTTCTGTTTAAGCGTATCAAGTGTGTGTGTGAGATGCATGTTAGATTCCTCGTGTGCAGAATGTGTTTTATATTGTTCTACTATGTTTTTTATTTGTTTTTCTAGTTTTCTATTTGTATTACCATTTATGAATTGGATTAATCTACCTATTTTAGTACGCAAGTCTTCTAAGCGTTTTTCTAGTCGCCGTTGCCAACTCGGCTTATGAGTTTTCATTTGCCGGGATCTTTCCACTGGTTCCAGTATTAATTTGGTTCCATTTACTTTAGCTGCTGTCCAAGCTGCACAATATATTGTAGTTTGTAAAGTGATGAAATCTGTCTCTGCATTATTATTTTCAGACAGTGTTACTTCGTTTAGATAATGTACTATTTTAGCCAGTTTTTTAGATGGTTTTTGTTTAGGAATGTGATTTCTGCTTGTAGGCTCTATATCTTTGAAATATTGAAATGCCTTTCGAAAAGTTTCGTCTATTATTGGATCTCTTTCTATTTGCTGTGAAGCCAGTGGATCTTGTTCTAGAAGGTTGAATTCTATATTATTTAGATTTTCATTGTCAGTATTAGCAGTGTTGGGCTCATTTACGGTGTTGGCTTTATTTGTACCATTATTTAAATTATTAAGATTAGTTGACAATTCTTGTGCTATTTGTTGTTTTATTTCATTTAATCTATTGTCAGAAATATACTTATTATGTATAATTGCTCGTCTTTGGTCAGCAACTCTCTGTTCACTTAATTGAGCACATGTGGGAAAATCTCTAATAAAAGCTTCATGTAATGATTTCCGGTAAGCTGTTTTGTTTGTTTCCAATTGTGTTATCCTGTAATAGGATCGTATTAAGCTCTCATTTTGTTCATTTGTCCATTTCATACGAATTTGAGTTTGTGGGTTGTGTGATTCAGAAGTATCTTTTTGTATATTTCTTACAGATTCGCGGTTTTGATGAATATGATGAGGGTGAGATAATTCTTTTCTTACATCGTCATAAATTTGGTTTATTGTTTCTTGAGGTAACAATTTATTGCGTACTATTGCTCTACGTTGGTCTCCTACTCTTTGACGGCTGACATTCATATTTGGAAACATTTCTATGAATTTTAAGTGTAAAGGTTCAAGATAATTCTTGGTGTCGGTGTGTAATGTTGTTAGTTGTAGATAAGTGCGCAGTATAAAAATATTCATTTCAGGTGTCCATCGCCTGCGCGTTCGGTTAAGACCAGAGGTGGGTGCAAGCTCATAGTCTGTAATGACATCTCGCACAACACCATCTAGCGTACTAGAAGAAGAAACAGTAGATGTTCTCCGTGTCATGTATGAGGGGCGAGTTGAAGGGATAGATGAAAAAAGTGAGATGGTATCATCGCCTATAGATTCAGCTGTAGCTTCAACGTCGTGAGCCCGCTTGCTCAACTCCCGACGACCGGCTGTAGCATCTTGTGTGACGAGAGCCCGCCTGTTCAGCGTCTCATCACCGGTGGTTCGTAGACTGGAGCACCCAGCACCGGCTCCAGGTGCGCCCCGGCGACCCCCGGGCAGCGACCGTAAATTATATCTTCTTTCACTTTGCTCCATAAGGGTTTTTGTGTTTGGGATGATTAGTAGGAAGGGTATAGTCCTGTTGTTATTGACTCTGTCAATAAGTACTTCCCTATTGGGGTATGTGGTCGAGATGTCCTGACCAAGCACTTGTACCTGCTTCCCTTAAGCCCCCCCACCACGTCAAGGTTCAATCCCTTGGGGGGGTTATTATTATTATTATTATATATATTAGTTACTAAGAACGACGGTTTAATCTCCAAGGATAGCAACTTAGGAGAGATACCATAAGTGGTTGGTATCCATCATTCAGTGACGATTACTGTTTTATATCAGGTAGTTACGAGCTGTATAAAAAATACATATTTCTACCGTAGTTACATAACTATTCTAATATATATTAGTATAGTAGTTAGTAAGATACCTATAATTATACTAAAATTCTCATCTCCCCTCTTAAGGAGAGGAGATGGCAACTAACCCCCGGCAGAAGCACAGTCGGCCGGGGTTCAGGGCTCCAGGGAGAGAAACCGGCGTACAATGCGGGCAGAATCTAAGAGCACCGCTTTCTGCATCTTTCCCGGGAGTGAGCCGCCTCGGAATCCCAACCGTCTGAGATGTTGTTCCAGACTGGTTGGGATAAGACCGTTCACCGACATAACGATTGGGATGATTTCGGTAGATGTCACCCCCCACATTTCGGTCACCTCGTGAGCCAGGTCGAGATATTTTCTCTTCTTCTCGGTTTCGGCTTTCACGAGGTTCTCGTCATGCGGTATGGTGACATCCACCAAAAACACCCTCGAGAGTGCCCGATCCATCACCACGATATCAGGTTTGTTCGCAAGAACGGTCCTGTCCGTGATGATGGATCGGTCCCAGTAGAGCCTTACGCTGTCGCTTTCGAGGACCGGCTGGGGCTCGTACTTATAGTACGGCAACCTCTCATTCGCGAGGCCGTACTTCAGAGCTAGCTCTTGATGGAGTATTTTGGCTACCTGGTTGTGTCTGTGCAAGTACTCAGTGTTGGCAAGAGCTGAACAACCCGAAAGCACATGTCTGAGTGACTCTCCGGGATGGCGACATGCCCGACAGATGTCCTCAGTGCCATCCTTCAGAATGTGCTTTCGGTAATTGTTCGTCTTAACCACCTGATCCTGTATTGCACAGACAAAACCCTCGGTCTCTCCGAAGAGATCACCGAACTGTAGCCAGTGCACGGAGGTCTTCGTGTTTACGTACGGCCCGTGAAGGGCTTTGAAGAACCTTCCGTGCAACTCCTTCTCTTTCCATACGGCCTCCCGCTGAGAGGTACCCAAAACTTCGGGTTTTCGCCAGTCCTCTTTAGCCAGAGAAAGATGGGTGAATCCTTTGTCACATTCTATGACCTCTCTATGCAAACCCTCGTCTATTTTCTCCAGAAAATATGTCCTGAGGCTGTCAACCTCGCGGTTGTGCATGGTCTTAACACTTAACAAGCCTCGACCACCAGCCTTCCGCGGGATATACAGCCTCATGACTGACGATTTCGGGTGATGCATTCTATGGAGGGTCATAGTTGTGCGGACTTTCCGATCCAGGGCTTCGAGATCGGTTTGAGACCATCTGAGCACGCCAAAAGTGTAAAGGAGTACGGGTATGACCCAGCCGTTATAAGCTCGGATTTTATTGGCGCCCGACAAAGAACTTTTCAGTACTCTTGTAAGGCGCGCAAAAATTCCTCGCGGACTGACTGTTTCATATCCGTCTCCTTCACACCGATGTTTTGTGACATGCCCAGATACCGGTATGTTTCAGCCTCGGAGAGGGTTTTAATATTAGAGGGATCTGTGGCGATCTCCTAATAGAGCTGCTATAATCGTTTACGATATTTAGCAGCTCCGTCAGGCGTTCGACGCTCGGAGCTAGCAGTTTCAAGTCATCCATGTACAGAAGGTGAGACACTCGTGTACCTCCTCTCCGATACTGAAATCCAGTCCCCGAATTCTCCAGTAAAGTACTGAGTGGATTCAGGGACAGGCAAAACCAAAGTGGACTCAAACAATCGCCCTGGAATATTCCCCTCTTTATCTCTATCCGGTCAGCGGTATCCGTCAATCGCTCGCCCTGGATAGTCAGGATCGTCGTCCACTGCCCCATGCATGCCTCCAAGAACACTCGAACTGTACCGTCGATCTTGTACAGCTCGAGTATCCTCCGGAGCCATGAATGGGGCACGGAATCGAACGCCTTTTTATAATCTATCCAGGCGGCGGAGAAATTCCGACGGTTCCGCTTGACCACGTGGCCAGCGACAGCATCAATGAGGAGCAGCTCCTTCGATCCGCGGCTACCGCCCCTGCATCCGTTCTGAGCGCTAGATAGGATCTTATTCTCGTACACATGACGAGAGATCTTAGCGCTCAGAACGGATGTTAACGTCTTATATATTGTCGTAAGACAAGTGATGGGGCGATATTTAGATGGATCCGCGGTATCGTCCGTCTTAGGAGCTAAATGAGTGATCCCGGTTGTAAGGAAGTTCGGGAGCGTCCTGTTTTCGAGGGCACTCTGGAATTGCACGGCTAAGGTCGCATGGCTGGCCGAGAACGCCTTTAACCAGTAGTGCTGCAATCCGTCGATCCCCGGACTTTTCCAGTTCGGAGCCCGACGGATCGCGGCAACCACGTCTTCCTCCGTAATGGCAATGGCGTTCATCGGCGTTATTCGAGCACATGCTTCCTCAACATCGTGCATCCATGCGCCCTCCTCATGTTCCACAGGTTCAGACCACAGCTGTCTCCAGAAGGCGACGAAATTGGCTGTTTCGGGTCTTTGTCCTGTGGGCTGTAGTTTTGGGCGCTCCAAGTTTCTATAAAACTTCCGTTGATCACTCATAAAGAGGCGATTCTGTTGATACCTCTCAACCCTCTCAGAGTACCGTCGGAGTCGCTTCCCCCATGCAGCGATCTTCTGCTTCAGTTCATCTATGCGCTCCGTAAGTTTGTGCCCGAAGTCCGGCTGGAACAGACGTACACCTGTCCCAGCAAAGGCCTCTTTTACGGAGCGCATAATTCTCGGGCGTGTGTTGCCCTCCCTGAAGCAGAGCAGTCTACCAATGAGGACTCTGGCCTGGACGATCCGTCGTTCAATCCTTCTTTTCCAGGCTGGTTTCATATTATCCCTTTGGATATTACGTCCAGCCCGGGGCATTTTTGCGCCGGTATATCGGCATACTGCCAACGCAGCGCCAAACAGGATTGAACTCGTCTCTCCCAGGTCACCGCTGCCCTCAAGGTACTGAGGCAGCAGTCCATTTGTGGCCTCAATGGCATCCCGCGTCGCCACATTTAGATATATCCGGGGAAGCTTCGGTCTCTCTTCGAGGGGAGTTCTTCGGATCTCTAGAATCGCCTCGTCTAGTATGCTCCTCATATGCTCTATATCCTGGGAAGTTGTTCCGTCCGCATCCGCTTCTGAAAGCGTTTCGGCAACCACCTCTACGCTAGGTAGCACGTCTGAGATGGGTTGCTCTACGGTCGCGGAGTTTGCTTCTGGAACAACTTCACTTCGCAATCGTTCGAGTTCGGTCGCGCTAAACATACCAGAGCGCTGTATGTACCGAACTCTGTCGGCTAGGTTCTGTTCCGAGACGGTTAGATCCGGTAAAAGACGCAGAAACTCGCGGTGCATTACTGCCCGGTATCCTGTTCTGCCTGTTTCTGTCCCTGTAGCCCTGAAGAACGCACGCATGAGGTCCTCATTCATGGCTCTTGTCCACCTCATACGACGTGTACAATTATACTTATTATTATTACCTCATTACCTTATAATTTCATTGCCGTTTTGTACCCTTCAAACCAAAGCACAGGCATGCAAACACGACTGCTTCACCGCAGAAATATGAATAAGACTAAAATACCCAAGCAGACGACTTTTATACAGTCTCCCTCTGGTAATATTAATCTTAATAATTATTTGCTTATACAGAATCGGTGTTAAATCCAATTCCGAAAATGTAACAAGAGCGAAGCATTTGGATGCAGTCACTGAGGTCTAACATACTATTCAAACAGAAACTTGAGTGCAGAGTGGGTCTTACCTATTATTACTAACGTAGCCAGCGTATTCACTATGCATTTGGGTCTATAAAGTCAAAATATCCAGTCCAAAATAATATTATCCATATCATCTTAGAATAAAAATAATATCGCATATTTACAGGTGTGGTTTACCTCTTTCTATCAGATAGCCCGTCAGCTTGTTTGTTGAATAAAATAAAAAATAAAACTGACTCTAGAATAAATATAATTTTCAGAATAATATCCTCCGACATATCCGTCCATTAAAGTCAAAAATTTTGAAGGAATTCAAACTAAGCGGATGTTTTAATACAGGTTTACTTTCTCAGTGTTACGCGCTTGTAATAAATATTTTAGTATAGGATTATCTTTTAGTTGAATTTTATAATAGTAGGTACATTTTATTAGATAGAAAACCAAAGAAACACTTGACAGATCAGACAGAATGTATTACATGTGTTTTTTCGTATATTACCACAGATTACGGCATATTAATCTGTCGTAATATACGAAAAACTTAAGATGTGTATTTACTTATTGTTCTTGCAATCTATTATTATTACAACTTCCGATTTCACTTAAGTACCATAACAAAGAGCATACTCTTATTCCATGTAATATTTGTTAACATGTGATAGAAATTATATCGAACAATTTTCAAAGTTTGATTAAAGTTTAGTCTAAAATACCAAACTTTAATAAATACTGATTGATCCCAGGATTATATTTCAATCCTACCATTATTATACGTACATATGAACGCGTGAAAATTGCTAAAGATGTTTAGGTATTTATTAAACACTTGCTAAAACAGAACGGATTTGAATTAAATTAAATTACCTACTGATGATATAAATAATAATAATATTTATATTTATATTAATTCACATGAGCAAAACTGCCGGAAACTGGTATTAAATTACTCCTACAAAACACCAATATAGAAAAATTACATACTTAATTTGACATCAATAGTCAATAATTCCAGGTTCAGTTTGGGACTCGCAATCGAAAGTATGGGTGGGTATCCGTTTCGCACTAATCGAGCAATTTCTCCCATGTTATTAAGGGAAAATGGGAATGTTCGCAGGCCGTTGCGTTCCCAGAACGAGTTTCTTATAGACGGTATTGAATTTTTAAACAAATTTTTCGACCCGCTGCCGTCTGAACCAGCATCCACTTTATGTTATATAGGATTAGAACGTTATTACACCATTATACCTTTTCATGAATAATTTCTATTCTCATAGTTCATAACAGATGAGCACCTAACATTAATAATATAGCATCTACATTCGATGAATAGAAGCAAGTGAATGCCTAATTATAGTTAGTAACCATACAGGATTTTGTAAAAAGGAATAGGTACTATAGAAATATCACGATATCTACTTATGTATAATTTATATCTATCATGACTAGATACATATGATTGTAGTACGTACGAAGTCACAAAAGTTTAACATAAACAAGGTAGCATAGTTATAATTGTTCTCGTAAATATATAAATGGATATGTAAAGTATAAAAATACTTTGAACGTGAAGCTTACAATGAAACATAGAAAAGTTAAGGACAATTTAAATATATACCTATTACAAAACACAAACGATATTTCCCTGGGGCAACGTTAATGTTCCGGTGCTGGCGTGGGCCATTCGACCGAATCTCTGGAAATTAAGGCAGGAAAAAAGTCAATAAATCCAAGAAAGAAGCTGGAGCAGATAACGAATGTCTCTGGGAGCGACGCGACACCGCGCAAAGAAAATCGCGCCCCTGTTAATGTGACACTAAGTCCTTCTACGAGGCGAAAGGGTAAACAAAACACCCGGGGAACACGGTAATATTTATTTTCTAAAAACTTAACTTCAACTCCAGATTTTAGAGATAGGTAAATGCCTAATTTAAGTACGAGCGCACAAAGTTTTTATTAGATTACTGACGAAACTTTCGGGATGGTTAGGTGCCCACGAAACTTTTTGATCAGTTAGGTAATCTTTAGTAAGTATCTCACATTAATCTATCTTATTGATGAGTGCCAAAGAAGGTAATGTATATAGACAGTGATTAAATCTACAATTTGTGAAGCTTAAATAGTCGTGCCGTTACCCGATAATTCAACCTTTGAACTAATAAAGTATACTGGTCAGAATAACTTTCTCACTGGTAAGAAAGTGATCGCTGTTCTCAAGGAAATTTCGTGAAATATTTTCTTAGTTCTTACCAACACTATGTCACAGTACCTATAAAATTTCATGCTTCTAGTCCGTCAGTCAGCGTTAGAGACACAGACGTTGACAGTGAATTAATATTCTATTACACTTATATATACCTACTTACCCTCAACATCCCGTATCATTTTTAGTGGAATAAAATATGATTAGGAATTTTGAAATTTTTCTTGTATTTAGCTACAGTCCTTATTTTCATCCATATCACATATATATATATATATATATATATATATATATATATATATATATATATATATATAGGTATATATAAGTGTAATAGAATATTAATTCACTGTCAACGTCTGTGTCTCTAACGCTGACTGACGGACTAGAAGCATGAAATTTTATAGGTATAATATAGTACAAATTAATATAATATAGTACAAAGATAGTAATATAGTACAAATTCTACAGGATGGTGCAATAAAGTATGTAAGTCGAGGTGCACGGAAAAAGAACAAACATATATTAGGTTGGAACTACCACGTAAAACGTTTACATCAAACAGCCAAAATTCATTTTGACTGTTGGGTGCTAGGTGGTAGACCGGTGACGGGCGATATTTATAAAAATATGGTTGATACTCGTAAGGCTTTTAAAAACAAGTTGAGGTGGTGCCAGAATAATGAGGATCAAATTAAAATGAATATATTAGCCTTGCACCAAGCGAATAAAAACTTTGGCAAATTTTGGAGAAGCACGAGACGGCTTGATTATGGATCAAGTATACCGGCTAGTATACAGGGTGAATACAATCACAAATCGATTGCTGACTTATTTTCGCGCCATTTCCTTGTGAAACCTCGTTCATGTCGTGCTGCGGTGTGCCCGCGTACGGTTAACGAAAATGTAGACAATGAATTTTTTTATTTTAGTTCAGACGATGTTGCTCGAGTAGTTCGGGCAATGAAACGTGGTAAATCTCCAGGATTTGACGGGCTGAGTGTGGAGCACATTGCACATGCGGGTGAAATTATTTTTCATGTATTGTCTGACTTATATAATATTTGTATTAACTCGGCCTATTTGCCTAAGAATCTAATGAAAACTGTAGTGATACCTATTCAGAAACATAAAACTAGTGACCCTTCGAATATTAACAATTATAGACCCATATCATTAGGTACAATTATTGGTAAGATACTCGAAAGATTAATTCAACCAGAACTGCAGCGTAGTATGAAAATAGATGATGCGCAGTTTGGCTTCAGGCCTGGACTCTCTACAGATTCAGCTATATTTTGTTTTAAATCGGCCGTTCACTATTATGTCGAAAGAAGTACGTCAGTTTACGCGTGTTTTTTAGACTTAAGTCGAGCTTTCGACCTGGTAAATTATGATTTATTGTGGGAGAAACTAAATTTATCGGCTGTACCAAACAGAATTATTAATCTGTTGAGGGTTTGGTACTGTGGACAGACGAATTTTGTAAAATGGGGCAGCACCACCTCTAGTGAGTATAGACTAGAGTGCGGAGTTCGTCAAGGAGGGCTGACCTCACCGGACCTCTTTAATTTATATGTAAATGACCTGATAGGGGAACTAAGAAGCGCCAAAGTAGGCTGTCATATTGGAACTACTTGTTTAAATAGTATAAGCTACGCTGACGATATGGTTCTTCTTAGTCCCTCTATCAGTGGACTAAGAAAATTGTTAGCAATTTGTGAACGTTATGCATCGAGTCATGGACTGAAATACAATGTAAAAAAAAACACAAATGATGGTATTTCGGTCTGGGAGAGGACCGGAGAGGATCCCGCCAGTTTTTATAGACGGCGCTGCAGTGGAAAGAGTGGGTCGGTTCAGATACTTGGGACATATCGTGACGGAGGATTTTCGCGATGACGGAGATGTGGAACGAGAACGAAGGGCCCTGGCCGTCCGTTGCAACATGCTCGCGCGAAGGTTCGCCCGTTGCAGTCCAGATGTGAAGTTGACATTGTTTCGAGCATTTTGTCAATGTTTCTATACATGTCAGCTTTGGACAAATTGCACCAAAAGTGCGCGGAACAGCATTAGAGTGCAGTATAATAATGCATACCGCATTTTGATGAGGCTTCCGAAATACTGTAGTGCATCGGGCATGTTTGCGGAGTCCAGGGTGAATGATTACTTCGCTATAATAAGAGATCGTGTAGCAAATTTCTGGGCTCACATTCGGAATTCAAAGAATGAAATCCTCAGCACATTGTCCCAGTGTCTGAACAGTCCCATTCAAAAGTATTGGTTGTCCGTGCACCAAGACAGGAACATTAAATAATGTTCTCTTGCTTCTTGCTATATTATTTACTTTTACTTTTTATAAATTATAAATTTTCTACATATTTTAATTTTTATGTTTTTCTTTTTGTATATTTTGATTGTTATATTTTTATATTTTTTTATATGTTATCCGTGCACGTTGTAATACAATTGTACCTCTATGGGCTAAGTACCTGATAATAAAGAATTATTATTATTATTATTATTATATATATATATATATATATATATATATATATATATATATATATATATATATATATATATATATATATATATATATATATAATAGGAAATTTTCAACTTACGGAATGGCTTCTTTTTAAAGATAAATACCTGCCTCTACCCTTAACATTCTGTTTTGTGTTTTCCTGTTGTTGTTAGTAGTCCGATCAATCGGTTCAATGGGATAAAAGTTAAAATCTTATTTTGTACAGGATTACAGGAACTTTGAGCTCTCAGAACAGACGTTTCTAAATTTTTGCCCACTTGTCGGTTATTTTCCTTGTAAACCTCTTATAAGAATTATATATATAAGGGTCAGTACCTTTGAGGATTTACACATACAATAGCTATTTCCCGCGATTTTACCCCTTACTTTAATATATAAAATATCTCATATGTTAACTTAAGATACGACCAACCCATGTATCAATTTTATTTAATCCGTTCAGCCATTTAAATGTGATTGTATAACAAACATCGAAAATATTGACATTTTTAATATTAATAAGATTGTTTTAGTTACCTTCATACCTTTCTTCCAAAAATAACTATTATGCATAGTATATTTTTTACATAAATGTTTCATATTAAAAAAATAATCCAAACTAATATAAATTTCCGTATGGTCCCGGCATATAATGCGCCACCCTTTCATTTCCCGTTGGTGTCATAAGAAGCGACTAAGGGAACTTAATAGTTAAGAGATTGGCAGCAGCGTTACCGATCCGCCTGCCAATCGTGGCATTTACTATTTTTTTTTTATAGAACTTAGAATGGCAAACAAGCTGACGGCCCACCTGATGGAAAGTGGTAACCGTCGCCTATAGACATGAGCAATACCATGGACATAACAGGGTATACTGTTTCGCCCATGATACCCCCATGCGTTGCCATTCCTGAGGACTCAGGTGTTATTTCTCTGTACCCTGTAAATTCAAGCCATATCTGACTCTTCAAATCAAAACACAGCCATGCAAACACAACTGCTTCACGATAGAAACACGAATGGGACAGAGGTACCCAAGCTATCGATTTTTGTACAAAGTCTCCCTCTGGTGAAAACCCCCTCAAATAGAAAGAGGCCTATGTTCTGCAGTGGTCAGTGAACGGCTAATATAATGATGATGATGAATATTATAAATTTGAAAATAAATTTGTTTGTTGGTGTTTTCCTCTTGGCGTTTTAACTGATCAATCAGGTTTCAAGAAGTTTGGCATACACGTACTAACGAAACGAATATACAATGACACATGCACGCTAAGTCGTAGTAAACTAGTATTTTCTATTAAATAAACAATGTTTACAGCCTTATGCAACTAAAAACTTAAATATATTTTATCTAAAACCTAACCAATCTAAAACCTAAACCTGTTTGTACATTTTGTAAGTTGTTCCAATTAAATACGAGTAAGTAATAGTTCAAAAGTAAGAGACTAAATAATGTAATGAATTTAGTTTAAGGTTAAGATTTTCAAAATTTTTATTTTGATTCTTATCTATGAAGTCACCCATAAGTAATCACGGCTTATTGGATACATATTCGTATACACAATCTTGCCTTTGGCCACACATCGAAAATTTAGGAAAATATACAGTTAAATTGTTTTGCATTCATTCTATATATATATATATATATACCCTTTTAATAAATTATATAATAATCATTTATCATTCTTTGTTAATTTGATCCGTCGTTAACGGAGCGTCGTTCTGTGATCCATCCATGAGGAAAGGGAAAAACAAATAAAAGCGCATTTACCGAGCGATTAATATTCGACGGACTACGGTCTCGACTCCCTGACCGCATCGTTTGTTTAACCTCTTCTGTCAATTTGATTTCCGACCTCCGGGGTATGTAATTTCCATTACGGAGGCCAGACGCTTTGTTTGTCTACGCGCCGCCCAATAGGCCCAGCCGGCTAAAATCTCTATTTAATGTATAAGAAAACCATGTAGTGCGTATAGGTGAAGATATTGAGTAAAAATATGTGAACATCGATTGTTATAATAACACACTGGTTAACGGTTTTTAAAGGAACTTTATAACAAACATTTTTGTTTAATTCAACTATTTCAAAGAGCATTGTATTATGTAACAAACATTTTTTTAATTCAACTATTTCAATAAACTAATAATTAACTTCATCCATTAATGTAAAAAGTTGTAGTTCTATCTCATGATTGGCTAAACCGATTCTGATAAAACATTCGTCAACTTTAAATTGATCTAATACTTACTGGATTTCGATATTGAAATTTGTTTAAGCAATTAATTACAATGACGAAACAGGAAGATAAATTCTAAAAATAAGTTTAAAAATATCAGATTTGTTTTCCGTTTCTTATTTTTAGCTACCGTGTCTAATTTATAAAAGTAAGAATAAAATTAAACAGCTACCTAATGCCTATTATATTTAAGAATAAATAAATCTATCAAATTATTGTTCTTTTAATAAAAATTGACATTTCGATTGTCCTGACAAATAAATTATCCGGTGCCATTCAAACCGAATAGCCTATTTCTTGAGACCGGAATTCGAATCAAACTCGTCTCATTAGCGAGTAAGGGAGTAACGGAAAACTTGGATTAGTTGACCAACTTCCAGCGGCGAATTGTGTGGTCCATTGCGGTACGCGACATATCCATATGCGACCTTGTACTTTTACCACAGAATATATAATAATATCTAACAATTATATAGTAAAAATTTGTAATAAAAATAGTAGTATCGTGTAAATTATTTAAATACGTTTACATCTCAAAATGAAACGCTTTACCAAACTGCCTACAGAGTATAATAACAATAGTCTAATATCCTCATATGGGAAGAAAAAGAACTTATGCCAAACAGTACGAAGTTAATAATTTTTTAAGGATAAATGTGTTTAAAATTCACTTTATTATTTATTATTTAAGTACAACTTCCTAAATGTCATCATCAATTGTAATTACAAAATTCAAATATAATTTTTAAATTAAACAAGTATAGAAAATACATATTACCTATAGAAAACTGAGAAAAATGAGTCGTGCTGCTGGATCTGCTTATGGATATGGTGGCTTTAGTTGTTAGTTGTTAAGTATTTAATAATAGTTGTAAGCTATATATATTTCTCTGTACTTATTGTTATACATGTATCAATATATGCTGTGTTTGCCTATAAAAAATTGTTACACTTAGTTCTAAGCTCCATAATTGTATATATATTTACATTATGTGGAAACAATTGTTGGTAAACCTAAATAAATAAATAAAAAACGAGAACTCTTTATACTACTTTAATGTATGTATATATGTATGCATTAGGTGGATACTAGTTAACTGAATTGTGAATTTCTTGGCACCTGTATAATATATTATGTACAGCTCGCTGATGTTAAAATCAAGATAAAAATAAAATTAGTCAAACAATTCTTTCCTATTGAAATTATTTATATATCTCAAAAAGTTTCAGTAAATTTTTTCACACAATACAAATTTAATTATTAGATCTAGTGCTATTATCTAGCACTGTACATAATGAACTTTCATCATCTGTGCGAACAAATACGTTATTTAAAATATTCTCTTCTAAGAATTTCTTGCAGTATGGAATCAACTGAAAACATAAAATAATTACTAAATATTATCTGAAAAGAATTAAACTATGTACGGTCGGAAATAAATAAGTATTGAATGCCTGTATTTTTATCTAAATTTCTAAATTAACTAAACTCAAGTAACTTATTTTAATAAGTAATATTAATCCAGCCAACACTGAAAATTGTTTGTTTTATTGTTCTATTAAGGAGAAATGATAATAGAATAAATTAAGGTATTCGAAAGTGTCTTAAAACATTTTTGATCATGAAGCGAAGCTTCACTTAAGTTGCCTGTCAAAAAATATTGTCATGATAGGTCTAGAAGTAAATAGTAGGTTCATCTGAATGTAACTAGTCTGATATTTCCATAATATTACTGCATTATATACATAAGTAAGATTTCCATAAGTACAACTTCTAAAACAACTAAAGGGATGCTTCAATCTAAAGGGTCAGCTAGGGAACAGAGTCATATAAAAAGGACATAAAATTTAAACACGCATATAAAAGGGAACAATAATGTAGGTATATACAAGCACTATAGTGATGGGACAGAGAAGTTTAGAAGGGGAATATAAGAAATAAATACGGGAATTTTATATACAAAAAGCTGATTTATTACAACATATTATTTACATGTCTAGCATTAACCTTAAAAATCTTTAGAACTATCAGTCAGTAGTAGCATTATAATCATACTTATAAATATTACTGTAGTGAATACTCGTGCATTTGGTATGCATATACATATTTATTTGGTACCTATCTATAAAATGATTTTTACTTCTCCATCTAATCTCTTCGACCCTAGAAAATGCTTTAAAATAGAAATAGGTAAGTATCTAGCCTAATGCCTGCACCTTAAAATGTAGATACCTTGCGATGATGATCCTTAACTGCTTTATTTATTCTTTTAATCTCCTGTTTTAAATGAGTATCATCTTCTAAGTATTTATTAACAGTCCAATAGTCGCCAAAGAGAATTACTGGTAAAACATATGGATACCCTATGGAAAAAAAAATTATTTTAAACATAACTAGTATATCCTCTTAAAATTTTCCTGTATAAAAAATCATCCAAAACCGTGCACAAAATAATGATCTTTTGCTAAATCACTTAACGTGGCATTTTAATGCAACTTAGAATGGCTAAAAACTCACAACAATGTAACCGTCACCTATAGATATAAACAACATCATAGATATAATGAATTTAATTTAAATAATCATTTTCACATACATTATAATAAAAAATAGATCATACTGCTTATATGCCATATACTGTAATTGCATTTTAGAATATTTTATCTTTTTTTTATCACTGACCATTTTTTCAAAATCTATTTAATTATTATGCAAAATTGCATAACTTTAATAAACACCCTAAGATTTTTTTACTAATCTTGATACTAAATTAACATCACTGAATTTATACAAAGACAAGCGGCAAATCCACAGGACACAGTACCTTATATACAAATCAGACAAGCAAGTCGCTGCATGCAACTAATAAAATATTAATTGATTGTAAAACATGACCATAAAATCGTACTCATACCTTTTATTGTTCCTAGAGAACCATCGCTTATAACACCCAGGTTGCAATAAACTTTATTCCCGGTCTCACTCGAACGGGATACCCAAATTGCTCGCAAAGTTTTAGCAAATTCTGCAGCTCTATAAATACACCCGTAGGGATTTTTCGATGCACACGTTGTTACCTAATAAGTAAATAGATTATTTTTTAGCAACTTCGGAATGGTGGAAATTCTCAAATCGTCTTCCTACTTTGTGTACAATCAGGATGTTTTCGCCAATTTTGATAATTCCTTTTGCAATCGATATAGTTCAATATTAATGTCAATCATATCTATAAGCGACGGTTACGATTTTCCATCAAGTGGGCCATCAGCTCATTTTTGGCATTCAGCTCGTTGAAAAACTTATAAATAATTGTAATTCTTGAAGTTCTATACCAGTATCAGATAATATATTTGTTTATCCAAATTATAATAAATATTTTAATATCCATGTAGATCTAAATTTAAATACCTTCTCTATAAATTCTTTCTTCATCCACGAAGCATTAAATTGAGTATAATCTAAATTAAAGGAATCTAACTGATCTTTCCCCACAGCTTCCCAATCACATTTTGGTAAGTCACCGACGGCGTCACTAACAATAATAGGCGTATTTACTTCAGCGTGAAGAACCTCATCATTAGCAGCCCAGATGTGAACATCATTGATCAAATTGCATTGCACCTTACACAAAATATGTTAGTAACTTAAAATGTATTTATTTTTTAAAGCGATTTGAAAAAGAAGAAAATTTTCAATTTAGCAATATTTTTTTACATTACGCCTTCGCCAACTTATTTTGATTAAGTACTACTTTTGTAATCAATTAAATCTAAATACATTTATCTAAATATATTTGTTTCATATTAGGTAATTTTCTAACGATTAAGTCCCTGATTTTTGTTCTCAAATCCTTATAAGTATATTTAGTATATATTGGGCATAATGCAGCCTCGAAATAGTTAAATAATTTTATTATAATACCTAATAAGTATATATTTTACTAATATATGTAAAGTTCATTCATTCTAGACAAAGCATCTTAAATATTTAATGGTTGATTTAATAAATTTTCATCTATCCAGAAAAAGTTTTAAATTTATTGCAAAAAATAATCATTTAATCGACCAAATGTTTAAGATCAACAATTTTTACCTCAATATCATGTAAATTATAAATTAAATTAAAAAGAGATAACAAAATAAACTACTAATTAAAGTAGATATATGCCTTACCTTTAAATAATCTCCTAAAACTGATTTAGCGACACCAGTTATTGCCGTTGGACAAAAAAATATATCAGTAGGCACATTTTTTGAAAGCGAAACAAGAATATCCATAGTAGCCAAACCATCAGCAACAATTATTGTCTTTACGTGCTTCTTTGGTGATTTGTTTTTCTTTTTCAATACTGTAGGTGCATCATCAACCATTTCTTCTTCAGTAAAACATTTGCCCAACAGATTATGAGCAACTTTTATAATCAAATATAAACTATCAAACTGTTCGTCGATGTTAATTTTTTCAATGTCAATTTTATTAGGATTTGTGAAATTAGACATAAAGCAAAATACATCAGCATCTAAAAGACTAACCACAATAACAAAAATGTTTTTTCAATTACAAATACGTGTCCACTTATACTCGTATGTTGAACGAGTATCTATCTATTGATCCTTATTATAATTAAAATGAAATCGTTCTTGAAATCTTAATTTAAATAGAACGATACAATAAACAATATTAATATGAAACCTACACAGGAGCAAAACTCTTTTATCAATTACAAAAAAGATTGAATAATCACCTTAGGTTTATAAAAATGTCGCGTAACATAAAGGAATACCGAAAAATGAATACCTTACTACTTTTTGACTTTTACTACTTCAATGTACAGACGCTAGACCTAAATATTGCGAGTTTAACTGAGATCGATAAACTACCTTGGCAAATTTGATGAAACTTCAATCGAATTATTACATGAAAAAGCACACCCAGATAATTCTAGTTTAAACGCTTCAGCAAAAGGTTTTTCATTAGAATAAACTAAAAGAATCAAGTCAATTAGTTGATTGCATCCAAAAACTGAACCAGATAATATTTTAACAATAGTCAATTGCGAGGCGGGCGTAAGAGGATTAACCACCAGGACTTTCAAAGGACATAACGTGCTATTGGTTTGGAAATTCATTTGAAAATAACGTACGTTAGCAAAAAAAACATTACAATTCCGAAAAATCAGATAGATTTATCAGTGTCATTACACTATATATTTTAATAAGCAAAAAGGTTAAATATTTTTTATTTATTTATTCATACTTTATAATGCACATTAATAGTATATAAAAATATGACAGAGGTAAATAAATGCACAAAGGCGAGCTTAACTCTAAAAGAGTTCTCTTCCAGCAGCAGTTTATAAAATATAAAAATAATTTAAAGTAGAAGATGCTCTTAAAGTCTACTTTTAAAAATATTTAGGGAATGACTCTCACGGATAGGCATGGGAAGAGAATTCTAAAATCCAGCTGCATGGATGGTAAAGGATCCGTTATAGAGCGTAGACGAGTGAGAAGGGATTTTAATGATAAGAGACTTCATCGGACGAGACAATACGCCATGGGGGACAAGGAAAACCAATCGTTCACGAAAATAGGATAGAGAAAAAAAGTTATAAAGAACGAAAAATAAAAGGACATTATACAAAAATCTAGACGCCTTCGAATTGAAAACCATTTCTATGTAATTCTATAAGCAAAGACATAGTTGTATTTACGCAGAGCATAAATAAAACGTATGCATAAATTTTGTAATCCCTATAATTTGTTCAACAGCTCCTCAGTTGCATCAAGATAGAATATGTCGGCATAATCAAGAATAGATAACAGTAAAGCTTGAGCCAAAATGATTCTTGTCTTAAATGATAAGAACTTTTAAAACCGTTTAAAAAACTATAATTGATTTGTGTTATAATAAATTACGTTGTTGTAATATAAACAAAAATGTATTATAATATGTCTTAAGTGAGACAACAAATAAAATGACAACAAATAATAAAAATAAAATGTATTATTGTTGTTATCTATCAAAATATTTATTTTATTTATAAATTGATTTTGTTAGAGCAATGCACCGCCATTTACTCTCTCTATTTAAAGATTGTCTGATATACATAGAATGCCATCAGGCATTGAGTCCGAATATGTATACATATTGTAATGTGTACAAAAGTATATTTTATCTTTATTTGGTCTTCTAGCAATTGTTACACTATACCATTTAATATTAAGATTACTATATATTTATACTAAGATTTATACATATGTACAATCATTTTAAGGGGAACATAGCATGCTAGTTAACAAAATATAAATATATAAGCCACTTTTTTAGCACTATTTTTAATAGATTTAAACTGGTAATAATAAAATTAGTAGATATAATTAAGTTTATGAATTTGTATGTATTATCTAATCAATTTATTTATTCATTTAGTAGAGGAGCCAATTTTAAACTAATATACCTGATTAACCAAAGTCCATTAGTGTCGATTCTACCGTGGTTCTTATATTAATACATTATAAAGATAAATAAAAATTATGTATAAACAATTATATTTGTAATATGTGTTTCTTGTTGAATTATTAATTAATTTCTTATTAATTTTTTTTAGATTCTGTTTATCTCGACGCAAAATTGTCAACCATTTTTTAATACACAATAATAATTTCCATTGCTTGCCTAATATAAAAATATAACCTAAGTATCAAAATTAAGTTTAATATGAAAGCAGAGCAAAGTAAAACAATTAAATAGCGGTATTTATTTTGTTGTAAATATTTATTATAAAATTTGGCATTATTAGATGGCTAGGTCTTCTACGACAACAATTAATTTTGATATTTTGGATATATAAATAGCGATACAACACTATGAATATTCATTTTTTCATTGTGTTATTGAAAATCAGACTGTTTAGTTTTAGTTTAGACTGTAAAGTTTAGTTTTTTTATTTACTTTTCCTATTGCGGATAAATTGATACTGTTACTATTTCATTGTGTTATTGGTTCGAAAATGTAACATACATTCATTTTTCAGATTCAGTACATATAAGACTACTGTCAACTCTTATAATGATTACTTGCTATAGTATTATAGTAAACCGGAATGAAAATGCCCTACATTATCTTAATACTGTTTACTTTATTAAATTAATATACTATGGGTAAAATTCACTAACTTTACGAACGAGATTAGAATGTCATATTGACATCTATTTTGACACTTGACATAACATTGACGCGTCTCCATTGTCGTTATCATTCCTTGTTTGTTGATTTGTTGTATTTTTATCGTGATTATTCGAAATGTTATTGAAATTATTTAATTAGTGTAAGTCAAAATGGCATCTTCAAAAAATAAAGAGGAAAATGTATCGCCAGCAACTTCAACAACCTCAGTGAAATCTCAATTCTTTGATAGATCTCCGTCCGTTTCTTCAACGAGAGAGGACAAATGGCCGGAACTGTTATTATCGAGACCTGATAATTCGTATTTCTACAGTTCGAAAAGTAAGTATTCCTGTATAGTATACGGCAGTTTATTTACAGAAAAAAATATGTTAATAAGTCAATATTTTGATATCCAACTCCTACTTACTTTCAAAAAGTTAAAGCCATCTGCCATCTATACAGCTTTATATAGCTGATATTATTTATTAAAACCTAATTTAATAGACAACGTTTAGCTGGTTAACAATAAACTTGTCAAGATCTCATAAGATAATTATGTTTCAATCCATAAACCTAAATGATATAAAACAATACAAGCCAAATTAAACTGAAGCAGTATTAGATAACACTAAATTGTAATACTTGCCTTGTATCGAAAATTTTATTTATCTTTGTATTATCGAAAAAGGAATGTTGCATTGGTTTGGTCATTTGGAGAGGATGGATGAAAGAAGAATTACGAAAGAGATTTATCGAGCAAGAATGAATGGGGATGTCGGTAGGGGCCACTCTAGACGGACGTATGTCAATCAAATAGGCGACGTGCTGAAGAAGGGCCAAATTAAAAGTACCCGTAACCGGCGAGCGTGTATGATAAGATTGATGAATGTGGAAGAAGCGAAAGAGGTTTGAATCAAAGCATTTGGCATTCCATTGTTTCTGCCTACCCTAATGGGAGACAGGCATGACAGATATATATATATATATATATGTATGTTACTTTGTAATTAAGCTAATTTTGCTTTTTGGATAAATCAAGTATTATATTTTCTACAATACAAATAATCGGGAAGTGTCTTTGATTGCTCCATTTAGGTTTATACTGTGAGTGGATTTATTTCACAGATTAGTTGACAAATTTAATTTCCATATTAAAATATGCTCTAAAATTGATGTATAAACAATAACTATGACATGAGTTATAAAATTAGTGAGAAATTATTATTATTTTGACATATTTCAATTTGAGCAATAGTAATATTGATATAATAAACAAAACTATGTAAAAAAAAAAACAGTAATCTCAGAATATTCATATAAGCTAAAAGACCTGGCAACATAGCCTATAATTGAGTGTTTTTCAGTGTTTTATCAGTAAATTAATATATGAAAATTTAAAAAATATTATTAATTAAGATAATGGAGGCTTTTGAAGTTGTGCACTTACTGCCACTTATATATACACATTACAAATGTTATTATATTTGATTTAAATTTGTGCTTGGGTAGGTTATATTCTAACTTAACACATGATACTTTATATATTGATAAACACAGATGAAGCCAGTAATTTACCAAAACATATGGTCTCTGGCTCGGCTTTTATTGCTGCAGTATATCATACTATACTATGCAGCACTCATATTCTACCAGGTCCCTAGTAAAGTCATGGACACAGACACACACACATCTGAGGATTAACTAGCACAATACTTCACCAACTTTAAACAGATTGTAGTATTTTTAATCATATAACTTTATTATCTATTTATTGTTAGAGTATCCTAACTTGCAGACCAGATTAACAGACATGATTTACACAATCATATTACTATTATTATTAATAAATAATCATAAAATTTACTCTGTGTAAAATAATAGCTCTGGGCATATCTCAAAGTGCAATCTAAACCCAAACTGTCCAAAGCTTGTACTATAGACACTAAACAAGTAGACAATGGTCATACTTAAAAACATTTTTATTGTGTATATATACTTACATAAATGTAAAATGTATGTATGTACTTACAAAACATATAAATCAATACACAGATATACCTACTCATATAAATTCTAACCTATTATTGAAAATCTTGACTTGTTAGTGGAATATAATATTTATTCTTAAATCTGCAATACTCTGCAGAATAGTATAATACAACAATGACAGATGACAAAAATTAATTAATTGTAATCAAAATTTAAAAAATCTATGAAAAATAATATAATATTAATAATAATGAAAAATAATAATGGTAGAGAATGCCATATGTACAAAGTTTTATTGTGCAATAAAGAATAAATAAATAAATATAATATAAACAGATTCAATTAGATGAAGAAATTCTAAAATACTACACTATTTACACAAATACTGTTCAAATAAGCTCTTTATTTTTTAATAAGTTCAGATTATTAGTGTATAAACACAGACAAGTAAATGAATCGAGCAGTGATGATAATAAAGATTATTCTAGTTTTTTACATACAAGAAAAAATTTTATATGATCAAATAATATTTTATACAAGGGTTGTTGTGAAACACATTCAATATTTTTTATAGATATCAACCATATAACAAATGACAAATGTTTAAATTATACACAAACAAAAACTATTTTCTGCTAAACAACATACATAATTTATTTGAAAGTCGATAAAGATAAGCTATACTATTTTTTTTTTAAGAAAACGAAATGATTGTTTTGTAAGTGTAATAATGAAGTTCGAGAGTAGTGTGATACAAATAATAAAATAATTCAACTAATAAAAATAATGCCTTTTAAATGTTTGGAGGCACTTTTTTTTAAAAGAAAAACTGAAAAAGGGAACTTATTAGTACATATTATGAGTGTCAACTAATAACAGTTTACCATATTATGCCAACTTACATACAATTTTGTTTTTAAATATATTCAACCATTCACACATCTATGCAATTATTATGTATTATAGTTAAATATGTACTGAATATATGTATTTTTTTAATGGTATACCTCTAGGAATACCCACTAAAAGCCACCCCTATTTTTTGCGACTATATAATAAATTACTATATAAAGAAAATTATAAAAAAAAATGTGAAGCTAATTAGTAGCTTTCGTATCACTTTAGTTTTATTGACATATCTGTTATAGTTTCGTAAAAAATAAAACTTAAAGTTTGAGTTTGCAACCCCCATTTATCAAAAACAACTGAAGTTAGTGGTATGATAGTTAGTCAAAAACTATTTCGAACAACTAGCAATATATTAAATGTATCAATGTCAACTAAGACGCCAGTGCAGATTTCATATGGAACACGGCGAGACCCTTTATGGGAGTCAGTTTATGACACCTATTTCCTTGTATCCCTTTAGTTTATTCACGGAGACATTTGCTTGTAATGATTAAGAATTCTTACATTATTTGTAGTAACAAAAATAATGCTCTTTGTTGTTCACTTTTATGATTATACCCTCTTGTTACTTTTCTATAGTTTAGTAATAACAATATAATCAACCTTTTTGGCCACAGCAAACATTTGAACTCCTTACTGGTGCTGTTGCAATTAATAAATTATGCAATTCAAGCGAAACGATAGGGGCTTTTATGAATAGGTAAATCCCATTGTTAGCAATATTGGGTATACAGCTAACAATGAGATGTCATCAGGGACCTTCGGTCACACGGTCCTTCCAAGAAATAATTGTCATTAATTCTTAGTGAATCGGTCATGACATCACTTCATCACTATCATCCCTCATTGGTATTCTACAAACATAAACCAATACGTATGCAACATTTTCCTGTATAAAAAAAGGATTTTCATGCACACTTTCGTGGACACTTATAAATAATGGCGATGGATGGGCGGACTTTAAATTCGTTGCATTTAGAATCCTGATCAGCTTTAGGCTACTCCTCGAATCCGTGGACTCATCTCTTAATAATGTATCCCAAATCAGAGACCTTATTCCTCCCATTATTGTACCATAGTATAAAGATACTCCCAACACCTTTAGGTGGTGTGGTTACGTTATATGGATACGTGATGATACTATGGATACGTCAAATATGCCTTATATTTGACGTATCCACTTACCCATTCGTGTTTCTACCGTGAAGCAGTTGTGTTTGCATGGCTGTGTTTCGGTTTGAAGGGTGGGATATGGCGTGAATTTACAGGGTACAGAGGAATAACACCTGAGTCCTCAGGAATGGTAACGCATGGGGGGTATCATGGGCGAAACAGTATACTCTGTTATGTCCATGGTACTGCTTATGTCTATAGACGACGGTTACCACTTTCCATCAGTTGGACCGTCAGCTTGTTTGCCATTCTAAATTGTATAAAAATAAACCTTTGTGTCTTTATACACCTCCCTTTCTATACTTATCTACCATTACATGCATCACCAGAAAATACCAAAAGTAACATTGAAACTAAAATTACCGCGGCCTGAATTGCAGCCTATCTTCCAACGTTGCTAATAAAATCTGTTTGAATAGTGTGGTGTATTCACATAGTAAATTATAATTTGCTTAATTTCAGTGTTTTAATATAATAAAATTGTAACTGGATGATGCCTATACGTGAAAGATATTTAAAAAAAAACATCAAAAGTGGATGGTTCTCTCTGTAAATTGCGGTGCTCCTACGGTGTATCACATGTTTTATATGATTGCTTATTATATTATAATAACTAATTTGTACCATGTGACATGGTAATATAAATAAATAAAAAACATTATAAGAGGTTTTAATAGGAGCTATAGAAACCAAAAAAATATTTTTTAGAAATTTTATCTGACTGTTTGTTTCTTCCGGCGTCACGCAGAAACTACTATTACAAAATGAATGCGGTTCACTGTTGTATTCCTAAAGGTTGAACTTAAAAACTAGTGTATATATTATTTTGATACGCCATCTAGAAGTCATTTATTTCATTGATTTTCTTACTTCTGAAATCCGCGCGTACGAAGTAGCGTTCAGAAAGATAATTATTATTGTGTTCATTTCAAGTCACATTATTCATGTATTGATGTATTTATATTTAGACATCAATACAAACTTCTTCGTCTTAAGAGTTGATTGCCTTCATGAATGAACGTCCTGATCGATTAAATCTACCACTATTGTAACATAAAGGACTTATTTTTCATACATCACATCTATGTAATGGGAATTTTGTCTTAAACCATATAAAATTTCACATAATAAACCTTAATTTATCTCCATTATTGAAGTTACCGCGATTTTCTTAGACAAAACTAATTTCATATTAAAGGGTAACATTTATTATATACTTTAAGGAACATATTCCAACTGGGATTACTGACGGATATCGTTTCACTCACCATTAAGCTCAAGTTCTACAGAAAATTTATAACAATCCAGCGATAGTATTTATGAAATTTAACACCTTTCTCCAATCAGTACTGAAGACTAACTACTACTCAGGAGAATGTGTCGCCCTCCGATGTCAACAAATTCTACTCTGTCTTATACATGAAGATTGCATATTAAGATCTCAAACGTAGCCTACTGGACGACGATTCAATGCCCACTGAAGCATGAATTTAAAAATTCAATAATTTAAGTTGGCATTCAATCATTGGATCCATGGACCGGAGTCAAACGTTGTCCAAATGTGTTGTCATTGATATTCAAACATTAATTTAATGTGTTACATATTGTTATACGTCCAACCAAACTATTTACTCCTCTCTAACCAAAAATTGCTTAGAAGAGATTTCCTTTAGCAATAAAGATTCTGTTTGAATTTGCGCTAAGTGTTCTACTGTAATCTTTTGGAGGAAACAATAAAGATTATCATCTTTATCCTTAGTACTACTGTGGTACTATTATCTGCGATCTTGATAAGAATTTAGCATCTGTGATTCAAAATTTCAGGTTTTCTCGTCCACACATATCCAATTTGAAAGTTGTTATGGTTCCTATTTTAGGACCATTACTCTTTCCGTTACTTTATATATATAGCAAGATAACGATAATAATAAATATGTGACAGGCTGTGAGATAAAATATGCTATTTTTATACTGTTATTCGAGTAACTACTATACTTCAATGATACATACAATTTTTAAGTCAGCCTCATAAGTTTTTGAACTCTCAAAAAATACTATTAAAAGTATATTGCTGCAGAGCCAACTCAAATAGACAATCAAATAAGACGAATTATTTATAAGGGTTCCCTTATTGCTATTTGGCTGCGGAATCTTAAAAAGTGAGTCGTCTTTTTTTTTTAATAATAGTAACTATTTATTTCATATTGTTACGAATAGGTAACAATTTTTAATGTAAGTGATATAATGTATGTACCTATACTACGATAGTTTTTTTTTTTTAATATTCAATGTAAAAATTGGAACATTACTGTGTGAATTAGAATAAAAATAATATATGTGACAATCTAAACATTATCTATCCATTATTATCATTACTAAATTTCATAAAATCTTTTCAACCAAACATCTTAACAAACTTTTAGATTTATAATATTAATTAATGGAATAGTACGAAAACTGTACAACTACATCTTTCGGATGTTCTCGGAAGAATTTATTTCTACATCCCTATTTATTCCTTACTCATAGAGAGTATTGAGTATAAAAACAATCTTAGCACTTAAAGCCTTACAAGAAATTTCCAACCCTCACCACAGATGGCAGTACTAGCAGTGAGTATTGATTTTCCCGCACCTGTGAATACAGTAGTAAAGAGAAATCAATATTTGTATGAACCTACTGGAAAGCTAATATTCTATTTCGTCTTTACTTAATTCTAACTCTAGATCAGTAATACATTGTAATTTAGTGCACGTATAATAAAGAGAGGGTTATAAACGACTGTGGAAATCGCTGACACATAAACACTGTTTGACCTTCAAATTTGTGCGTCGTGTGGGAAATGAATATAAAAAAGTGATCAAGATTCACAATAGTGTTCCTGTTGTTCGCTTGATTGTTTATTTGCGGGTTTATTATGCGTTCTCTTGCTGCTTTACATGGGGTGGATCCCTTGCCTGAATTAGGCATACCATCCAACATCCAGCACGGCGAAAACCCTGACGCCGATATGGCTGGAGCGCAGGACACCATATACCTGTGCAACTTTCGGGTCTCTGTTGACGGAGAGTGGCTCTGCCTGAAGGAACTGCACGATATGGAGATGCAGGATTCGTACATCCGCCCTTCTGAAGGTGCCATCACCTCTCCTGATGATCCTATGCATTCCTTGATGGGTAATAAGTGATAATAGTTTCTAGGGAAATAAATACCTATATGAATACTACTATGACATAGTTAAATTAAAAATCTCATTGTGTTTTTTTTCTTTTTTATTATTAATACGCAGTGAACTATAAATCAAGATTGTATCTATTTACACCTGTTTCGCAGTTGCCATATATGACTTGCATATATTATCATAATATTTTTGTTTATAGCTCGAGATCCAGTTGTGATAGAGCGTAGCAATCTCGTGAACATCTCCAAGTTGATCGTAAAGGAACTAATTGAACAATCGCTTCGATACGGACGTATGCTCGACAGCGATCATTTGCCATTGCACCATTTCTTTATTGTTCTCGAGCATGTGATGCGGCACGGACTTAAACCTAAAAAGGTACGAGTATACAATATAAAATTACCTAAATTATCTTATTAAAGATCATTGTAGAATTATGTATTATTTATCATTATCGTTCAGACTACGGCTAAAAATCCGTTTATCTTCATTTTGTCTAATATTGCGAATGGAAGGTCAAATAACTGATTACAAGGCACTAAATATGCAATTTTTTTAATATGAAGCGAAAAATAAAACTCAAAAATTTTACTGCTCAATAAAGAAAACAGCTACTGAAATTTCTAATTGAAATCATGACAAAATTGATCAGAACCGAAGAAAATAGCAAGTAACTATCTTCTCTTTTGGAAATCGCTTAATAAAAAATGTATACAGGGTCTCCTCGGTCCCAAGAAGGAACTATGGGATATCCTACAAATGGTCGAAAAATATTCGCCAGAGGCAGCTGACATCACCGCAAGCATTAGAGACCTGCCAACAGTCAAGTAAGTTATTATCTATTATAACAATTGCGTAAACCGCCCACGTGTAACAACTACCTACTTAAATGTCTCATCAGTATTTACAAACCGATCATAAAATTAATTGATTGGTATAATAATAGTGTTGTATACAAATGACTTATAATTGGGTATATAAGTATTTTCATTTATTTATGTATTAAACACTTATAGTACTCAAAATAATTTTAATTCTATATCTTTTCACAAAGTATACACCTAGAAATAAAGGATTTAATAAAATAATATCACAAAACGGATATTGTGATCTATTTGAAACGTCCGAATTAAATTATATATATTATTAATCATGATCGCCTAAAATACGAATAATAGAAATCTTAGAGAATTAAGTCTTTAATTTCACGACCTCTAGTACGATTATTATGTATTTATTTTTTAATTACAAGTTACAATAACAGTTTGCAAATAGAAATAAGCATGCTATTAAATACAAAACAATACAAAAAATTTTCGATACACGGTTTGCTAAACTTACATTGTAAATATCATTAGCAGTAAATGTTATAACGCTTGTATGTACATTACATTACTGTTTACAGTTATGATCTAAACTAGTACCATTTCAAAACTATATACCTAATAACTAAAAAATATGTTTTTTATATATTTTTTTCTACTATTGTTAAAATATGTTTGGTAAAGATCGTATTAGACATGAAACCCCGAATTATAGTCTTTCTTTTTTATATTATTTTCATTTTGGTACGTACAGTATAGAGTATAAAACATCATTTGAAATTTTAGAACCGCCATGGGCCGAGCCCGAGCCTGGTTAAGGTTGGCTCTTATGCAGAAAAGACTTGCGGACTATCTAAGAATACTTTTAGAACACCGCGAGGAGACACTGGAGGAATACTTTGAGCCTCACGCATTAATGTTGAACGAGGAAGCCGTCATTATTACCGGTTTACTCGTGGGCCTAAACGTCGTTGACTGCAATTTATGTGTCAAGGTATTAATAATATATTCTATCTATAGATGGAGCTTTATTCACATCAAACATAGACAAGTGGCAAACCAATGTGTTCACATATACTTTTACGCTAACGCGTGTATAAAAAGATAAAATAAAAGACACCAAATATTGCTATCCCGTCAAAAATATAAAATATTATTATAAAAAATCTGTTATATTTTAATATAATTCTGAATAGCAAACAAGCTGATCCCTTACCTAATGATAACCGTCTTTAATATTTTATATTATTATTTTAGCCTTTAACTCTCCACTGTTAGCAGTTAGGCTGTTACAGATGTTTTAAGAGGGACGCTGCTACCCATCCCTCCACCATAAGCTGCGTTAGTCGCCTCTTATGACACCCACGGGAAAGGAGGGGTGGTCCATTCTAAGCCGGGACATAGATGACTATATACTATACCGTTAATATACTTGTGCAGTATTATGACCTAACAAATGCTTTAGCTATTTAAAATTTTGCTTCTCAAAAAACAGCAACTTCAACCGTGACAAATTTATACGAAACCTACAAAATACAAACGTATAGTAAAAGGAATTGTCAAAACCGAATCAAAATTAGCAACAGTATCCCCCGTAATGTATACACAAAAAGTATGTATTCGAATTCAACGTCTATTTTTAAGTCGTTTAAAACAAATATACAATCTGGCAAATAATGCAACAGTCATACTTTGAGCATAATGTAACGCTTTCAGTTCTTATTAATCACTCGCATTCCCCTGATATATTTAAAATACTCTTTGTTTATTTTTATGTATATTGTCTGTTAAGATATCCTATACACTTCCATTACGTAATTATATACCCAATAGTTTATCGAAACAAATTTGAGACCTAATATCTTGTAAATAATATTTCATTTACATGCTTATATAATAAGCATTCTTGTTCTTAGATAATAACGAACGCCAAAGTTTAAAGTTTCACCGCCAAATGATAAAAAATGACGGTCAAGATCATGGGCACGCATTATTGATGCTCAGTAGCCTTGTTTGAGGTTTTAAATCATTCGCTTGAATCCCTTTATGCTGATTACTGATCTGATCAATCTGAGCAACAAGTATCATTTGATAATCGAAATAATATACTATACCAAACCGCATAGCCATTATGGTATATTAATCTAATATGCTTATATGAAGAAAACTGTATCCATAAATGAAACATTAATAAAAACATCAGGTTAATAGCTGGTATGATACGTCATTTCTCTGGAAAAAAAAATATTAGGAGATCAATAAATATTCATCATCATCATTTCAGGCATTATCCGTCCACTGCTGGACATAAACCTCCCTCATAGACTGCCATAAGGAATGGCCCTGAACCACCTGCATCTACTGACTCCCTATGATGCCTTTGAGGTCGTCACTCCATCTTGTGGGGGGTCGTCCTACACTGCGTTTACCCGTACGGGGTCGCCATTCAAAACTTTCTTCCGTATCGGTTGCCGGTTCTTCGAGCTATATAACCAGCCCATTGCCATTTCAACTTGCTTATCGGGCTATGTCGATTACTGTGGTTCTTTTGCGGATATCCTCGTTTCGGATTCTATCACGCAAAGAAATATTAATATAATTATAATACATTATACGTTAACTATACGTACCAGATGGAAACTTTAAAAAGTCTGTATGAATACCTCTGTTTCACTTGTGTTTCTCCTGTATTATATTGCTTATGTTGGAATTACAGGATACAGAGGCATAACAATGTTTCTGTATCCTATTAAAATAACGTTGTTTGTATAATTAAGCTGTTTCATACTCTTCAAGAATTGCAACGCATGAATAGCACAGTGGGCATCACAGTAAATACCGTGATGTCCACTATGCTATTTATGTCGATTAACGACGGTTACCGCTTTCCATCAAGTAATATTTATTCTCAATTGCATAAAAAAATGCATAAGGCGAAGTGCTGAAAAAGGCTAAATTAAAAGTGTCCGTAACCGGCGAGCGTGTATGAAAAGATTGATGAATGTGGAAGAAGCGAAAGAGGTTTGAATCGAAGCATTTGGCGTTCCATTGTTTCTGCCTACCCTGATAGGAGACAGGCGTGACAGATAGGTATGCATAAAAAAGTAGCTATCCAATATTTCCTAATAAGCACTCCATAATAGTAGGTAGTAGAGTCCGTCTTAAAACATCAGCAAAGCCAAACTGCGGTTACCAACCCGACTGCCAAGCGTGGCAACTACTCCCCCCTCGGGTGGAGACATATGGTCAGCAGTGGACCTTTACTGCTGATATAATGATGATAAAATACTTCAAATTCTCCGTAACGCATCACATCTGCAATACAACATGCGCTATCAGCATTCTGGAAAATACAAATGTACTTAAATATTGCATTATCAAGTCCGCGACGGTACGAATTTTTTTTTTTATGCATTATATTCTAATATATTTATTTTTGGAGGTTACATAAGTTAATGTATTGTGAAGAACTGGTGTCTGAAGTAGGATAAACCTGTGTTACAGATCACCAGGTCCTCACCCCACGGTGTTGGCTTTATTATACAATTTGCTCTGGTTATGAATATATAACAACATTAATATATATACTTAAGGTTATACAACCGATATATCCTACACACACTTATAACTTGTTTTGTACAGTTAATACGTATAATGATAACCGACTAATTAAAGAAGGTTGTTATAAATAAAAAAACCGGTTTATTTCCGGTACAATATGCTATCGTTTTAAACATACATGTTTTAGGGTTCCATAGACGCCAATTTGCCTGTTACCGGTATCTTGGTTCTAAATGAAATAGGGTAAGCTCTTTATGATTATAGTAAATTATTTATCTTGAATCTTTTCACCATAGCTATTTTTATAATATTACCAGGTATTAACTGCTTATGGTTGGGTCCATTATTCGTTTGTTTACATATTTATGTTCTATTGAAACAGGCTATTATAAGCATAGATAAATATGAAAGATTTCATAATGACATACGGATATTCCGTAAGTAGGTTTATATATGAAATTTTGCATAAACGTAATAAACGTTTATGCAAAATATTTTTTTAAGAGACTTCAAAATAAAGTTCTCAAATAAATGTCATACGCAGTGTACATAAGTAATTATCATCAAAATTAGTATAGCCTGTTATTTAAGCTAACAACAAATGTATACGTAAAATATTAAATAGAAAAATTTCATTATCTCAGTTATGTAAAAGTTTTCATTAATTAATTTTCACTTGAAATGAGATCTTATAATTATATACAAAACCTTCGAGCATGAAATCTATTTGACCTTGACCATTTTATGCTTAAATTATACTAAACTAGGTAAACTCTCAACGTTATCCGTATGAAATTATTACTTTTTATAATCCTGAAATTTGCAAACAAAATGTCAGTCATGTCACCCTTATCAACTCGCGAAGACATGGCGTTTGTCGGAACCTTAAACTTATAAAAAAAGTTGATAACCGTAGCATTATTTTCAGAATTGTCTTTGTCCTGCAGCATCACTTTTAAATAATAATTTAAAATTATTTAATATATTTAGAATTTAATACTTACGTTACGTACTCCTTCGCAATTACAAACTATAGCCTTCTTAAGCTTAACATAGATGATTAATTTAATAATTGCCATAGGAAGAAGATTTGGACAGTCAGCAAGGTGTTATCGATTTCTCCTTATACCTCCGCGGTAGCAACTCCTCCAACGACTTATCAGGCAATGGAAACAACACAAACAACGAGCCAAAGCAACGCCATATCAACACAATGCTAGATCAAAAGAATTATATCGAAGAGTTGAATAGGCATCTCAAGTAAGTTCAATACGTCTCACCTTTCACTGATAGACCGAAATTAGCATTTTAACCATGGTTAACAATAAATAAAACAAAACATAATAACTTTGTACAATTCTCACGTGATGATTATATCTACTTTTAACTTTTAATCGACGCAATTCATTTAAGACTAAATGACATTACGCAACTTGTTGCAGAAAACTAATGTCACCACGAATAATTTCACCAACTGTTGTGTAATCTCTAATTTTGCAAATATATGTAACATTAATTTCCTGGTACAACACATATTATTAGGTGTGCCTACCACACGTAAAGATTTCGATAAAATTAATGGAAAAAAGTAATTCCTTGCGTTCAACTTCATAATGTAAATTAGACTTTAATATTTATAATTTTTATGTTTTCGAATCTGCCAAACTTTGTAATAGACAAATGAGCCTATGGTTTCAGTGCCACGGTAGCAAATTTGCAAGCCAAAGTCGAAAGTCTGACCACAACGAATGCACTTATGAAGGAAGACTTGGCAATTGCCAAAAATACCATGATACAGTTGGTCGAAGAAAACAATCAGCTCAAACACGCTTTGGGTAATAAATTAATGATTTAATATTAATTAGCATTATTACACTATTGATAATTGCTTGTAACCCTACGAATGTTTAAACATGTATGTTTGTAACTCAACCGCGCTTAAACGGCTGAACAAATTTGTATGACATTTGGTGCACCTGTAGATTATATCTTATCACAAGATTCTTTATATACTGATGCACACGGGCAAAGCCACGAGAAAAGGCCAGTTAGATAATATCCATTTAAAATAGATTGCGTAATTCTTAATAAGTACTTAAATGATAATTATGTTTCCAAATATACTTAACAAATTGCTGATAATTATAAAATTGCAATTAAAATATAACAGAGAATAAGTTCAATAGATTAGACACCTTACAATCGGATGAGTCACGCTGAACGTTTAGTTTAGTATGCATTAGTATGCCGCGCTTGTCACTCGCGTCCGTATTCTATTGTTACTTAAGATTCAGTGTTTACTGCAAATTTGACCCGTTATGCTTCATAGCTCACTCTTAATGGGTAATTCATCAACAAAAACTCGACCGCGACAATCGCTTTGGTACAAATCTTGTGAGTTATTTTAATTCTTATTTTAAATATACCACACTGTCGTTCAGTGTTTATTTACGTAGTGTCTAAACACGTGCGATTTTTCTACAGGTCAGGACATAACCAAAGATACTAGAATGAAAGTGACAGAGTTGCAGTCCGATGAAGAGGTAAAAGTGTTAATTTAAATATTTATCAAAGTACTGTCCTTGTGCTTATTAACTTTCTATTCTGTAAACCAGTTTTTTATTTAGTATTTTTTTTAAATATTTTGTAACTGACTTGTTTTCGAGGTATTTCTGCAATTAATAGTTTAAAATAGTATAATTTATTTATTATTTCTTAAAATATAATAAATTAAAATGTGTTTTATAAAATTCTAATATTTTATTGTTGTGTGACTTTTTTTTTTACTTTAAATTTATTATAATGACTATTTCCTATATATCTTCATATATATTTTAATATATCAAATACACAATTCGTCATATCTGAAATAAAAAATACTCGGGATATATGGACTCCATTGATATGATACTCAATAATACGATTTTAAAAATAATTTAATATACTTACTACTGGAATAATTATCATTATAATTATGAATCAATCACTACGTCGCCTACAACGCCTACGTCTGTACCTAAGTTAAGAATTACAACTTTTTGTGCATATTTTTAAGAAACATGTGCAATAAAAAAACAAGTTACTCTTATCTCAAATGATGTGAATCATAAATACCAAAGATAGAACAATATTGGAACAGATAAATTACGCAATGACCGATACAGTATATTTTGTAAAAACATAAACAAAATTTATAATATTCTTTGCATTGATAGATATATAATTTTTTTATACCGACCTCACTTAGATATAATTTTAATAAATATTAGCGACCCGAACTAACTTGCCACGAGTATATAATGAAGACAATTTTTTGTTTTAAAAAAATATACCCATATTACTTGCTGATAGTGTAGCTTTCTTTAGACGAAAGTATACTCAAAATCGGTTTAGTATTTTTTGAGTTTATTCATTATAATTATAAAATCATAAAGTTCCTCTTTATAATATTAGTTTATATGAATCTTTAAACCTGATTATGTAAATGATTGACATAAATATGTATGACAAATTGTGCTAATAAAATCCATTAACGTCTATTTACAGGAAAAACGTAGCGTTAAAAGTACAACATCTGACAAATCAAAAAATGAAAAGGACATCGAATCAGGAAAATTGTTGGAGGAAGAGAGGAAAAAGAATTTGGAACTACAAAAAGAACTGGATTTACAGGTAACTATCGGTTTATTCTAATTCTAACGAACGCGATACACGCGGTTCAAGTGTATTTATTTAAATAATATAAAATATGGCTCTTTTAAATTAAATTTTTTGTATTTCAGTCATATTATACAAATATTGTTTATTCTGTATGTTTGTTTGTAGCTAATTTTTGCAGTTTTATTTATGTAAACTTTAACTGTAAATCATTTACTGAAGAAGCATTGCCGTTAAAATAATGCAATTAATTACTTTAAGTCTTATTCTATATAGCGTACTTTAATTAAATATGTATTGTCTATAGTTATTTATATCCATTACATTTACTTGTTTTCCAATATAAGTAATTAAGAAGTAATCTTCAACTTATTACATTTATTATTAAAAGTATGTATATTAACAAATTAATTTCAGATTTCATTAAAAGCTGAAATGGAGGTAGCTATGAAATTATTAGAAAAAGATATACACGATAAGCAAGACACAATCATATCGTTAAGGAGGCAACTTGACGATATTAAATTAATCAACCTAGAAATGTACAAAAAGTTACAGGTGAGCAAATTTTCTCAATTGTGTAACAGCCCCGTAGGATTTTGTACCCTTCTAATTTTGATTGGGAATTCGCGCTTATTGCGTCAACCATACACAACATTTTCCTAAACTTAGTACTTCATGTGAACAGTTATTAATTCAGTACATCACCGCTTCCTGGCTTGATTTTTAATTTATCAAATAATATTTGTATATAACTTCTTAGAGAACTTTTCTTATTATTACCTAGTACTAACAGTATAACGCCTTTGTGTTTCGCTATTAATATATTAAAAATTGTATATATATCGTAAATAAACGTGTAATGACATTTAAAATTAACAAATTTAAATTTTTTATATTTTACTGATTTGTTATTTTGCGAAAGGCCAAATTATATCCACAACCGTAAACATATTACTTACTGCATTAGAATTTTTTTTTTTATATTCCCCTTCTTGCCTAATGCAATTACCAAATTTACATTCCGTCATAATCTCCAACGATAAGCCATGTCGAATAATGTAACATAATTAATATAAAACAAGTCATTGTAAATATATAAATAAAATAACGCGGCACAACGAAACAAAAGGTTGCATTCAGGCTATAGAAATCTACATTCACACAATATAAAGATGCTTTTTGTTTATAATCATGAGAGATAACAAAGGCGATGTCCCGCGAAGGCCATTTATGAGTGTGGGTGCTTCCGAACAGCTCGTTTACCGCCCATACGTTCTCTTTACCACGTTACATAATTAATTATAATTTTCATTTATAATGCTTTAAATTAACCTAATATATTTGGCAGGCATTTGTTTTACAATTTTAAAAGCTGGTATCACATCACTAAAGGTTTTAACAAAACAATAGACCAATACTTACCTTAAATAGAATATATATTTAGTAAACGGTAAATAAATAATTAACTCTTGTCACGTATAGTGTTATAACAGCATTCGGCTATTTAAGGCATTGTATTTACATTTGCCATTATAGTTATGTTGTGAAGTGTTTTATACTTAATTTTTTTTTTGTCTTTTGTCTGAAAGCATTAATATGTTTTATGCTTTTGATCATCTACATATATATTTACGACATTATATTGCGATTACAAAATATTATTGCTCTGATATATACTATTCTGTACTAACAAATGCATATTATATTATAATATTTATATACATAATACTAATGCAATGCTGTATTCATCAATGCCGCGTTTATCGAACGAAAGGAATGCGAGATGGAACTGACGCAGAAGGGCGAAATGGTCTCCAGACTTCAGGGGAAGGCCGAGCAAATTGGCAAAATACTACACAACCTTGAGAAATATAACCACTTCTTAGGACCAGACCATGATCTGGTCAAAGCTCTCAGATCACCCACCACTAACGAGCATAATCTAGGAGAAAAATTAGAAAAACTTAAAGCACAAAGTAACGCAGCTCAAAAGGGTACAAAGTCGAAGGATGAAGGTCCACCGAACAAAAAACTAAACCTTCAGGAAATACCACCATTTCGGAAAACAAATAGTAAAGATAAAAGTTTAGGGCATGTAGCGGAATAATTACTAAATTAGTTAAATATTTAATTAATCAACAACATTTAATTAATTAAAATAGATTTTCACGTTATTCGCCGTAATGGTGGTATTTCTCTCTTATACATATAATAATGTAACGTTAATGACATCATTATATTGTTGATGTATCATTTAAAGTGCTAATGTTGACTCTAATGATAATTATGTTGATACTATTTCACATAATCCCACCACTGTTTCTCATAATGTATCAAGCTTAAAGTCACTATCATCAACTTTATGTTTGTTAATAACAGCAAATATATTAAACGATTTGAGGTGCTTTAATACATATATAATGTTATAGGTTCTATGTATATATCCGCTTAGTTGTACTAACCAATGTCCTATACGTTCCACTAAAGCAAGCCTTCCTTCGTTATTTTAATTCAGCTAAATTTTATTGACCTTGTTTTAGGAATGTGAAAGTTCCTTGAAACATAAAACTGAGCTAATAGCCAAATTGGAAGCAAAGACTGAATCAATGGGCAGCACGATACATCAACTAGATGAGAAGTAGGTTTTCCATATTTTTTTATGTCACCGCAACTGGCAGGCGAAAGCCTGCACCATCCGTAAGGATAAGAGTGCCTCGACGTAACGTAACGCTGATCAATGCAACGCTTTACATATCAGTACTCGAATTCGCACCTAGGTGTGAGCAATGCACGGCTTGCATCTTGTAATATTCAACGGTAACTCTTTCCATTCATCCGATTTTGGCAAACCGTCACAATGAACAAAGCGGATAGAACTCGATCAGTATTTCGATATTCTTGTGTGATATATTACATTTGATTATAATTACGATATATTATTGTTACAATGGCAATGCTACTGTCGCTTTGGCTTTCACGTTGCTGCGATTCTAATGGAACCCCATGGTTGTTATGTTACAACTCTAGTCTTATAGATTTGATTTTAATCTTATAATATTGTTTAAATGTTAGAAAATTTAAATATTAGTTTACAGTAAGCTCCAGCCTGTGTATATTTCCTCTTAGTTATATCTCAGCTAAGGCATAAATTATATTTATTTTAAATACTAAAAATGTACCGATATACAGCACAGAATAAATTTATATTGACTGTCTTTAATATTCAAAGTATTTTGTATACTTTTCTAGTGATATTGAAAGTATTATAACTTTTGAGTGTAATAAACAATTGGTAATTTACAAGTGTTATATATAACTTGCTTGAAAATGTTATGATTTGATCTCGTTTTAGTGTACACGAACCATTTCAATTTATATTTATATAAAATCAAGACTAGAATTTATATTATTGTGTAAGCTTGTTGACATGTTAGCATCAGATTTGTTAGAATTCTTTTTCATAGTTTTGTAACTCCAAGGCCGTAGAAATGTAAAAGCCTCATTTATAATAAAGCATATTCAGTCGCATACGGTATTTTATTGAACACAAGAAAAACGAAACTGCTTGTTTTTACTTTATGTTGGTTGTGTAGGTTTGCCATTGTCAAATATCCCATTGTTTATGCATGCTTTTGTGATGTTAATTACAAATTAAATATTCACTGATAAAATCCATACTTAAAATACCTATAAAAAAATATAATATATATCTATACAATATTATTCCTCCTATTGCGATAACATTTTTTTTTTCTTTAATTTTAATTCATATTTCGTTATGGCAATAATACATTAAATAAAATGCGATAATATTATTCATATCTACTTATACCTATATTCCTTATAAAGTTTCTTTTTTATGTCTATAAAATATTAGTCTATTATGTTTTTCTAATTTTATTTGCGACGTCACTAATTCCTTTCCATCCATAACAAGAACACAAAGTTGCAATTTACCTATGAGAACAAAAAGGTAAGTTTGAAAAAAGATAAATACTAATTATTGATTATTTTGGTTCTTAGTAATATTATGCAAAATCTACACAGTTGATAAACCACGACAAAAATCCAAAAACAAAAGTATTTACAATTGATGACTTTACTTCATTAACTTTGCAATTTCAATACATATTAGTTTAATTATTACCCATTTTTAACTGATTGGGGCTTGTATTCAATGACAAACAAAATATCCAGCATTACAATTAGTGGAAAAATACAAGTCTATTAAAGTTTTAAAATGAATTCAGAACTGCACAAAGTTATATATATATATATATATATATATATATATATATATATATATATATATATATATATATATATATATATATATATTGTTCAGATCGAACTCGCAATCTTTGGATGGAAATACAATATTTTAAACTGTTTCACAAAGGTTGTCACTATTTTTTGTCATAATTATCATCCTTATAACTGTGTTACTTATACTTATTTATCTATCTTTACGCCGAGTTTCTTGCGGGCTTCGCAGAAAGAACTAATTGTCAAAGAACTCTATCCTTCACAATTGCCATAATTCATTTACATTCATAACTGAAGATTTAAGACAAGTTCTAAAAACTTTTAAATCCATCAGATAGCAGCGGGTCTACAATGAAATGAAATTCCGAAATTTCGGACTCAATTTCGTGTTTTTGTTTATACCAAAATCGGACCAATAAATAAACATTTCGTTCGTCATACATCCTATCATAAAAGTCCAAAGGAACAATATTTTAACATTTATAATATTTCCAAACGGCATGTATTATGTAATTTTTACATCAAATTTCTGTTTCGTTTGGCTCCGAAATTTCGGAAAACATTTCATAGTAGGCCCTCTGGATATGGTCTATCTGATTTTCTAGATCAGTCCAAACTACCCTCGATACCCACATCGTTTCAGAAACTTATATTAATATGTAATTAACAGTATTTTTTAAACTCTCGATATTATTATTTAACTTTTATACATAATATTTTATTTGTTTAAAAATATATTATCAACAAGTGTGTTTCTAAAAATATCAACAATTGATACAAATATCTCAATTTCCAATTAATGTTGAGGAACGTTTTTATTGCTAAAAATGCATATGAAAGTAGTTGTAAATTTATTTGTAGATATATAAATATAATACCATGTATGTAGGTTACAAGAGGATAGGACAGCTAGAAAAGGCTTGGAAGAAAGTGCCCGCTCTCTAGGACAGAAGGCTGCCACGGCCGAGACTAGAGCACTCACAGCGGAAGGCGACTTGAGAATAGAACGTGAATGGAGGATATCTTTACAAGTAAGTGTTCAATAATAAATTCTGTATTCAGAGTATTTATTATTGTGTTCTGTAAATTGTCATAAAAAGCTGACAGGCATAATTGCTAACAGTAACACAATGGCTAACAGTATATCCTTATCAGATTGGGTACAGAGGAATAACACCTGAGTCCTCAGGAATGGCAACGCATGGGGGTATCATGGGCGAAACAGTATACTCTGTTATGTCCATGGTACTGCTCATGTCTATAGGCGACGGTTACCACTTTCCATCAGGTGGGCCGTCAGCTTGTTTGCCATTCTTAGTTGTATAAAAAAAAAAGATTTAACTCCATACAGTTCCCTCTAAAAACCATCATGGTTTATTTCTGGTGATTTTGTATAAAGGCCAACTGATCTGAATTCATTCTTATCTATTATCCTTCACTGGTATTGCATTGGCACATAGCGCAAACGAGGTTACTATCCCATTTTCAACCATTAAATAAAGCCATTGCAAAGTATTTATAATTTAAAATTTAGAATAATAATAAAGTGTTTATAATTTACTTTAGGAATCGATGATGAAAGATCGTGACAAAATATCGATGTTAACACAAGAAGTTGAATCATTGAAATCTATTGGTCAGGTAAGTCAAATAATTATTATTTGTGAGAAAAAAATCTATTTAAAAGTTATGTAATCTAATCCCATGCTAGAAAGGAATAATGCTGAATGTAATAAAAATATGATATTCTTCACAGCAGGCGAACATATCTATTATCTATTGAAATGCATACAAAAAAAAACAGAATTGAGTATCTCCTTTTTTTTAAAGCTAACTAAATTTTCTGATACATAAGTTTTAAATAATTATGCTTCATTATTTTTATTTTATTTATGTTTGTGTGTTTTATATTTATTTCAGAAATACCTAGCACTACAAGAGGAACAGCACATACTTAAAACTCAGTATAACGAAGCGCAGAGGACATTAGAAGAAATGGGTGCCACATTGAGCGAAAACAAACTACAATTAGCCGAATTCTTAGAAAAGGAAGCTAAATCCTCCACAGTAGAAGACACTGCCTCCAATTGGACGAGCGACAAGGACGCGTCTGCTTGCACGGCATGTGCTAAAGAATTCAATATTACCAGGCGAAAGGTAAATAAACCAAACTATTTTAGCTTAAAATTTTAGCGCACTAGGCGGCCACCAATTATTGGCTCTGGCAGCCATTAGACTGCGAATAATTGCACGACAGCCAATTGGCTAAGCCAGAGCGAAACAAGGCGAAGTGCTGTATGTGTATGGAGACTGCCTTCAGTCACTGCATCACTTTCTTTGAAATTAAATAATTAAGCAAAAGAAAATGAAAGCACTTCAACAACTATGTTTATAAAAAGTTTGAATACGAATCTATAATATAATGTAATGAAAATATAATGTAATTAATTTAATATTGGCTGTTTAAAAATTGTACACTGCTGTATCCGCTGACGTTGATGCTCCTTTCCACTTTGGGTTTGCTGGAAGAAAACTATCAGAGTTAAGCTCGCCTTTCTACTTTTGTTTACCTCTGCCATATTTTTATAACTAATGTGTACAATAAAGTATTAAAATATAATAAATAAAATAAAATTTCTCTTAAAAGCCGAATCAAAGAATAATCAAATACTTATTTTATTCTTGTTCACTAAACTAAATACTACGTTTACCTGAAGAATTAAAACACTAAGTATAGTATGAATTACTAACTTTAATATAAAATGCTATAACAAACCTATTTTAAAGCGAAAAAAAAAAGGTTCTAATTCGAATATTACCTACTTTATTACGCCATCGAACTCCGTCAATTCAAAGCAGTAACAAATATTAATACCCCATTTTATTCCAGCACCATTGCAGACGATGTGGGCACATATTCTGCGGTGCATGCAGTGAGAAAACAGTCGCCCTGTCAGGTAGCACGAAACCGGTGCGTGTGTGCGATGCCTGCTACGCAGAAGTGCGACTTACGTAGTAACTGCTCATATTACTTTTACAACATTTAGGTCTTTACTTACATTAGTGATTAGTCCCCACTTCGCTATGACTAGATATCGCATATGTAAGAGAAAAATGCGGCATTACATATATACGTTACATTAATTTTGTCTTGACTGAGTACCACCAATTGTAACCCATTTGCGACGTTTTACTAGACTTTATTGAAAACTCTAAGAATTTGTATAATAAAATTACGTACGTACAGTTACATTGATTAAAGAAAAGTACATACATTATGCAAATAATTATCATTATTTTGCTAAATTTTGAGAGTCGTTATCTTTAGATAGTCATAGCGCAGTGAAAACCAGTCATCAATCTAAGGTTTTCTGTTAAATAATTTATAATATTAGGAGACTATTCTCCTCAATTGCCTAATAGTATCAGATATATTGAGATTATCTCGAACGCCTATATAATTAAAAATCTGTTCTTTTTCTAAATACATTTACGCTCTCACCTCTCTCTGAATGTTTTTTAATTATACAACAATAAAAATCATTTTACTATATCAAAACGGAACCCTAAACGCATTTAAAAACATAAACGTGTTTCATTCGAAAATCCTTGAGAGTTTATTATCATTCGGAGTGATGGTTTGTACGGTGTCCAATAAACACGGACATTATTGTTTACCTCATGGTTCATACATCTAATTTTTCTTCTCTCGACAAATATAGTTTCAAAAATATTTTATTAAAATCGTTGAAATGTTTTTATAGCAAGCTTAATTATACGTGTTGACATATTTTCATAAATTTAAAAATACCATCACTCTAGCTATCAGGTTTGTGGACAGCTTCATTGAAACAGAGATTTGCAGTGAACGCTTTATTTATTTTAATACAAATCTGTTTGTACGCGACATGTAGACAAATCGGAACAATCGTCAAAAGATCCTTTATTTAACAAAAAAAAACTAGTCTTTCTTTACTCTATATTTTATATACATACTTATCCACACGTTTTACAAATATCCACATTTTTCCAAGCCCATTTTACTTTTTTCCAACAATTTCCCGATACTTGCACTGTGCACCAACTCATTTTGAAGAAGTAAGTTGATACATCCAGCGCTTTGGAGTGAGTTAGCGCAATTGTGCGCCGTTGCACAGTTCTGGTGTACACAGTAAATGTATTTAGAAAATTTATTGTGACTTGTCTGTAGGCACAAATATACAAATCACCACACACAGAACTCTGCTAAAAAATTTCTTATAAATCTCGATCCATTTCTGACGCGTTTTTAAATCATATTTTTATTGTGTGCAATCAAAATACTTATGATTGTTTTTTCTAATTTTTATACAGCCGACATTAATTGATAAAATGTAAACAAAGTTTAATTATTTATATTATTTTTTATTTATATCGTTATACATAATTTTCATAGTACAATAAACTTTATTGTTCTCTGTATACTATAATATACATTTTATTTTATTTAATGACTATAGCCAAAATTAGCAACTATTAATAAAAGTATGACCTTAATCTGCATTGTATCACTGTAGGCATTAAATAACTATAATACTTTGCCATAATGTTCATTTTTTAAACGGAACTCTGGAACATTAGAGGCAAAATTATTACATGAAGTTTCATTGTCAGGAACTGTAACGACATTATAACAACATTCTCATTTTCCACCCATATTATCTGTTAAAATCATATTTCGATTTTAATACACTTAAAGTATACTACGAATTATTGGGTACGCAAACTAAGCCATACGACGCTCCCTAATTATAATATACTATTTTATGTTCATATATGTTCGTACAACTACTATGACTGGAACATCTCATGAAGATATGTTTCATATATGTAAGTAGACACGTAATTTTATTTGGTGCTCAACAAAAGTAAACAATATAAGATCGCCAAGGCATACTGTAATATAAGTGATATAATTTAATTTATATTCTGATATACAATTATTAGCTAATAACAGACTGAATTTATCCAAAAAATATTATATAAACTCTATAAACTGCCTTAGACAGCGAACCTATGTGTTTCGATTATGTACATAATAATAAATAAGTGTGGTGCTCGTAAATATTGTGTGTATATTAAATAATTATATAATGAAATACAATTGTTAATGACATTTGTAAATATAATATAACCAATTATAAAAATGTATATACATTATTTAATTAAATTGATAATGATCATGAATAATTTTGCGTTTTACTTATAAACAACCTGTACGAAACAAATAAATATTAATCTATACAAGTAGGTAAACAATTTTCTCTATAAATCATCTGACATAATGTGTTCTAATATATGTTCCATTGCTTCCGAATTATCTTCAGGCACCTGTAGAAATCCGTAAAATTATTTTTTAATAATGTAATCATAAATAAAATCCTAAGACAACTCTAAGTGTTCTAGAATTAAACATTCTACTAGAACGAGGCACATTGTATTCAAATATGCTTGGCAAGATTTGAGCATAATACCTACTGCCTACCTCATCATACCCCATCACCCGGGTTCATAGTCTTGGGTATATTTATTTACATGCAGTACTTTTTTATGTTTGTTACCTCATAACTCCGTCAATTCTGAACCGATTTGGAATTTTTTTTTTATCTGAAAAGATATACTTACAGATTGGTCCTTTAGAAATTTTATCAAAATCGGTTAAGTAATTTAGTTTCAAAAACAAATTAACTAGTTTTGTCACAATTGAAGTCAGTTATTTTTTTTTTTTTGCAGGACACGTCTTTAATTTTTATTGTATATGTTTGACGCAACTAGATCTTGCAACTTCAATACACATAAATGGTTTTCTAAAATTTTTAATAAATTTACTTGTTGCGTCAAAGATGAGACTGATTTTATAGTTTTATAATAATTTTTTTATCACTTGAAAGGATATAATAATAAGATCTATCTCACCCAATGTCCTGATCCAAAGACCCACCAGAAACTCAGCTGCTTTGTCTCCTTAAAAAAACCATTTCTATTTCCCCGTATTTTACTTCTTTTGGCATTCTTGAAATCTTGTGCTCCATGCCATTTTAATTTGTGCACCCAATTCGATGCTCCTGAAATTAAAGTAATTAATTATTTATTTAGTTCACCCTTTTTTGCACCAGTTACAAAATAAGGGGTCACAGTTTAAACCGAAGTGATACAAAAGATCTCTCCCAGACAACTTTTTTCTATAAGATTAATTGACGCACTATAATCTCAGAATCACTCTACCATCGTAGTCAAGCTCTACTAAATTTAGGAGTAGATGACGCTCTGTAATATATTAGCACTATTTATTTGTTGGGATCCATAAAACTATTTATTAAAACAAGACAGTATTACTTTTACAGAAGTTAATTGGATCATTTATTGAACAATGTTTACAACTAATAAGTAGTACCCAGACACGTGTTGAAGAATGTTCTATTATAGATTGGTGACTTCCTGTTGTTTATTACTATAAACTAAACTACTAAAACCAGCAACATTATTGTGCTTACAACCTTTAATACATTCTAATGTAAATAAAAAAAATTAAGCTTTTTTGTGCAAAACTTCATAGCAAATAAGCTGCCGAATCATCCGACGGTAAATATCACCAACGCCTATAGACACAACACCTTGGTACCTTTCTTGCACTCCACTTCTGAAACCCACAAAACAACTTCCAACATCCATAGATACTTACTAATTTCATTACTACGTCTCCATAGTCTATACTAATAGAACAATGAAAAGATAGGCCGATTAATAATTGGATCAATTATTAATTTACAAACATAAGACAATGTGCTGATACCTATCTAATAATGGTTGAAATTAAAAATTGATCAATATCAATTGAATGCTTCAATCAATTACTAATGTCATTTAGTGTTTCTGTGATAATTTCAACAAATAACAAATTTTTATTAAGCTTCATTGAAACAATTATATACTAGCTAAGTGTGACGGACAAATTTTTATAAGCGCTTAGGTACGTATCTAACGTAACAAGCAATATCCTATACATGAAAAATCCATAATAATTATTTAAGTTATTTGTTATTCCCATTCAACAAGGCCGTCATACCGAGGACATCATCATCGCAATTTTAAATCTTTTGGAGGAAACAAAGAGTATCTGTAAATAGATACCTACATAAAGCACATATAGCAATATATTATTATAAAAATAAATTAATCAACAGGGACTTCTCATGCCCGCCAAATGTTGTGTGGGCGGGCGAGGTAGGGGCCTCGGGGTATATCCCTCTACCCCGGCCTTAACTCCGGAGGCGACGACCTCCGGGTCGCTGGGTTCTTCAGCCGGCATACACTGGTGGTCTGTGTATGCCGGCGTGGTGTCTTAATAAAAATAAAAAATCTTTATTAAACTAATTACGGCGCATAGAGGGATGCGCGTTATTTTATGTAAGTTTAATAAATAGCAAGCATTTTGAAACGTGCTAAACAGCCGTTTATTTGCAATGTATTCAAATATATGTATTTAACATACAGATATATACGAAGCCAAGAGATTTTTTTTAAATAAATAATACAATATCTACTACCATCTATGTATGTTTTAAAACTAGGCTATATAATGTGAACTAAAGTTATTAATGGTTTAATTATTTGTTCATAAATTATCAAAGAGTTTCAAATAACTCTTACCAGCTAGAGGTGTAACGACATCCAAATTTCCATTATAAACGCTTATTTTCAAATTAGTTTGGTTCAGAAGCATTTCTACTGAAAAAATAAAATTCTAGATTATAAAAATTTCATAAGCTATATTGCGTATATAAGTAAATTGAACTGGCAATGAACTGATCACATAACTCGAAGAAATTGCATTGTAACACATTTAATTTATTGTTGTTTAGTGAAATTGTTACTTATATTCACAGGGATATCGTCAGTAGCAAATCACAAAAAGTTATTTTCGTTCACAATAACTTAATGTCGCACTTGCTACTATTTGCTATTGATAGTGAAATATAAATTATGATTTTATGATAAAGGCGATAGAATAGACACTTTAACGCAGTGTGATGAAGTCTCTATTCGCTCGCACTGTACGGCCCAATCAGCTGTCTGATGCGATTTCACTTCACAACTAACCGCACGGTTAGTTGCCGTTGCAGCCGATGACTTACGAATAACCCCGAACACAGTGACTACCTACAATTTCATTTAAAATTTAGAATGATTTATATTGTTCTTAGGAAGCAGTCTTTGTGAAGCGACGTAGCTGAAATGACATATGATATAATAAATGACATATGGCGCACCACGTGAAGTTGCACTTGTGATATGTGAAATATTCCAAGCTTAATGGAACCTCGAATGCATTGCAGGAAGTCGGTGGATGCATGTGGCTCGGGACCATTCCTTGTGGCAGTCTATGAGAGAGGCTTATGTACAGCAGTGGACAGTTAACGACTGATATAATCTGAAATTAACCATGACGGTTTCCAGGGTGGGCTACTTGAAAGTCGATCTGATAATGCTGATGATTGCTAGCAGTAGGTCCGGTAGTCCCTGTGACTTATAGTCTTTTTCTCCCTCTAAATGGAAATTAATATATAAGGCAATATTAAATACTTACAGAATTTTATAGACGGCACTAGGAAATTCCCATTTAAACTCTGAAAAGCCTCCTCAGATATATATTTCCATTCCAGACTTTGGTTTACTGTACTGATGAGCGTTGGTTTCACATACATATTGATCTTTTGCTCTAGTAAATCTAGAGCAGGATACGGACTAACTTGATTGATATTATTAAAGTTAATTTCCATGCCAGACTCTTCTGTGAGGATTTTAAATAAAACTGTATCCCATTTTCCTGCCGTAATGTATTCTCTCTTATCAATATGTGAACACATTTTTTTTGCTATACTTATACCTTTCAAATATGTAGTTTGATCGATGACTCCCTGTAATTAGGTGCAGGACAATATAATTAAATATAACAACTTTACTAACTGTGCCCCACAACTTCGTCAATGTAAAAGTAAATATATAAAGTGTTCTATGTGCTAAGTTAGAATATAACCTACCTATGTACCAAATTTATTTCTAATCCATTTAGTGGTATTTACGTGAAACCGTAACAAACATTCATCCATGGATGGACTTTACTTAATCAAATTTAATTTGTATGTAAGTACTATTCTATACTTTTGCGTTCTAAATATTTCTTACCATATTGTAGAGAAATTCTGGATAAACCAAAATGCTTTCCTTTGGATCTACAAATCCACTACCTATACCAATTCCTTTAAAATTCATCTTGAGACGCTTTCTCTCAATTGCCTGAAACGAAATTTTATATATTATAAATACATGATGCACGAACCACATTATTATAAACAATCTGAATATCGATTAAAGAGATTAAATTAAAGAGATTATTTAAATTCAAATAATAATGCTACGAGTATACCACATCAATAGTCTACAATGTAATTGATAGGAATAAATTATGTAGAAATTATTGCTATCACAAAGAACTATGCAACATGTTGATCTATTGGATATCTAGTACCTCTTTCATTGTTCTTACGACAAGGAAATGATTCTTATATATATTCTTAATTATTTCTTCTTTAGACCATTCAAATATTAACCTATCGATATAATACTTTATTATTAGTACCTAAATACCGCTTCTTTTTTCCAAAAACTACACAAAAAATATTTGATACAAAAAACCTACATACCGTATGTAAATAAAATCCCAACCTAGGACACAATTTGCCACCATAACTTTGACCAAAAATATAAGTAGGCGTTTTGCGAAATCCTTTATGTGTTCTAAAGAAGGCCTTTATAGTTTTCGAGAGGTCGATAGCTGAGAATAACAAAACAATGGAGAGTATTATGACAAATAATTCACACAAGTTGCTGTAGAGAATAGTACAAAAATTGATAATAATCATTACTTCCTAAATACAAATAAGTTTAGCTCATTATAATAATTAACTGCATTTGACATTGATTTCATAAGTATATATGTGAGTATATATAGACAAATTTAGACATAAATGGTACGTAAAAAAGGGAAACCTGAAACTTCTTCAAACAAAAGGACAGATATAGTACTCACCAGCTTCTTGATCTGTTTTTACGAGCAATGACTTGTCTTCAACATAACTGAATCCGGTACCCACTGGATGATCTATTAACAATACATTTCTGCCCTTTACCTGTATATGAAATCAATAAGTTATGAGTAGCTATCTATTACCTACTGCCGTTAACCATCACGGGTACGTTAATCTCCAACGAAGAATTTTAGTAGTAAAATAACAAACCATAGTAGTAAATATGTCCTGGTTTATTGAGATATGGTAATGAAATTACTAAATTCATCAGCATCATCATGAGCCGATAACTGTCTACTGCTCAACATAGGCTCTCCTCATAAGGAGGGGTAGCAAGTAGTTGGCAGGCTTGACATACAGGTTGCAAACGCAATTAGGTTTTGGTGATATTTTAAGAGGGACGCTGCTGCCCATTCCTTGACCATCAATTCCCTCAATCACCTCTTACCGACATCCACAGAAAATGAAGGGATGACCTATTCTATAGGTTTTACACGCCGGGTTTACACGGCGGTTACTGAATAATCTGTCAAAATCTTCATGGATTACTATAGCCGCTTACTATATGTAAGGGAATCCTATATGCCACCTTCGGTACCTATTTTCAATATACCCTATTAATGGATTCATGGTTTATTTATGTACTTATTCTAGGGATAAAAAAGTCTTCTTAACATATTGTAATTGTATATATACATACACCACAATCACATTGTGAGAAACTGTATTGATTGTGAAATTGTAAATTTTTATAACTCACCCACGTGTGATTGCGAGGCTGCCAGTCCATATTAAGAGGGCCTATTTCTGCAAAATTTGCTATTCCACTGGCAGCTAAACCAGGCCCACCTTGAATCCATATTATAAGTGGTTTTCGTTCAGCCCCATCTCTAGTACCATCAGCATAATAAAACCAGTAGAAAATATAAGCTCCAGGGCGAACCATTACATAACCCTGCATACTCTGCCACGGTCGCATGTTTAACGCACGAGTGTATGGATTTACATCTATAATTTAAAAAATATAAAAAAGTTAAAATCAATAAAATGTACGAGTTGTTGTTTCTCAAAATTCATTGAATTTTTTTTATGTTCCTAATTTTTTTTTAACTAAAGATAATGGAATGATGATGCCTACGCTATTAATATATGCTTACAAAACATTACTGAGAAAAGATGATAGATGAGAATAAATGTAGACCAGTTGGCTCACTGCAGCATTGAGATATATTCTTCTTCAAGCTTCAAGAATTAACCACAATGGTTACCAAGAGAAACCGCTTCAACCTAATTCAACCTAAACCGAAAGTCAACCTAATCTGATATATTGCTAAAAATTGAGCCGCCATTCTCCGTTACTAATAATTCTTTTCCTCCAATAATACCTAAGTCCATATTTTTCAATTTCCATGGATATGATAAAGTAGTGAAATTACAGGAAACGGAGGCACAATACCTTAATCGTTAGATTTAATAACGCAGGGTATGCTGGGCATTACAGTGTACTGTTCATCATCTGTACATCAGACGCACCGTCAGATTATTTGATATTTCAAAATGCAAAAGTCACTATGGTTTATTCATACAAGCTATGGTTACCTGATAAATTATAAGTACCTAACTGCCTATACTAATAAAGCTTTATGAATTCGAATGTAGGCACTTAAGAACTAGGTATCTGTTTAGTTGAAATTATTAAACTTTCATGTTGGTTCTTGTTCCATAATTACGAGTGTATTCTATACGCACCTATTTTATCTATTATTAAAAATACTTCAGTAAAAGTTTTATTCCCATATAATCGAAATTCTGTAATATATGCTATACTTACTTGGCAATTTCATTTACCTACATTATGATTCCTACTTAAACGGTGACCTATATATTTATTGTTCGTTAAATACTTTGGAAAAAGTGAATAAATTTTATGCGAGATATGCGAATAGAGAAAATTATATCCACATATTCAACAGTAGTTATTTACCTACCCTTGCCTAATTTTTATTCTTTGATAGGTATAGGAAAATTTACATATATTGCTTAACCATTTTGTTTGCCATATGACACCTGACATCAATTTTCAATTAATTATCTAACTGCTACTATAAACTTTTTTAAATAAATAAGTTCACCTAATAAGTATAAGAAATAATAAAAATTGGAAGTAAACAAAAATCGTTTTGTTTTAATTTTTTTTACTATCGTTACATCCACAGATAAGTTCTAACATGTTGTACAAAATTAATCTTTAGTAGTACGTTTAACCTGATAGGTATAGAGCGTACATAGACGTAGTACATATCATACATATGTATATACTTATAATCTAAGAGTACATACCCGTGGGATATTTTAAAACCAAATACATGGGTCAAGTCGCTGTAATAGTGAGAATTATTAGCACTAACTGGCAAATGAACATATAGCCCATCTGATATTAAACGGTTACCATAACCTATGGATGCTTGTAACATCAAAGGTACGTGTGGCCAACTTTAGAGAAATTTTAAAGAAGTCCGTCTCTAGTAATTCATCTCCATCTGACTTTGCTAATTTAATTCAAGGAACTGTTTTTACTGAGAGTAAAGAATTGTTAGTAATAATTATACTAGTCCCAATATATTATTTTGTTAATATGTTAGGAATATACACTATCAGATCGACCACCTACGGTCCTCTCTAGAAACCATCGTGGTTCATTTGTAGTGAATATACGAATACATACCACGACACTTGCTACATTTTCCTAACTTAACTCTCATGCTTTCATACTCTACTGATGTTCCACCATTTTATACATTGGATGCTCCATTTCACCATTATTCATTAAAAAAAGGACTGTTTTTACTGTTTTCAATCGTAAATTTAATTCTTTTATATACAACTATAGATAATAATTAAAAATAAATAATAATATAATTAGTATCTACACGTGCTAAAATTGCTAAATGATAAATTATTTCTGTCGCTCCCTATCTTGATAGTTTTATATATTTAAACAGAGTTTGTAGATATTAAATTCTACTGATAAGCTGTCTATGTTTTGTAGAATATGTATGTACAAATCGTTAACCTCATAGGTAAGTAGAACATTTACAAATTGTTAACCAAGTAACGTTATTCGGTCAATCTCAAACGAATTCATTACTTTTCTAAGTATTTCAAAAGGTTTTGTTTACGTACTAAGTCGGTTTGCAAACTCGAATATCTACTGATTTGCTGCACAATGCACATATATTAGTATTCCAATTTTGATTTTATTCTACACTAGCGACCCGTCTCGGCATTGCATGCTATATATTATTAAATACAATACAACCTATGTTGCTCGCTAATAATATAACTTTCTATATGAAAATTTTTATTTTTATTTTTTTGAGCTTATTACAAACAAAATAATCTAATCTCTTCTCTTTATTGTAAATATTAATATTCTGTATGACTACGTACCTATTTAGTCTTATTCAGAAAACGTGGTTTACTATGTTTTATTAATAAAACAAAATAGTAAATAGCAAATAAGTGAAAACCTTTCTTATCCTAGGCTCATACTTATTTAAAAAGATATAGAACTTTTAATTAATAAGTAACATGATTTTCTATTTAAATACATACGAGTATTTTATTTAAATTATGAAATAAAAGTAATCCTAAAAAACACATGATCCAATATAACAACTACACTTAGCTACTGGTAATAAAAAATATATACTTAATACCTGCATATACTACTGCAGCCATCACTATAAATGAAGTACAAATAATTATGTCCATTTTAATTTGGCACTACTAACACTGATACAACAACCACTTACTAAGTTCACAGGCACGCTTTTGAATCGCTCCAAAACATTTGTATGTGCGACTTTCCGAGCTCAGTACATACGCGGTGATATCACCATGCTTGATAGTAATGAATTAATGAGGTAAATGGGCAAAAAAATTAAACAGCACGTGGCTCATCCAGACTCCCTTAAGTGGCGTCTGTCACGCGCTCCCCATTAGGAAACGTATAGTTGACTATTGTTGTCCGCCTACTTAGATATCCAACCCGGTAATGGACAATTGCAAATCCTTGCATTAATTGGATTATGTAATATTGCTTAGTAAATATCCTTTCAACGTAAGAGTCTCTCTCGGAATGGCGAATTAAACTCTGCGTACGAAAGGTTAAGACTTGATATTTCTGTGAAGGTTACTCATTAAACCTGTGTCGATTTAACTGCTCGATGCCATGAAAGCTTTAGAAAGATCGACTTCAAAGGTTCTGGTGCTATAAACTTGTATGTTATAATGTCAGTTTATTTAAAAAAATAAATGTACAAATGATCTTAATACACTGTTGTCATTATTCACTTCTCTATGTCTTGGTCGTCTAGTCGATTGCGAAAAATAGTGTGGTGAAGTCACTAAAGATCTTGGTGTCGTTATTTTTAAATCTGAACCAACAGTGGGTCTTGCTGGAGAGGCGGGAAAAATATTCGAAACAATTCCACCCACAATACCCGGCCAATAATTCACCTGAGTATCAGAGTACTCATGTACAGGTTTGACATTATCTGAAAAAAAAAATTATTTTAAAATACTTAGGTACATTATCTTACAATATACACTAGCGGAAAAAATGAAGGGATAAAACAACCTAAATTTTTAGCGAGATTTCAAATAGCTGTGTCTTTGACAAAAATCGTCGTATTGGAGTAAAAATAAAAGCAGTTTGAAGCTTAAACTTTTAAATTTTTGGATCTTGCAAAAAAATTTTTTTAAGTAACAAATATCGTGCAATCTTATTGAATATCATGAAAAAAATTGTTTCGAAATTATATCGATTTTATTTTCGGTGTAAGGACTTGAAAAACAAGTTACATTCGATTGATTTTTTTTTTTTAATTAAATGATCACGTTTTTTGCCTTTAAATATTCATAATCTGTAAAAAAAAATTAAAAATTTTTTCCTAATTTTTTTACATTCTTTTAGATTATTGCAAAAAGCGTTTGAACTTATTGAAAAAACAAATTTTGAAAAATGTTTGGATAAAAATTGTTTTTGAACCGATTTTCAGAAATTTTGCAAAACAGCCTGCATTAGCCTTACTCAAAACGTACCATGGGAATAGATTGTTATGAATTAATACAGGAAGCCCAAATTTTATATCGCATTTGAATTTTTAAACTTTACCAGTAGTTGTCATACTTGGCAGGTGGGTTGATAATCGCAGTTAGGCTTTGGTGATATTTTCGGAAAGACGTTATGTTATGTATCTCGTGATGTATAGAAAATGCTGCTTTCCAGCAAATCTGATATTCCTAGTACAATTTAATAAAAAAAATACTTGATTAAAACTTACCAGATGGGTTTAAATGTTGAGGTGGCCTATAAACGTTATTACCAAAGTGGCCTCCAGACCAATATGGTGGTCTGGTTGGAGGGTAGGAATTCTGAGGACGATGATTCTGTGGTCGATATGTCGTGTATGGCGGCTGTGTAACTCTAGTTGACTTTGTTGGAGGTCCTTGCTGTTGTGGTATATTATTAAATAGCCCAAAGAAATATCGATTCTCGTTCCGACCATTTCTCCTTTGTGATTGTGACGTTACTGTAAATAAAAACAACTCATAAAAAATGCTAAATTGGCAACTTTGTAATGAGATCTGGCTTACTATAAATTGTGTCATAGATACCTATTATTTCTTTTATGTAGCTTAGAACGGCAAACAAGCTAACAGCTCACATTATAGAAAGTGATACTCATCGCCTATAGACATAAACAGTATTATATATTCATCATAGAAAACTCTGTGAGGATCATGATGCTCTTCATGCATTGCCATTCACAATGAATACGCCGCTGAACAAAAACATAAGAACATTGAACAGAGATACCAATCAGACGACTTTTGTAGTATAATAGAGAAACATACCAGAAAGGTAAGTTTCTCTATTATTATTTCAAATTGTTAATAATGCAGATCTCGAGGGATATATTTAAATTCAAACTCAGGAATCGAAAATAGTATTTGATTTGGGATGACATTGCAAATCAGAATTAATAAAATTTACAATTTTTATATATCTAAATGTTTTCAGATATATAAATAGCTAGATTATTAGATTCTATGTGAACTACTACTTATTAGACAAGAATTAAGTGGTGCAAATAATAATTATATTAAGTAGTTTATAAGCTATTATATCACTACGAGGCATATTCACGTTGTGTGGTCCTGGCATAAAATAGGCCACCACTTCATTTCCCGTGGGTTTCGTAAAAGGTACCTAAGGAAGGGCCAAGGATGGGCAGCAGCGTCCCTTTTAAAACATCTCCAAAGCCTAACAGTAGCCAATCTGTCTGCCAAGCATGGCAAATACTGGCAAAATCCCCAAAGGGGAAGCTTATGTTCAGCAGTAGAGAATTAAAAGCTGATATTATTATATGATATATGAGGCATATTCATAACTCACATGAACCAATATCTGTTTCATCATAATCTTCGATTTCACCGCAATCATCATCATCTTGCGGACTCTCTTGTAAATTATTCTGCGAACCATTCTGTAATACATCAGGAGTGAACAACTCCACAAACGCTCCTCCAAAGGTTCGTGCTCTGTTGTTTCCAAGACTTGGAACGCGACGATGTGGAGCTATTTTATTCGTTGGACAGCGAGCAGGATTTACTGGAGCTGTATACAACGGCATTGCCAATAGCAAAACCTGAGGATAATACCAATTATAGGATGACTCATTTCGTACTGATAAAATTAGTACGTAGAGTAAGAAGTTACTGCTTCTACAGTCTAAAGAACTCTCTTCTTACACCATTTTTTATATAGTTTTATATTACTTAGAATGGCAAACAAGCTGATGGCTTACCTGATGGAAAGTCGTAAACGTCGCCTATAGACATAAGCAGTACCATGGAAGATAAATAAAATATCGTTTAATACACTTACAAACATATAGATGTTCATTGGTTTTGCATAATTGACTTACGGGGATCCATTCACGATCAATTAATTTGATAACTTTTTTCAAAAACACGAAATTGGTTCGGGTTTGAATATTTTGTTAGAATCTAATTAGAATACAATACTATAAAATTACAACTTCATCAAAACTAATAGGTAATTAGTACTTACTAACCATCATAATTTTAAACAAACTATATTTTGACACTTCTTCCATTGTACGGATGAAATAAAATTTTATTAATTATTAAATATTAATAAATAATTATATCCAAACAAAGAACACCTGTGTCTTATGCAGTCCAAGTTACATCTGATGCTCCTTGCCGAATATTACAAGAATACGGATCTCCCACGCCCAATACTTGGGCAATGACCGACCCATACCTAAACAAGTAGGTAACTGTCCAATATGGTAAACAGTAACGCAATTGATACTAGGTATACCACCGGTCTTAAAAACCACAAATGAAACATTAATATCTTAATACATTACCTCCATTAATTTTTAATGAATTATTAATAACTATTACAAAGTCACCTAAATGAGAAAAAGTTGTTCTGAATTTTCTTTGTCATTCAGATAATTTCTAAATAGCAAAGTTTGAGAAACTTCTTACATCAAGTCTGAAAAAATACGAGTATATTTAGCGATTTAATTTTTTTTTTTATACAACTTAGAATAGCAAACAAGCTGACGGCCCACCTGATGAAAAATGGTAACCGTCGCCTATAGACATGAGCAGTACCATGGACATAACAGAGTATTCTGTTTCGCCCATGATACCCCCATGCGTTGCCATTTCTGAGGACTCAGGTGTTATTCCTCTGTACCCAGTAAATTCACGCCATATCCCACCCTTCAAACCGAAACACAGTCATGCAAACACAACTGCTTCACGGTTGAAACACGAATGGGACAGAGGTACCCAAGCAATCGACTTTTGTACAAAGTCTCCCTCTGGTAATCATGTAGCATACAAACAAAAGTCGAGAAACTTCTTTTAATGAAATTTGCTTAAAAACTAATTAAACTCATTAAACTATATACGTATTTTAATGTGTACAAAAGTAGGTATTAATGCAGGGATGCATTTACCTTTGTATTTTCCACTTATATTTTCCACTTATTTCGTATATATTAATATACGAAACAATGAAAGTCACTTTACTAACAACTACTACGTATTATTTGTATCTGTCAGAGAAAATGACAACTATGATACTCCATGTGTCTTCTTTCTCACCAGAGAAACACAGCAGAGGTTATCATTTCACTAAACGACTACGTCCATCCAACGAGCAACTGCAAACAAAGACGACAAGAAGATAATGCTATTAAAGATTGAAGTAATACGCCTTAAGTAGGCCTATGGTAATTTTCAGATAACCAAAATTGTAGATAATATAAACCTTGTAATGATTACATTTTTTATGCCTTTCCCCACTATCTACCTATATAAATTTCCATTAAAAAACATATTTGAATATTTGAACGCAGACGTACCACGCCCTAGTTTAATACATTATACCACGTTATTCAAATTTATATTTTTTTATTACTGAAAGAGTTGCTTTTTATTTTAATACTAGCTTTTACCTGCGACTTCGTCCATTTTACTGAGATATGTTTACTAACCGCGAGAAAAAGTAGCATATAACCGTCTCCAGGGTTCTATCTATCTTTATACCAAAATTCATCATAATCAATCAAACAAACAAAGTCACTTTTGCATTTATATATTTAGTTAGGGATTCTTAAATATTCTATTTAAGTACTTATTCTTTTTATGAGTAAAAATATATAGTAAAACCCACTTACACTATCGATGCGGAACACCAATAAAAGATCATACTTATAGATGAGAATGAAAGCAGGTCAGTAAGTCGGTTGTGACGATTTTAACAAGAATTAACAATATTAGTTTCTAGCGGAGATCAACCTGATAAAGTACATTACTAGCAATGGGACTATAACACCTCATCACTAACAATCCCTTTCCCTACCTACTTCCTACATTGGTATTTCAAATTAATTGTTGATTTAAATACACTCTCGGGACTTAAAACGATGAAAAATCTTTGCAGGTAAATAGTAACTACATAGCTGCTTCTTTATTGGCGACGTTTCGAGTGGATTGCATCACGTCGAAACAGAACTGTCCTGTGGTCCTGTCGTGACAATGCAGTATATAGGTACTACTTACCTGCAAAACATTTTCATGGCGTTAAAACCCAATATTGTTTTTAAAATATATGTAAACAACGCAAAAGTTTAAGATTTACGTATTGTTTTCTTTTAAAATAAATACGACGATTGTATTGTACCTGTCTAACATATTCGTAAAGCTGTATTTAAATTAAATTTAAAAACTGGCAGCATAATCTGTCTTCATAGACTATTGGCAAAGTAATCCACTGACTGATACGGTTTCGCTACCGCGTACATGAGATAAAATTATACAGAAATGACCAACCTCTTATTCTTATTCATACGTGTGCTAACGAACACGTATCTATCGATAGATTAGTCATATGTTAAGGGTCACCTCCTAACACGATCGGCTACACCTAGATAGATAAACCTACTTAATACTTTCTTATGTTTGTCATATATTCTGATGTCACAATCATAAAATCTTACTTATTAGTTCCTAATTAGTAAAGTTGGTTACGTAATAATATTTCCTTTTACAATGCATATATCGCCAATAATTGAGCAACATTGGCCGTAAGTTCCCATTTACGAATTTGCCATTTATTCGAAATAATGATAAATAACGACGCCATATTTTTGGAAATTCGTTTCAAATTGGGTATAGACAAATATCTAGTTAGACGTAAATAAATATTTCAAGGCCAATAGATCACATTGTGACTAATGGAGTCAAATAAATAGGTAATAACCGTGAATTTCTGTAAAGGCAATGTAAATTTAATTAGGTTTTCTCATACAATTATTCTAATAACTATGGTTGTTAAGTACTTGCTATAAAAGTATTAGTATTTGTAATATGATATGAGACGAATAAACATCTACGAAGTAGTACATGAATCGATTAAGCGGTTTCGGAAATTACTGTGAACGAACATTGTAAAATGGGATTTTTAATTATTTTGTTAAATTACATACTTATTTAGGTATAGGCCACCTAGTGTTATACTTAATTACTTTACATTTCCATGGTTTTTTCCTAGTAAGAGTATCGTCTTATTCTTGTTAAGTCTATCTTGTTTTCTATTTGCATTTTAAAAATTCAATCAAATTCATATTTACCATATATATTTATTCATTGAACTTTAATATCTGCACCTAGACTGTAAAATGCGGACTTAGCATTATATAACGTAATTTATTAGTTAAACATTCATATAATGTAACGTAATGAGTAAATATATAGAAAAATGAGGTATCCACACATAATCTACTTGGATATTAATATAATAAGGTGGAGAGTTTATCTGAGTCTATCAGTCGGGTTTAAAAATTCCTATATTTAACAGCTCATTTCTTGAAGAAGGTATTCAACATCATTTCCGTAAAATCCTTTCCGAGCTTATATTATATACCCTAAAATTAACCTAGGTAAGGTTTTTATTTTTTTACACATAAACGTTGTATAAATAATAATTTATTATAAAATTTAAGAAGACCGCAATTATTATATTACTAGGAAAAAGGGATTGTTAATAATAAGATGTAACATTACTAGCAATATAGGATATGCTAAATTTTATCAGATTGACCTCCACATAATTCCCCTTGGAAACATTGAATTCATCATGACTAACCAACTGACCTACTTTCATCCTTATCTATCATCCCTTACTGGTGTCCCGCTAATGTGTTCCGATGGCGACAACGAGGTTCATTCCATTTTCATCCATTAAAACTATCCTTATATATATATATTTTTTTTAATTATTTATTTAAACTTTAATGCACAGTAAAACTCTATATTGGCGGACTTAACACCGGACGGTGTTCTCTACCAGTCAACCATTGGACAAACCGAGAAATACGTAGGTGATGCATTATTGAATAGAGGAAAAATAAAGCAATACTTGATATATTCATATAATATAAACATACACCTAATATATTAAATAAATAAATATATACATGCAATAAATACATACATACATAAATAAGTACATAAAATATTACTATATAAAACAATTAGATAAGACAACTGTAAAAACGAGCAAATAGCAATCTATGACACAAACAGAGTAACCAGCAAGAGAAGTTTAAAGGGAAAGTAATTTTTCTAATAAATAGGTGCGCAATTTATGTTTAAAAGCTAGCTTGTTTAGGATGGATCTTATGTCATGCGGGAGTGTGTTCCAGTGTTTAAAAGCTTGAACAGTGAAGGAATAAGAAATGAAGCCAGTACGATGAGCAGCCATGTGAAGAAGAAGATTCCTGCATGGACGAAGACAACGATTGGTAATGTCCCCATGAAATCGAAATTTACACTTTAGGTAGTCGGGAGAATTTGGATCGAATAAAATGGAATTCAGAGTGCACAATAAGCGTAAAGTTCTACGCAGTCGGATAGGGAGCCACTTAAGCTGAGCGCGGTAAGTACAGATGTGGTCATACTTACGAAGTTTAAAAATGAAACGTATGCTATTGTTGGGAAGACGATCCAACTTATTTAAGAGGTCTTCGTTCATGTCTGTGATGCAGGCATCACCGTAATCAAATATGAGGAGAATAAGAGACTGTAACAGCAATATTTTAGTGCTAATAGGGAGAAAATATTTAAATCGGTAAAGACTTCATAGCGTGAACGTAATTTTATTGCTAATTTCGTTGACTTGGTTCGACCAACAGAGACTACTATCAATTGTTAAACTGAGATTTTTAACTTTGGAACAGAAAGGAATCGGGTTATTGTTGTAAATGACAAGAGGAATAATATTAAGGTTAATTTTTTCAAGTAGACGAGAACTACCTAGAACCATGGCCTGACATTTGGCAGGGTTAACGAAAATACTGAAATCGCTCTCCCAGGTGAAAATATGGTGAAGACCGTCACCGACCGACCGTATCGTACCGATCGACCGTAAACTGATCAAAAACATCGGCGATTTGATCAACTTCGGCTTGCGAGTATAGTCGTAAGTCATCCGCAAGTGGCAAGAGCATTTGAGGTCTTTAGTTATGAATTTGATAAAAACTGAAAAGAGTAATGGAGATAAAATACCGCCTTGAGGAACGCCAGATTATCATACCAGTCAGAAAAAGAACGACCGACACGAACAGCTTGCTGACGTATATTATTTCGTAGCGACAGGGGAAAAGATTGTTAGTAATGGAGTCTAGCAGCTCCCATTGCTAGTAAACTAGAAACCATCGTGGTTAATTCATGAGTTAGTCATGTTAGACTAACTGGCCTGCAGTCATTCTCACCTATCATCTTTCACTGGTGCACCGCCAGTGTATATCGATAGCACAAGCGGGTCTTCCATTACATTATCACCCAAAAAAAAAACTGTCGTAGGACTCTACAATAATGGAAAAGAAGGGGAAAGGGATTGTTTGTAATGAGATTTAACAGCTGCATTGCTAGCAATACACCCTATCAAGTCGACCTCCACGCGATTCCTCTTAGAAACTATAGTGGTTAATTCTTATTCAATTGATCACTATGGGCCAACTGACCTGCCTTCATCCTCACCTGTCACCTTTCACTGGTACCCCACCAGCGTATACCGACAGCACAGACGGAGTTACCATTCCATCTTCACCCATTAAAAAATTTAAGAGAAATGGCTTGATAATAAAAATGATTGATATTGTAGTTCTCTTTATCTCGTCTTTATCGGTAGAAAAACATAAAATCTATATATAACAGAATTGTAAAACATAAGAACAATAGAAAATCAGTATAAAAATATTAAAGACGGATTATGATGGCCAGGAATATAAAAGAAGTATTATGATGGCTAGTAATAAGCCACAAAAATAATAATAAGAGAGACACTTATTACGAAAAAATAATTATACCAAAATTGTCAGTATCACTGTCAATTTCAAATCAGTCAACGGACAGGCAATCAGTTCAGTTTTCCATAGTTGTCATTATATTGTCATTCATTGTGTCAATCTATTATTCGTCCGATATTTTATTGATTAATACTTGTGTACTTACGGTATTATTTTATAATAATTCATTTAATTAATTAAATGTGATAAAATGGCAAAACGACAAGGTAGAGTATATTTAGGATACGAAGAAGAAGTAATCGGTGAAAAAAATCAAACAATTCTTAATTACACAGTTAACAAAATCGGCGGATTACCCGTAAGTGTTTTGTTAGCTAATTCTATATATTATTAAGTAAAAACTTGATACTATATCTATATCTACTCTTGTAAATTAACGTATTTTTCCCAGGATTGGCCTCCGTTGTCTAACTTGCAGTTTTCTTCCAAGTGCCCTTTGTGTGGATTACACAGATTATTGATCGTTCAATGCTATGCTCCACTAGAAAATTCCGTTTATCACCGAACAATTTATGTCTTTGCCTGTATTAGCCCCAACTGTTGGATTCAATCTGAAAGGTATTTTTTAAATTATAATTACAAATAGTTAATTGTACACTATTCATAGAAAAAAAAAAGAGTTTATTTAATCATCAGTGTTTTGTCAATGTTAACTATTAAAAAAATGACAAGTTGGTAATTTATTACATATATTGTATTTAAATATAAAAATTATATTGGACCAAAGTTATATTAACATTCAAAAAATATTAAAATTCATAGATCAATTTCAGAAAATTATAACAAGACTTGTAACTAGTTTATTTACTATTAATATAGACATTATTATAGGTGCAAAATAAGAAGTTATGTTTTATATTGAAAAATATCTTCTGTTATATATACGAGGTCTGTCCGGAAAGTTCGTATAAAAGTGTTCTGGAATGCGAGAAAGAGGAGTGGGGAGGCCAGGTAAGCGCAGGACCCCTTCCTTATGTCCCTAACAATGCTTCAGTTCTGGTCTGACCGCCGTGCGGTGCGAACTGGCTTGTCACGCCATCTGTGAAGTTACCTCTTAACGAAACCCCGTCGGCATGGAGCCCGCTTCCGTTGAAGAGCAGCGCGTCGTAATCAAGTTTCTCTCGAAACTCGGCAAGAATGGCCGTGAAATTTTTGCCGATCTAATTCGATAAGACATCCGGGGAACCACGAACAAAAAAATCAAGAAAATCCCGCTCAAATGTCAAGACAATGTTGATTGTTTTTTTCGATGTTCGGGGGATTGTCCATCAAGAATTTGTCCCTCCAGGCCAGACAGTTGATGGAAAATTCTACGTCGATGTGCTCAGACGCCTCAAAGCTCGTGTGGCACGAGTTCGTCCAGAATTGGCGCGAGAGGGGCGTTGGATTCTTCACCACGACAATGCCCCTGCCCACACCTCTCTTGTTGTCCGTGAGTTTTTGAGTAAAAATTCCATTACGGTGACCGAACACCCCCCTATTCGCCGGATTTGGCCCCGTGTGACTTCTTCTTGTTCCCAAAAACCAAATTGGTACTTCGGGGGCGGCATTTGGGGGACATAAATGAGATAAAAAAAGCTACGACGGGGCAGCTGAGAAACCTACAACCAGAGAACTTTCAAGGAGCCTTCTCACAGTGGAAACGGCGTTGGCACAAGTGCATTATGTCACAGGGGGAGTACTTTGAAGGGGATAAAATTGATTTACCTGAATAATTGTAAAATAAAATTTTTAAAAAACTTTTATACGTACTTTCCGGACAAACCTCGTAAAAAGGTAACAACATAAATTACAAATTGTGTTAACTGATTAAAATAATGTTTATTTGACAGCTGGTTATGTGTTCGAAGTCAGATTCAAGAAAGCTTACCAACAGAATCAAGTACAACTGTTGTTATGCCAATTGTTGATACTAATCTTTCATGGTGTAATGGTGCCGATGAGTGGGATGAAAATGACAATGGAGATACAGCTAATGGCAATGTTATGAATGTTGATAATGCACCAAGTCCAAACAATACATTGCAAAGGTAAAATTATACTTATTCTATACATCTATGTCTGGTCTTTTATGTGACAGACAGAAAGAAATAGTGAACACTGAACTCTATCCTTACATCTTTGATCCAACCAATTTTATAATATGTCTCATGTAAACTAGTTCTGGAAACATATTTTAGTGTATGATCTACATTTTCCTCATTGATATTGTGAAAGTTTGTCTATTATTACTTGGCATCTTAACAGCTTGTCCAATAATGATTAAATCTGCCATACATAGTGGGCATAGAGAAAGACAAAGGCAAATTTTTATCCCAATAGAACAGAGCATTGAGATGTCAAATGGGTCATAATTGGTTCACAGGTTTCCATCTATCGCAAAATATTTCTTTTAAAATGTAGAACTATTGATTATTTTTTCTTAATAATAATAAATACAATTAGTGGACTTGTGTATTTAATAAAAATTCTAAATACTTATCATCATATAACTTATATTTAATTAATAAATACATATTTTACTAAATCTAAAAACATATTTCAGACATTCAGATGAAGATGAAGAAAGCAATTCATTTGAATTAGAATCTGTGGAGCAAGCTCTTGGTAACTTACAGATGTTTGATGCACACAATGCTAACATGTCACCTGTTCAAGGTACATATTTTTATAATCAAACTTTACAAAGTTTTACTTTTAGTTGAATAATATTTGCTACTCAATCATGCACAAACAACTAAAAGAATTTAAATTAAAATTTGAGTCCTACTATTAATTTTGAAGAATTACATTATAATTAAAGATTGTGTCCCACAAAAAAAAATACTTTAATTATAACAACCAATTATTTTGATTTAAAAACTAATGAACCATTTTAGATAAACATTCAATGGGACCAATCTTTAACCCTACAATGCATTCTGTACCATATCTGGTCAAATAAAATAATTAAGTCTACTGTTCGTTTAAAGACACCTAGCGTCATTTGTCGACCGACAGAATAATCTTTATACATTTAGCAACGGTTTAGTAACGGCAATTGTCACCAGTACGTGTTAGCTATCGATTGATATTGTATTTCGTACACAATTTCAAAGATCGACGCGAACTCGTGGTTTACGTAAATAGAAAATTCTTAAAAAAATAGCTTTTTGAATATTTGGAAGCGGAAAAAATACATTTACATTGGAAATAGTGTATATTAAATGAAGGTAAGTTATTTTTTGGAATATTACTGTTTTATGTTCTAACATATCAACTTATTTAAGAGTACCAGATATGGCACATCATGCATTAGTTCACTTCTAACATTTTGTTTCGGTTGGATTTTATTACAGATTATGGTGAAGAAGGTATTATCTAACGAGTTGATTGAGCAGTATTTAGGTATACCGTCAGGGAATGCAGACGGCCAAGGCTTTTTGGGTGTGGAAAATGATGATAACATGGCGAGAATCAGAGAAAACTTGCACCAAATGAATAAAGATAGTGACTCTTAAAATTATATTGAGCCTACCAGGTATGCATCATTTTCTTCTACTAATTGTGGTACTACCTTCACTGAAAATGAGAATGAAAAATCAACAAATTCTCAAGCTAGCATTTCAGGGCCAAGTACGTCATGACACCAAAGTAGAAGTTTTTTCACTATGCCAGTTTTGGAGTTCTTTCTTGGAAAGTATAAAATAAAAATACATACTAAAAGATGGTATCTGCGTTTATTTTAACATTTTCTAGATATTGTCACCATAAATTGCTGGCTGCTGCACAAAAGGGTAAGAGAATAGAAGAATGACCTAACTCAGATTAAATTAGAACATTTTAAACTGGAAATCGCTAAAAGACTTTGTATGAGTGGTCCATCGTTACAAAGAAAAAGAGTAAGATCGCCTTCTACCACAGATGACATGATCGAGAAGAAGAAAAAAAGAGTAATCCTTCCCCCTCGAGATGTAAGATTTGATAAATTTGATCATCTTCCTATATGGAATGAGAAGAGACAATGCTATAAGTATCCACAATGTAAAGGAAATACATATATATTTTGCGAAAAGTGTTGTGTTAAGTTGTGTTTAAACAAAGACAATAATTATTTTAATAAATTTCATTCATAAATAAAGCTATTCTTAATGTAAAACTAAATATATGATTATCTTCATTGTTCCTAATTAAAATCCAAATATTAGTGTTAATGCATACAGTACCACATATGGAACAGAATTGAAAAACTAAATATCTACAAAATCAATGAATTTTAATTGTTATTATTATCATTTACTATGTCTAGACACTATATAGAACCACATATATTTTTTTGACACGATTTAAAAAAATCATGCATTGTAGGGTTAAGTATGTCTTTACAGATAAAAAAAAAGAATTTTCCAAATTAGTTTAAAACTGAAGAAATTAAGAGGTAACAAACAAAAGTAATTACAACTGAATTGAGAACTCCTTCTTTTTTTAAGTCAGTTGAAACTACTTTTATGCTATTTAAACAAAGCTATGCAATACTCAGTAATTTTAAGTTAGTAGCAATAGCAATATTTTTATGTAAGACCTGAAATGAAGCTTAAATTATTGTATTTTAATCAATGAATATTTCAGGAGCTGTGGGAGCAATTGGTGCCCCTGTAGCAGCAGCTGAACTTGAAGGAGGAGATGAGCCAGGGCTGGTTACAGTAGATACCCCTACAGCACCTACAAATGATGTTGAAGCACTTTTACATCAAGTAAGACCTTTACAAATATAATATCTTACAGAGAAATCACATTAACATTTTTAAATATTTCTTTCTTTTATATATATGAATTTATATATATATATATATATATATATATATATATATATATATATATATATTCACTGTGCACTATAACTTTTACTATTTTAGTTTTTATGAATATTCTTACCCCCATTCATAAAAATTAATACCTTCTACAAACTTCTTTCAAATTCAAAATTTAACATAAAACAAAGAGCCAATAAAGTTTAATAGCTTAAATAGGTTTATAAAAAATTTGATGTTTTTATAAATAAAAGGGTTAATATATTATACTGATGCTATTTCAGACGGCGGAACTTCCAACTGACTTGAGAAGCAAACTCGTATGTGGGCCATTACAATTTGTGCCTAAATATATTTTTGTAGAAGAAGAATGGAACAAGATGTCAAGTATTGATGACAAAGTGAATGAATTACTAAATAAGTACAGGAGAGAAAATGGTGAGAAACAGCAAATTTTTAAAAAAGTTAATAATTCATTTTCATATACTTATAGAGTGTGATATTTCATTTGTATAATCTCTGACACAAAAACTATAACACCATAGCTCTCCTATGTCATGATAAATTTGCTCAAAGCTCCAAAAAGGCCATAATACTTTAAATGGTTAAAGTATTATGTCTGTCTAAATCTGCAGTATTTAGAAAGGAAAATAAACTACCTGTCAAGGGGCCTCGCGCAACTGTTACATATAAGCTTTTGAACTACTCTGTAATTTCGTTTTAATGCTCTAAAACTAAAACGCACATCGAAATACCTGATGTTCTTGCAAGTTCTTGTTCTTTAAGGACTAGCAACGAATTGGTGACTCCCCTGGTTAGTATCCATAGGCTGCATAGATCACTTACCATCTGGTGTACTGCATTCTTGTTTGTTTACAATTTCCTTTCACATGAAAAAAGTTTACTAGTGTTTTGTCTTTGTAGATATACTTTGTGATTCAACACATATACTTGTTTTTAAATTAACACTTACAGTATAAAGTGAATTCGCTTTGAACATCATAACTGGACTTTGCAAATAACGCTGTATATGGGATACCATGGACAATATAGCGAATATCAGAGTCATGTAAACAAGAGCTATATATTAGATAATAATAACAGTATTTTTATATAGAAATAGAACCATGCGGTGGCGATCGCGTGGGTGGCGGCGGTGGTGGTTCTGAAGATGAACCATATGAAGAAGCAACTCCACTACACGGCGATAAATTATTCCATTCTTTTTTAACACGCTTACAATCTAATCCTGGACAAATACTGAGGTAGGTGGACTATGACCATGAGGCATCTTGACAAATACTAAATAAAGAAATAAGTATAACACTTATTTGATAATAATAGCCCTAGACTCTTAAACTAAACAAATCTTATCATCTATAGATGATAGGTGATGATGATAAATAATATATATACAATAAACAGAAATACTCATTAATTGTATTATTATATTGATATGGAGTGAAAATGTTGAAAGCTAGACAAAGCTATTCTTACTACCAAGATTGTTATGTCTAATATTGCTATAAATTGTATATCTTTTTTTTTTTTATTAAATTACAGATACACTCGAGATGAACCTCCTTTATTGGGTGCCCCGTTGCCAAGTACAGCAAGCACTCCAGAGTCACCATGTATACCTACTGCCTGTCTCCGCTGCGGTTCCAGACTTATTTGCGAACTTCAACTTGTCCCAGAATTTGCAGAAACCTTACGTTTGCATCCAAATAATATTTATTTATCTCATTTACATTTCTTATCGGTCCTCATTTTTACATGCTCTCAAAGCTGCTGGCACCAGTCTGATACTCTTGTAAAGGAAACTGTTGTATTCCAACCAGAAGTTGTATGAACTTACAAATAATTAATCTGAGCAATAATAATTTAGTATTGCAATAAATTTACTAATTATTGACATATTATGTATTTGTTGAAATAAGAGCCATACTACAAATATTTAGCCCAAAACAGCAATAATACTAAATTAAACATGGTTTATATAAAATGAACCATAATAGTAACATTACAGTGCTGGATCTCCCCCATATAGCATACTAATTGTGACAGAATAAAAATATATCTCACCCATCCTGATCCCTAGGATATCGTAAAAGGCAATTAAGAAAATAAAATACAATTCAACAATATTAAATCACTTACCTTGGTATTAATAATTAGTTAAAATCCTTTATCAGAGTGTTAGGAGTAATAACTACCATGCTGTAGTCCCCATATTTTTAATTCTACAAATTTTAAGCATCAAAATTTTACTAGGTACTATAAAAATGTTACCATCATACACAAACATGTACATATTTGTTATCCCTGATTTTTGACTTGCTTGATGCATAGTTGTTCACTATTTAATTATTTTCATGTTTTGTCTGTAATTTTGATGGTTTTTAATATAGCTGTTCTTTATTTACGTTAGACGTAAATTATATAAATATTATTGTTAAAAGTTTCGTAAGTGCACGTATTTTTTAAATATTCGCTTATTCTTCATTTAATTACAGAATTAAATATAATACCGATCCAATAAATATCAATATTTTTACAATATGAAATATAAAATTACATAATTTGGTGACCATATTATAATTATTTAATAATTATAACTTAAAATAACAGCAATTGTTTCGTTTCAATAATGTAAGTGTGTGATTGCCATCCATTTTGTGGTATTTAACTCATTCTCCATACTGCCTAGTTGTTTAGAATAGATTTAAGAATATTTTTAATATTGAGAACATGCAACTCTCAATTGATAACTGTGATTTTTACTATTTGATACTTAGTGCCGGTCCATGAAATTGTTATATTACTTTCAGAATCTGTAATTCTATCATAAGTTTTACTGTTACATGTTTATCTTATTTATGTACCTATTATGTAATAAATAGATTATTGTATTATAATACAATTCCATATTAACATTTGGCTTTTTTATAAAACTTTCCTGTTTTATTTTTGTCAGCCATACTTTCTTACCATAGAGAAATTGCAGGAATTAATAATTACTAAGATACTCAATTCAAAAAATGAGACATTCAATTAATTCATAGTATTTGTAATTGCAAAATATTTGTAAATACAAAATGCAATATAATTTTGTTATTGTATTACTTTTTCATTAATTTATCTTTTACAATTCAGTCATCATCAACATCAATATTGCCAGTACCTAGAAAAGATGTGGCGGGCCACATCAATTCAAGCCGCGTGCCACATGTGGCATGTTTGAACAGCTCCAATCTAGATGTTTAAAAAATGACCTTGTAGTAAATTCGTTCAAAATTCAGTAAATGTGTAGGCTTAATTAAGTATAGAACATCCATACGACTACACACTTAACCGTAATAAAAGTACTCAAACTCACAATATAAAGAGCTACCTTCAGTTTTCGCTTATTTTATACTTACATTTGTTTCACAAAAGGTCTAATTACATATGGTACTTTTGAGGGACGGCGAGGACGGAATGGGTACCGAACCGATACAGCATACTTTTGAACTTTAAAATGGTTGGTTGATTTTATTTAACTACTTTATCATTTTGGACATCAAATATATTTATATATATATATATATATATATATATATATATATATATATATATATATATATATATATATATATATATATATATATATGCATTGTATGATTAGTGTCTTTACATTTTAGTCTGGGTTCCGTTTTTATTTAATTTGCGTGTGTTGATATAGAAAATTACGATATTTTGGTTATTAATTTTAATTTTGGAGTTTTAATTATGCAAGTTTTATCAAACTTTTGACAACCGATTTTAATGGGCGACAAAACACTGTATGAAGACGCCTTAAACGGTGATTATATCATCAAATTTTAAAATCCATAAGGTAAATTAATAATAAATCCAAAAAAAGATCAAAAGAACAGACTAGGCTCGTAGGAATTCGGAATTTTAAGATTTTGTTTCTGAAAAGGATCAATTTCTATAGTGACAGATTAATATTTATTTATTTCTTTACATATATAACTTTGTTAGATGATAATAATAGCTAATTTTTTGCGACTACAAATAAAATCGTAAGTTCCAGAAAAACAATCTCGATTTAGAATATCGAACATGGTAACACAACTTATCCCATTGATAGTTGACTGGGTTTCCAACGTAGCAGTTTTCCCATAAACTTAGGGAAAAACATATACTAAATATACATTATATTTTAAATTAGATATAATTTATACAATATCTAGAAGTAGTGTTATAATTTCTATTTTAGCATTTTTTTATTGCAATTATCATGATAGCCTGAGTATTTCTTTTTTCTTTATTGCATAATAAAATTTATACCAATGGCGAGCTTAATGCCATATGGCATTTTCTACCAGCTAACCGTTAGGTAAACACAGAAAAACAACATTTAGATCCAAATTTATCGACTTTTACCGATTACAACAAATTTAGTGGTCACCACCACTTAAACATCGAATCCAGCTATTAATTATATTGTTATCTTAATCGAGCTGCGCGACTATGTTTAAGTCTTATTTGACCAATTACAATAGAATTACATCTACTTATAATAAAGATGGCTGATCTATTCGTTTCCCGCTAAAACCTTGCGATTATTGTTTGTCGCCATATGTTTATTTTGTTATACGTATGATAAATAAGGAATTTAATCTTGTAAAGTAAGTATGATTTTGATATAATATGATTAGTAATTAATAGAGTACAAATAGGTATGATTAAACAAATCTTACATAAATATATTTCGATAGGTATTTTAATGTATTTAGATAAAATTATTTTCATAACTTGTTTTGTAAAAAATTATCCTTTTTGTATCCATTATTATATCTTAAAATAAAATTGAAGTAATAAACATGAAATATATATATAACTCATAATCTTTCTACCCTTATCCCAAATATTATTTGAAGTCGCCGTAATATGGTTTTATCCATATTACTAAAGGATTTGTCTTATAGTTTTACGCCCGGCCCCCTGCCTGACGTCAATCGTCTTTGGGAATTGAAATATATATAACTAATAACAATAAATAGTTAATAAATTAAGAATATATTGATGTAAATTTCTATTGAAACTTTTATAAAAACAGGTGACAATATTTTGATGTTTTATTTTTTACTTAATACTTCTTTCACGTGAATCTTCTTTCTAAAAGGCCACAGACAAAAGAGAGAACATACGAATAAAAAAATACAGTAGTTGCCAGCTTCCAAAAATAAGACACCAAATAAAATTGTTCCACTCATGAACAATATATTAATATTTTCGAAACTTTATTGAAATAAACTTTATATTTCAATATATATTATATTATTAAGCGTATTAAGAATAGTCAATATTACAAAAAGTTTTAATCGTACTTTTTTATAATAGTTATTGTCTTGTTCCCCGTTTTCTTGCTATCACAAGTTTATTTGTTGAAAAGACGAGTATATTCATCACCTACTCATTTATTCAAACCACTTAATTTTATAACCAATTATTACATTACAATGATGAGCAGTATCTTAAAGTTCTTTGTTTAAATATCTATTATAATTTAGAAACTCGTTTACCGTAACATCGATTTATTTATGACCATGGACAAGGACTTGGCCTTCAATTGCAAACATAAATAATATATGCAATAGGAACTTAAACCTTAACATAAGAATGTTTGCCAAAAATCTTTAGCGTATATTTATGGTTTTTTTTATGATATATAATTATAAATTTTTATAGGTGCTGTATTAACAATGTAAGTAGTTTTTATTAATTTTTTATACTGATTTTTCAATAATTTTTCTTGTACCTAGACGTGTGTTTAGGGACAAATAATTTAAAAAAATGGCAACCCTGTTCGATGAATCGGTGCGGTGGGTTGGATAGATTATCAATTGTCCTGAGTTGAATCGTAATTTTTTAACTAAACTTTGCGTTTGATCAATTTTTCACGTGGTGTCTTAACAATTATTAAAAATTTACTCATAGTCAGCATGTCCGGAGAAACTCCAGTCCCACCTCCCGTATTATGGGCTCAGCGCAAAGAAGATGTATTTCTAACATTTAGCGTCGAGTCTAAAGATCCGACTATTAAAATAGAAAAGGACTCGGTTTATTTTAAAGGCGTCAACGTGCCGGACAATAAAGTACACGAGGTAACTATACCATTATATGAAACTGTGATCCCTGAAAATAGCGCCTACGTAAATAAAGGCAGATGTATAGAAATGGTGCTTCGTAAAGAGAAAAAAGATGCGCCGTACTGGCCTAATCTAACCAAGGACAAAAAGAAGCCACATTACCTTAAAATAGACTTCAATAAATGGAGAGATGAGGACGACGATGATGAAGAAGGTGGCGGTAATAATTATGACATAGAAGAAATGCTCCGGTCGATGGGTGGCGGTGGCGGCGGTGGTGCTGGTGATAAATCAGACAAACCATCCTTTGACGACTTGGAAAGTGATTCAGATGATGAGAATTTACCTGATCTTGAATAAATTTCGTAGTGATAATGCTTATATTTAACTAAAACAGTACATTATGTATTTTAAGGTTTTTACAGTTATAATAAAATTATTGTGAGATGAAGTGTAACAATGTTAATTTTATTATTTTCTTTCATGGATTTTCCATCTGAAAGTCCCTAGTGCTTGAAAAGTTAATAGAATTCAGTTGTATACAATTAGCATTAGTGTCTGCAGCAGTGCTGGATTTACTATTAAGCCGTATAGGCTGCATCCTATGGACGGCAAATACAAGGGAAGATTTTGCAAGCATAAAATCCCATAAAATTTGTGATTTGTGTTTCATTTTATACTTTTGCTTTACATGAATTCATTCATCTATCTACTGCAATAACTACCTTTCCTACCTGTACCCACATAGACCTAAGTAAATAGATGCAAGTAGTGCCTCTCCCTTTCTAAGGGCGTGAAGGAACATGAAATAGTATATACATTAAGAGAATATAAATCCGGCACTAGCCTAAATCCTTCAGAAAATTGGTTTGCTCAATCTCAACCATGTTGTGTCAAATATTCACCGTAATATTATTTTTTAAATGGTGCAATAAAATTAAAAAAATAATAAAATTTCTCTGACTACCCAAAAAGGGGTTAGCGTTTTAAGCATATAATTCTTTTCTATTATAAATTATCATTATAAAATATAGTAATTGTTCTAGACTTTGTGGTTTTTACGCAAGTAAAAATACTAAAACAATGGTGTCGGCATGAATACTATTTAAAATTTTGTTCCTTTAGACTCCTAAAAGATGAATATTGCTGCTTTTCCTAAATGAAAAAGGTTTTTAATTAATATTATTGTACACAATTATAAAGATTTTATTGTTTGTTTATAATGAATAAACTTAAAAAATCAACTGATTTTAAAAATTTCTTGTTTCACCTATGTGAAAGTATATTTTCTACAAATACCATACACCTAATATTATTTACAAAAAATCTGTCTACCCATGCCTATGCATGGCTAAATAGAATTTCAGTGCCAGATCAGTAATTATAAATAAATTAAAAAAATATTTAGGAAAATAATTCAAACTAGAGTAAGACATACCAAAATATGGTAAAACCTTTCAAAAACTAAATAATAAAAAAAAAAGCACCAAATTGAGAGCCTCCCCAATTTTATGAAGTTGATTAAAAAACAGTAAATAATTGCCTCCAGTAACCCATTAAGAGTTATGAGCGTTTTTCTAAATAAAACATTTATTACAATAAGTATATAATCTACATAGAAAATGGTTACAATCTAAATACATTCCATTCTATTGTCATATAATTTCAACTTATATACTTTTTTACCATTTTTGTGTAATATATGTTCGTCACCACAGACCCCAAACAATTACTGTTTTTACCTAATGTGTACCTGGTAGAGAATGCCATATGGCATTAAAAGTTCGTCATTTATACAAATTTTTCTTATGCAATAAAAAATAAATAGATACTTAAAAATCTATCCATTATGAGAATAATCGCTTTATTTTTATGATATAACTTTTATTTATTTATATATAACTTCAAACATTCTATGGCAAAAAAAATATATAATTATTATAAAAGTTTTATTTCCAATTAATTTTCTTATCGATAGATACTAGGTGCTGCAGAATATCTTAGAAATGGAAATTGTTTTTTAATAGATAATTACCAGAGTCATAACCCCACCTACATAATCGGTATATGCTAGCGGGGTTCTAGTGAGACATGACAGGTAAGAGGAAGTCAGGTCAGCCCATAGTACCGAATTCATCAAAAATTAACCACGATTCTTTCCAGGACGAACCACTTGGAGATCGATCTGATAGGGTATTAGCAATTCATTGCAAGTCCCCATTATTAATAATCTCTTCCACCTAATAACGAAGATAAATTACTACTTGATTAATTCATCACAAGAATGACACCAAATGAAAGTAAACCAATAGCGTGGGTGAAATTAGTTTTCCATAAATATTAGTATAGATAATGAAGACAAAAGTATTAGTAACACATTAATAAATCAATATTTCTTATACCTATACAAATCACCTTATAAATTTCTGAACCTCTCAATGTACGATTAAGAATTATTTATTCTCCAGTAGGTACCACAACCAGATATCAGGTATAGCGACCAGTATATAAATGTAACTCAGGACCGTTTCTAACGACAATCTACGAGAGAGAATTAATGTTCAGTTTATAATTCCAAGCAATTTGTCGATTTTTTAAAGTAACCTAGAATAGCAAAGAAGCTGATGGTTTACTTGCAGTGGCATAACAATAGGGTGACAGAACTGGCAAAATGCCACGAGCCCCCAAACCAAAAGGGCCCCATTTTTTTTTTGCATTGTACCTGAGTATTTTATTTTACGTGAAAAGTATATTTTTTTTTTATTTATTGATAGGGCCCCAACAAAAGAATTTGCCACAGGCCCCAAATGGTATAGTTACGCCACTGACTACTAAACTAAACATAAACAACAGCATCAACGACATCATAGAATACGCTGTGACGCCTATTGCATCCCTCATATACATATGTATATGCTGTTCTTTTTGTAATAAATATTATATAATACATAGTATTTAATTAAAAGAACATGTTGAAATCAGGGGAAAGCATTGTTAGTAATGCTGACTACTATTAGTCCACCTTACCATAGTCCCATTGCTAGCAATATACTCTGTCAGGTCGACCTCCACGTGGTCCATCCTGGAAACTATCATGGTTTTTTTATGGGTGAAAATGGTATGTAATTCCTGATGAATTCATCATGATGGGCTAACTGCCCTGTTTTCATTCTCATCTATTACCCTTCACTGGTGCTCCGCCAGCGTATCCCGTTAGCGCAGACGGGGTTACCATACCATTTTCACCCATTAAAAAAATTACAATGGGCTAACTGACCTACCTTCTCATTCTCACTTATCATCACTCACTGGTGCCCTACCAGCGTATACCGTTAGCGCAAGCGGGGTTACTATTACATTATATTCAATTAAAAAAAACATGTTGGATTCCAAAAGAGCAAACCGTAAGCTTTTGACGATATTTGCCATCGTCGAAATGGTCGTATCAAAAAAAAACTAAATTAAAACAAAATGAGCAACCTATCTAATCATAAGGCGGTTTGGTTAAAAATATAAATCTGTACACCAAAAATAACATCGAAAAAATTTCTAATTTTTTATTCTTGATATTAATTACAATTGCGCGATACGTATTATTTGGAATTTTTTTTTGCAAGAACCAAAAATTAAGAAGTTTAATCCTTAAATTGCTATTTTACGACTATTTTTATCAAAGATACAGCCATTTGAAAAATCGCCGAAAATTTTTTTAGGTTTCTTTCATTTTTCCGCTAGAGTTAGTACGCATATGGCATCTTTCGTGGGAATAAACAAATATACTTTTACATTTATACTATTTGTTAAGATTCAGTACCCGTTTGTAGAATAATATTTTAATTTTAGAGATAGAGGATGTTACATCAGCAGAATCGATGTGAATAACGTAGATTCGAGTCTCCATAAAAATACATTTAAAAATGCCTTTGATAGTAAATTAGGTATCTAGTATAATAGGAAATAAGTGGAATAAATAACACAGACACTTATCTATAACTATTAATGAAACTAAAATTTACATGACCTGAGACAATATTACTTCTTTATTTACCTTTCTCAGTAAGTGAAACATTTACACTAAATAAATGAAATTGTTGGCTGTGTCGCCTTATGTTTAATGTTAATGTAATACAATATATCAGTCTATTGAGACTTTCACATTTTAGCATGTATGAAGCACCTTGGTCTGGTGAAAATATTGGTACCCCATAACTTTGACAATCGAACATAAAATATGATGTATCGCATTTACCAAATGCTAGGTTTTTGGTAGGGCTTGTTAATATTCCAAGAGAATTCTTTTCAAAAAAATAAACCAATGCCTTACTTAAATTAAAACGATCGGGAAAATGATTGTATACGAATCCAAATATTATTTTGTTAAATTTGACTGAAAATGAATAAGGAAACATTTCATCGAACTTAGTATCCAAGTCCATAATAGCAATTTCATAATTAGGATGATTCCCTATTTTATTCAAACATTTTCGATGATACTTATCACCGTTTATAACAATACCATCTAAAAAACTACCAGTCCACGCACTGAGATTGCAGGCTTTAGTCATAACAATTGCAACAACGCTGATGGCCAAATATTGTTTACCTCGATGGTTGTCATCAAATTTTTTATCTAATGGATGTACTGATCCCCAAAGAGAATAAAGGTCTCCAGGGAATTCTATATCCCAGTCCTTCCACATAGTTCTTGGAGTTTTTCTCTCGAATCCTAAATCATTGAAACAATTCATACGAGACCAAGGTATTGACTCTATATTTAACCAATACATTTTTTCATCCACAATGGGACGGACCCTTCGACGTTTTAGATATGGTAAGTTTGGATTGTCATCAGGCTTGAACAATGGACTGAGCCTATAATTCAACGCTGAATGCCGCGGAGCAGGCTTTACAGAAGTCAATTCAAAAGTATAAAATTCAGGACTTTCAACTGAGCTTCCTGAAATCACTTTTCGTATTCTATGTGTTAATGCATCTATAGATCTATATAATGTCCATGTTGCGACGTCACTCGCTTTTTTTGGTTCTACGGGGTTTTCTGTTTTTTTGTTTTGATCATCTTTGGTAGATATTTGCGGTTGTGTTTCTTCGCTTGGAGGAGGATAGGGGTCGAAGAGATGGAAATAACCATCAGTTTGGCATATCGCCATACTGCATTGAAGAAATCTAATAACAACGTAACGCAGTCTTCTTAAAACTGCCTTTAAGTACTGTTCTAGTCTCTTATCCGGATTCTCATTAACAACAGTTATTTTCTTTATATTTATGTTTATGAATTTTCCATCGAGTATAATATTTTTAATCACTCTTTTTTCGCACACATTTAAATTTGTTGCTTTTTCATTTATTTCCAAACCTTTTTCAATACACGTATCAACCATAATATGATCCCATGTTCGGATGGGATGCATCGCAGCCATTAACATTGCTATTAAGCTAACGAAATGGCACGATTTCACATCAGAACTTGGTTTTCTATCTTTCAAAGATGTTGTTCCTTCGATTCTGTATATTCCTTCAACTAGTTGATATCCAATAATTGTCTGACTTTTAGACTCTGCCGATTCTATGAAACTTCTTTTTTCAGAATCTTTTTCCGTCAAGACAATTGATGGCTTCGACTTTGACAAACCAGTAATATAATCATAATCTTCAGGAAGTTTCATACGAAGTTCTGCAAGCAGTCTGCGTACTAAAATTCGACTTAAAATAAACTGTTGATCTTCTGTCCGTCCATCTTTATTGTACAAAATCCTGCAAAACATAACAATAAAAATTAAATATGGCAATGTCAGTCATAACAATATTTCCTAATTTATTCTTATTATTAGTATTCATATTAAAAAGAGGGCGAATAAAAAAAGCAGCTGTGTAATTTTTTTTTTATTTTATTTATATGAAATTTATGTATGGTACAATAAATACCTGCTAACTAGATCATGTAATGTAGAGAATCTCAAAAAACACGCTTTTCCTTTATTCTTTTCATCTCTTATACCCATAGCATTGCAAGAACTGCCGTCATATAAATAGTATAAGCCATTTCTTTTAAAAACTGCGCAGCTATAGTTAGATGTAGTGATCATGCCTCTATCATACTTCAAGAAAAATTTACGAGACAGTGCATCTTCCAGTTGCCATGTCGCCCCCTCGCCTACCACATCAATGTTAGCTTGATAAGCCTAAGGAATAAAGTGCAATACAAATACATTATTTTAATTATTTTTAAATAATACATAATTATGTAAATTTGTTAACGTCATAATTGGCTTCTATTATCTTCATATTAGTTAATAACTAAATTTAATTTCTAAAAACTAATTTGATAAAAGTAATTAATTAATCAATCTTTTTTGTCTAAATATTTGTAATATTATCGCCAATAAATAAATAAATAATCAAAAATTACTGAAAATTAAAAAAAGGAAAATGGTCAACATTCTAACTTACAGGCGTTACGTACCTGATGTCCGATACCAATCTTCGGTATGATATGAATAGGAGCCATTTGAAACTTCTCTAATTTATTTGAATATAACTTTTTAGCTGTATCTACAATAAAATTAACTATTCCACTAGTCCAAGTATTAATAGAATATTTATAAGATGTAACTATAGCCATAATTGCAGCAAATGGCAAAATATCAATAACATTTGCATCTGTAATAGCCGAAGAGCCCCTAACTATCTGTGTCTTATCAGGTAAATCTTTGAAGTTACTTGGCTTCAAGAGTTCTTCAGACGGGGAGCCTTCCAATTGGTCTTCTATTAGAGGAGGTGTCATTTTCTTACGTAACTGTCGTAATTTAAATCTATAATGTGCGTCTTCTGAAAGGAGTATGCGACGATCAACATTAACCGGTTGTATGGTTTGTACTTCATCCTCGGCCATTTGTATAGGTGCAAGCTAAAATAGTATATTTTGTCGTGATTATGCTTATATTATCTTACGTTTTAAATAAAAATAAAAAAAAGACCTACCGGTACTTCAGGTTCGGGCTGTGGTGATGGTGGAGGAGGCGGTAGTGGAGACGGCAACTCCTCAGCTTTCCTACGTGCCTCTTCTTCTGCCTTCTTCCGTTGTTCTTCTTCTTTCTTTCTCTTCATTGTATCTTCGTCTTCTTCCTCACCTACTTCCTCCTCCTGTTGCAAAATAATTAATACATTTATTTTCTATATTACTGTTTAATATTTAGAAAATCAAAATTGATTCGAAACAAGACTGCTATTTTTAAAATAAAATACTAAAATGAATAAATTTGATCCTTACAAGTCTAAAGCTAAAATTCATAATTAATTAAATTAGTATAATTTGAAACTTATACAAACCTCTTCTTCGCCATCTTCAGGAGGCTGAAAGGAAAAAATATATGAAATTCAATCATATCAAATATAATGTATTAATTTAAACTTCTAATTACCTAACTCTCTGAAGAGGAGGGAGTGGAGGAATTGTTAGTAATAGAGATTACCAGTCTCATTTTTAGCAATATACTCTCCGTTAGGTCGATGTTGCCATTCCGTAAAAAAGAAACTCTGAAGATGGTAGGATCAACTCTGCCACATCCCCTTTTTATATGTTCGTCGAAACATAGGCATGTTAATTGTTCCATTAACCATAATGGTGATAAAATAAAAATACCTATGACTTCAACATAGATTACAGTCATAAGATGCTGACGAGTTGTAACCATATAATTAATATCTAGCAATAATCTATGTTGAGATTGTTTAATATGGAAATAATTTGGGAATACATAATAAGCGAGGGACCGCAAAGACGACGTAAATGACAACAGATTGTGACAGAGCATATGTTTCTCTTAAAAATTACCATTTTATGAGTTATTTTATAGAAGAATCTCTACATAAAATTGCAAAAAAAAACTGTATCTAATTTCTTATTGATCTAATTTATGTTGCAGTTTTACAAATAGAATATTTTTTTGCAAAATCCCACAAATAAATATCATAATAATTTTATTAAAAAAAGGGGACAAACTTACTGGTAACTGGGGTGGTGTAGGTGGCGGTGTCGGCTCTGGATCAGGATCAGGTTCAGGCAGTTCATTGGTCTTATCACGGGGCTTTGGCCAAGGGGGCACAACTTGTGTCACCGAAACAGTCGGCGAATCCAGATTTACTATTTAAAATATACTTCTTTAAATTCAATACAATTCTATGAAAAAAAGACTATAACTATAACTTTTAAACTATGTCTCACCAACTTTATCTTGTAATGGTTCTGAACCCATATTTTTATATCGCAACGGTATTAGTGGGAGATAATCTTCCTGTATGCTATCGACCAATGAAATTATATCGCCCATTTGTTCCTCGTCTACTTGCGGCTATTTGACGTAATAATAAATTTTTAAATTCAAAATATCTGAAGATTAAAAACATATAAACCTTATTTACATAAGATGCACTTACTCCACTTTGTTTGTTATCTATATTTATTGTATTGAAATTATTTGCTGGCAAGATGTCGTGAATTATCTCCCCCCCATCTCCTTGAGCTTGACTCAAAGGAAGAACCTTTCGTTTTATCCTTGCGTTCGCACCGGATAGTTGGTCATCGCTGAGAGTACAAACTATTTGCATCTGAAAACGATTCACGAATAAGTAAACACATTCTGTTTTTGTAATTTAAATATCATAATACTCATACAAGCAGACAAATGAACGGATAATGCCGAACGAAGCTTGTTAAAGCTAACCTTAGGTTCTTTCTTTTTTAGTTTTAATACTTTAAAAGCATGAATATGAAACTGTGTCGTTACTGGTAAGTAATCCCAATTTTTTGTAAAAGCAGAAGCCATAGTCTCAGGATTTAAAAGCATTAAACAACAAGCCTTGCCAGTTTTGAAAGAGCGTAAACCATCGTTAGTGCGTGGATATGGATCAAATAAATAGAACATGTCTTTTTGTCTCCAAATCGCAAGTGAGTAATTATTAAATTGTAATATTCCACTATTGTCCTCGCGACTAAAAAATTCTTCGAGACCTGTTTTGATATTAAGTAAGCATTCTTTTGTCGTAAAAAGCTGACCTTTAACTCTTTCTCTGTAAATAATTATCTCACATGCATAGGGCCCGACTATTATTTCATTGGGTATATTATCAATTGTTAAATCTATCATTACTTTGGGATGTGAACATTCTGCAAAAAGTATATTCCCCAAGCGCAGTATTTTATCTAAAGTCTTAGAAAACCATGTATTAGGAGGTGATATTTTCGCATATGTTATTGCTACTATAGCTACCGTCAGCGCCTGTCGAAATTTTGCATCTTCGAAACATTTATCACCTAAATGCATGTTAGCATTAACAATAGCAGAATTTTCATTTAATATTCGATATCCTATCATAGCTTTCTCAGCCTGAGTAAGTTCTCTATCTGATTCAAAATCTTCATCACATTTCTCATCTACCATTTTCAACACTTTTACCGGAGCTAATACAAACTTTTGATCCTCCAACACACTGCGAGCTAAAAGAATCTCTGCGACTGATACTAAATCTTTTACGTTAATGAGAGCGGAACAACCATTTGTGAAATTGGAATACGCCCTTGAATCTCTTCCAGCTGGATCGAATACGTAGTAACAAATCCTGTCTTTCCAAATCACAACTTTTAAAACTCTGCAATTAATATGAAATTAAAAAAAAAATACGAAATAGGGTGCTCTTGTAAATTGCTTGTATCTATATCAAAATAAATACATTAAATACCTTGTTAATAGAATTCCTGCTCGATTGCCTTTGAAAAAAGCTTTTAATCCTCTACATAGATTATAAACTGTAGGATCCAAGGACATAGCGTAACCAACGATATCAGGCTCGCCTAATAAAACTTGCATTCTTTTTCCATTCAATATCAATGTTTGTTTTTTGCCAAAAGGCAAGACTTCACAGATTCCTTGAACTGCTGAATGATCATGTACCTTTTCTAAACATTGTAAATACCTATAAAGTAATCTCATATGAGCATTTGAATGAACTAATAATTCTTAGTATTGTGATATATAAAAATAACAAAACATTATTTTTCATAAATATAAGTACAACAATTCAAGATATAACAGACCATTGATCTCCTGCATCAACAAGACTGTCAACAAGCTTCATAGTCCACTGCTTAGGATGATAGTGAAATGCTAAACAATAAGCCATCACGCTAATTGTAAGAGCTTGTCTACCCTTCGAACGCCCACCTAAAAATAAAATTTTAATGTCTAGATATTTGTCCGCGAAATTTCACAGATGAAGTGACAAATATCTATTATTTAGAATTAAGATTACTTACTAAATTTGGCATCATACATATTAAATGATCCCGTTAATATGCCATAATGTATTTCAGGTTTCCTTTCTTTCGTACATGGCAATACAGTTAAAGAATGTGTTTGCAAGATTCCTCTTTTCAAATTAGCTGGTATTCTAACCTATAACAGATAAAAATCCCCTATATTAACAATCCCAAATTAATTACAAAGACATTAAGACAATACAGAAATAACAATTAGTGGCGGTTGCAGTCTATACATTATGCAATTTCATATTGCCGTTACTGCTCGAATCTCTGACTCTCTCTCTAGATGTATTTGAAAATTTATATAAGTCTAATGTAATTTCTATATCAGTAATATTCACACGTCGAATGATCTGTCATCAAATATGATCAACTTACATGTTCTGGTTTTGGTATCTCATCAAGACCACAGATAGAATCGTCATCTCTAATGTGTTTTTGTGTACTAGCTCGAGGTTTACCATCAATGGGTTCTCCTATGGTCGTATATGGGACATCGAAACGTGATCTGGTTAGTAATACACTTACTATTAATACTGAGATTACTATATCAAATTTAAGTAGATACGTACTAGATGTAATAGACGACTGTCTGATTTATCATACATGAGATAGAATTGTAATTTAACTTGACAGCTCATATAGTTACAATATTTTTTATTAAATTTTTTTAGAAATTTCAAAGAATGTTAGAAGGAAATTTATTTCACGGCATTTAAATTTAATTGAAAGCCAAAGATGTTACTGTAAAAGCCAAAAAATTATTGACTTCCTATTATTTTTACCTTTTAATTTTTCGAGTCATTTGCCTTTTTCTCATTGCTGCGTACTTTCTGTAAATTAAATTAAATTATTATTTTATTAATTTTTTAGTCCGATACCAATTAGAGGACAATATTTGAATACCTGCATTTTTTCCTCGTACATGTTTTTCTATAACATATTCTGTAAACATATAACAAATTAGGTACTTAAGTATTTAATTACATAACTCTGAATAAAATTAATACTTATTTCTTAGCCGTATGGTTCCGTGGTTAGGGATACCCCTTAGTTTCCCGTGGGTATTGTTAAAGGAAAGGTAAATTGAAAAAAAGATGGGTAGCAGCTTCCCTCTTAAAATATCAGTAAAGCTTTACTACGGTTGCCAACCCGTCTGCCAACTACTGGCAAAACCTTTCAATCCTTCCAATTCCAATTTTTATTTTCAGCCGATCGGCTCATAAGTAAAGAAAAAAGCTTACTCTTTATGACAAGGTTTTCTTTTCTGCTGAGGTCTGTAATTACAAGCATCTATTTATTGTTTATTATTATGTATACTTGGATTGATGAATGTGGAAGAAGCGAAAGAGGTTTGTTTGTATCGAAGCATTTGGTATTCCATTGTTTTACTAAACTCTTTTATTAAATACGAATATCTGTAATGATGGATGAATGGACGGATGGATGTTCGTTACTTTTTCACGCAAAAATGACTGAAGGAATTTGAAATTGGAAAAAATTTGAAATAGCACTAGGATACTTTATATACTAATTCACGTGGGTGAAGCCCTGGAATACAGCTACTAGTAGGTAAATATGTAAAATATTATCATAAAAACCTCGGCTTTCTAGAACCCGGAGTATGCACGACGTCAGGAACAAACTCTTTATCTCTATTGATAATTATTCCGCTATGGGGCTTAAACAATCTGAAATATTCATAAACTTAAAAACAAAACTTAATGATAATGTAAACAAACAATTGATTGAGACAGTCATGTAGTCAATAGTAGTAGACACCGAATGGTCGACTAAATTACACGTAAGTGAAACCGGTAATTATTACATTAAAATAAAAAATCTTACTCGTAAGCAGATTTTGGCGGAATTGGAGGTTTGATTTCTCCAGGTACAACTATTGTGCGTTGAGCTGGGATTACCTCACCACTGGTTTTCGGACTTGCCACCTGTAGAAATTACTTATAAGTACCTAAGTACTATATATACCTAGTTTTTTTTATAGGGGATAATGAAATAGTAACCCCACTCGCGTTATCGGTATACACCGGCGGGGTACCAGTGAAGGATGATAGATGAGGATGAAACAGGTCAGTTAGCCCATCGTGACGAATTCAACGAGAATTTTTCACGATGGTTTCCAGGGGGAACCACGCAAAGGTTGACCTGATAGGGCATATTACTAGCAATGGGGCTGTCAAACTCCATTGCTAACAATCCCTTCCCCTCATATATACCTAGTTAGAGTCATACGTTCAAGAATATCTAAACTGGTTTCAATGTATTTTTAGTAGACTTCAAACAAAAGATGAATAATTGAAAAATCAGTGTACTTTTTTAAATGCCTTCAGAAGGCAAACAAGCTTACGGCTCAACTGATAGAAAGTGGTAGGTAATCATCATCCATAGACAATATGAACAGCGCCATGAATATCACAGAAAACACTGTGACACATATGGTACTCCTGTTTTAGTTACCTGACAGCCGCATCATGTTATAACATGCAGAGTTTAATATAACTATTACCAACTTTAAAAAAAAGGAGGAACTTCTAAGGCTACAGGAAACTACAAATGTCATTTTTCGATATCTTGCTTGCATGGTTATTGTGTCGATTTGAAGGGTGGAACATGCCATTAATTTTAGAGGGCCTAACCTTAGTCCATAAGACTTATAAAGCGTGGGGATGAAAATGGAATAATAATATTGTTTGCTCTATTTTTTTTTTGTTTTGTTTAATTTGATACACTGGAGTGCTGCCAGTATGAGATGATAGATAAGAATGAAATCAGGTAAATCGGTATATCGTGATAAATTGACTAAGGTTTAACTACGATATATTCGAAGGGAGGCGTGATATCTGGCACCGCCGATTCGCACTTGTACTGCTTAGTTTGCTCCCACTTATCAGGCTATTTCTTTGGCCAGATTTTGATATTTTAAATAACAAATCCGATAGATTTTTGAAATGGTTAAAATTTTTAAGTTTGTAACATAAACCTATGGCTCACTACATGTTTTGGGAAATTTGAAGTGAGCAAATTATTCTTAAATAAATAGATAATTTCCCATTACTAACAATCTTTTCCCCCAACGTATGAGAGATATCGGGAATGTCATAGTATAACCTATGATGATAACTTACATTTAATATAGATTTGTCCGACGCCGTATGTTTTATAACTGGAACTGGAGTAGGTAGCAATATATCTCCTGGTAAAAGGTCAAAGTATCGAACTTTTTTCTTGAATTTCTCTCTTTTCTTGCCTGTTCTCAATATACTGCTTGTGGTTTCCTCTTCTTCTGACGTAGATTCAAACTCAAATTCACCAAAGTTACGTCTACAACTACGTATTATAGTTAATTTCCCATTGCTTCATTATATTAGGAAGTTTATTTCGTAATTCCTTATTTAATTAATATCTTAATATATTAAATACAGGCCGGGTTATCAATACATTAATATTTACTGAATGATTAAAAAAAATAATTGAAATTAAAGTTATTTACAATAACAACTACAGTCCATTTATACTTTAAGCAGTTCATTGTTTAATTTATGAAAATATACTGAAAAACTTAACCACACTGTTGTTATGTTACTAACACTATGCCTCTACTTACAGTGATATCCCTTCAATCATATAGAATAGTCTACAGAGAATCAATCTTTCCATTTTTTTGAAATTACAAAATGGTGCAGGGATACGTTTACAGATACTAACCCGGCCTTTCTATCTGGTCTTGGTGGCTCTGCATCGCAATGTCCAATATATCTCAATCTAAAAGGAAATTATAAGCTTTCAATTGCTATAATGGTACATTATTTTGTTTAATTCGATTTTAAATCGAGAACAAATACGTAATATAAATCATTAGAAGGTAAATTGTCGAGTACATTGCAATGTGACAGTCTTTCTCAAATAAAATCTTAAATTAGCTTTGTTTTCAGAGGAGTTCCAATCTCGCATCTAAGAATGTGGTATGAGTTTTTTGCCAAGGTTTTCCCTAAAAAATAAGACATGATACTCTTCAAAAGTTTCTACATGATAGGCAAAACACATACGATAGCCCTGGTGTTACAGAAATCTACAGGAAATATAAGTGTGTAACAAATTGTAAGCTCATTTGCCAGCATTGTGGTACGCGTATGAATAAAACATGTTGGTACCTTTAAATTCAATTACCTCGTGTGCATTGATGGAACCATGGGCACGCAAGTATCTTTAAAATGTCGTGGTTTAAATGGTTTGGTTTTAAACTTGGGAGGTCTGGATCTTTTACTTTTTCGCACACCTGTAATGATACATATTAAGAATCTACTAAGTACAATTAAATACGAAGAATATGTTAAATCTGTGAATATGTAAGTATTATTATTAAACTACCTGTGTCTAGACTTTGCCCACGTAGTATGATGATCTTGCTATAGATACCTACCTAAATTTTATACTTTACGTGCCTTACAACTTCTTTCGTTATTAAATGATAATGACAACTAACCCTACGCTATCGGTATAGGTACACTTACAGAGTGCCAAAGAGGGGTAGGTATATATAGATTATATTTAGCAATTATGTATACCTATTTAGCAATATATATCTAATTAACATTTTAATTCGCCAGACCAAAAGAAATAAATAATATTTACGAACTTTCGGCTTCAAATGTGAGAGCTTCAACAATTTCTGCGACATCTTTACAATCTGTAACTTTTGCATGCTTACAAATTTGCTGTAAACCAGTCGGACATTTGCAAGGTCTAAAAACACAAACTTGATGTAATTTCTTATATTTGTATCTAATATTATTATTTTATGTTTACACTTAACACCATTATAAGTACATTAAATTATATTACAGTAGTAATTTTAATACTAACGATTTCCTCATTTTCAAGCATCGATATCAAATTTAAATTTTACTGTGTTTATTATTTATTTTACTTTATATTACAGAAAATTTTTATTATTTGTGTGTTTTGATAATGTTAAAATAATATGTATGGAAAATGTAATGTCAGTTTCATGTTCGAAATTCGAGCGATATAATATAAAACCGGAAAATCGAGGTGGTATCATTCATAGACTTAGTGTAACCTAGACACGAGACGACAACTATAATGTTGCACTTCAAATAGTAGGTATAATGCCTTTTACTCTAATTAATTACCTATATTTGTTATATTTATTATTTGCTGTTATGTTTATTAAAAAATACGACGCTAGTAGAAAGCACCTAAACCTAACAGAACTATTGAAATACTGTGCGGCAGAAATACTGCCACAAAGCACGAACTTCGTGATCTATAGTTCACCACATAGCTTTGTGTTAATCTCTTTGAAGGTAGCAGTTCAATCTCTCATCTTCTTCTTTTTTGCGAGCTATGGCAAAACTTAAACGTTTGCAGTCCAGAACTTGTTCAACTGGACAGCGTTTGCATGATTTAATGGATGAGCAGTATTTAATATATACTATATTCATATAGCAAATAGTATCCAATAAATCCTATAGTAAACAAGCATTGAGAACAAGATAGTAAATGAGCCATAGTTTGTGTCACCATAAATAGAATCCAAGGATGGTGCCACTGACAATCATCGACAATCATCTCTGCTTATTGTCCTTGCTAGGACCGAGGACGGAAAGGTATTATTATTATTAGTAATGGGGTTTAACAGTCCCATTACTAGTAATATACCCTATGAGGTCGACCTACACACAGTTCTCCCTGGAAGCCATTGTGGCTAATTCTTGTGAAATTCTTCATAATGAGCTGACTGCTTTCATCCCCACCTATCATCTTTCACGGAGACCACGCCAATACATAACAATAGCACAGACGAGATTACCATTCCATCATCACCCATTAAAAAAAAATCTGAGACCGAAACCTGTTAGTCGACTTCCATATCAGACATTACAATTGATGTCTAAGTGGAAGACTCTCAGATAGTGGAATAAAAAGATCTAAAAGGGTTACCTTCTCGCAAGATCCACATGTGGCAAGCCATGTGTGATATCTCGCTTTTGCAGACTGAACAGTCTGTAGACGCGACAAAACTATTAAAGCCTGATGCTGATGAAAAGAGGTGAGATAATGTAATTTTAGTTCTTACGTCCAAATTTGCTACAACCCTACGGACATCTGGCGACGCTATTGCAGTCAATAGATACGATAGGTATAGGATTACCGACGTTGTTTTAGACATCCAGTACTGAACCGGTAGGATTTGTTCAAGACTGCAATCTCTAATACTAATCATTAAGTACCTATTGAAAGACTTTCAGGTAAACAGAATGATACCAATAAGACACCATTTTGCCCGATTATCAATAGTAGGTTAAATTAATAATTTATTATCTAATAAAAATATTTTCTACTAGGTATTTACCATTGAGTAGCCCTAAAAAACAGTAATTGCAATTTTTTAAAGAAAACAATAAAGAGTATCTATCTATCTATAAGAGCATTTGAAACAGTAAAAGATTGAGTTATTATTGCACTTAACAAAATATAAAAATAATACTAACAAACAATATTTAATATACATATATACATACATGACTATATACAAACATGCACAATGGGAATTTTATGTACTGTGTATGTCGTTTCCGACAATTGTTTCGACTTCATCCAGAAGTCTTATTTAGGGAGCATACAGTCACAATGTCTCACCTCGCACTTCACACGGTCTGTAGATCGTAGAGCTCGCTAAGATATCGATGCAGGAAGGGGTGGGGGCGAAAACGACAAACATAGTAAGTTCATAAAATTCTAGTGGTAAAAATAATATTTAATACATATTTGGAATGTAAATTACTAGCTAAAAAACATATAAGAATAATCTTAAAATTTTCCCTACATAAACAACATACCACCAAATACATGAAACTGCATATTATAGGTAGTTTTTTTAAATAAAATCCAATACATGAAATTTTAAAAATAAAAACATCAACTAAACATTGAATTATGTAATGTGTCTAAATCTTCTTTTCTTTGCTCTGCTCGCTTCTTTTCTTTCTTGAAGGCTTCATAACCTTCATTATCAGTTGGTAATTCAAACCGACAAAAAGGACACGAATTTGTCTGGAAAATAAAAACAATATTCATACCTGAAACATCTGTCTAAAAAACAAATATTTGGAGGAACAGTTATTTTTTGTGATATCATTAATATATATATATATATATATATATATATATATATATATATATATATATATATATATATATATATATATATATATATATATATATATATATATATATATATATATATATATATATATATATATATAATATATATATGTGCCATTCCACAGTGATATTAATAAATTGATACTGCAATACAGTACACATTTCGATATAAGGTTAAAAGTTTTATGAAATAGATTTTTAATTACAAACAAAAAAATGCTTACCCTTTCTAACCATTTCAAAATACATGTGGAATGGAATAAGTGAAGACATGGCATCTTTTTCGCCTTATCACCAGACTGAAAGTTTTTCAGGCAGATGGGACAACTTGAATCATCATCTTCTATTGTAATCTCTGGCAAATTTTTTACAGTTTCTTTAGAAGCAGGAGGTGGTAGCCTAGTACAAAGTAATATTAAATACAAATATAACAAAGACAAATCAAAACAAATAGTTATTATCATAGTCCATTTTTTTATAAGTACTAAGTAGCATTCAGGAATACTCAGATGCATATTAGTTACATACTTGAGTTAGATTGTTTGCTAAAGCTACTTAGCCAAATCAGTATCCTCATAGTCCCCATGGAAACTATTTTGGTGATTCCTAATAATTTTAACACAATAAGCCAATTGTCTTCAAATCATCCTCAACAATTATCTCTTACTAGTACTCCACAAATATATACACAATGAAATGATGATCTTATATATTTTTAAAGAAAAAATACTTGATTAGCAAAATTGATAAAAGTTGGTAAAAAGACTATAATAGACTGTTTCTTTCTTTCCTAAACCAATAAGAAAAATTTACCTTGGCCATTCTCCTGAAAAGTTGTCCTCATACATTCCAAAATCAATCAGGAATCTAGCCATGTGAAGTAAATGATTTGGTTGCTCTCCATCTGCTAATTCCGTCCATCCCATCTCTTCAAAATAACCAGCCATATTTGATTCTTAGCTAAAAAATAATAAAGAACATTTAGACCAACCATCAACCTAACTCAAGGACTTACAAATATAACAGGACGGAAAATTAAAAAAGCATTAAGTAAGCACATACTAATTGAACTTTTGAGGATATACCTCTACTATATCACTAAAAATTCGTTCCTGACAATAATTTCAATAGAAAAACAGCAAGTAAGGCCTATTTACTTAAATAGTAAATTTTTTATATTACTTTATTTTAAAATTATAAGATATAAAACAACGAATGAAGGTACATTAAAATTAATTTTAATTATGTTTGTAGGTACCTAGTTTTTGTTCACCTCTGTTATTATTTTAATGCCACTAAAAACCTATAATTTTGTTTCTTATTGAACCTTAGTTTGTTAAATAAATAAATAAATATAAAACGAAAAAACCACAAGAAAACAAAACAGACAAATTTTTTTTAATACTTACGAAATGTCAAAATGACAACATGACTAGACATTTTCATAATTGATAATTATTTGACACACGTATCTTATACGTAGACAGAGAATACCACAGGTATTGGGTTCGATTTTGAGATTCCATTTTTTTAAACCTATCTCTAAACATAATATTTTAATTCGACAATTTTATAGATTTACGAAATTTATATCAATTTTGACTTAAATCTATTAGAAACTAAGTATATATTGGTCCTTATAATAAGGCTTTCACAATAACACCAAATCGAAATAAAAATTTTAGAGATAGATTTAGAGATACAGCGCTTCAGAATTAATCACTCTGTTCTTTATCTCTGTGGGTACTATTAAAATCTATTACGGTTTTTTTATGGGTAATAATGGAATAGTAATAGTAATGAGGTCTAGTAGTCCCATTGTTAGCAATATACCACAATATGGTTCCCCCAAGAAACCACCGTGATTAAATCTTGTGGAGTACGTCACGATGGGCTAACTAACCTGCTTTCAGCCTCATCTATCATCTCTCAATGGTACTCCGTCAGCATATACCGATAGCGCAAGCCGGATTTAACATTCCATTCACACTCATTAAAAAAATAATTGTAGTTTATATTATTCGGATGCTAATATAGTAGAAATAAATATATTAGTGATACTATGTAGTATAGGAGTGATATTTCGTCAGCTGTGCTGCTATGATTTCTGTTTAACTTGCCAATTTTGTCTAATATTTCTTCTGTAACAATAATTTGTAAATGTACAGTTACTGATTAAAGTAATTTTCAAAAACTATCAAGTCAATGTCTAACAACGGAAACATTTTAATTATAAATTTTTATTATTAGGCATTCAACTTAAAATAACAAACTGACACCACTATTATAGGCATCAACAGCACCATGGACATCATAGAATATACTGTGACGTGCCCTGTATATGTTGAAGTTCTTAGAGACTAAGGTGTATTGCCTCCGATTAATTACCCTGTCATTTCACTGTTATTTCCCTCATCCATAAACATCTACTTCAGCTATGAATATGTAGGTAAAGATATAATATATACCGGTATAATGTTTATTCAAATTATAAAACAAATCCCAAAAATTGATCAAACTTGTTATAATTTGTAACACAAATTATTATTGCTTCACATAACATTGCCGACTTCTTATTATTAATGCTACGGTTCCCACAACATAATAATGATAAAATATAAAAAGAAAATGCTGCTATTAAAATTAAACATAATATTTTGTAGATATTTTACTGTCTAAGGTTTTGTGTTTTGTTTTAAATTAAATGATCGTCGAAAAAATTTTATAATAGATCTACTATTTATCCGTGTTGATGTTTTCAATTATATTATATTAAACAAAATGTTATTTTTAAGTAAATTTTATTTATGTAACTTAGAATGGTAAACAAGCTGACGGCCCACCTGATGGAAAATGGGGCTTATTAATTATAGATCATTAAATTTAATACAGCAGTTGAATTTTATTTTCATACTAGCTGAATCATTTATGATCACGTGATATCGTTAATAATGTTATAAATGTGAAAGTAAGTTTATTTATTTATTATCTCTTAGTACACCATTGCCATGGAATAAAGCATAAGTACGCATAGTATTTACGAGTATTTAGAATGAAGGGCATTACTACTTAAGGATTACTTTTGACCCCGATCGATCAATTTTATTCCTGTACCACTACAAAACTAGCAATTAAAAACTACCCTCTTATTCACAAAAACTAAAACGTCCTACTAACCTATTTTAGCTATTTTTTTTAATTATCACCTATAATGAAATAGTAACCCCACCCGCGCTATCGGTATACACCGGCGGGGCACCAGTGAAGGATGATAGGTGAGAATGAAGTAGGTCAGTTAGCCCATCGTGACGAATTCAAAAAGAATTGTTTCCAGGGGGAACCACGTGGAGATCGACCTGATAGGGCAAATTGCAAGCAATGGGGCTATTAAACCCCATTGCTAACAATCCCTTTATTATTTTAGCTATTGAAGTGTTTTGACACTTTATTACAAATTGAGAATTTAGCCAAACAGAAAAGGACAAAACACTGCAGTAACTAAAATAGATTTATGAGGGGTTTTCATGGTAATACAATATAAGATATCTATGCTATTCTACGTATTAATCTGGGATTGTATTACTTCTCAAAAATAAAAATAATATAAAGCACCATTAGCGATATTTTATCATCAATTTTTAGATTTTGTACAACTTGAGAAACAATCTGATAGCCCACCAAATAAAAAGTAATAACTATCGCCTATAAACATGGCCAGCCCATGGTACACTTTATATGTTGCAATTCCTGAAAATAAAGGTATTATTCATACTCTACTGTAATAAGCAAGCAAGCAAGGATGACTGCTCTTACCCTCTCACCATATACAGGGGGGAAAGAGATTTTTAGTAATGGAGACTGAGAATCCCATTGCTAGCAATATACCCAACCAGGTCGACCTCCTCGCGGTTACTCCTGGAAACTATCATGGTTAATTCTTGATGAATTCATCAACTGAATGACTGATGAGCTAACTGGCCTGTTTTCATTCTCATCGATCACCCTTCACTGGTTCTCCGCCAGCGTATCCCGTTAGCGCAGGCGGGGTTACCATACCATTTTCACTTATCAAAAAAAACCCCTCTCACCATACTAGTACTTACACGTAGCTTGTAAATATTTACTACATTTATATACAGACTTTTACTTTAACAAATCAAGTAATATAAATAGCTTTGAGTTTGGGGGCCTGGTGATTTGTAAGACGGGTTATCCTAGCACCGACACCAGACTCTCACAAAGATTGTTTTTAATTGTAACCAATGTAGTTATAAGTTTTACTTAAAAACTGCATTGCGGCAATAATACAAATGGGATACAGAGTGGTAGGTATACATATTTCTTATATATTAAAAAAAATTGCTCTCATTATTTTCTTTAAATTTTTTTTTTTATTTGCATTGTACTTTACACATTTTATGTAAGTAATACGTAATTATTGTGAATCAAACTGTCCATGAACAAATAACTAAGTATCTACTACTTAACCATGTACCTAATTTCATTGTTTGGTGCTAAATAAATTGACCATGCTGCGGCATACAGTTCCGCTCATAGACTTAATACAACGTACTTTCCGCTAGATTTCCTATACTTCTGAGAAATAAAACTCGCAACATTGTTTTAAAATAGACACGAGTTATAAAATAAGTACGTGAATGTAACCAAAATCTAACTAGACCTACTGTCCCATCAGCCTAAATTCCTAGTAAAGATTTTTTTTATGAGTAATGTTTGAATAGTAACCCCGCCTACGCTATCGGTATATGCTAGCAGGACACCAGTGAGTGATAACAGGTAAAAATGTAGATCAATTGGCCCCCCGAAATTCTTCGGGAAGTAACCACGATGGTTTCCAAGAGAGACCGCGAAGTCAACCTGATAGAGTATATTACTTCCATTTTTGATTACGTGTTCCGTTTTGGGTACCTAGATACAAGAGTAAGTATGTTTGTATCTCTGTAATGTAAACTGAATGCCGTGTGGTTCTGATATAGAATAGATCATTCCTTCCTTTCCCGTGGGTGTCGTAAGAGGTGAATAAGGGAGAACGAGGGATGGGCAGCAGTGTCCCTCTTAAAACATCTTTAAAGCTTAACTGCTTGCCAATCCGTCTACCAAGCGTGGCAACTACTAGCAAAACCCCCTAAGGTGGAGGCTTATTTTCAGCAATAGTCAGTTAAAGGCTGACATGATGATGGTAATGAATGTAAACTAAAAGATTTTTACTGATTTTTTTCCTGGTGTTGTTGTGTGTCCAATATTATTAATCAGTGTAAAATATCTACCTTTAATAGGTATTGCACCTATCTTATCTTATGGTTAATTAATTTCTGCATGTTATGTTTATACTTGTACTTACCTTACTATTTGTAGTTAAGAACAGTAATTATGACAGTTATATATTTATTTAAAATATTATTTTTTATATACTAAAATGTGTGTTACTTATCGTATGATAAAATAAGTAAAATGTGTATATACCTATGCTTATTTTCAAGTTCCCGGTCAAGTCAACCGTCCTACATAAAACAAGTTTACAAATAGTGACTCCGTAACCGTGCGATAAGATAAGCGCCAGCATAAGTGTATGATAATGGATATTAAATTACCGAATTCGGTTTTATCTAAGCACCTAATAATAATATAGCTGAGAAGCAAGATTGAAACATCTTCCAAAAAAGAGTTTCTCAATCAGTTTGAATTATATTTTTTGTGGACATGTTACTAGACAATACTGAACTAATATCAAAAGACTAATTTTAACTTCTTACATCCTGTACTGTTTCATTTGCTGTTGGATACTCCGTCGACTGAAGCTGTTCGCCCTATACCGACACAGATTTGTACCGTCACCACAACAACAAGATGGAAGTCCGATTGATATGGTGATATTGCTTTTGTCGCCTCCTTAGATTGGTGCTCTGCACCGGGGCGTGCCATGTTGGCGACAGACCTCTTTTTATATAATTTACCTTTTTAGCATTATATTTTTATATTATGAATATGTCTTTTTGATACTTATTTTGTTTTTCTTTTTGATTGACATATTATTGTTGTTATATTGTATGAAGTGTGATTGTCATAAGAAATTATACTGGTAAGCCTCTCTTAATATTATTTATTATTGCCGCTGCCCTCCTCTCCTACGTTTTCATTGGTCCTTCTCCCGGTAAAATTATAAGATATATATTTTAAAAAAAATTCGAAATTATAAACATTTTTTCAAATGGTTCTCACAAGAGGTATGGCAGCGGCACAAAGCGCCCTAGCGGATTTATTCGTTCCTCCCTCAGAGGTATCCGCCGGTGTTTCTCATAATATTAATATTCCTAGTTCGCGTCATAGTCCACATCGCTCATCGACCTCTATTCAAACGCAACGACTTGCCGCGAAAGCATTACATGCACGTCGCTTAGCCGAATTAGAGGCCAATCTTGACCGCGCCGCAACTGAGCGGGAACGCGCTGCAGTTGAGCGGGGAACGCGCTGCAGCTGAGCGGGAACGCGCTGCAGCTCAGCGGGAGCGTATTGTAGCGACTCTAGAACTAGAGGCTGAATTAGCGGCTATTGATGAGGCCGCCAGTATATACTCACAATCGTCTAAAAACTCTAGAGTAGAAAAATGGGTGACCTACACTAACAATTCTTTGTCTGAGAGACAGATCAACTCGGTGCTGGCTACAGAACGCGAGCCCGTGGTCTCGCCTGGCGTTTGCGCCACCGGTATGGCTGGTGTCGCAGCGCGCGAGCACGTATGTTCAGTCGGCATTGGAAGCGCATACGGTACTAAAATTGGCCGGGCGCGCGCATGAATACCGCCGGCGTATGATGTGCGCTTGTTACCGCGCCGGCCCTAAAAAATCTTTAAATGTCCACGGCATGACATTCTCTCAGCACTGCGGCTATGTTATTCATAACTTATACACGTACACATACTATAGGTACTCAAAACGAATTATTTAATTGTACTCAAAATAAAGGTGAGCGCACAGTTTCTAACACTGCTCACCAATCCAGTGATTTCTTGAATGTTAGCCTACCTATGTTTTCCGGTCCGCCGCCTTCCCGTTGGCTATTATTATTATTCAAATCATTTTTAAATTCCATTTGTCCATTTAGGTCTGTCGAGCTCTCTCTCTGCTCTCCATGTATAATCTATTTCTCTTCTGATCACAAGAAAAGAGATAAAAAATCCCTTATTCTTAGTATCACAAGCGAAACTGCCCAGTGTTATCAACGTAAAACTATGTTGTGCGGTACACAATTGTGTCCAACCATATATATTAGGTTCTCTTGATACATCTATCGTAGCTACTGACCTATTCAAAATTTCCATAGATGTTGGGTTAAAATCTCTTATTTTAGTCAACCAGTCGTTATAAAATTTGGCATACATATGTATGTGTTTTGAAAAAGAAATTTTGTTTTAGAAATTGTGTTTTAAGTGGTTTAATCAATACAGATATATCAGACCACGTGAATCAAGTCGCGAATAAAAACTGTATTAAGTATATAAATTACTTAGGTATATAGTCGAATTGGATATAATTACGAAATAGATCTTCATTTTTCCAACATAACCATGAAAATAATTTATATATATATAGGCAATCAAAAATTAATGGTAATAAATTATTAGACTTGAACACCAACGCAAGTTAAAAAAAATATTGCATGGTGGTTGTAGGTGTAATAGTCTTACTGATGTAATCATATTAAATACTTACTACCTACCTATATAATGACTGTATCGTGTTAATTGGTCATCCATCGCCTTTCTGTGGATGCTGGAATGTTACGTACCTACATGCGTACTACGTAAATAGGTACCCAACCAACATACAGTCAACAACAAGATTGATGAATGATGACTGAGTGTCAACTTTCCGTCAACCTTTTCAGATAAGGGTACAGTTTCCATAACTTTGGGCAGCGTACTAGTTTCACAAAGCTGTGCTGTGCAGTCCCATAACGGAGTGTGTCGTGATTAGTTGTATTGTGATTCAGTGTTGATAACGTGTGCTCCGTCGGAAATACGGTAAGACGACGTGCTGTTTACATTAGATTATAATATAAATTACGAATAATGTTAAAATCAGTTTTCAGGTCAGTAGTGTTACTTATCTGGGTAAAAAATGTAAAGATATATAATATGCAATCTTAAAATAAATAAATAAACCTACTCTTGAACTAACCAGTCAACCAGTCGTTATAAAATTTGGCATACATATGTATGTGTTTTGATTAAAATATATCTGAATAAAAACTGTCATAGTCGAATAATAGATCTTCATTTTTCCAACATAACCATGAAAATAATTTATATATATATAGGCAATCAAAAATTAATGGTAATAAATTATTAGACTTGAACACCAACGCAAGTTAAAAAAAATATTGCATGGTGGTTGTAGGTGTAATAGTCTTACTGATGTAATCATATTAAATACTTACTACCTACCTATATAATGACTGTATCGTGTTAATTGGTCATCCATCGCTAGCTGGAATGTTACGTACCTACATGCGTACTACGTAAATAGGTACCCAACCAACATACAGAGTAGCGTCAACTTTCCGTCAACCAGATAAGGGTACAGGTGGGCAGCGTACTAGTTTCACAATGCTGTGCTGTGCAGTCCCATAACGGAGTGTGTCGTGATTAGTTGTATTGTGATTCAGTGTTGATAACGTGTGCTCCGTCGGAAATACGGTAAGACGACGTTTCGAATAATGTTAAAATCAGTTTTATAGTGTTACTTATCTGGGTTTCATATTATGTAGTTGATTTCGTAAATGTTATTAACCTATTTCAAAAACGGAGGGTTTCTGTTCAGTTTTATTTTCTTAACTCATAACCACCATTAACCAACTTCAAAAAGAAGTAAATTCTCAATTCAGTTCCATTTTTTTTACGTTTGTCACCTCTTGACTCCGTTAGTTCTAAACCGATATTGAAGATTCTTATTTTATCTAAAAGGATGTACTTACAGATTGGTCTCGTAGAAATTTTATAAGAATCAATTCAGTAATTTAATTTTTAGATAAAAATAACTGGTTTTGTTACAATTGGGCTCAGGGTTTTTTTTTTTTTTGTAAGATACACAAACTTTAATTATTTGTAAACCTATATAGAATATTCGTTTTTTATCTGAAAAGATGTACTGTAAGTAAGTTGAATCAATTGGATCCATAGAAATTTTATCAAAATCAGATCAGTAATTTAGTTTTTAGACCAAATTATATTAAATTATACCTAATGTACTTAATTGGGGGGGATGGGATTATTATTAATGGGGCCTAAAACCCATTGCTATCAGGTCGACCTCCACGCAGTTCCACCTGGAAACCATCGTGGTTAATTGTAGTCGAATTCATCACGATAGGCTAACTGACCTGTCTTTTCATTCTCACCTGTCATCCCTCACTGGTTACCATTCCATTATCACCGATTAAAAAAATGTACTTAATTTCTATTTTGTGCAAGTAGGACTAAATTGAAAGGACCACCATAATATATTGTCATGTAAATAGAACCTACAAAATTATACATGATGACAAATCTTTAACGTTTTGTATTGACAATGATGCGTTGATTTGAATATATGTACTTAAGTAAGCGACCTTCCCATTAAATGTCATACTTATAATCAAAGCTCAATGATATGTGAGACGTCACCTATCATTTACTACGTATTAATAATTTAGTACATGATCTTACAGTTTAGAGCTAAAATTTCGATTAAATTTTATTATCTAGTCATCTGGAAGATTCCTGTTTGTATTCATCGCATCACTTCAGTAAGCACCTACTACTTTCACCAACCGCATTCAGATATGTATCTACGTATGGGCTATATATGCACCTAGAGAGTGATACTGCTCAGAAATAATTTAAATCCAGTTCTCGATTATTTTTTTCTAATAAAACATCTTGTCAAATAAAAAAAATACAGATCGAGGAGTGACGGAGGGCTGGAAGCTCGTAAGTAGAGTTTTGTGAAGTAGGTAGGTAGTTTTCTCAGGAAATTTATTTTAAAAGCAATAGGGTGCTTGACCTCTGTTACTTCAGAACCATATCATTATCCGGTTACTAAATACATGATGAAAATATTTACCAGATATTGTGATATTTCCTAGTAGCTACTGCCTCAGTACGGTACTATTTATTTGACCTATTCGAGGATGTATTATCAGACATTCTTCTATTCGTCAGTGCCACCATTCCGGTAGATAAATGCCAGTAGATAAATGCAATTAATAATACCAATTATATTACTATGTTTATAGGGAGGGCTAGGAATGGGCAGCAGCGACCCTCTTAAAACTCCTCTAAAGCTTGACTGTGGTTGCCAATCTGCTTGCCAAGCGTTGCAACTACTGACAAAACCCCTCAAAAGGGAAGCTTATGTTTAGCGGCGGACAGTTGAAGGCTGAGATGATAATATTACTATGTAATATATATATATATATATATATATATGTATATATATATATATATGTATGTATATGATTGGACCATTTAAGGAAACGTGCTTTACTAAATTAATAGTATGTTGGAGTTTAATCATCTGTAAAAAACACATAAGACAAGACATCCTAGCTTGATATCTAACTACTTTAGAAGCGACTTGGCGTAAGTAAATAAAATAAATAGGCCCTCCCAGGTGATTGGTATGTGATGCTTCTAAATTTTTAATTATTTTTTCTTATTTCCAGAAAATGGGCAACGTTGTGTTTTCTATATTATGGCTAATTATCCTGATATTTGTGGGATTTTGGATAGCCGGTATCGCCGCTGGCTTTTACATCCTCATCATTCCCTTCACAGTATGCATAGAAGCTTTAACGGTAAGTAGATAACATGTAAACTAAATATGGTCAACCTCTGCGATAAGCACTATGCTTCGAGTAAATAAATATTCGATATGGGATCAGAACAAACTGTAACAAACTGCGTGATTTGACCCAAATTTTTAATATCTGTAATATACTAATTGCTTAATACTGTATATAATAAAACAGGGTAGTAACCTTACAGTGTGTAGTAACTATCTCATATGTTAGGAGAGTAGGACCAGGAACTAGCAAGAACGTTGCCTATTGCTGGTAATATAAGGTATATTGCTAGGTGTATACCTTCTTAGCTTAACTTCCACGCAGTTCTTCTTAAATCATGTATAATTCCTGGCAAATTGTCCCTTTGGCTCAACTGACCTGACTTTATTCTCACCTATCATCACTCACTAGTACCTCGCCAGCGTAAGCTGATAGCGCAGGCGTGGTTACTATTCCATTTTCATTCCATAGTAAAAACACCCATCAGAATAAATAATACATAATTTTAATATATTTGATACGAGATGAATATATTAAAAAAATGGTGCGAATGACAGAAAAGAAGTGACCGTTTTTATCTTGGCATGATTATTTAATGCGTAGGAATTAAGAGAATATTTAAAAAAACGTACTAGCTTAACAAGTGTAACGACAGTTTGATTACTTGTTTCTAGATCTTCACTATTCATTATTCTTTGTATAATTATATAAAATATAGATGATTAGTTTTTACCCGCGATTTCATCCGATTGACCAAAATATGTTTACTAGCCGGGATAAAAAGTAGCTTATATCCATCTCTGTCCCTTATAGTATGTGTATACCAAATTAGTGTGTATGCACGGGTAAGATACAAACAAAGAACAAACTCACTCGCACATTTATTAGTAAAGAAGAGTATGAATGGTTATAAGGGTAAAAACATTCGGTCAAATGCGAGTAGGACTCGCGCAACAAGAGATCCGTACGAAATTATCAAGTTTAAAAGTTTTTTTTTTTTTTTGAAATAACTACAAATTACGGTTTTCGGATTTTTTCCTTTACTTATGTTACACGACATTGCTTCTTGCCAAGTTTCATGATTTTAGGTGAACGGGAAATACCCTATAGGTTTTGAGTTCCTTTGCGAATTTACAAATTATGCGATAAACATAGAATGTAAACGGCCGTATCTTTTTTTTTTTTTTTCACTTCTTTAAGAGATTTCAGACCTGAGTATATGATATTAATTTCAACTTGATACCTTCACGCGTTCGTAAGAGTCTTGACAGGATGGACGGACGGACGAACAACGAAATGATCCTATAATTGTTCCGTTTTTTCTTTGAAGTTATGGAACCCTAAAAATATACAAAAAGATATGGATGGATTGTGTGGAAGATAACATATATACCCAAAATGGGAATTAATGTAAACAAAAATGAATGGAAGAGGTAAACATTTAAGCCTAAATGATTGAAAAATAACCTTTCTAGTTAAAAAAAAAATGTTACACATAATAAGTTTTAGTTTAGAATAAATTCTACTCGCCTGCAGATGTTACAAATTAATGTAATATGTAAATACATACTTACGATAATATCTGGAATCATATACTTAGGTACCAACTTTATCTGTAGACTGTACACCGTATGAAAATCACGTCCTACTCGGTGATCAATGATTAATCCGTTAGTATATTTATTATACTTACAAAAATATATAGTGAATGAATGCATTTACTTAGCATTTACAAGGAAGATTATCTTCAAGACGTAGGTATATTTACACTTACCTTATCAAATCTCTTCATATCGATCGATATCTTTAGACCGTAGATATTCGATGATAAAATATCGCCAAGTATTATAAATTTTTTTCACGGTTCATAGAAACATAGTAACCTACCTATATTTTTTTTTCAAATTGAAACAACAGCTGACGACCCGCTTGATGGAAAGTTGGTAAGCGTCACCTGTAGATATGGAAAGCACAAAGGGTATCACAGAACATACTGTGACTCCAATGATAGGCGTCCCTCAAAAGTTCTGATCGCTAAATACTAACATTTTAGTTTATTAGATGTTAGCATTGCGAACACAGCTACTTGTGGACAGAAAAGCGAATGGGATAAAGAACCTAATTGGAGAACTTGAAAATAAACTTCCTTATATCATTTTTTCCTCATTTTCCTGTGTAATTTCTCAAGAATCTGCGTACACATTAAGTACCTAGGTATAGCAGACACTACTCTCTAGGCCGAAAGTGTACCCAATTACCTAATTGGTATCTCACGAAAGAAAAGGAATGTTGTTTTTATCCTAATATATTAAGTTTGAAACATTTTAAATTATAAAATAATAATTTACTAAATATAAGTATAATTATATTATGAAATATTCATTTTATAAGACAAACTACTACATCTATGTTACTTATTTTAATATTATAATAGGTATAACTTTATTTTCTATGATATTAGTAAATGGCAATTTCTTTACAGGGCCTGACCGACTTCTTATTACTAGTGGTACAGTTTCCAAGATACTGTGCTCAAGCAATGATGGAGGGAAAAGGCTTCAACTAGATATAGGTGTTATGTAAATCTAGTCAAATTTTTAATAAATATGTGTCTACTTTGATAAATAAATAATCTTGATTACCGTGCCATACAAACCTCGTGGAGTATTTGTTTAATAGTTGGATATAAATATTCAAACACATAGTGTTGTATTTAATTATTATGGCTACAAGGAACTTTTTAATTAAGTATGCTTTAAACAAGCATCTAAAAAATAATGAACAGTCACAAACATCTACATATAATCATGAAAATATTGTTTTATAATAAGTTAATGTTAAGTTTTAGTATAATGAACATACATTCTTAAATAAACTAATAAATTTAATCCACAGAAATAGGAATATTGTATATGAAAAAATCTAAGCCCATGTAAATAAAAGGTGGACGATCTAACTTTTAGTTGACAATTAATCACAGTCTGGACCCTTAGGATAATGTTAGAGTTGGCCCAAACCAACGCGCTATCACATCAGAGATGTGCACCGCTTTCAAATAGTAGCGTAAAAACAATCAACACGCGCCTCGGCGAACATTCCCGATGCACTACAAAACCGGGACATCCCCAACAGCACCCTTAACGCATTATTGTACTGTCATCGTAGGGTGCTGTACTGCTTCTGAGTATAAAAAGCTAACAGACTACTCGTGTAAAAGTTTGTATTAAATGCTCTAAATAGAGATTTTGACCCTCTAACATGAAAATCTACGAGCAATCATATTGGCCTTCACAGACAACGCCTTACGCTTCCTACGTCCATATCATCTCTTAGGTCAGAGGTTAACATATGACCTAAGTATTTAAAGTATTCTACCTTATATAACAGGGTATTGTTTATTTTAATTTTTAATTGGTATACGATCTAAATATTTACTTCTGACCTACGTTATATATATAGCAAACCATAAATACGGGCATACGTTTCACATGTGCCAAGCAGTTTTGTCAAACCACCAGCCGATGCACTCAGCAGCACCATGTCGACCGCGTAGTTAATATTATTGAGACAAACTCCTTTCGAGATTATGATAACTCGAGATTATGTCACTCAATTGTTAACAATTCTTTTTGAAACAGCAATTGACGGATTTACGATTATGGGTCTACAATTCAAATTTTAGTTACCAAGCCTTCATTTGTAACTGAAATTATCAAATTACATAATCCATAATCGTAAAACTGTTAATTTTAATTTTAAACAATTAATATTAGTAACAAAATTAAAACAATTTAAGGGCAGATTAATGAGAAGCGACAGGCTCTCCTGGCTTTAATAAGTTTCAGTTTAATAACTATGATTAGCCCAGATTTGATTATAGGCGATATGGAGTACTTGATATTATATTAGACATATTACTCGTGTGATTTATATTTTAAAAAATATCTGAATACTATTTCATTTATCTTACCTTAACACCCACTATTATCCCACTATTGGACTTTAGGGGCATGAAAATCTTCACACAAGAGAATACATTTTTTACCTATTCACACGCTGGTAACTTGGTATTAGTTTTATTTTGATTTGTTTTTTTTTCTTTTACGTAATTTATTTTTACTTAAAAAATATTTTACTTGTATTCAAGAAAACAATGGTTCGATTTAAAAATAGTTTAATTTAAACGGCTTCATTGTACCTAATTAGACATATTTTACATAGAAACATTAAGCTTCTTCTATATGTACAGTTATTAAGCACAGAAAAATAAACACTTACTAATAATATTTTGCTTTTACTTCAAATCTATATTTTACATTTCATAAACATAGTTCATAATAATATTTTGTTCACTGAAGTTATGATTTTATAGCATCTTTAATGACATTCACTGTTTCTAGGAGGACATCTGCTTGACCAATGCACGAAGCAATCACGTCGCTAAAACAAAAATTTACAAAAAATAAATAAATAGCTAGTTTCCAACGCTATTATATATTTTGAAAAGATTAATAAGATTTCCATAATATTTTTTTTTTTTTGATATAAATTAAAATAATTGGTCGTGTGGTCTCAACATGGAATAGGCCACTGCGTCCTTTGCCGTGGATGTCGTAAAAAGCGACTAAGGAAATCTAATGATTGAAGGATGGGTAACAGTCTTTCTTAAAACATCATCAAAACCTAACTGCGGTTGCCAACTCGGTGCCAAACGTGGGAATTACTAGTAAAATCCCCCTCACGGGAAAGGCCTATATTTGACAGTGGACGGTTAACTGTTGATATGATAACGATGATGAAATTAGAATAGCAACCAAGCTGACGGCTCACCTAATGGTAAGTAATTGGGGGTGGCGGGGATGAAAGGAATTGTTGGTAATGGGATCTAATTGACCTATTGCTAGCAATACACCCTATCAGATCGACCTCCATTCCCTTCCCTCTGGAAACCGTCGTAGTTAATTCTAGTGGAATTCGTCACGATGGGCTAACTGACCTGCCTTTTCATCCTCACCCGTTATCCCTCACTGGTGCCCCTCAGCGTATCCCGATAGCGCAGGTGGGATTACCATTTACTATTCCATTATCACCCATAAAAATAATGGAAAGTAATAACCTATAGACATGAACAGTACTATGAACAATACAAAATATTCCTTGATGCTCATAATACCATAAAACGTGGTCTTACGCTGCTAACAGTGTAACGATGCTCCAAGTTGTTCTAGGAGCTATGGCAAGAACTATACTTGAAGTTTCGCTATGTCATAGATTCCGAAATGACATTCGCAAACCAAAATTATTTATATGGCCCGATAGATAAGCAAATTGAAATAGCCAGCTTAAATTTCATATATGAACAGGGGGGGTACCAAATCTACATAAGATGTGACAAAGTAACCATTATTATATTAAATCAAGTAAGAAAAAGAGAATGATTTCTTCAAATATATATATAACAGAAATTTAAATTATCACAAAATGAAATTGGGACAAACTTAGAAGTTAACTCTATCGATTGCAGAGTATTGAAAATTTACTTAGTGTTGACTATGTATCCGCAAAAGAACCAACGTAACTGACATAGCCCGAAGAATAAGCGAGCTGAAGTGGCAATGAAGTGGTCACATAGCTCGAAGAACCGATAACCGATGGGGAAAAAAGGTTCTTGAGTGGCACTAAATGGAATGACGACCTGAAATACATTACAGGCAGTCGGTAGATGCAGGTGGCTCAAGACCGTTCTTTATGGCAGTCTATGGGGGAGGCTTATGTCCAGCAGTGGACGGATAATGGCTGAAATGATGATGATAATGATTGACAACTAAAGCTTTCTTCTTTTGGATGTTGTTTAAAATATACAATACTGTTTAGGCACGACCAGAACATTTAACAAATAGAATGCTTTAAGATCAGTTTTAGATGCTTGATGAAAAATATTGTGTTTTATATATAGGTGTCAAATCATTCACAAGAATCTGTTCAGAGTGAGTAAATAAAAATGGATCAAATATCTTACCGGTATATAACAGCCTGTTCGGAATCAAGGAGAACTCCCGCTTCTTGGAATAGTGACTTGCTAGCGCTTTCGGTATAATTTACGCATCGTTCCATTATGCTAAAAGGAAAAACAAGTTTGTTTCAAAATATTTTTAAAAACATGCTTTTATATTTTTAAATCAGACTTTATCATCAGACTCAGACACAGGGTTACAGTATTTGTCAAGGCGAGTCAAATGAGCCGAAACACAACTTATTTATAATAACTAATTTACTAATTTCTACCATTAATAATTTGTTGAATCTGCTTAACCGTAAAAATATTTAGGAAGTATTAGCTATTACTTAAAATACAAAATAATAACAGCATTTGTTTAATCATTACAGAATTTCCTTCTTTCCACACAGTTTCATTTACCAAGTGAAAAAGAAATTCATTATTTATATCAGATTTTAAACAAAATAGTATAAAGAATATATGTACCTGTTTAATGATTTTCGTAAATTTACAATATGTAAATGGACTGTCTCAACTTTTTCTTGGATTTCGATCTTTTTGACTGTACTTATTTTCTCCACATCATTTATCTCATGGAGTGTATTCTCACTGAAACACAAGAGACAAATTTTCTAAAATTAAAAAAAAAAGAATTAGGCCAACTTTGTCTCATTTCTTTCTCTTTTTATCTTTGTTTATAAATTAAGAGAAGCTCGGCTCTATATGACCTTCACGTATGTAAAATAAAAGAAACTAATCAACGCACAGCCAAATTTGTATCTAAATTCTAGAACCAGTTTTGATCATGCTCTCAACATTAAACACTGCATAAGGGTTTTATTTTTCTTAAATAATACAAATATAGGTACGTAATAAGAATTTTTGGAAATTCATTAATGGCTATACTAATATACTATTATATAATAAAGAAACAGATATGAATAATTATTTCTATATAGAATATGAAAAATCAATTTACCAAAAATTATGAACTTCTTTAGATGCTTCCTTTATTTCTTTTATAAATTTACTAATGAACAATTTGAATGTGTTATCTTCTCTTGTACACTCTGAAGATTTGCTTGTAACACCATGAGATGTCTCTATACTCTGATCAAATTCACCATCAATTTCATCATCCATTTCATCACAATAGTAATCCTCAGAATAATCGTCTTCTTCCATATTGTAATCATCATTACACTCAAGTGAATAATCCAATACATCCATATCTAGAGGTGCTTTCTCCAATCTTCCTTTTAATCTAGCCTCAAAATCTGAGCATTTCGTAAAATTTCTTACAATACGTGGTTCTTTATCTGCGACTAAATCCGAAGGCACATTAGAGGCTGGCCCTGTCGAGTTCAGATTAGAGACTGGCTCTGATTCGTTTTGGCATTGATTTTTTGTTGAACCTAATGTTTCCATTTCATTTTTTTTAAGATGTAGAGTGGATAAGAATGTGTCCTTCAGATCAAATGTCCTAATGAATTTAACATCTTTTCGTTTTTCTTCATCATCCTATATAATAAGTTAAAATATAGAAATAAATAGCAAATAACGTAATATATTTAATAATTATATCTGTACAGGGTTTTAAAAAAAGGGTCACAGAACATAAATATAAAAAATATATATGTTCTGTTTCCTTGTAAATGAAATTTGTATAAATACACAAATATCATTCACGAGGACAGAGAACATTTGTCTTTCTTATAAAATTATAATTTATCAATTTTTCCACACAACTAGATGAAATGAGCTATACAATATTTACTAACTCGATGTTGTGTTTGTAAAACCCCACTAGTACTAAACCTTTCCCAAAATACCATCTTTAATACAGTTTTTGACAAACTTCAAAGCTTGTTTTCGACATAAATTTTTTGTATATACTCATAACCAAAATCTAGACAAAGCCAATTACATATGTTGAGCCTAAATTAAGAGTAATTATTTCATCACAAGTACATACAGAAATGGATATTAAATTGACAAGGTCAATTCAGTTGCAAAGTTTATATATTATATATTATTATAACTTCATAAAACGTAAACAAAAATATTGTTTAGCAAATACCTCTGTCAGTTTTCTTTTCTTAAATCTGAAGTTATTTGAATCTGAATTTTTATTATCAGCATATTCTGTATGTTTGGAGGACGTTCTACTAAACGTTTCTCTATTATTAACAATTGGATCATCATTTTCTTGGTTACCTGTAATGCAAATATAACTAATTAAATAAATAATATAGAACTGAAAATAATATTACCTAGTTCTTGATGATTGCTGATTTAATTTATGCATATTGAAAAAATGACAAAATTTCAGAAAATAATTAAGTGTATAAAAAAATAAAATTGTATTTATATATGGTCACGATCAAAAAAATTAAAATATATTTACTTCTATATTTTATAACAAAAACAAATAAATTATGTATCGATTTTTCTATGGACACAACACGAATTTATTTCGTGAAGCAATATTTAAATAATTATATATTTTTGATTTGGATTAACTACAAACTACCGTAAGTCACAAGTACAGGCATCAGCCTGCATTATTCTATTTATTTGTTTATCTGATACAACATATGTCGTAATATCTAGTGATGTATTTATTTTACGATTTAACAGCGTCTCATAATAAAAAAAAACTATGATAAAAACCTACCAATTGTAGATGTAGTTTGTGAGACTGCACAGGTAGGTTCATTCATATTATCGTTAAAGGAATCATTATGGCCTTCCAAGTTATAGTTGTGAATGTCGCTCAACAATTTTGCCAGCGATCCGGCAGCGGTCTGAAGATCTTCAGATTTATCAAAAACAACCTAAACATTTTCACGAAATTAACAAAATAATTTTTAAATATAAAAGATATTAAGAAAGAAATTTATACCTGTAAAGCATTGACAAGATGTACACCATAACTATACATTTCCATGAATTCAGCAGGTTTAATTTTAAAGTTGATTCTGCCTAAAATTTGATAAAAATTACACAGTAAATTTATATATCATTAAATTGTGTTAAAAATTCAATTAGGTCTCTAAATATGTGATACATAAAAAATTCGAAATTGAATGATACTCGAGAGAGACTTTGTACAAAAGTCGATTGCTTGGGTACCTCTGTCCCATTCGTGTTTCTACCGTGAAGCAGTTGTTTGCATGGCTGTTTCGGTTTGAAGGGTGGGATATGGCGTGAATTTACAGGGTACAGAGGAATAACACCTGAGTCCTCAGGAATGACAACGCATGGGGGATATCATGGGCGAAAAAGTATACTCTGTTATGTCCATGGTACTGCTCATGTCTATAGGCGACGGTTACTACTTTTCATCAGGTGAGCTGTCAGCTTGTTTGCCATTCTAAGTTGTATAAAAAAAAATATTAATATTAAATGACTTCACACAAACAACGTCAGAATGAAATAAAAAATTAATTGGAGATACAAAGAAGTTTCTGTGTTGTATATAAAGAACTATTCATCTACATTTTAACTTTTAGATGTTCATGTTGCATGACTTATACTTTATACATATACAGAAATACTTATACAGAAAATAAAATGAGGTATATTATGAATATAAATATGATTATCTACATTTTCTTTTATCGCTGCAATTAATTACATTTCATTTGGATATTGGGAAATAATATTCTATTAAAACTTACCTCTTTCATCACTTATTTTAAATAATATATTAGATAATTTTGATGCAGCATCAATAACACAATTGTCATCAAATCTCTTTTTTATGCACTCTGTTGCTTCATGGATAGTCCATGGCGGAGGCATAGTGTTCTCTAAATCATTACTTATATCTTGTTGTAATATTTGACTGAGTACTTCTTCCATTATTTGTACAAACCTTGATATCCACTCATCACATCTCATCTTTAAATATTCTTCCATAGCAACCTCAGTAATTTTAAACATAACACTGCTGGTTCCTTCTTCACTCATTTTATTGAAATTAGGCTTTTTAATATTAATACTAATCATGCTTTCTGAATCAATATTACTAATCGAATTTGATATAACATCAGATATTGATGTTTCTTCTATAATGATATTTTCAGTTCTGTTTCCTGTTAAGAAAGTAGAACTGTTAGTTTCGCTACTATCTTCATAAGCATTTTGCCTATCTTTGAATATACTTTCGTTAGATGAATGTTGAGGAAGTGACTTGTTGAGATCCAGCTGATTACCGTCACCAGTATTATTTAATACATTTTGATCTCTATTATCTGAAGTTGAAATAGGAAAATTTCTTTTTCTTCTATGCCATTTAAATTGCTTTTTTTCTTTATTACTAGAACTGTCAGTTGTTTCATTTACTGTTCTTCGTTTTAATCGAATTTTTCTTTTATTGGAGTTCAAACTTTGATCTACTGTAGTTTGAATACTGTTATTTGACAATATTTGATTAGAAAATGTATTTACACCAACACTATCCGTTTTTACTATTTCTGGTTCTGATACATTAAAATCAGTCTGTACGCCTGCATCAACAGTCCGTCTCATAGCGGAAGTAGTATCAGTTTGTATATCAATTTCTTTTACAGTTAACACAGCCTTATTTACAGTATTATCGTTTTGAAGGTCATCATTAGGTATATCAAGTTCCTCTTCTTTATCATTAAGACTTTCATTAGTTAAATGAGGTTCCTTCACTCTATCATCAGCACAATGTTCCCTTTCAGCTTCATCAAGAAAGTCATTATTTGGTATAGTAATTTTTATAGAGCGATCATCAATTGGTTTTGGCATTCGGTTTTGTAAATTTTCTTTAGAGAAAGCGGTAGTAAATAAAATGACTTTTATCTCTGTAATAGTAAATACTGGTACCTTTGTTGCTAACTTTGTCTGTTGCCAAACATCTTCATGAGTGATATAAATCTGAAATTTATATTATTTTCCATATTACTAAATAAGACGCCAAGATACGCCAATTGTGTGGTAAATAAATAACTTACCAAAGGATTGTTCTGTTCTACTAATTTTGAACAAAAATTCAGAAGACAAATATTCTTATCTTCAGGTGATTTATTTGGGTCTTCCCCTAAAACATTTACACAAAAAAAAATATGTCTCAAACATGTTATATACATACATATGTTTGAATTAAAAAAAAAGAAATAAATCAATACCAATGAATTTTCAAAAAACTTATTTAATCACTATATTGGTTATATCATAGTGCATACAAGATCTTAAAAGATGAATACAACTTACCGATAACAGCAGAACCACTAGCAAATTGTTGCGTAAGGAAACGCAACGCACGTCGAGCTCGAAGCTTTAACTTATTATTAGAATCGGTTCTTGCATCATTTTGAATAATTATAAAAATCTCACGAGCGACCATCAATTGGCATGTTTCATCTACACAAAAAATTATAAAGAATATAATTATGTAAATGTAGTAGATGCCATTATTTATATAGAAGTAAGTAACCTAATAGATCAAAACTCATCACAGAAGAACCAATCAGCTAAAAATAATGCCGAGACTATTAATAAATACTGAATAATAAAGAAACATGGTTTTTTTAATAATAATAAATCTTTATTTACCACTCACACGGAATACTGTACAGTGTACTACTATTTAGGTTTTTATTTAAAAAATATTAATCCTGTATTTCGGTTTGAAGGGTGGTATATGGCGTGAATTGTAAATTCAGGGTACAGAGGAATAACACCTGAGTCCTCAGGAATGGCAACGCATGGGGGGTATCATGGGTGAAACAGTATACTCTGTTATATCCATGGTACTGCTCATGTCTATAGGCGACGGTTACCACTTTCTATCAAATGGGCCGTCAGCTTGTTTGCATTCTAACTTATATAAAAAAAAATTCACACCTCAAATCACCTTATTATTTTTAATCACCTGGTACTTAAATTTCTTGTCTAAAAATAAATAGTAATTTTAAACAAAACGCAACTTCAAAACATGAAATATCAAAAACAAGACCATAGTCCACAATATCCAGAAAGAAAGAAGCTATCCATAAATTATCAATAGTAAAGAAACGTAAAGAAATCTTAATCAGTAGTAATTAAGTTGTAATAAGTAATAGTTGAAAGTTTGGATTAAAAGTTAGTATTCACCTGAATTTACAATGGTGTTCAAAAATTTGTAGTGATTGAGTATCACACCCCTATCAACCACAATAAACCATCGATCTGAATCTGTATTGGGTATGATGAGATTTCTTAAGGCTGATACATCGAGCACATACTTTTCTCCTTCTGTAGAACCATGGGCCTAAAAGTCAAGTATTATTTATACATAAAAATTATTAAATACCAGCCCAAGAATTATTAGATTTATTGTAAAGACACTATTGAAACATGTCACACACTAAACCAAAATAAGCAATTATTAAATTTTATATATATATATATATTACATATGACACATAGTCAGAAAATTAAATTTATACACAATTGTTGGTGAAGTCACTACCTACTATTATTACTTTTCTATATAAACCTACTTATATATTATAATATTAGATAATTTATTATCATTAGGTATATATTATTATGTACATCAGCAGAAAAACCAAGTCTATTATTGAATTAATTTTCATTATACAATTTTAAAGAAAATAATTATTAAGATAAACATGATCTATTTCAATATGCTATCCAAAATGCCCAAAAATCATTGTTCATATTCATCACAATTACAACAGTTAAAATAAACATCTATATGATGATATGAAATGAGTTGTGAGAACTATTCATTTATAGGGTAATTTAAAAAAAAAGTAATTACCTTGAGCCAGTCATCATCAACATCACTCGCACATAATTCTTCTTCTTCATACTTAATTTGTGTGGGGCTGTGTTCTTTTGGTACAATTTTATCAACACTAGATGCTTAAAAAAATAAGTATAATTTTTCATAAAAATATCAAACACTAAATACCCCATTTTAACTTATATTAACAGATGAAAAATAATATTTACCATCACTCTTTGCTTCAGGAGATTCTGATGTTTCTATCTCCACTGATTTCTTAGCTGATATAAATTGGCGAAGATCATTCAATTTATTCCTAAATCTTGGTGGGTGACTTTCCCTGAATCTATTATTGTAAAATTTTGAAGAAAACCTATGATAGCCATGTATTCTCCTATACAAATGATTTCTATGTCTTCTTTCATTTATAATACTAAAATGCCTTGAAAGTGGAAATGTGCTTTGATGTGGGGATATAGAAGTATGAAAGTTATTATATTCAACCAATGAAGTATGATTTTCATTTGATATTGTAGATGTTGTTGGAGTTATATAAATCTGGTGGGTAGAAGGTATAGCCCAAATATTAGGATTAAATACAGGTTGTGCAGTAATATTCACACCCAATGTTTCAACTCGATTTATGGGTACAAATTTAGAGTTTTGTAAAGTTTGTAAAGAAAAGGGAGATTTTATAATCTTGGTATTTATTACTTGATTATTAAAACTATTCAAAGGTTCATAGTTCTGAAATCGTTCTTGACCACTTATTCTATATTGACTTGAGAAATTACTGTGATCTATTGGTGGTTCATTTGGCTCAGGACAGCCCTCTAATGGAATTCCTGGTGGATTTTTTGACATTTTCTTGGCTTTTTCAACCTGTTGGAAAGTTTAAAATATAGTTAATACCTATACAGAAAACAAAATTGCTTCTTTATTTTTAAATACACCTCACCTCTGCATCACTTAAATTCCAAACTGCTTCTCCAGTCAAGGTGTTGAAGTAATATGTACGCCCAGAGTATGACTTAGATCTACAAACTACCCAAGAGTTGCCAACAGATGTAACAACAATCTGATTACTTATTTTTGGATCTTCACCACTCATTATTCTGAGTACCTATAAAAAATTAAAGTGCCAGACGTGATTAATACCTATAAAATATAGATGACTAGTTTTTACCCCTGACTTCGTTGGCATGACCGGAATGTTTACTGACCAGGATAAAAGTATTACATTTTTTTATCCAATATTACGTATATAACAAATTTCTTTGTAATCGGTTATGCCGTTAAGCGCTATAAGGTAAGATACAAACAAACGTTCACTAATATTTATAATATTGGTTAAGATTCGTAAAATATATTTAGATGTGACAAACTGCACTTGATAAACAAAATAACTACCCGGAAGAGAATAAATTTAAAAGTTATGCGCTTACGATACCTACCTATAGTTTTTTTTGAAGTAAAAAAGATTTAATTAAATATAGTACTAAAACAGAACTTTGAAGATTTTATTTTAGATTAACAGAAATTTAATGAAAGTAAAAAAGGACTTACAGAGTTGTAAAGTTTAATAACCACAGAATAGTACAAGAACTACGTTATAAGAGATGGCAGTGACCTTAAATATATGAAATCTGGAAAATATAGTGTACGTAGGGTACCTTTTTGAAGCATAGACACATTAACACGAATATTCATAGTGTTGTTACCCCTATTTACATATGTCTCCACCCAAAATATCGATATCGACTGTTGTTATAAAAAACCTAGCTATTTCATATATTGTATAGGTATATTTTTCATAAAATTAAAAAAAAAAGAAATCAAATATGTTGAGTTACTTTATTTTGTTTTACTTCAATGTGGCTGTTAGACTCCATTATTAACAATCCCTTTTTCCCTGCATTCCAAAGTTGAGATGACTAGAAACCAGAGAGGGGTTAATAAAAAAAAACTGCCAGGATCCAGCCAAATATTAACTTAATATTAATTCAAGTTAATTGATCTGTATATTAACATTTGACGATTTAGCATATAATTCGAGAACATGATCTTTAAAATTTGGCTATATGCAAAATACAAATTTTGTAAAAACATTTTGTACGCTTCGCGAGGTTAAGGTGATTATAAACGAGAGAAGGATTAATAAAAAATATAACTAGGACAGTAACTTATGTAAAGTAAGTTTAAGTATCATTGGTGTCATGGGCGAAACAGTATACTCTGTTATGTCATGGTACTACTCATGTCAATAGGCGACGGTTACCACTTTCCATCAGGTGGACCGCCAGCTTGTTTGCCATTCTAAGTTGCATAAAAAAAGTGAAAGAGGTATTCTTATTTTGGCATTAGTTATATGTAAATAAGCTTGGTGTGACTTTTATCTTAATAACAGTGTATAAAAATAAAAAATAAGCTAGCATAAAAAATTATACACAAAATAATTTTATCACTTGTTTAATACCATAACTAGATAGTAATATTTTATTAAGTTGGTAAATACAGTTTTGATCGCCCTCAATGACTAATTACCAAATTAATTTTAACCCTTAATAAGCATTTTGTAAGTTATTATAATTGCACAAGAGATGGTACCCAATGTATATCGATATTGAGTTGTAGATTAATGTCAATATTATCAAATCCCTAAATTAAAGGAATATGTCAAATTTACTATATATAATATTATTCAATACTGTTTTCAACCGCTACTTCGTAGGCGTAGATTAAACAGCCTATTTCTAAATGTCATATTAAGATAAAACATACACCCTTTTCAAAGTTGGACGTTCAGGAACACAAATGTGCAGATCTCATTGAAAATAATGCAATAGTGTTTGCATAATGTCAAAACAAACATATAGAAAGACAGACCGACAAAATTTATAAAAAATAATGTTTTGTTATCTATTAGTCTTATTTAGACTCCACATATTAATTAAAGTTGTGTCCTGACAAACAAACCAAAGTGCCGTTTAAGAAAACTAAAGTATAGTAAACTCTAGTACATAGTTACAGATATACTAGAGTTGGTACCCTCTGATATTTGTGGACTAACAAATGAGACTTATGACGGTTTTAGATATTTTGTTACGTTAATAGACGATTAAAATGGAAAAAAAATTACATATTTTCAAAAATCAAGGCATTCAAGATATTTGTTGAAAAACAAACTGTCAAGAAACTTATGATTTTAAGAACGGATACCAGGACAGAGTACGTCAATAAACAAGTAGATGATTATCTTAAATCTACACACAACATTAACTTTCAATGTTTAAATAAGAAAAAAAGCAACATAAATGTACTCATAAATTATTGTAAGTGAAATGCATTGTAAATTTAATAATATACTTAACGATACTTGATCGCTGTTCAAAATAATATTATATTATAAATTAATTTGTTATTATTTGTCATAAGTCAATACTTTATATGGTTGCTAAGATGACCGGGTAGATAAATTGTAATCGTAATTGTGAGAGAGATAATATGATGCTACTCGCATTTAACTGTATTATACTAAAAGTAACTTGAACATTACAAATAATTGTGTTTATGTTTTAGAATGTACCTAATGTCTTTTATAACGTCTTTGAATACTTATGTTACGTCAAAGAAATACAGGCTCGGCCTACTTCGGTGGCTAGTAGATGTAACTAAATTGTAATTTATTATTCAACAAAGATTATTATTATTAAAAAAAAATTTTTTTTGTAAAGTTTACGCCTGAGCAAAAGAGTGCTACTAAGTGAGCACACAGAACAATGGAACAATGCTGAAAATTTGTGTTAAGCATAAAAACGTCTTAACTTCGTTAACATTTCAAATGAAAGATCTTAGGAAAGCTAAATTTATATTAGGCATTCCTATCACGCAAGATTACAAAAGATTATCAAACTGAACCAGGAACGATATGTAAATAAATTGCTTAAGATAGAAGACTACAAAGTGACTGCAACTCAGTCTGTACTAGATGAGTGACTGATTACACCAGGATCTGATCATAAACCGGATGATAGGATTCCTCATCAAATAATAATAGGCTCGTTATTGTATTTATCAGTGAGCATAAGATAAGACATAGCGTGCACAGTCAGTTCTATTATATATAACAATTTTAACCTATTACACTGAGGAATACTGGCTCACAGCAAAGAGAGTATTGCGATATTTAAATGGAAGAAAGAGATATGGCATACAATATAACAAAAGAACTACATTGTCAGCTATTCAAGGGTATGCTCATGCTGATCATATTGGAGATAAAGATTGCAAAACATACTCTGGATTTATGTGTATATGCCAAAGAGGAGCTATTTGTTGGAAAGCAAAGAAGTAACACACAATTGCACTATCAATAGCTGAAGCAGGATACGTATCGTAATCTGAAGCTTCAAAAGAGGCAATATTTTTAAGCAGGTTAGTACTAGAAAGGAATTAAATACTATCTTTCGTGATAGTCAAGCGGTCATTGTTATCGCAAAGAACCCGGTCCATCATAAATATAAACAACATCTATTGCACAATTTTCAATATATTTGAACCGGTGAATAAATAATATCTATAGTAAGCAGAGTCGTGGATTGTGAATTGAAAGACCCCGATTGTCAAAACAAGTTTAATACGAGCAACAAGTAATACACAGTTGTTAGCAATGGCGGGAGCGCGCTTTAGGTCTAGGCACATATACGAACGTATTGGCGGCCGGCGTAAGACTACTGTAGAGGGCGCCTTTGTCTATTATAACAAGCGGGTGGATGCTCGCGAGTGTCCTGGATTTGTCGTTCCATTATGTTGGTAGTAGTGACGGTAGGTTTTACCATATATTTATAAATAATTAAGTTTAATTGAAGTATGCATGAATTATTTAATAAATTAATTCACTCGATCATATAGTAGCTGAGCTAATTTTTTATGCTATGTTACTAATTTTGATGAACTAGTACAATTAATTAAAATCCATTGTGTTATTCCTACTGTGGTTCCTACTATTTATCAATATCATAAAAAACATATTACGCCGACCCCAAATAATAATTGGGATAAGGGTAGGAAAATGATGATGATACATTACAAAGAAGTAACTAATATTACATCTATTACTACTATGTAAATATAATGATGATGAATATTATCTATGAATAATTAACTAATAATATTTGAAGTGTGCATTTTTCCGTTAAAATGTCACCATTTAAAGTAAAATTAATTTTAGTCATATTATATAGTTGCATACATATGATTATACTAATACTATAATAATAAATAGAGCTACTTGTCTGATATTTATTATACGGATATAGTTAATTATACATGTATTCATTTAAAATGAATACGTGTTTTTTTAAGATATTATTTATATACTTCCAACTATTATTTAGCGCGCCCAAATGCATTACTCACCTATAAAAAAAATTAGATTTAAAATTGAAGTAAAGCAAAATGAAGTAAATAAACGTATTTGCACTTGTTTTATTGTCCATGTTCATCGTAAAATGTGTAATTTTTTTATTATGAAATGGCTAGATTTTATTATAATAGTCGAGTCTAAAAGGAAAAATAGAGGGAAAAAAAGAGAACCGAAAAATAACCTAAGAACAAGGAATTACAATTTCAATGACTGGATAATATTGTAACAGATCCTTAGACTATTTCTAAACCGATTGAAGTGTTGTCCTCCTCTCTCCTACTTGCTGTGCACAACAGGGTCCATAATTGAAATGTTATCTACTAATTATATTATGGAATGCAATAAGAAATAAATAAATAAATATAATCGAAGGAATGATAAAAACTCTGAATCATGTGGTTGCTTCCTTATGCAAATATAATTAGTAAAAATAGGACAAAAGATACACCATCAGTTGCTTTTTTTCTAATTCATAGCAAGCTAGTGTATAGAACATGTTTTTATGTCAATTATTTGTCAATAACATACATTATTAGATTATATATTCGACACAGTTTATGTAAAAAGTATGCAAACAGGTTGTATCTGAATTTGATTTGATATAACATTTTCTATACACTAGCCTGCTATGAATTGTCAATTTTATCACTTCTATGTAATTCCACGTTCTTAGGAAATAACTACATGGGACAGATAAAGAAAAAAGTAGGTGTCAGGTCGTATAAGGAGATCTAAGATGTTCTAGAATAGAATTGGTTTGAAAAGAATGCATGAATTAGTTACACCGCTGAGAGGCAATTCTTAATAAATTAATAAATAAAAAGAAAAAAGTGGATTTCGGTATTTTAGTTAGAGGCATATATAGATAATGATACAACACTATGGATATCTATGTTTTTTTCCATAATTTTTATTGTGTTGTTACTTTAAAAAGGTAATATGCATTTTTTTTCCAGATTTTATGGATGAAGGTCGGTGACAACTCCTATAAAGTGGTAAATTGCTTGATCTTTATAAATATTCTATTGCTGACAACTCTATAAATAGTAAAAATTCAAGTATTTGTTATAATTATAAATTTTATTTCAATTCATGAACGTTTGGAAGTGTATTAAAATTAAATTAGATATATTTTTTCTACCAATTCCTATACAAAGTATTTATGATGGTTCTATAATATTGCATTTAAAGAATGTCTACATAGTAAAATATGCATCTTCGTGTTTTACTCCCAAATTCATTAAAATTAATTTCATTTTTTGATCAGTACATGATTGAAAATATATGCCTTTACACTAGTTTTTGTGAATATTTAAGCACACATGCATTTGGTCTAAATTTCTTTAGCCTGTAGAGCATCAACATTCATAATTCATGAATCTATGGTTAATAGATTATTACATTACCATGAATATAACATAATATACTATGTCGCCCATAATACCCTTCACACACCACTGTTAATAATTATATACACAGTTCCTGACAACTTACATTGTTAGTTAATCAGAGCTTTTCTGCACTTAGCCTCGAGTTGGGTGTTTGTACATGATACTATTGTAAGTGAACAAGTTTTTCAAGTAACCCAACTTCATCTTAACCAATGACATCTCATTTTTACTCCACCAGTGTAAACTATTACCTTATGATAACTAATAACTTTACTTGAACAATGTGTCTATTACAGAGCAATGATAAACCATCTTTTATTCTACTTTTTAAGGTGATAAGATTGCATAGCATGATCTACAGTGTGATTAAAAATATCTTACATCTTATACATACATGTACATCCATATACAAATTATATTTGAAGAATATGGGTCACTTACATGTATATAATCAGAGTACCCTAATACATTAAACAGAAATACATTTTACAATTTAAAATGAGTGGCTACATGTAAGACATATTTTCTATTATTTCATTTATTTATTTGTTAAATTATAATATACTTACAGTGTAAAAGAGGATGTCTTAACACAATATTGCACTATCTACCAGTCAATCCTAGACAAGAAATAAAATTGATGGTGCAACAAAATAAGCAAATAGAAAAATATTTATATGCAGTTTTGGTACATACAAGTCTATATGCAAGAACTACTTCTGCTTTGTTCAATATCCTGAGATTCAAACACAAATAGCTGCACACTAATATATAAAAGTCAATCTAAGATATTGTCTAATAACTATTAATACTATTATCATTTATATAGATTTTTAATATTAAATATTGATTATTGAAACTTTTATATGTTCATCTGATGGTATATTAGATTTTTTTAACTGCATCGGTACTGTCTTTGGTAAAAGTTATTACTTATAAATTGGTGTCAATGATTGTGATCACAAACTATACATATCATTACTATACAAATATCATTTTTTATTTATTCTTAATAATACTATATCAGGACTTCTATAATTTGCATGTTGTTCATCTTCAGGTATCTTCTCCACATAGAAAAATTCAGATAACTTTTCATAAAAAGTGTCCCATAGTCTTTTCTGGATATCAGAGTCTCTTAATTCTTGTGTTAAATAAATAATTGGTTTCTTTGTTATTGTGTTATTTAAACACTGAAGAGTCTGAATTAGAGGATCAATAGCCTAAAAAACATATTAAAAAACTATTAACTTATTGTCTATGAAAATAATTTAAATATTTATATTAATTAAAATAAAAAAAAAAATACCTCTTCATAATATACACAATCAGCTAATACAATCATGTCAAATTCTTCTTTTAGTATCTCTGAACTGCTATCACCCCACACCAATGATTCTGCAATAGCATAACCACCCATGCTACCAATTTTTGATTTATTTTCATTGATATTTAACCGAAGAAGTGGCAAAGCTTCTGGCAAGTCTGTGAGTGTTACTTGTGCACTGAAAGTTAGTAAAATGTGGAAAGAGTACATATTAATATTATACATACAAGACAAAAGCAGAAACAGTAGCGTTAATCCACAAACACTGACCCTAAAGTTGCTGCAGTGAGACCAACTACGCCCAATCCTGAGCCTAGTTCCAATACTTTAATGCCGCTTAAAAAATCAGGCTTCTTTTGACATATTGTCTCTAAATATTTTGCTAAAACCAATGATGCATCCCATACTACGCAGTTGACATCTCCTTCCATTTTCTGATATATTTTTAAAGTTTTTAAACATATCTCTATATCAATTTCCCTTGGAAACATATCACTGGACTGAAAACTTGACCTGTGCGACATTTTCGTTTTATTCTTTTATTAAAATAATTATAAGTCACCTTTATTTTTCAATATCAATAGTATTTACGAGACGAGAACAATTAATTATTTTTAGTATAATTTCAAATATTTTTTAACTACCGTCACGATGATTACCTAAATTACGTTTTCAATAGATTGAATTTGAAATTCTATGAAACTATTTATATTATATATATATATGTTACGATCACGTCACATTAGATTGATAGTAAAAATGACATTGTCATCTATCAAGTGTCATAAAATCTGTAAGTACTCTAAGTTCTTAGTACCTAATATCCTTAATCTATGCATAAGTCAAAGATCTTTTTAAACAGTTATTTATTTGGTTTAATATACATAAGTATAGTTCCTGTTTGGTTTTTTTTTTCTACCATATAATATTAAAACATTTCGTATTCCTTGTTTTTATATAATATTATCACTTATAAAAAAGAGAACGCGCTGATAGGTTTTCATTGTTTTAACACAAGTCACACAAGTAATAGACTTGTGTTCGACCATAGACTTAGTATACCGTATTACGTAGTAAATAATCTAACTGCTCGACATAGGCTACTTATTTTTCTGTGAATGGGTCGTATAAAACTTATAAACAGCTCTTTACTTGTTTTAATATATAATCAAATTAAAAATCTACACATTTGAAATTAATTAAAAATATTAAAAATGTTGAAAAATCCTAAAAGATAAAATAAGAGATCGTAATCTAACAGAGCTCGATACTGTCTTTCTCTAAACTTATTTTTAAAATTTCGCGAAAATATTATTAGGTTAAGCACACATGCATGTAGAACCATTATCAACTTAATTTATAATATTTTGACTTAACAATATTAGAAATTTATATTCACACGATTAAGAAATAAGTTATTGAATTGGCGCTATAGAATCACCTCATAGATTATTCTAATCTATGAGATGATTCTGTACCTATCGTAATTTCGTAATTATGGCAATGTCTTATAAAAACTTAATATCAAATGGCAAGACTATAATCATATGACAGTCAGCTACCTATTTTCGTGCAAAATGGCTGTGAAATTGGTATTTTTCTGGTTTTCCCTTGTTTTAACAATTATTGGTGAGATTTATTACTTATTGATGATTTCTTTACTAATATATTTATAAATACTCATATACTTGTATATATTTAAAATTGTAGGTACAAATGCTGCTGGGGAATTTAGTGTCCTTCACAGCCCTAAATCCATAAAATTCTCAGGATCTAGTAAGACATTGGAAAGCCTTTTGAAGGAGATCTTCTCAGCTTCCCTTGGTTTGTCTGTGGAAGAGGTATGTTTGGCTCAAATAATGTAAAAAATTAATATAATTTTTATTACAAGTACAATCTTGAAAATAAATTTAAAAATTACCTTACAGAGTTCAGAGTGGAACGGATTATCTATTGTCGATCCTTTTAATACTCCTGAAGCAGTTGTAGAAGTTTATATTGATGGAGTCTCTTCTCTTGGAAAAACTGTAAGTAATGTTGAGTCGTTTTGTATAGGTGATAATATTTTTTTTTTCTTAATCGATTTATTTCTAGGTGGGCCTTAAGACTCAGGACTTCCCCTTGACTGTTGATGAGTATGAACCAGACACATACAAAGCAGTTAAGCATAGGATTGAGCAGCGTTTCACTAATGGTGGCAATAAACTTGTACAAATCAACCTATCAGAAAAAAATGAGGTAATCATTGCTTTTATCCTATTAAGGTGTTATAAATGATGTGCATACATGAAACTGTTTATGAAAATTCAGAAAGCAAGAGATGTATATAAGGATAGAGTTCTTTAGTACTCTATTTTCTCTGTATACCCTCTAAGGGACTTGGCATGAATATAGAATAAATGTAAAGGCTAGTAAAGAAGTTTGTTACTCAATTACAGCTAAATAGATTTGAATATAATTTAATGCCTAGATTAACTATATCCTAGATTAAACCTAAATTTGCAAACATATATTATTTTTGTGCTTTATTTTATAGCTCCATTCATATCCTGATGTATTTGGAGAGATTATTCCACCAAAAGTGACAAAACAGTCATTGCAACACTTGAAGTACTCTGTTGAAGAAGATTATCAGTTTTTATCTGAACTAGAAGCATTGAAAGCTCTTACTAGCAAGGTGAGTGCTTAAGTGGTTAGATTTGCTATGTTCAGGTTTTATTACAATTTTTAAATTTATGTAATTTAAAAATTAATATTGCCTATTTTAATGTAATTTAAAGTGTTGTATTATTATTATTATTGTATATATTGAGGAAATGTAAAGATAGACAATTTTTGCAGGTCAAAAGTATTACAGCAGACAACATTATCGACTTCTATAACTTTAGATTCCGATCACTTCATGCTTTATCTGATTTCCATGGTCCTAATGCTCTTCAAACTAAGGAAGCTAAGAAACTTTTGGGTGAGTCAATTATACTGCCCAATTATAATTACTAATTCTTATGTAAATCTTTTTGTTTGTAACATTTTCTCATAAATTATTTAATTCAGGTGAGGCATTGCAAGAACTAAGTGATGCTTTTGTAAAAGCCTATGATGGCTCAGTGCTGGTGACTGCAGTGACCACTGATGTTGCTCACACTCGACGTGCAGTGCGATCTGTACCAGAGGAGAGTCTCAAACAACAGGTATTGATCTGTCCATAATTACATAAGTTTTTCGAAAAATTTACAAATAATGATACTGCCTCATCAAATCATTTAAACTAATATAAAATTAGTTATAAAAAGGGTGTGTAAACTTTAGGATTGGCAGTATCTCTTGGTATTGCAGATGCCCCTAGTTTAGGAACTATTTACCATTAGGTGGGTGAACAAGCATACATTTCTAATAATTTAGAAAATAATGTTTCTTTCATATTATTAGTAGTTGCAAATCAAATATTTCTCTTTACACATATTAAAATTTTCAGGCCACACCATACACAGATGATGGATACAGTGCGGATTATGCTGCCATTTTCAACATTATCCTATGGTTCGGAGTGGTGTTTTCATTCACTCTAGTAGCAATAGTATATGCTCTCATGGATATGGATCCTGGCAGGGACTCGATCATCTATCGCATGACCAATACTAGGATGAAGAAGGACAATTAAATAGTTTATCCATTGTAAACTGTTTAGAATATTATTTTGTTGTCCTACTAGTAGGACATTTTAGTTGGATACACCAGATTTCTAAACAGCCAGTCTTAGTGTCAGACTGATATGATTTCACACATCCATCATGGATCTAGACCATATTTATAAATTAATTGGTCTATACTAAAATAAGAGTCAATGCTATGCTATTAATAAAGCAGACTTTAAATGTCCTAATAATGCGATTTATTAAGTAGTGTATAATTTTAGGATGTATTAATTTGTTGATAATGTGAGTACTATTTATTTATTCTATTGAATTGTAAATAAGATTTATGCTACCTTCTCAACATAAATGTATTCAGATTAGAAATGAATATAATGTAAAATAAATAAACTCTTTAGGACTTAATATATTGCAATATTTATTGTAAATGTAAGTCTTGCTAATTATTATGCAAAAAATAATATTCACTTCAATAATCTTTTTTCAGTCTTAATGAGTATCAAACGTATTATATGAATGTTACAAAAATTGTGTTTTTTAATCTTGTCATGAAATAAAAACATTCCCTCTGCTATCATTCCATTTTTTACTCTAAATTTAATAAAAATGTCTATGCTTTTAAATAAAACAAGATGTGTGACAGTAAAAATATATTAATTTAGGCACAAAATTAATGCATACATCAAAATCTTAAAATAACTTAGTTTACAATTTATTAAAATTATATTTTAAATACTCGTGTATTCATATTATTATAATTCATGCGTATTCATTTTTTATTTATTATTACAGAAATTAATCTTTTTTTTGTATTTGATATATAATCTATATTAGTGCAATAAAAATTCAGTTGTTAAGACCTTAAAACGAGATTAACATACAGTATTTTGTATGAAAGTATATTTTTAAATAGAATTATTAAATAGATGTTAAATTTATACTTACAAGTATGTAACTTTTATAGTTATTATGTATTTATATATGTAATATCAGTATATATAAATATTATTTAAAATAACTATTAAATGTCAAAATAAGTATATTAGGCACTTCATGGATATATACACACACAAATGTTCATAACAAATAAGTATAAAATTGGATCAGTCTTTATACTTGTCATGCATATTAATTTTAAACAAAGTCCTTTATTATATATATCCAATGGAAACGAAAATACATAAATATTAAGGCATACTAAAATTGTAAAGAACAGATTACGTCCAATTTACATATTACCAAATTATGAAAAGATACTGCAAGATAAACTGTTTAATACTTCTCTGTACCTACTCCTGCAAGTAACTCCTAACTTGAGAATATGAAAAATAAAATAATAAAAATACATCACATATACAGCGTAAAATCGAAATCATTGGCCTTCTTTCAAGAGAATGTTCTCCTTACCAGTATAATTAAACAATTCAGGTGTCAAGTTAGAATGCAAAATTTAATATTTTTGCTTTTTCTTTCGACTTACACTTCCTTGAGAAGTGCTCGCAGATTCACTGGTAGAACAATCCGTTAAAAGGATACTAATGATATCGATTTCATTTTGCACAACAATATTCACGCCTTTACAAAAAAAAAAAAAAAACTGGTCTGATGCAAATGGAACTTCCACGCCGTGGGTTCCATACACAGAAATGAGATAAAATGACCTTGTGTACAAATGTGTTTATTGTATTTCACCCTACAGTTATTATTATTGATACCGCGATTCGGAATTTCTTTTTTTGTACGGAACTCCAACAAGGAAACCCTTTAGATTAAAATAGGATATAGTATCATTTAACACAAAAAAAAAAACAAAATTAAATGGATGGATGTTCTCATCCTTTTTGAAATCGATTATAAAAATGAGATTATTACGGTTCGTATTTCCTTACATTATTGTTGATAAAATTGGGTCAACGTCGAGTGGTGTACTGATGTGCGCGTCTCAAGCGGCGGCGCAATTCCTGCGGGAACCGCTCGTAGCAGCGGCGGCAGGCAGGACGTTCGTCGTATTCGTAGAACTTGCTCTTGGTGCTAAGGGGTGCGTCGCACACAGAGCACGCGAAGTGGTGTACGCACCACGCTTTGTTCAGCGCCGTGAAAACTGACGACCACATAGCATTATTTATTTATCATCTGTAGTAGTAACCTATATCCCTCTCCATCCCAAAAAAGTATATGAAATGCTATTTTGTAATAGAAGTCCTAACTTAAAATCTGGTGTATGAATGCATACGTAATGACATGACAGACCATCTATAATTTGATTTAATAGAACTTAGTGAAAATGAAAACAAATAATTGATCTGCCATAAGACAGAAAGAATATTTTTATTCAAGTAAACTTAGATTAAAAATTTTTCAATAATCTTTTTTTCATTACTGCCCATTCAGAAAACAATTTCAGCCAAAAAGAATGAGTAAGAAACTCAGGTGTTGCTTTTTTCATCAAAAAGTTTAATTATATAAGTAATGAATTTATCTGAATACAAACTGCTAAGCAGTATCAGTTCATAAAATTTAAAATATATAGTATATAATTAAAATTACCAGCAGTGACCAGAACATACCAGTCATTACAGGTACCACTCGTTCACGAGTATGACGGATGAGCCAGACATCATTGTGCTCAACCATATTATAAGAAACTAACACGGCTCACCACGCCACCACCTGCCTGGACATTTTAGTAAGCATGACTTACTCATGGCCCCCTACAACATCATAGCCAACATTAACAATGGGATCTAACAACCCCATTGTTAAGAATATACCCTATCAAGTCGACCGTTACGCGGCTCCTCTTGGAATAAATCGTGGTTAATTCTTGTGGATTCGTCACGATGGGCTCACTTGCTTTCATTTTCACTTATCATCTATGACTGGTGCCCTGCCAGTCTATACCGATAGCGCAGGTGGGGTCACTATTTCATTTACACCCATTAAAAAAAATTACAGTATCCAGACATTACACACTAAAAGGCATACGTCAGTTAATAATAAAATTGCCACATAATCTTAATTTAACAATTCTGATATAATGATAACAACATTATATCAATAATAGTCAGCTGATGTTCAATAGTAGTATCTACAAATGAAAAATGTTTTAATGTAGTACTAATTTCATTTAGTGTTTCTATGATAATTACAGAATATAGTGGCAGAAATATGAAACAGACCACCAAGATGGCGTATCAAGATAAAAACTACACCAATTTTTAAGTTGGACTGAGATAAAAATCAAATAGATAATATGTAAGTTAAAAATTTGTTACTGCTAACAACGGTTTTTTAAATTCTTGTAAATCTTTTTCAATATATATTTTGTTAGCCTTACCATCGCCAGCAATAACTTGGTTGCACACATAACACAAATTGCCAAAGAGTTGATGATAATGTTGCTCGCAGTAAGCAAGTCCCTTCTTCTCATAATGACGATGCCCATGGAAAGGTTTTTCACATTTTGCACAGACAAAGTGCTGAAAAATTATAAAAATAGTAAACTATAAACACCGTTACATTTTTTTTCAGTTTATTGCTAACATAATAGGATGCCTGAGGTTTTTGTCACCTTATATGTTTTATATTATAGAGTTTTGAAAATGATGTGTGTAGTATATTAAATAAAAACGATGCATCAAACACCACTACTACTAATGTGAGGATGGTGTAATCTAGTATCCTAGTTTCTAACTTTAAATTATTATTAATAAAATAATATTGTCAGTACTTTAGTTTAAAGAAAAATTACCTCGACATGCCAATGTTTGCCAAGCGCAGTCACGATTCGTTCCTCAATTGGGCGACGACAAGCGCCGCAAATAGGAATGCCCATTTTGTCGTGGCACCGTAAACAGAAGAGATTATTCTGAAAAAATAAGAAAATATTATTAAAGATGTATACTTACAAAATTTAAATGTGAAAACTATTGTGCAATTCGGAAATAATGATTTAAAAATGCCTAACAAACCGTTCCTAAGTTATCAACTACTTACTACATCATTGGCGGCATATCCAGAACGATGTTTGACCTCGCGAGCAGTGTGATCTAGTTCTACGCCGCAGGTCGCACAGTTGAAATGGTAACCGTGGTAAACCTCACCACGGTAACGAAGAGGTTCTCCATCGATTACACCGCTGATAACATAATAGTAAATTTTATTAACAATTTATTACGTAATTATTTCGTGATGTGTCAACAAAAAGGGAAGTAATATGAAATAGAAAACAATTTCAATTTGTTTAATAAATTACCATTAATTAACATATAGATAACCTATGTTTGACTACTGTTTCAAATTTAGGAGTGATCTAAATCTCTATGAATGAATCATGTATAAAGTTAAAACCTGGTTTCTAGTGAATAAACTATTGCAAAATAAAGCGATTAAAGTATCAATTAAAAAATAACTTTGGATTTAACTTACTAACAGCTACAGATATCACCGAAATTAAACCAAATTTTAGGCGCCAGTAACGAAAAATTACTACACGATTGCTTTAGATCAGGAATAAGACATTTCAATGCTTATTACATAAAAAACACCACCTAGATGTATAGATACCACTATCCGGATATAATGGATAATGGTGATGATGAGTATTTGTTCTTGTGTAGTCTTTAAATAAGAAAATTTATAAATATAAAAGAATTACAGAAAATACTTACTGGCATTTATGACACATGTAGTTTTGTAAACCATCCTCTTTAATACGAGCATTGCACGCATGACAGAGCGCTCGACCTGCATGCTTGATAAATCCAGCATCAGCTAGCTCCACATTACACTCTTCGCAACGGAAGCATGCAGGATGCCAGTTGGCATTCATGGCCTTTATTACTCGGCCGATGATGAATTCCCCTGTGTTTAATAGAGGAATATTTTAGTATAGGGCAAGTAAATAGAACGAATTTTTGTGATAAAATTTGCACCTAGAGAATTTTATTATTTTTATATTTTAAAAGAGGTTAATTTGTGAATTATCATAAACATCCTAGAGAAAAGATTTTTAAAATACTTACTGACCTTTTATTTATTTAAATAAAAATGCGAACGTAATGCTATAGGCATTCTCTATCAGTCAACCTTTAGGACGTGTAGAGATACTCGATAGTGGTTTGAAAAAAATCTTTTATTTTATTTATAGCTTTTTTACAGCATTATTAATGTTTCGAATAATTATATAGATAACAATAAAAAGGTACCAACTACACAAAAATACATATATATTTCACGCAAGTTCTTTATGGGGTAAGCAGAATGCACCTAGTTCTTTTGAATGCTTAAAATATGTAAATAGATCATAAACTTTCTAGTAGTAGTTATAAAAAATATAAAAAAGTCAATGCTCACCGCATTTTCCGCAGCAAGGAGCAAATAACACTTGGAAATCTCGTTCACAATATTTTCGTCCTTCAAACTCATAGAAAATTCCCTCAGGAAAGACACGGAAACATTGCGCACAGCTAGAAGAGCAGAAAATAATTTATTACTAATTTTGCATGATTTAACGAAGTTTTAAGTTACTTTACTCATACACTGTATAATATATATATTTATAAATTCACAATAATATATTGTATTAAAAAAATATAATTAAATAAATCTTAATTTTTTTTGTGTGATATTTGAGATTTTCAATCATGAAAATAATACATGTTGCGCTTCGTAATAGCACAAGTCTTACTTGTGCTATTACAAATAAAAATTACATAAGAAAAAAGTTGGTGGTGCACACTTAAAAAAGTAATTTATGCCTTATAGTATACCTCTGTACCATTAAGGCGTATATCACATTTTTTTTTAAATACATAATTGTCCAGCTAAACCCTTTAAAAATTTGCTATATAGGTATTTAATCAATACTTCATAATTAAAATTCAGTTATAACATGGCTAAATTAGATATATATTTATTACTTTTAAATGTATTTTATCCTTTTAAAAGGATAAAATAGGATGATTAATTAAAATACAATGAAAATGCAAATAACAGATAGGGAGACAAGAGCTGAAAATCATGTGATGTTTCAATATTCAGTAGCAGACAGCAGTCATTTGATGATTAATATAATAACTACTATGAATAATAAATCTTAATAATTAAATTACTTACACAAAACAGTTGGTATGCCAAAGTTCTCCATTAGAATTAACAATCTTCTCATTAGTTTCAAACCCATCACCGCAACGGGTACAAAACATATTGTCAAGCGACATGGTTGCTATGCTAAAACCATAACACATCATTACTTCATATAAAAATTTAAAGAATCTATTATTTTAGTAAACACATTATTTTTTGTAAGAAAATGAGATAGATTTTGCACTAAATAATATTTTATTTTAAGATTCAATATTAGCTTATTATTATAAAATAGAATCTATATCATGTCATGAATTTTATGAAAATTTGCATGAGGATAATGTATTTTACATGTTTAATAGTGCATAAGGAAAATAGTTACATGTGTGACTCATACTTATGCTATGTTAGACTTTAATATTTTTAATTTTTAGTACAGTATGATTGAAATATGGCTATGAAGTATTAACAGGTATATATTCTAATGTAATAGAGTACATAGCAAACAAGCAAATTAGAATATTATTAATAAAATAATACAGTAATAATACACATTTTCTGCTTCAATATTATTTATTTTCTTGATAGGGATTTCTCCTATAATGGAAAGAGATTTTCTTTTTATTTATTTATACTTTATTGTACACAAAAATTACATACAAATACAATGTATATTAAATGAACATGTACAACAGGCAAGCTTAACTATGTAAGAGTTATTTATTATTAGTTTTATTATGCTATGTATTGTAGTGTGAAGATGTGGATTAATTATAACAAATCAGTAGTTAAACTTATATATTTCTATAGTCAAAACATTTTCATTTATCCACATCTGATAAATATGAAATTCTGAATTTGAAAATCACACTCAAATATGTTATATAGATTTAAATTTATTATTTTATCTTTTTTTATTTACTAATATTTTGTAATTAATAAAATATTACAATAACCACATTACAGTGTATATACACAGTGTTAATAGTAATTTTATTTAGCAGTGTTTCAGTCACAGTCATACCAATAACTTTCAAACATATTAATAAACAAAACAATTTTATTTAACTGCAATAGCCACATCTTCTTAATAATTTTAGTTAACAGCTATTTTATCATTATACTTCATGGTTGCATGAAATAGTTATTTTCATAGTTTAGGCAAATTTTAAAATTGAAGTGCTAAGCAATATACTGTTACGATACAATATAAGCATATTTTACTAATAATTATAACTAAGTGGCAGGTGGTAATGTGTAGGTGTTGGTGAGCAGTCTAGAGTAGGTTAACCACTCCCTTATTAGCAGGTGTTGCTTACCCTGGCATTTTTCCTTCAAATTCTAAAAACTAGTTGAAGGGCAATTATTTTCTCTGTCGGAAAAAGAAGAAATCTATCCATTAAACTGGATTTAGTAACTAAAACTAATCAAATGTTTAACTATCAAAGAATAAGTTTAGGATGATGTAATGCAACTAAAATAGATCAAAGTATTTCAAAAGTTATTTATTATATTAATACTCACTTTCGCAAATGGTTTTATTGAATAACAAATAACACTCTTCTAAATTTAAACATTAACTAGGTTTATCGTTCATAAATATGCAAGAGATTATTAACTGTTTCGATATAAAAACAAGTACCAAAAAGTATAAGGGAATGATAGTTAGGTACAGTGTTGCCAGACAAAAAAAAACGTAATCGCTAAAAATTTACCTAAGTCACAAAAAATTTTTTAATCCTACTTAGTGATGTGTCGGATCATTAAAAATATATACTGCGGATACTAGATAGCTACTTTATTTTGGTCGGACAGTACTTTTTAATTTCAATGATAATAAAGTAAGCTATCAGTATATGCTGGCGGGGCACCGATGAAGGATGGTATGCGAAGAAAAGTAAGTCTTGCCCATTGTGATATGTACATCAAGTACTAACCATGATAGTTTCTAAAGGGAATAACTTACTACTAGAAATGTGCTCGCTAGCCTTTGTTACTTATAATCTTTTACCTTTCATGAAACAACAAAAATCGTTTAGCATTTAGCAACACGGTATTTCGATGTGCTTTGTGCGAGATTTTTTTGTTTTGTTTATAATTTAAAATAAGAGGAAACAGTTAAACAATGTTTGTACGTTTAGAGTAGTATTACATCTGACTAATATAATTGTAACTAGACGATATCTATACATAATAGATATTAAAATAAATTATGTGAACAATATTGGGAAGGGATTGTTAGCGATGAAGTCTAACATCCCCATTGCTAACAATGTTACTAATCAGGTCGACCTCCACGTGGTTCCCCTTGGAAACCATCGTGGTTACTTTTCGTAGAATTCTTCACAATGGGCATTTAACCTATCCTTATCTATCATCTCTCACTAGTGCTCCGCCAGTGTATATCAAATTGAGTGTGGATTTCACAATTATTTTCACGTTTTAACTTAAAATTAAATGTATGTTATCTTGATGTGTCATCTAGAAGTGATTTATTGTCACTTGTTCTTTTTTTTTAAACCAATGCTAGTGAGAGATACATATACAAACTACTTTTTACCCCTAGGAAACTTTTTCATAGGAAAAATATAATCAATAATTATTTTTTCTACGTGATTAGTTTGTATAGATTTATTTATAATAGGTTTTTTTTAATAGGTAGAGTGATTCAAGAAGAAGGTTTATATTAGGTCCTTACATATGAAATTAGCGTTTTGTCGTACTGACGACTTTGATAAAAATATCTCCTCTTTGGTTAAGAATTCCAAATTCAAATTTATAAATTTATTTAGTTGGTACATTTGAGTTTTGAAAACAGTCATTTATTTGTTTTTTCCTCATTATTTTTTTTTCCTTGGCGTCGCTCATTACCGCACAATGGAAAACATAAATTATCGGTATATTTACGAGTACGAGTTCTACCGTGGCACCAGTGCTGTAGAAACAGCTCGATAGATAAATGATATGCACGTTGCTGGTGTCGCAAAAGAAAGCACGATACGTTTTTGGTTTCAACGTTTTCATTCAGGAAATTTGGACCTTCAGAACCAACCCCGTTGACGGCGGGAAACCAAAGTGGAAAATGAATATTTAAAGGCTATTGAGGAAGCGAAACCATCACAAAGCACTTCAGAGATAGCTGCAGGCTTCGGAGTAAGTGATAAAACTGTATTAATCCACTTGAAACAAACCGGGAAAGTAAAAAAAAACTTGAACGACGGGTATCTCATGAATTGAAAGAATCGAACTTGCAAACACGCGTCGACTGCTGTGTTACTTTGCTCAACCGACACAATAATGAAGGGATTTTAAATCGAATCACTACTTGTGATGAAAAGTGAATAATGTACAATAATCGGAAGCGCTCGTTGCAATGGCTAACCTGGAGATTTAGCCAAATCCTGCCCTAAACGAAAATAGACTCAGAAAAAGTTATTTATGAGTGTTTGGTGGACTAGCGCCGGTGTTGTTCACTACAGCTTTTAGAAAGCTGCAGTGAATCTGGCCAAACGATTATGGCAGATATCTATTGTCAGTAACTGCAAACCATGAAGGAAGAACTAGCTGCTCAACAAACGAGATTGGTTAATCGCTCTAGGCCACTGCTGCTTCACGACAACGCAAGACCACACACTGCACAACAAATAACCACTAAGTTAGATGAGCTACAATTGGAATGTTTGCGACATCCACCGTACTCCCCGGACCTTACTGCAACACATTACCATTTTTTTCGGAATTTGGACAACTTCTTACAAGGAAAAAATTCAACTCCGATGCGACAGTCCAAACCGCCTTCAAAGATTTTATTAATTTTTGCCCCCATGGTTTTTTTTAGTAAAGGGATCAATTAACTACCTATGAAATGGAAAAAGTGCATAAATAACAACGTGCATACTTCGATTAATTAAATATATTTTACAAAAAAAAATTACTCTATATTCTTCCTGTATAAAACGCCAATTTTATATGTAAGGACCTAATACTTGGGACACTCAGAAAGTTTTGCGACACTAAAAAAATTTTCTATAGGAAAATATATTTTTATTACATCTTTTCAAAGTATTCTCCACCAGCCTCTATATAAAGTTTCGTACGTCTAAACCAGTTTTCGAAACATTTTTTCCAGTCCGCCGCAGATACATTGTTTACAGTCTGCTCGAATGCTGAGAGCGCGTCATCCGGCGACGAAAATTGTATCCTTTTGAACTGATTTTTTATTTTTGTGAATAAGAAGAAGTCACAAGGTGCTAGGTCAGGGCTATAAGGAAGATGACCCAAGAGTTTGAGCGGTGTGCTGTCTAGGAAGTCCCTCGTTTTGAATGCGGTGTGTGCAGGCTTATTATCGTGGTGGAGCAGTAGCCCGCGGAGCCCTGTGTTTGGTCGCTTGTTGCTTACAATAGAGAAAACTTCTGCCAATTATTTGGTAGTATATCATTCGGCGTTAATGCTTCTTTGGTTTCATAAAGGAATTGACACCAAGTCAGTCAAATTAAAAAAAATCGCGTTAAAAATTTCCCCCCCGCTTCTAGGTTGCTTCAGTTTGTTAGGCGTTGATTCGTTTTGAAACACCCAAACCGTCGGCTGGCGCTTTGTTTCTGCATCGTATTGATAAATCCACGATTCATCACCTGTAACGATGTCGTAAACACGCCGAGACGAGCATGCTTCAAATTTGTCTATCATATCATGGCACCATTCCACTCTTGCCTGCTTCTCTTTTTTCCTGAACATCGGTGAGGTTGTGCGGCACCCAGTGCGAAACTATCCTCCGCATCCGTAGATGCACGTGTAGAATCTCGTGAAGGCTTCCTGATCCAATCTGCAGTATATGCTGAATCTCTTGGTATGTAACACGTCTATTTTCTTGGATAAATTTTTTCACTACTAGCACGTTTTCTTCCGTAACAGCCGTCATGGGGTGATCACTTCTTTCTTCATCGCTTAAATTCATTATACTAACGATACACGGTTGTCTTAGAAGGGCCTTCATCCAAGAATGCCATTTGAAATCTATCGTACGATTCGTCCGCTTTCAGGCGATACTTAAAATCGTAAAAAATCATAGCGCGAAAATGTTCTCGACGCAAATCCATTTTTCAATGAGACACGGTAATTTGAACTAGCTTGCAAAAAATGCGGAGGGAAGTTTTAAATTTAGCACGTGCTTATTTTTACTTATAAATAATCATATTTTTAAATAAATTATAACTGGCCTTACTAAAACTAAACTAAAAACTTTTTCTCTCAATACTTTCTGAGTGACCTGGTATATATATAATACATACATAATATAGTAGCGAAACACTGATAAATTTTGAAGCTTCAATGTGATGTGATGTAATGAGCAGGCGGGTTGCTAGTGTAGAAATAAAATATACACTTAAAATATATTCCAAGTCCACACGTACAAAGTCACAGGCAAAAGCTACTTAAGTAATAAAGCAATATTTACCTACAAGAAGTATAGAAGTGTTATAGGGATATTTTAAATTAGTAAATGACTACAATTTTATAAATTGGATATTAGATCCGTTCAAAATATGCCAAAAAATGAGAGATACGGATACAATTTTTTTTTCGGATATCAGTGGATACGGATACGGACATTTAGTAAGTCACTATACTAATTTAATTGTAGAATGACCGTAAGGCGCCATTTCTCTAAACATATTTTTAATTTTTTTATTTTAATTTGATCATCATCATTATCGTAACAGCCGTTTACTGTCTACTGCTGAATTGGAGGTTTTTGCCAGTTTTGCAACGCTTGACAAGCAGGTTGGCATCCGTAATTAGGCTTAGGTGATGTTATTTTTAATGAGCGATAATGGAATGGTAGCCCTGTCTGCCTAGCGGTATATGCAGGACACCAATGAGGCATGACAAATGAGTATAAGAAGGCAAGGCAAATCAAGACCATCGTAATAACTACACTTGAAATTCAACAAGATGGTTTCCAAGGGATGGAGATTGACCAGACAGGGTTTGCTAGCATTGGGACTGGTATTACTAGTAACCAGAGGAAGACGGTACAAAAGTCGTTTACTTGGGTAGCTCTGTCTTATTCATGTTTCAACCGTGAAGCAGTTGTGTTTATATGACTGTGTTTCAATTTGAAAGGTGAGATATGGCAATTAATTTACAGGGTACAAAGGAGTGACACCTGAGTCCTCAGGAATGGCAGCGCCAGGGGGGGGGGGGTATCATGTGTGAAATAGTATACTCTATTATGTCCATGGTACTGCTCATGTCTATAGGCGACGGTTATCACTTTTCATTAAGTGGGCCATGTCAGCTTGTTTACCATTCTAAGTAGCATAACAAAAAAACTAACATGACCACCAATCTTCCCACTCGGCTTAGGTAATATTTTAAGAGAGACATTGCTGTCCTTCCGACCATTAAGTTTCTTTAGTCGCTTTTACGACACTCACAGGAAAGGAAGGGATGGTTCACTCTACACCGGAACCATACGGCTAATTTTAATTTTATATTTTCCATGAAATATATCAAGAAATGAATTTATAATAATTTTGCTTAAATATTTAGAAATTTTATGCATATTGATCCGTATAATAACGATTTTGCTGTCATATTAAGTTGAAATTTTGTTTTAAAAGAAGTTTAGAGAAATGGCGCCTGAGAATAAATCCCAATATGGCCTGTTGCCATAGATTAAGCATAATACCTGTGGTCCTGTTTTAATGTATCCAATTTTATCAAAATTTACAATTATAACAACTGTCAATGCTGTCAGTATCAAAATAGGCTGTATAGTTTTGTTCCTTTATTTTTCCCATTGTAGATAAATTGATACTACTAATGTCAGTGTCAAAAAGTGCGCTAAATTTGCTGTTCTTGTTACTTTCATAATTTTATTAAGCAAAAGTAGTCGTCATGGAAGGAAATAGGGATACAAATTTAAACACGTTAAAAGAAATGTTATTAGACGAAGATAGGTTAATTACATATGTATCCTTAAGTAAGGAGTTATGTGTCCATGTCAATGAGAGTAAATTATTACTCAACAAAATAGTGGATTTGATAAAAAAGAATCACCCTACCATCAATCTATGTGTAAATTATATTATATCAGGTTTAACAGATGACAACAAAGCTTTTACTAAGATATGTACTGATGCTGAGATCGACGGTATTAAGAAATCATCAAAATTAATTTTTTTTCAACACATATATAGTGTTGCCAAAGGTCAGCCTACAGTTGATAACATGGCATACACAGCAATAAATAAAATTGAAGATTTCCTCTTATGTACTGGTTTTATAAGAAGTAACCTGTGCATTAAGAGAACAGTCAATGAGATTGGAAACTTGAAATCAAGTAGTCAAGAAATTGCAACACACACAAAACCAGTAATTCCAGTAAAAAAAGTTAAAGAAGAGAAGGATACAAAAACAGAGATTGGGGAGCCCAGTATTGATATAGTGCAAAAATCTAAACCAGATCCCACTATAAAACAAGACAACATGTCAAAGAAGATGGATTCCAGAAATCACAATAAGTCTCAGAAGAGTATTGCAGGGTTTTTCAATAAAACTGATGTACATCATAAAAATGACAACTATAAAAATGCTAGTAATGCTATAAAGATGGAAAATGGCAATAAACCTAATATTAGCATAAAGGTTGAAGAAGTTGATGTAAAGTATGATATTGATGTTGAAATGGAAGATGTTAAAAATGATTACGAAGAAAAAAATAATGGAGAAAACAAATCTAAGAACAAGTCTATTACAATTGTGAAAAAGAATGCAAAGGTTGATAAGAAGCGAAAACGGTTATTACATGTTTCAGATAGTGAAAGTGAAGATGAGAAAAATGATCCATTTGCTGATGATACATCTGTTACCAATAGGGCTAATGCAGAATCAGATGATGAAATACCACCCACACCTGCTCTTAATACCATTAAAATTACTTCTGGTATAGTTAATCCTAAAAAAAGGAGAAAGATTGTAGATAAAACTTATATTAATGAAGATGGTTATATTTTGACAAAGAAAGAAGAGATTTATGAAAGCTGCTCAGAAAATGAGGAAGTAGATATAAAGGAAAACATTCAAAAAGTGAATGAAATTTCACCAAAAAAGAAACAAAACAATATTGTATTAAATAAAAAACCAGATGTTTCTCCAAATAACAAAAAGATAGGAGCGAAGGTTAATAGGAAAAAATCATCACCCCCCCAAAAAGGAAAGCAACAAACATTGATGAACTTTTTTAAAAAAGTGTAATATTTTGAATTTACTTACAAATTATACAGTCTATTAGGTGTATTTGTAAAGGTATTCAGTATGATTATGTTGTCTATTTTTTTGTATTTAAAAGCGAAGACTTGTTTAATTTTATACATGACTGTTTTTTATTGTAATAATTTAATAGGCATTATCAATAAATTCTAGATTGAATTAATGTATTTAATTCATTAGGTCTGTTATGTCATTTTTGTATTTAAAAACTTGTAAGAAGATTGTTTTATTGAGGGGACCCTCAATAAAATTAATCTTTTAATTTTTCATTAAGTTCTATTGAAAAATATTAATGTGATGTGTCTCTAAATGTTTTGATGTTTATTACTCAAATGTTTAAATAGCTAAACAGATTTAAAGGATTTTTGGCATACAATTATTTATCTGTTTTGAATTAATTATGGATATTTTGAATACTGATTCATGTGACCAAATTCATGGTAAATGGCTAGTATATATTACATTTGTTGAATATGCTGCCTCTATTAATAAGTTTTCGTAAGCATTTAAATAAACAGAAAAAACAAATATCAAACTTTTTATCAGAGATCTCAGATATCAAGTTCTTTATCAGACAAGTCTGACAGGGGTTAAAATGTCTGAACATGTATTTTATTCTCAATATTATAATTATTGTCAATATTTAGATGCTTTCTATTTTTACTTAGATTAACAAATAAAACAAACATAATAGTGAATGTTTATTATTGACATTAATTATACATTAATTATTTTATCTTTTAGTTCCAATAGCTACTACCCAATCCGGATGAACTTGTACATCTACAAGATATGAGCACTTTGTGTTGTATGTAGCAGACTGTACATCTTGACTGGAGACTGGTCTGAAATATGAATTATAACTCTTGTAATGTATCTATTATAATAATTAATAACCTACTAACTACTAGTAATAGAATAAATTAGGTGTGTCATGCGCGCATTGCTGACCCTGAAGATACCTTAATGTACCCTTTTTGAAGAAGAGACTACAGTATCAGTTACTGTAGTCTTTAGGGAAAATCTTCGCAGAATAGCCGTTTTACCCCTAGATTGAGGACAATTACCATTTTCCATCAGGTGGGCCGTTAGCTTGTTTGCCATTCTAAGTCGCATAAAAAAACTACTTCATAGACATATTTGTTTGCTTATATTAAAATCAATTAATCAATTTAAACATGAGTAGGAAAGAATATAAATGTTATTATTCTTTTTGATCCCAGTCATAAGAGTTGACAGAAAAATAATGCATAATAAAGTAAGAGTTAAGACTCAAAACCAAACCACATACATCTATTCTCTTATTAAGGGGAGAGTATGCTTTCTGGTGGGACATTAATTAGTTGTTTATAGTTTGAAAATGTTATTACTTTTTTCAATTTATATAGGTCACATACTGCAAATAAAAAAAATATTCAATATTTACAATTACTGCTCTAATTACTAAAAGGGCATTTTAAATAATATATTTGATAATAAGATTATCAATTTATTTTACATATATTTTTTGATAGTTATAAAATGATTCTTAATTATGTCAGTTCAAGTTAGTTTCGTGGTCATTATTATTTGATAATTATGGTTTTACTTACTTATTTTTTGTTTGATTATCCCATACTACTTTGACAATACCATCCATTCCTGTTGAACATAACAGAGAATTTTCAACATTCAAGTCATTATGGTCTACTACAATTCTGTTTGTCAGGCTTGCTTTTCCCACTGCAGACCAATCAAGTGCGGTCACTTTGCCATGGTGTCCTCGATACTCATGTACACACGTGCATGCAGCTAGATCCCAAACTTTTATTTTCTTATCATCTCCTGTAAAGATAAATCTTTTTATTAGTGAATGATATTGATTAAATAATAAAAATCATAAATATTAAACTAGCTGTTTCCGACGGCTTTGCCTAAGTGATTCAGTATATAAAGAATCCTATGTTAAATTAGGATATTATTATATATATTAATTAATATATTCTAAGGATCAATATAAACAAAATATCTAAAATATTTCAGTCAAAATTATTATACATTTATGATTGTTAATAAAACAATAGGTTAAGAATAAAGGTTAGAGAAATGGCACTTCCTAAACAGCCCCAATGAAGCTTGTGGTTTTATTCATTTTGCCTGTAGCTTTTGCAGTTATTTGTATGTGATATTGCAGTATAATAACTATGTTATATTTATTTGCCAGTATCCATACAGTTTCACTCACCGGCACTGGCAAGATAGTTCCCAGACGGCGCGAAGGCAAGCGCCCGCACTGCGGCGCGGTGTCCAACCAGTACTCGTACCAGACGCGCGTCACATACTCGCCACAGCCGCACGCTGCGGTCGGCGCCGCCGCTCGCTATGTACGCCTCGTTGGGGTGGAACTTCACAGACTGTGGACACCCAGAAAAAATAATAAATTATTAAAGGCATTATAAAGATTTTACAATGAACAATACTAATTTAATCTAAAATGAATATGGGACACAACACGAGAAGTAATCTTTTAAAAAAATATAATGAACTGTGTCCCAATTTGATGAATCGCATACTAACGGTTAGGGGTTCACGAGTACAGTCACAGAAAAATAGTTTCATTGTTATTCAAAGTGGGCGTATGTTTAGAGGCAACCCAACATTGATGATGATTTTTGACCGTTACCACCGTCATCGCGAGAATGTGCTTTGGTCGCAAAGAGAACTACAGTGCCTTATAATATTTCACAGATAAATTATAGGCGATATTTTCATAAATGAAATGGGTTCCTGCAACCCTAACATAACACAGTTAACTTTTTTGCTAAGGAGGTGTCTCCACCAAATACGCTCACAAGAACGATATATTTTTTAATGGGTGATGATAGAATAGTAACCCCACCTGCGCTATCGGGATACGCTGGGGGGCACCAGTGAGGGATGACGGGTGAGGATGAAAAGGCAAGTCAGTTAGCCCCTCGTGAGGAATTTCACTAGAATTAATCACGACGGTTTCCAGGAGGAAGCGCGTGGAGGTCGATCTGATAGAGTGTATTGCTAGCAATAGGTTAATTAGACACCATTACTAGCAATCCCTTTCCTATTCTATTGATATAGTGATGCACTATCTAATGATATATAAGCTAGTTCGGAACTCATCATGGCCCAGAACACATACTATCCGGGACAGGGTTCTTTGATTATTAAAGATAATAGGATCAATTCTGAAGTGTTATTTCCAAAACTATCTAAAAATTTAGTTGTTTAGTAAGAGAGCCAAGACAAAGAAAAAGCCTGACTTCAATAAATATAATTCATACTAGTCCATAAACAAGAATGTTTTTAGCAGATTGTATGGACAGCAAAGGTCAATTTACATTTTTGTGTCATGTTATCAAGATGTATTCTTCTATTTCATGGAAACTACATAATTTAATATCATATTAAATTACTTTTTGAGTGTTTGCTATTATAATGAAAGTTTATAATGAAGAGACTTCTTTATACTTACAGTTACATCAGACATATGACCGACAAATACACGTATAGGAAATGTCCTATCGAGAGACCACAGCTTTGCAGTCTTATCGTGAGATCCGGTAACAACAGAGAGACCATTTTTTGATACGTCCATACACCATATCGGATAATTGTGACCCCTGCCAAAAAAAAATGTAAATAGTAATGAAATTTGTGTAACATGGTAAATAGATTTGTATATTATTCAAGATAGTTAATGTAATTACATGTAGGAAATGTGAATCTGAATTTAAAGCTACCCATTCTGCGTTTATTGAGTCTTCTCGAGAGATGACAAATTCTGAGAGATTAGCTGAATAGGAAACAAAAATGTTTTTACTAAACTACTAATTTACCTATAAATGGCAGCACAGGAGTAATCAGTTAACCTCCAAGCTCTCATTGTATTGTCATGTGAGGCAGAAAGGACCAATTCTTCTTGCCAAAGTACATCTAAAGCTTGTATTGGGCCCGAGTGACCTCTCAGAGGTAAACCTGCGCCTATTTGTCTGGAATTAAAACAATAGGTTAACACAAATATTAATTATATTAAAATCTTATGAAAGTAATTCTATAACCATTTATACAAAAAGCGTGGTCACGTGATTGATGTGGTATGAAAGGTTAAAAACTTATTTTGATATTTCATGTTTAATTGTTTGTCCTTCAGACTTTTTTATTTTTTATTATACTACAGGTGGCAAGCAAGCATACAACCCCCTGATGGTAAGCGGTTACCGTAACCTATGAACATCTGCAATACCATAATACAATAATAAGACTAGTTTTGTATTACTAACAAATAAGTACTAGTTTGTATTAATATTTAATTTGGTGGTTATTTAATTAGAATTATTTTTGTTTAATTTCATTATTATAAACATTATTACCATTATTTAAAAAGTGAAATGGAATTTCACAAAATAAACCTAGTTTATTAAAAAAAAAAAAAAAATATATATATATATATATATCGGTAGAAACACTTAAAACACAATTATATATATATATATATATATATATATATATATATATATATATATATATATATATATATATATATATATATATATATATATATATATATATATATATCATACAATATTAGAAACATAATACAGAAATAACATACAGAGTATTATCTTCAGGTGATGGTTCTGGTGGGATATAACATGCTAATTCAATTTCAGAAATATTGCGATTTATTCTTCTTTTAATATTATTTTGACCAAGATCCCAAAGTCTAATTTCCGAATTATTAAATCCTGCACATAACATGTTGCAATTAGAATCTGTTTTTGCACAGATTAAGCTGTAAGAAAGAGACAGTATTATATTATATGTGTATAATTATACAAATAACATTATACAAATTTCATAAAGATATAGCTAATAATGAGGTTTATACTTATGTGCCATTGTCTCAGTCTTAAATAATCTATAAAATAAAAGAAAATCTTTTTTTAGTCAAAATATTTATGAACTACTAAAATTTAAATTTACAATAGTTGTGAGCTAAATTTAATATGTATATAATTCATATATTCTTTCTTAGAATAATAATAATAGTTTTAGAGATAGAATTAACTTCATTGCTAGTTACAAAACTTACTGAGCATCTGGTGCAGCTATTTTATACAATTTAAGTGGCGCCATAGATTCTCTGACTCCTCTTATTGCATCTTGAAGATCTTTTAATTCCTTATCAACATTTGTTTGATATTCTGCATGACCGTTGCATTTGGAAAATATATCTATGAAAAATATTTTAGAATAATAAGAATGCCTAATCTTTAAAGATGTTAAAATAATAAATAATAAACTCTAATTACCATTTAAATCTAGATTTTTTTCTTGAGAATTTCTTCTTATGACATTAATATCCTCATCTAACTGCTCATCATCATCCTCCTGAAAACCAAAATTAAATATCAATACTGAGTATAACATTTATTCACCAGTTTGTTCATCATACTATTTTATATAGCCAACAACTTTATTTATTTAAGGACAACCAACAAAGCATACATTTATGTCTACTTAAAATACATTATAATATGGTTACATTATAAAATGCTGCCTCAATTAAAGGCTGCCACGACATGCTTATTCATAATACGAGGTTTGTCCGGAAAGTACGTATAAAAGTTTTTTAAAAATTTTATTTTACAATTATTCAGGTAAATCAATTTTATCCCCTTCAAAGTACTCCCCCTGTGACATAATGCACTTGTGCCAACGCCGTTTCCACTGTGAGAAGGCTCCTTGAAAGTTCTCTGGTTGTAGGTTTCTCAGCTGCCCCGTCGTAGCTTTTTTTATCTCATTTATGTCCCCCAAATGCCGCCCCCGAAGTACCAATTTGGTTTTTGGGAACAAGAAGAAGTCACACGGGGCCAAATCCGGCGAATAGGGGGGTGTTCGGTCACCGTAATGGAATTTTTACTCAAAAACTCACGGACAACAAGAGAGGTGTGGGCAGGGGCATTGTCGTGGTGAAGAATCCAACGCCCCTCTCGCGCCAATTCTGGACGAACTCGTGCCACACGAGCTTTGAGGCGTCTGAGCACATCGACGTAGAATTTTCCATCAACTGTCTGGCCTGGAGGGACAAATTCTTGATGGACAATCCCCCGAACATCGAAAAAAACAATCAACATTGTCTTGACCTTTTTAGCCACTTGTGGACGGTTGGTTCCTTCACAGCATCATCCCCATAAACTGTTCTGAGATCGGCAAAAATTTCACTGCCATTCTTGCCGAGTTTCGAGAGAAACTTGATTACGACGCGCTGCTCTTCAACGGAAGCGGGCTCCATGCCGACGGGGTTTCGTTAAGAGGTAACTTCACAGATGGCGTGACAAGCCAGTTCGCACCGCACGGCGGTCAGACCAGAACTGAAGCATTGTTAGGGACATAAGGAAGGGGTCCTGCGCTTACCTGGCCTCCCCACTCCTCTTTCTCGCATTCCAGAACACTTTTATACGAACTTTCCGGACAGACCTCGTATATTATTATTAGTAAAGAATACATCCAAGTTGAGATTATAAGCAAAACTGATTTATTTATCTTTTACCCTCATTACACCAAATATCAACTGTCATTAGACATCTCTAATAAATACATAACATACCTTTCTCTCATATTGATTGGTTTACAAAGCAATGATTCTATCTTACAAATCAATAGATACATAATAATATTTTAAAATTGACAATCACAATAATGAAATGCTAATTAGGTATTCCTATAATATCTGGCCATAAATCAGGCGGTGGAATCAATATGGGGGAATCCGGTGTCAATTCTGAATCTGAATCCTTCATGAGTTGACTGTCTAACTCAGATGGGCGACATGTCATGTCAGATGGTCTGGCCAAGATTTGGTCAGTATGGCGGCGATGTAACTCTCCGTCTTCCGTTTTCACCCTGTAAGTCGTTGGCCCCTCTATTGTTTCCACAGTGGCTCTGCGCCACTTTTCTCCTGGCCCGTACATGTGTATCAGTACTGGTTGATTCACTGCAAAGGTACGGGTGGGCCGGTGCTGTGCCGCCACTTCACGTTGCTGGTCAGTACGGCTAGGCATCGAATCAGGGTGTAAGACTGACACTGCCGTTCTATATCTCCGCCCATTGAGTAGTTCCGCTGGTGTTTTGTTAGTGGAACTATTAGGAACTGTCCTTAAATAATATAAAACTTTACACAATTTTTGTTGCCATTGTATATTCTGGCTTTCAAGTTTCTTCATTTTATTTTTAAATGTTTGAATTGCACGTTCTATCTGCCCATTCGTTTCTGGGTGGTAAGGTGGGGAATACAAATGTTTAATTCCATTCTTTTTTAAGAAATTATTGAATTCTTCCGAGGTAAATGCGCGTCCATTATCTGAAACTAGTACGTCAGGCAGTCCTTGTGAAGTAAAAATTTTCCTTAGCACCGTTATCACTGTCCCGCTATTCATCGTTGGTACTATTTCGGCTTCAAACCATTTGCTATAGCTATCTACTAGAACTAAAAATGTTTTCCCCTGGAAGGGTCCAGCAAAGTCCACATGTACACGACTCCAGGGTTTCTCTGAAACAATCCAAGATTGAGGGTCCTTTGGTGGTTTATTTCTTACTAATTGGCACTGTTGGCAGGCGGCTACAATATTCTCAATTTGACGATCCATGTCTACCCACCATACATAGCCTCTTGCATACGCTTTCGTCTGGACCATGCCCGCGTGTGGAGCATGTAACAACTTCAAAACCTTTTCCTGCAAGGATGCCGGTATTATTACTCTGTTACACCACAATAAACAGTCATTATTATGTGAAAGAGCTTCTCTTCTTGACCAATAAGCTTGTAAACTTGAATCTGTATTCTTGCGTGGCCAGCCGTGTAAAACATGGAACATTACTTTTTGCAGCACCATATCCTTTTTAGTTTCTTCAGCAATTTTGCCAGCATTTAGCTGCCACCCGCTGAACTGCTCTTCTAACAGAAGCAGATCACCAGACACTTCCTTCTTTACACTGGATGTATCCGTAGCGGTCCATCTGCTTAAAGCATCCGCGTTGCCAATTAGTTTCCCAGGTCTGTACTTTAGTTTATAGTCATAGCAAGCGAGTTTAAGTGACCAGCGTAACATTCTAGGCGAAATCTGTTCAGGTATAGGCTTTGCAGGATTGAATAACCCTACCAGTGGCTTGTGATCTGTAACTATACAAAATTTACGACCTGCTAAAAATTCGTGAAATTTGGTCAATCCAAATATAATTGCTAGTGCCTCCTTATCAATTTGCCCGTATCGTCTCTCATGAGCTTGCAATGTGCGCGAGGCCATCATTACAGGTCTTTCAGATCCGTCTTTCATCACATGGGCAATAATCGCTCCTACTCCATATTCTGAAGAATCACAGATGAGAAGCAATTCTTTTTGTAAATCATATCCCATCAATGTGAGATCCGATGACAATAAACGTTTTGCCTCATTGAAAGCTTTCTGTTCTTTCTCTCCCCAGCTCCAGGGTCTCTTTGATTCTAATAGTCTATATAATGGCTCTAATATAGTGCTCTTATCAGGTAAAAATTTCTCATAGAAATTGTATAAGCCCAAAAAGGCTCGCAACGTCTCTTTGTTAGTTGGAGCCGGTTTTTCTTGAATTTCCTTTACCTTCGTAGGTGCCGGGTGGAGGCCTTCAGGTTCGCCGCAAAAACACACTTTTTTTTCATTCAATCGAAATCCCATTTCTTGCAATTTACTTAGCACTTCTCTAAGTCTGTGATTGTGTTCTTCAATGGTGGATCCCGTTACCGCCACATCGTCCAATAAACAGGCGACGCCCTCCATACCTGCAAGCGCCGTTGACATCAGGCGTTGAAAAACAGCTGGCGCCGCATTGACACCGATCGGTAAACGGTTCATTCTCATTAAACCAATTGGAGTGTTGAGTGTTAACAGCATTGCAGTCGCATCATCAACTTTTAGCTGTGTATACGCTTGCTTTAAATCTAATTTACTGAATATTCTACCCCCACTCAACCTTACAAACGCTTCATTTGCTGTTGGAAGGGGGTACGTGTCTGTATCTATCGCGGTGTTTACTGTCACACGATAATCGCCACACATCCGTATTGTCCCGTCATCTTTCATCACTGGTGTCAATGGTGTTGCCCACTTCGAATATCGAATAGGTGTTAGCACGCCCTCTATTACCATCTTATTCAGTTCTTCAATCACTTTCTGTTTGAGTGGGTATGGTACCGCGCGAGCCTTTAAGAAACGCGGCGTGGCGTCTTTCCGTAAGTGTAACGATACTTTAGGGCCCTTGTACTCCCCCAATCCTTCTTTAAATAATTCAGGAAATTCCCTTTTATAAAGTATTATATCCTCTTCCGACCAGCACAAACCAGACACTTGAAGTCCTAGTGTTTGGAACCAATTCCTGCCTAACAGATTTGGACCAAGTTCACACTGTGCTTCCTTGTTCGCTAATATAACCCGCACATTTGCTACTCCCAACACTTTTATTGGGTCTCTAGTCCACGTCACCAACTTCAAAGTAGTGGCTCTTAACGGTGGAGGTGTCGACCAGAGCTTCTTATATGTCTCCTCCGACATAATGGTCCGTGATGCCCCCGAGTCTACTTCCATTAATAATTTTACACCGTCTATTATGACCTCTGCCGTTATTGGTGGTGTATAATTATCAGTACAAACATAGATCCCCATCATTTCCTCTACTGCCGTATCACCACTTCTGCTACATTCCCCCGTCTCGTTAACCTGGTGCATGCGGCCCGGTTTTTTATCACATGCCGCCGCGATGTGTCCAAACTTCTTACAATAGAAACATTTTGCTTTCCAAAATGGACAACGTTCGCCTGGCTTATGACCGCGTGTACACCGTCGATATTCATTAGATTTTACAATGCCAATGTCCATAGGTTCACAATCGGTGACGTTTAACGGAGTTTGCTTTGATTCGCTAGACGTACTGGCAGGGTACAAATCAGGGAATGTCACTTGATAGTCCAGACATGTTTGTAGTGCAACTTCATAAGTTATTTTCTTCTTTTTCAATAAGTCGCGTCGTAAGCGATCATCCCGCACCCCCAGCACTAGTCGGTCTCTCAACTGGCGTTCCAAGTCTATAAAATTGCACTTAGCTCCGAGCTGGCTGATGGCCGCCACATAGTCCTGTACACTTTCTCCCTGTAACTGTTGTCGTTTGTGAAATTTTCCCGCCTGTAGAATTTCGTTAACTTCTGGTTCGAAAAACCTATCTAGAACCCTCAAAATTTCCACTAAAGGTACTTCTGTAGGCCTTTTTGGAACTAAAAGCGATGCAATTAATGCAAAAGTGTCTTTTCCACATTGAGAAAGGAACAGTGATCGGCCCCTATTGAGGTTATCTTCACCGACGCCCGCCGCGTCGAGCGCGCACATTAACTGTTCCTTATAATCACACCACTTATCAGTCTTTGGGTTGAATTGTCCAGGAAACACAATATTTGAAACAGTTGCTGCCATTTTCACAATAAACAATTTTTATTTACTTCGTCGCCAATAAAGAATACATCCAAGTTGAGATTATAAGCAAAACTGATTTATTTATCTTTTACCCTCATTACACCAAATATCAACTGTCATTAGACATCTCTAATAAATACATAACAATTAGTATGAAAACTTCAGTCATTTTCACTGTGGTGTATACTTAATATATAATATTATAGGGTTTTCTTTAAATATTGCAAACTCTATAACCATTAGTACTGCTGTTACACAAATACTACTACTCCTTATCTTTAATCTCAATATTCCCTACCTAAAGGATCTCTGAAAGAGATTTGCTCAGTGATAAGGCCACCTTTTGTATTACTTCACATTACAATGTATTATATTTAGTATTTTTATAAATAGTGCCAAAAAAGCGTAAATAAACAAATTTAGTTTGTTTTAAAATAATAAAACAAACTTACCAAATTCTTTTTGTTGCCATCATTATTTATATCCATGTAAAACCACGTTTGTAGTACTTGTATTAATAATACATGCCCATGTTTGGCTAGATATGCCTTTAACATGTTGAGTGCATCTTGAGACAAAGAGATATCATATTTGGAGGACCTTAAAACAGTGAATATCAAATTAATTGTGCAATAGTCAGATGAATAAGTAATTACAAGAAAATACTAAACCTTTATCAGATTTGTTAGTTTACTAGCTATGTATCTATTTCAGTAATTAACATTTTGAGCCTGAATTCTTTTATAAATGAGATTCATATGAAACCTAATCAAATTAAATCTTATAACGATTTTGTAAATTGATAAAGGTATGAACTTTTAGGATGTATTCACATAAATTCTAATTATTGTAATAGAATTTAGGCACTAGATTCAATAAACAGGTTGAAGATAAATTTTTTAAGATACAAAATGTTAGTAGCATGTGGGAGTAATACAGGTATTTTCTGACAAGAAATCCAGCATCATTAAATATAAAATTATACTTAGATACATTTATTACAAATTTGTCAATGGTGTCATAATCAATATGTTTGGTTGAACCTGTTAGTTGTACAACATAATTATAAAATTATATCTACCTAAAAGCAGCTATAGATGGTCTTGTTTCCACCTCTTGTAAGGTATATATAGAGCCAATGTCATCAAGTATTTGATTCATGTAGTCTTTCTCTGGTGTTTCATTATCTATTGTTCCATTTTGCAGAGAGTTGAATAATTGTTCAAGGCTGTTCGGCCGATATAATGCAGATGGTAAATTACCATCGATTGGTTGATGGTAAGACAAATCTTTTTGTGGCAGTGTTGCTGAATGTCTTTTAAGAAATACTTGAGCTGCACTGCTATGGCCTCCACGTAGCATTTCAAGATATAGGTGACAAAGTAGTGGACTCAACAAACCGAGCAATTCATTTTTTACTTTCTCAATTTTAACACCTTTTATAAAGTTGGCTAATCTAAAATTAGACAAGTATTTCTTTTAAGAATATATTTTAAGTATTTCAAGTGTCATTATTATAAATAAACTGTGTAATATTGTAAGGTATTAAACAACTATAGATTTTATTCCTCATATAAGGCGTTAAACATAGGCCTCCCCTGTAAGGGGCATTTTGCCATAAGGTGGCAGGAGAATTATCAACTACAGTTAGGTTTTGGAGATGCTGCTGCCTATCCCTCAACCACTAAGTTCCCTTAATCTTATAAGACCTACCCCTTACGAAACCCATAGGAAAGAAAAGGGGTGGCCCATTCTATGCTGGGACTACATGGAATAGATTTTATCAGTAGGATTACATTTTGTAGAAATGTAAGCAATTTATAACTATATTTATTTATTTAAATTTCAATTCACTGTGAAAATATATGTGCATTCGATGGAGTTAACCTGAAAGATGTTACCCACCATTCTATCTTTGGGCATATATAAAATATATATAAAGAAAAATCGATAAGAGAAGATTAAATAAACATACTTAGTATACTGTACATCATATTGCCCAGAATCGTTATTGATACAAGAGAAGAGTATAGAATTAGCGCGACTTGATTCACATTGGACAATTGACGAAACAGCCATTTGTTCAGCGCTTTGGTTTAAAGAGTTTGTATTGAAAATGTCTGCATCCTGAAAAAAATAAATAACAATAGTAAATCAAGTGAGAAAAAAATTATTCTCAGTAAATTTGGTTTTACTTACAGGATAGTTTCGTCGTTCTAAGTAGGAGGTAACAGCAGCTTTAATGGCATCATTTCTGCTCTTTTTAATTAAAGACATGTATTATTAGCAAAATGAAATATATTTTTAATCACCACCCTCAATTGTATTACAATCTAAAAGTTAAAATATAAACAACATTAAAACCACAGAATACCTAGAAGGAAATCTGTTTTGATGTGCTGACAGACAAATGTGTAAGGGTTGCCCCCAGAGAGTTAGATAAATAATAAAAAAAAAAAAATTCTAAATCAATTATTTTTGAATCATCGTGTATTAGTATTGCTCTTTTATGCCAAAATGAATAACATTACGAATAGGCGTTTAAATAAAATCAATCAGACCGATAGTTTTAAAGTTACGCTGCTATTTTATGCCATCTTATATTTTTACAACTTTCTGATTTTTCTTGTGGTTACACTGATAATAGGATTATTTCGTCCCTACGTAATATCGGTGTATCTCGACTCCTGCCGAATAAACAACTAGGTAGGTCTGTGAGTGATATGAGTTGCAGCAATATATAAAATATTATACTGTCAAATGCAATGCAAATGGCTACCATCTTAACTGTTTGTGGAACAGTTTCAGCTTTGTATTTCATATTTCTGTTTATTTTGACTTGGGAATTACGATCATATATAATTAATATTGACTCTGTTAAGAGTTACTTTAGAAATTGACCAGATATTATGGAAAGTGTTGAATATATATATATATATATATATATATATATATATATATATATATATATATATATATATATATATATATATATATATATATATATATATATATTATATATGAGGGCTACACTGAAAATTTTTAGAACTGGCTACTTGAAAGCAATATAATGAAAAAAATTGTTAAAATTTTGTAAAATGGAACTCTACGAGTAATACTGAGTATATAATTTATTCGTTTATTCGTTTGTCATTTGTTTTACGGTTTGACGGCAAATTGAAAATAGTCTGTGTAACGTTATCATGAACTTAACACGAGAAAATTTTCGTGCGATGATTTTTTATGACTTTCGATGTTATCTCAGTCAACAAGAAATTTATGATAGACTATGATTGGCCTTCCACGATGAAGCCCCGTCTCGTGCCACTGTTTACAACTGGTTTAATGAGTTTAAACGTGGTCGCACTAATCTCACCGATGATGTGCGTGAGGAACGGCTTTCTACGGCAACGACTAAAAATAACATCAATGTTGTGCGGCGTATGATAGAGACTGATAAAAGAGTGACCTATCAGCAGATCCAGGCAAGCTTAGAGATTGATACTGATACCAAAAATGCAATCAGTATAATTTTTGTCTGTCTGTCTGTCTGTATGTTCGTTATAGAAACAAAAATTACTCGACGGATTTGGACGGATAATGAAACTTGTTACAATTATTCTTTATACTCTTGGGCAGGTTATAATATACTTTTCATTACGCTACGATTAAGTACAATCAGAGCAGTGAAGGGAAATGTTAAAAATTTCCACCCGTGCGACGCCGAGACGGGCCGCTAGTAAAGAATATAATAATAAAGATTTTACGGAGGTGACTCAAATTCTGTGTTTGACATAGTTACGGGAGACGAAAGCTGAATTTACTATTATGATCCTGAAACTAAAAGACAGTCAGCTCAGTGGGTGTTTCCTTCTGAGGAGTTGCTAACTAAAATGAAGAGAGGTCGAAGCGTGGGAAAAAAGATGGTGGCCTCATTCTTTGGAAGGACAGGTCATTACGCGACAATTGTTTTAGAGGATCGAAAAACAGTTACTGCAGAGTGGTACAGTAATAATTGTTTTTTGGAAAAAGTGCGTGAGAAAGAACCTCGAAGTAGGATCCTCCTTCACCACGACAATGCTTCGTCGCACACTGCCAGGCAAACGATCGATTATTTGGCGACCTCAGACGTAGAACTACTGGGTCATCCGCCTTATAGTATTACTATTATTATTATATATAGTAATACTTGCGATTTTTATTTATTCCGAAAAATAAAAGAAAAACTTCGAGGAAAACGTTTTATGGACGCCGAGGAAGCTGTGGTTACGTTTCAGAAGGCCGTCGAAGAGATTCCTAAGGACGAGTGGGCAAAGTGCTTTTCTCAGTGGTTCTATCGGATGCAGCGATGTATTGACGTGAATGGACACTATTTTGAAAAGATAAAATAAAAGTAAAAACTTGCTAATTTAATCAGTTTTTTATTTTCTAAGGACTTTTAGTTTGACCCTCGTATATATAATATGACGAATTGGAGATCTCAAGAAAAATAATATTTATAAAAAATATTTCACGTTACCGTTAAAATAATGTTATTCTTTCGGAGAGAAAGGGATTGTTAGTAATGGAGACTGAGAATCCCAGTGCTAGCAATATATCCAACCAGGTCGACCTCCTCGTGGTTCTCCCTGGAAATTATCATGGTTAATTTCTGATGAATTCATCATGATGGGTTAACTGGCCTATTTTCATTCTCATCTATCACCCTTCACTGGTGCTCCGCAAGCGTATACCGTCAGCGCAGGCGGGGTTACCATACCATTTTCACCCATAAAAACAAAAATTTATTCTTTTTTTTATTTTTGCTAAAAAAAAGTTTCGTCATAACTTGCAATTTGACATAAAATTTATATTTTTGTATGCAACTTAAAATGGCATACAATACTAATGATCCACCTGATGGAAAGTGGTAATCATCGCTTATAGACATGAGCAGTATCATGGACATAACAGAACATACTGTTTCGCTCAGGATACCGCCCATTCGTTGCCATTCCTGAGGACTCAGGTGTTATTCCTCTATACCCTGTAAATTCACTGCCATATCCCACCCTTTAAACCGAAACACAGCCATGCAAACACGAATGTTGCACGTTACCGTGAAACATTTGTGTTTGTAAATAGGTATTTTGAACACTAGTTTTTATTACCTAAGATTATTATGATTATAGAATTATATTTATGAAAAACAATTCATGAGCGAGCGGGACCAAAGCAAATTATAATATAAAATTTTAGACGTTTAAAAAAAACGCTGCTGCTCATCCCTGGATAATTATTTTCCCTCTTATGACAGCATGGAAAAAGAAGAGGTGGCCCATTCTATGCCGGCACCAGATGGCTAACCTGTTAACTAGTAAGCTAAATATATCTTACCTACTTTTTATGATGAATGATGGCAGCCCCTGCCATTCCATTTTTAAGCCTGCGCTAACGGAATATGCTGGCAGTTAGTCTATCATGGCGAGATTATTCAGAGTTAACCACGATGGAAGACCGCGTGGAGGTCGACTTGGTGGGGTATGTTATTCTTCCTCTTAACAATTGTAGTTATTTTTATTGAATGATAATGAAATGGTAACCCCGCCTGCGCTAACGGTATGCGCTGGCATGGCACAAGTTAGGGATGATAATGAAAAAGCAGGTTAGTTCATCGTAATGAATACATCTGGAATTCAGCACGATAGTTTTTAGGGGGAACCACGTGGAGGTCGACCTGATGTACTAATAAGTAAAAAATATGCTCTAGCTTATATTCAAACTATGTAGAGATAAAAACGTAATCAATAAAACATACGAAAAAAATATTGAAATACAGATTGTTGTGTACGCGGGTAAATTGTATCTCTCAACATCCTGTTAAACTGAGATATACCGCCTACGGGTCGCGTATTTCAAAATATATACTGTAATACTCTAATCAAATTAAATAATTTATTTGCATTAATTGTTTTTTTTATAATACGTAGGTGTTTTCATATATATATATATATATATATATATATATTGGTCATGGCTGGAAAGAAGCCATATAGTATATTTAAAAAAAGAATAAGAATGATTTGAATTTTTGCATACCATTCTTGTATCTCTGTGTGTAATGTCTTATAACTATAATTTTGTTATGTAAATAAATATAAAAAACACTAGTGGAACTATAAAAGTGGTATCATTTTGGAGTAAATCGTCTATTTTTGGTCCATCGAGTCGGAGTATCGAGGATTAACGACAAATTTAAACTGCTTTTTTGTACGAAGTCGGCGAGCGTCAATTGTTGTTGTTGAACATTGTATCGTCATATTGCAGCCGTAAGGACATCAAAGCAGAACTGAACATAGTATTGTAAGTGATAAGTGCTGGTGAACTGTGAGTACATTTTATTTATCTAATTACAGAAGACTAAGGAATTTACTCTAAACATTTCATATAAATATTTACTTGTAAAAACTTTGGATATTATTGAAACTTTATTATTAAATTTATACAATGGATTCATATATAAAAGTACAGCTTGATTTAAGTGAAAGAATTAGTAGAGCAAAATCTAACTTCAAAAAGGCACCCAAGGAGCGACTTCGTTCTATAGATTATATTAGTACTAGATTGGAAGCTTTAGAAGAATTATGGCGTCAGTTTAGTTCGACACATACAAAACTCATTCAAAATACAAACTACAAAGATTTGAATGCTAGTTCCTACGTATGTAATAACGTCTATGATTCTACTGAAGAGTTATATATAGAATACAAATTTCTACTGAAGGAAGCGTTGACTAGTTTAAGGCAGTCTAGTACTAAAAGTGCGAGTTGTTCCGAACAAAACAATAGTAATAAAGATCTTAATTGCAATTTAAAGCTACCCAAGATATCTATATCTCCGTTCTCAGGCAAATATTCAGAATGGATTAGTTTTAGAGATCTGTTCGTATCATTGGTACACAATAATAAACATTTAGATGACGTACAAAAACTACATTACTTGAAAGGATTATTAGTTGGGGAAGCGGAGCAATTACTACGTCATGTACCGATTACTCATAATAATTATACTATTTGTTGGGAACAATTGGAGAAAAGATATAATAATAAAAAATATCTTTCAAACTGTATTCTGAAAAGGTTTATGAATCAAAAAAGCATCAGTACTGAATCAGCTAGTACACTAAAGGAGTTGCTAGATACTACTAATGAATGTCTTCATGGGCTTAACAATTTAGGAATAGACATCAGTACTTGGGACGTGCTTGTTATCTATATTATAAGTCAAAAATTAGATATGGAGTCTCGCAAGCAGTGGGAACTAAAAATCAGCGAGTTCTCAGATGAGTTACCTACCTTGAAGCAGTTCCAAGACTTTTTAGAAACTAGATTTAGAGCGTTAGAGTTTATTGATCCAAATTGTCTAAGTCTAATGTAGTGCATAAAAGTAATGTTATTAATAATAGCCCTAAAGTATATCACACAACCAATTTTATATGTCCTTACTGTTCTGAAAGTCATCGTTTAGCAAATTGTAAAAAGTTTTCTAAAGAGGAAACTGATATTAGACGCGAATTCGTCCAATCCCAGGGTTTGTGCTTTAACTGTTTATGTCCAGGGCACTCTGTATTTGCTTGTCGTCAAATCTCTCGTTGCCGTTTATGCAGACGGAAGCATCATTCTCTACTCCATTTAAAAAATGTTACCAATATCAATTCAACCGACACTACAGGTATCGTAAATCAATCGGTTGAACAAGATGTCGTTGCACATGCAACAACATCATCGTCTGTAGATCAATCCACTAGTGTCACAGCCTGTGTTTCGACCTCAAACTGTCAAGTCTTACTTGCAACAGCATTAGTTAGCGCACAATCGAAATCAGGTAATGGTATCACACTGAGATGTTTAATAGATCCAGGTTCTCAAGCTAGTTTTATTACTGAATCTGCTGTTCAATTGCTGACCTTAAAGAAGATACCACACAAAAGTGTTATTACAGGATTAGGAAGTGATCAGGGTCATTCATTGACCTCTAAGTCTATGGTATCGGTTTCATTACAATCACTTCATGATCCCAATTTTACGTTTAAGGTTCAAGCTTTTGTATTGAGTAAACTCACTTCAATCCTCCCTGAGAGGCAAATTATTGTAGAACTGTGGTCGGAGTTTTCAAATATCAAACTGGCAGATCCATCATTTCATACACCAAACAAAATCGATATTCTTCTCGGAGCTAATGTTTACAGTCAGATCTTGTTAGATGGTGTAATCAAAGGTCCACCAGGTGTACCTATAGCTCAGCGAACAACGCTTGGTTGGATTATTTCTGGCCCTGTTAATTTAGATGAAACAAATAATATACAAAGGCCACTGATTAGTATGCATATTTCTCATGTAAGTGAAGATGACTTATTAAGGAAATTTTGGGAATTGGAAGCTGAAAACAATATAGATATTAAAAAACATTTATCTGAGGAAGAAAAGAAATGTGAAGAAATATTTACAAATACTACGAAGCGGGACAGTTCAGGGAGATATATAGTTAATCTTCCATTCCGTAGTGATGATCCCAGTTGTAAATATGGCAATTCTAAAACTATTGCAACTAAAAGATTTCTGCAACTAGAAAAAAGATTATCAATGGATCCTAATTTAAAAATTAAATACGCTGAAGTCATTTCAGAATATCTAGAATTAGGACACATGGAGAAAGTACCAATAACTGAACAAGATGATCCTGAAGCAGTCTATTTACCGCACCATGCAGTGGTGCGGGAGGATAGAACCACTACAAAAGTAAGAGTTGTTTTCGATGCAAGTTGTCCTGGTACAAATGGCGTATCTTTAAATCAAGATTTATTAGTAGGACCCACTCTTCAAGCTGACTTGCGTCATATCTTAATACGTTGGCGTCGTTATCCTATATGTATTGTGTCTGATATAATTAAAATGTATAGACAGATAAAGGTTGAAGAAAGACATACTAACTTTCAACGTCTGGTATGGCGTGATCATCCGGAAAGTGAACTGCAACATATGAGACTATTACGAGTAACATTTGGAACGGCATCAGCACCTTACCTTGCTGTTCGGTGTTTACATCAAATTGTTTATGATGAAGGCAAAAATTATCCTCTTGCTGCTGAAAGAGTTCTAAATCATTTTTATATGGACGATTTACTAACAGGTTGTGAATCAGTCGAAGAAGGTATTAAAATCTATAAGGACATAAAAGAGTTATTAAAAAAAGGATTTGAGCTTCAGAAATGGAGTAGCAATAGTAATGAATTATTGAAAGTAATTAATGAAGAAGATATAGCTTCACAAGAAAGCGTGCAATTAAAAATAAATAGTGTTATGAAAATTCTAGGACTTACCTGGAATCGAAGTTGTGATCATTTTGAATATGTTGTACAACTTCCTGAACTGAAGGCACCTGTAACTAAAAGAAAAGTTATTTCCGATATTTCTCGGATTTTTGATCCAGTTGGATGGTTAGCGTCTGTTGTTATTCATGTAAAAACATTTATCCAAATGTTATGGCTCTCTGGAATAGGTTTAGATGAAGAATTACTAATACAACTTTTGAATAAATGGTTACAGTATCTAGAGAATTTTCAAGAAACTTACCTCGTCGTCGATGAATTAAAGAACCTGAAAGAAAAAAGAAAGATTAGTAATAAGAAAAGTGTACTTACCTTCTCGAATCCGTGGAATGATGAAGATGAAACTCTAAGAGATGATGGACAGTCGCAATGTACTAATATTAATGGTACATATCATCAGTACATTATTTTACGCAGTTTTTACATTATACTCTCATTAATATATAGAAGTTTACTTAAGTATCTCCTTCGGTTTCATCATAGATATAAATAAGGTCCCACAACTACAAATAGGTGACATAGTGTTGGTGATGGAGAATGATCTTCCGCCAGCATATGATGGCTTTATAGTATTACAGTTGAAAAGCACCAGGGAATGGACGGTACACGTGTTGTTAGTTTACGCTGCAAAAACAGCATTATAAAAAGGGCTGTATCAAAACTTTGTTTTCTACCATAGTTATTTTGTTTATTTTAAGAGTGAGCATCTAACATTAATTGATAACTATAATTTAGATCTAAAGCAGTTCAAAGTATTATGTTATGTTTGTTCATTATTATATGTAGTGTAATATTGTTAAATTTCTACCAAGGACATTGTTTATTCTTTAGTTATCTTAATTTTGTGAAGTATTTATTCATGGTGGGCGGATTAAGGACAATATTGTCATATAGTCCTTGGTGGGCGGTATGGTCATGGCTGGAAAGAAGCCATATAGTATATTTAAAAAAAGAAAAAGAATGATTTGAATTTTTGCATACCATTCTTGTATCTCTGTGTGTAATGTCTTATAACTATAATTTTGTTATGTAAATAAATATAAAAAACACTAGTGGAACTATAAAAGTGGTATCATTTTGGAGTAAATCGTCTAATATATATATATATATATGTATATATATATATGTATATATATATATGTATATATTACATTAAATCCAACTTAGTATTCTTTTATTACTTAATATCCCTTATACTTATTGCAAATTTGGCATGCATGATTACATAATATGTCAATTTATTTATTTAACCCCTAATTGCATCAGAAATATCAAACATACAACGAAAATTAAACAATATATTATAACAATTAATAATAGTGTTAGTTAATATACACTAATAATAACAATTACCAATATATACATATGTATGTAATTTGTAAATTATATTCCTAGTTATCTTTTTTCTATATTAAATAGTCCTGTATTATGTTATAACATTATTCAATGAGGTAGTATTTTAGGTTTTTATATTAATCTACAATTTTTTTTTTATTTTTTATTTCTAGCGGTAGGTAGTTTATTATAGATTTTTGCCGCTATGTTAAAAGAGCTTTTATTTAACATTAAATTTTTTTAAGATTGTAAGTTTATATATTTTTATGTCCAGTATTGCAATTATGTATGTTTTTAACTTTTGCATGTACAAGGCATGTTGTTAATGTTGTTTCAGTGTTTCTGGAATGTTTTATTTGGAATAAACAATAAGCAAATTTAGATAATTTTGCTTTTATATCTTCATGTGTGTTTTATTTGTTTTCCTATTTCAATCGTTAGGCTACAATGCTAATATGTTATTATTGTATTTCAATAAGAATGATACGAGTTTCAATGAACGAGGGTGGTTGTGGACGACACAGTATATTGTAGGGGTGGCCAATGGCCAGGGGTTGATCAACTGGTCGATCGTGATCGCGACTACTAGTACAGTCGACCGTGGCAAAGCAAAACTATAACATTTTACTAATCTAGCGGTAGGTGCTAGGATGCAATGCTTACACTAATATAAATAAGTAGTTATTAAGAATAATTTTCATACATACATACATACATATCTGTCACGCCTGTCTCCCATTAGGGTAGGCAGAAACAATGGAACGCCAAATGATTCGATTCAAACAAACCAATAATAATTAATGAATAATTTTCAGTTTTATGTTTTTCCTTTTAATAAAATAAAAAAACACTACAATACTACATAATTATGTACTGAACTATGTTGTTTGATTTGAGTTCTTAAGAAGTATGTAATTGGTAAATCGCACAAAGTTTCGTTAGTAAACATTAGATCTTGGGTCTAACCAAGTCGGCTACCCCTGGTATATTGCGACATAGTTGACAAATAGTAGTACAGTAGTTTAGCCGTGAAGAAGTTACTAGTAAATACAAAAAAAGAACAGCCATACAAACACGCAATAAGTATATAAAATATTGGCATTAGACTTGAATACGAAGACTACCACAAGATTTCCAAATTATGCAGCTACAATAGAAATAAATGCGTAATAACATAAAGTAGGTACATCAATTTAAAACGATTTAAACTATACTCGTAGATACACATAATATTTCTAAACTGTTCACGGTTGAGAAAAGAATTTATCATATCATGTAATATATGTCTTTTTTTATATAAATCTGCTAGTAAAATAAGTAGATATGTGGCTATTAGTGATGTTTATTTTTGTGCCTTTAACCTTTTTCAAATGTTTTGGTGATTATAATGCTGCCGAAAATATAAATGTGTTTCTTTTTGGTTTACAAAATTTTGAATTCGTAGATTTGACCCAGAGTTTTGGAAATAATTATTGGAATTGCAAGAGATATGAAACAGAAAGGTATGTTTAAAAATAGATTAGTTTTTATGTCTATAAATGAAGTACACTGACTTTATCTTTGAGCAAACGGTCGAGCACAGAGGGGAATATGTAACTACCTAGGCAAGACTGTTGACGACAATGCCATGTATTGGCAGTGTATCTGTTGCCAGGACTCTACTTCTCTCTCTAAGAACACATGGTCTATTTAATCAAGATCTAGATCAGGGGTGGCCAATCGGTCGATTGCGACAATTAGTCCAGTCGATCGTGGCGAGGCAAAAAATATAATATTTTGCTGATCTAGCGACAGAGGCTCAGACGCAATTTTCACACTAATTTATAGTGTAGTTACTAAGAATAATTATAAGTTTTATGTTTTCCCTCTTAATAAAATAAAAATACTACAATACTGCATAATTGTCTACTGAACTATGTTGTTTCATTTGAGATTTCATGTAATTGATAAGTATGTAATTGATAGATTTCACAGAGTTTCGTCAGTAAACAGTAGATCTTGGGTCGTTTCAAGTCGGCTACCCCTGATCTAGATAGATCAATCGAGGACAGTTGATGAAAAATAGATCAGCGTGAATTTGCTCTAAAGTATCAATGTTGAATTTGGTTTGCTGATCCTACGTGTCCCTCTTAGATGACCACTCGATCGCCTCACACCTTCCACCACCAAGGCCTGTACAATGCAATCTATCTGTACCCTTCCATTTTTCTAATACCTACCTACTGAAGATTCTTTTCAAATTTTATCCTATTTTACAGATATTTGAATGTTTGTATCAATGACTGCCATGGTACAGAAATAGATGCGAATTATAATAATACAGATATGTTTGACAAAGAGAAAACTGTTGGAAATATTTCATTGAAAAACCTCGTCGTGCCATGTGAGTCGAATTTATGCACCTATTTAGTCGTATTATTATTATTATTTAGTCAAAATAATTACTTAGTTTAAAAACGCTATGCATTTTTTAAATAAAAACTAAATAACTTTTATATTGAAATAGATGTAGTCTTGTGGAAGTCTGTATCATTAGTTATCTATTTGATTAGAATTATTGCCATAATCGAATATTTACCACCACTATTACCACCAGAAGTTCCACAACCTCCACAAGATCACCATTAAAATACTTTCTTCTCCATTAGTTATGGGTTTTTAAAGTTTATGATTGGCCGTATCCTTCGAGCTATAACTGTTATTTTGGGTCTCGACCCACAAAAATAATGAGAATATACCTAGGTGTAATCTAACTTTTTTTGGATTTTTTGATGCTCTTCAATTTGTCAACAATTTGCAACAGAATTAAAAGGTATATCTGCGTTCTAACGTACGTACATACGAGTAAGTTAATTAAAACATACAGAGTAAACCGCGAGTTACCTATTGTTAGCTTCACCTGTTATGTACAGTTATTTATTCAAAATATTGCTGCGGTTATTTCATACTACTGTCTTCTTCTACAGTGATAATTGCTGATATAAGCGATAAAGTCAATGGAAATGAGAACTTTGTGCTGTACAAGGAACATTTAGATTACTTTTTGAACAATTATTTTGGTGATATCACTCAGCCATGCTTAATGGTGTTCAAGTTTGGTTGGTCAGAGTATTTTATCGATCGTCGAAAATATTGTGGTATACAAGATGACAACAAGACACGGAATTATCCTGGTTAGTAAAATTATAGTGAATAGTATTGCATTTTCTTAGTAGAGCCCGTCGAATCGTATCGTGATAGGGTTGCGTAATGTTTTTAAATCTCCAGACTTTAAGCAGCCACGAAATTTAAAAACAATTTGAACATAAATAACACAAAAATGTTATATTCGTTATTTAAGTTAAAATCATTCAGATGTTGTTCACATAAAGTCACTAAAGTAAGTGCTTATTGAGAGATATTACCAGAGGGAGACTTTTTACAAAAGTTGTTTGCTTGGGCACCTCTGTCCCATTCGTGTTTCTACCACAAAACAGTTATGTTTACATGGCTGTGTTTCGGTTTGAAGGGTGTGATATGACGGTGAATTTATAGGATACAGAGGAATAACACCTGAGTCCTCAAAAATAGCAACGCATGGGAGGTATCCTGGGCGAAACAGTTATGTCCGTAGTATTTGCTCATGTCTATTATTTTTTTGTAAAATTCATAAAGTTTAGACAAACTGTAAGAGGTATGATTCAACATATGGATCAAACTCTAAATAGTATTATTAGAAACGAAATAATGTAATGTAAATGGAAGTTTTAACTCTCAGACTATGGACTCAAATGCCCGTATCTAATTAATTGATATGTAGAGATTTAAGGAACAGGTCATAAATATATATTCTAAATTATGATATAACCCATCCGTATTTATACATATACATTCTCACAAACTTTTTTTATTTATAATATATAATAGGATTGAGAAGTTAGAACTCACTTTTTAAAATAAAAAATAGCTTGATTTTGTGATTTTAGTGTTCTTCAAATTATTTCAGGTGTAAGTGAAGAAGTAGCACAATGGATAACAAGTTCCTACAAGAATATAGTCGGAGTAGGCGTGGATCTGCCTACATTGGACCCTGGTGGTTACATAGATACGTTACCGGCAACGAGAACTTTAATAAATGCTGGAGTATATGTTCTGAAAAATGTTAAATTGGATATGTACTTACCTGGTATGTGGTTGGTGGAAAACTGTACATTTAGAAATTTTGACAAGTAAAGTTTAAAGAGGGAGGTATAGGTAGTCTTGGTAAAAGATAATTTCTACTTTATATCACAAAATATAACAAATAATTTGATAGGTATGAGGAAAACATTTAAGAGAATATTGCACATGATTCAGTTCGCGTGACGGATATTATTATTCAAATAATAATAATAATAATAACCCCCCCAGGGGGCCACCTTGACGTGGTGGGGGGGCTTAAGGAAAGGATACCAACCCTAGTCATAACATCCAGACTCACCCCTATTGGGAGTACGCATTACAAAGCTCATAAACATCTGAGTAAAACCTTCCGAACTAACGGTCCCAAAACCATAACCTTATGAAAATGTCTAATGGAAAATATAATTTGCGGCCGCTTCCCGGAGTTCGTCGGGGCGCACCTGGAGCCGGTGCTGGGTGTGGCAGGATACGGACCACCGGTGGCGGGGAGCTGAGCAGGCGGGCCCCCGCCGGGAATGAACTCGAAGATACTACAGCCGACAATCACAATCATACTAACTCATCTAATATGTCGCCATCATCATCTAATAGCAGTTTATTTCAATCATCTCCATCAACTCTTTCATTTCAAAACACATCAAATTTATCATCGTCATCATCATCACTGGCAGATGTTGTGCAGGAGGCAGAAGCCACTGATCCTGTGCCCACTGCTAGCTTAAATCGTGCAAGGAAAAAATGGTCAAAGGAAATGAACGAATTTATATGGCGCACGTATCTCATCATTACACACAACGAAAACAACATGAAATCATATTTAAAACCATTACATCAAGAATTTACTCGGCAATTTCCAGAAATGAATGTTTCACAGCAAAGATTAGGAGACCAAATTAGAGCAATAGTTAGAAACAAGTTAATTGCATCAAATCAACTAGCAGTAATTAGATCGGAAGTAATAGCTCATCTTGAATTAAATCCTCATACAAACAATCATACACAAACATCAAATAGTAACCCTGGAAGTAGAATGAAATGGACACAAGAAATCAATGAGACATTAATGCAGTGTTATTATGATATAACAGATGGCGAAACAAATATGACAGCATACAGGCAGAAACTATACAAAAAATTTATTAGTTGCTACCCAAGTCTATCCCATTTATCTGAGCAACGCATAGCAGATCAAAGAAGAGCAATAGTAAAAAATAAATTTATTTGTGAAAATAGGCTACAACAAATACAAAAAGATGTATTGATACAAAAACAGAACACTTCAACACCTATAATTAATGATAATATGTCAGTGCGATTAGGCGGACTCGGTTTACATATATCACAATTACATACACATAATCCGATAAATCTGATAAACAATCATAATACTCACACCCTGAATACATCTTACGCAGAGTCTCACACTCATACGCTCAATCATGATCAATATATACAACCACCTGACACACTAACTGAGACCTCATTTGAAACTTTTACACAAGAAGGAATTTCACAAATACAACACAATTCATCACAACGAGAAATTATAGGGACACGTTCAAGGAATGATAGCACAGAATTAAAAAATCATATTGATGAAGAAAGGATTCAACACGAATTTAAGAAGGCACTTGAGATATTCAAAGAATCGAACCCAACTGGAAGACCATATATACCGAAAGAAAGATCGTCAAGGAATGTAGCTTTAATTATAGATTACATTAATAAAAACGTAATACCCGAACATTTAACAGCAGATCAAGATTTCATCACATTGCAGACAATAATATACTGTGCAGCATTCACAACAGCAACTTGTAATGGTTGTAAAATATATATGGAAGGAACATACAAAAGAAAAACGCAAGAGAAACCACGGTGGCAAAGAAGGATCGAACAGAAAATAGAAAAATTAAGAGGTGACATTGGAAGACTAACACAATGGTAATCATAGTCCTCACATAATAAAATCAGTAAAGGATATTGAAACAAGACATGTTACACACTCACAACATGAAAACAGGAATAGCACTCCGGAACAATTTCTTGATACGTTAAAACAAAAGCTTAGTGCAACTGCTAATAGGCTGAAGAGATATTTGGCATGCACAATGCGAAAAACACAAAACAATCAATTTACAAACAATGAGAGAATATTTTATAGAAACATGGAACCACAAAATTTACCAGTTAATGACATGCCTGATCCACAAGAACTACACGCATATTGGTCAAATATATGGCAAAACCCTATCAAGCACAACCTCGATGCTCAATGGATTCAAAAGTTAAAGAAAACTACTTCAGAAATGCCATTCAATTGTATAACTCCTGAAATATTCACACGTGTTATTAATCGAACCCATAATTGGAAGTCACCAGGCACAGACAACATCCATAACTTCTGGTACAAAAAATTTACTAGCACTCACCCCTTAATATACAAACACATTAACCAATTCATTCTATCACCAATTTCAATGCCTACTTACCTAACACAAGGAGTAACGTATATGATTCCTAAAGATACTGACACCAAAAATTCAGCTAAATACCGGCCTATAACCTGCCTCCAAACATTTTATAAAATATTAACAGCATGCCTAAGTGAAACTATATATAGCTATCTGATAAACAATAAAATATTAGCAGAAGAACAAAAAGGGTGTAGAAAGAAAAGTCAAGGTTGCAAAGAGCAATTAACAGTAGACGCAATAGTAATGAAAGAAGCCATTAAAAAAAAGAAAAATATACACACGATGTATATCGATTACCGAAAGGCTTTTGACTCGGTCCCACATAGCTGGCTTATCCAAGTTCTAGAACATTACAATATTAACCCAACAATAGTAAACTTTTTGAAATCAATCATGCAAAACTGGCAAACAACGCTTAAAATTAATCAACCTAATTCCACATTAGCTACTGAACCGATTCATATTCAAAGGGGTATATTTCAAGGAGACGCTCTGAGTCCTTTGTGGTTCTGTATAGCCCTGAATCCACTATCTGAACTCTTAAATAGTACAAATCAAGGATTTCATCTTACGACTCATATAACATTATCTCACTTGCTCTACATAGATGATATAAAACTTTATGGATCCGCTAAAACAGAATTATTCACGTTAGCAGATATTACCCAGAAATTTTCTCAGGACATACATATGCAATTTGGAATAGATAAATGCAAAATTCATTCAATAAGTAAAGGAACTGTAGAACAAAATACATATTCTCTTGAAGATGGAAATCATATCGAATCTTTAGATGTACACAATCCATACAAATACTTAGGCATACTACAGTTTAAACAAATACGACAAAAAGAAATCAAAGATACTTTAACAAAAAAACTAAAGTATAGATTAAACCGAGTACTGAAATCTCATTTGAATTCACGAAATACAGTTAAAGCAATTAATACATATGTTATCTCCGTTCTCACGTATTCATTTGGAATAATTAAATGGTCCCAAACAGATTTAAAAAAATTACAACGTATCATAAATACACACATGACACAAAATAGAAAACATCACCCGAAATCATGTACACAAAGACTTACATTACCGCGCCAAGAAGGTGGAAGAGGCCTCATTGATATCCAAAATCTTCATAATAAGCAGATACAGTCACTAAGAAAATATTTTCATAATAAATCTGAACAATCATCACTATATGCACATGCAATAAAAATAGACAAACGATTTACACCTCTTAATTTACATGACAACAGTGCCCAATATAATGAACAAATAACGACTAAACAACAAAAAATAGAAACCTGGAGCAAAAAGTCTCTTCACGGAAGACACAGAGCGGACCTTTGCCAACCATATGTCGATAAGAATGCATCGAACAAATGGCTGAAACGCGGCGAACTCTTCCCAGAGACAGAAGCATTTATGGTAGCAATACAAGACCAGACAATAGCTACCAGAAACTATACAAAACACATAATAAAGGACCGCAATTTGCCTAGTGACTCATGTCGACACTGTAATAGTGCTTCCGAAACTATCCAACATATTACAGGTGCTTGCAAGACACTAGTACAAACAGATTACAAACATCGTCACGATCAAGTCGCTTCAATTATACATCAATATATAGCACATAAATATAAATTCATAGAAAATAAAGTTCCATATTATAAATACAACCCAACCAACGTACTTGAGAATGCACACTGTAAACTATACTGGGATAGAACCATCATTACCGATAAAACCATTCATTTCAATAGACCCGATATAACTATACATGATAAAGACAATAATGTAGTATACATAGTTGACATAGCTATTCCGAATACACACAATATACAAAGCACTATTAATGAAAAACTATCAAAATATACAGACTTAGCAATAGAGATAAAGAAGCAATGGAAAGCGCACACCATCCACATAATACCCATAGTACTATCGTCTACAGGAATCGTACCCAAAAATCTTCACAAGCATTTAGATATGTTACAAATTCCTACCTATACAATAGATTTGCTACAGAAAGCGGTCATCCTTAATACCTGCCGCATAGACAGAAAATTTCTTTCCTCATCATTGTCATCATCCTCATATATAATTTAAAGTCAACCATTGCTTGGCTATGGCCCGCATGGTTGAACATTTACCCCCATAAAAAGGGAGATGTTAAATACAATATATATTTAAATAATAATAATAAACTATTATAATAATTCACGCCGAAATTCATGACGATCAAAGCGTCAAGTGGTAACAACAAGCATACCAAATAAACTTTTACATTTTTATTGTTAGTCAAGATTTTATTATTTTAATAAAATTTCTATCAAAAATTGCAATTAGTAAATAGCCGTTTCTGATCTAATTATAAATAAATAAATGTATTTTGGAAGTTTTGCTTTTATGTGCTCACAGTTTGACTTGAATACCCACTAATATTTGTATATTGCGGGGATTAAACCGGCATTCATTGGAAACGAACGGTGAAATATGTAATCAATTAGTTGAAGTAAATCAATAGTGATACTAATGAGCAAATTAGATACCTATCAAAAATAATTCATGTTTTGTATATTTTTTCTAGAGGCATCGTGTACAGCATTAGTGGCACCACCGAAGGTGGGTGATGTGGGTAGTTTACCTCTCCGTCTCATAGCTATTTGTCCTAAATCTCGGATGCAGAAGCCCCAAATCCTTTTACATCATCTTTAAACTAATTAGATATAAGCAGGTCTACTCGTGTTATTATTAACTTAAAATTGTTTAAAGTAATTTGAAACTTTTATATAGTCAAGTACTGAGATAATTATTTTTATTATATGTACCTATAGGTACACTAGATAGTTTACAGATTGTTATATTCAGTATGATTTATTTATAGTTAAAAAAATACAAACCGTTTCCGACCCTGACTCACAAATTATTTTTCTCAAACATGCTTGGAAATGTGAGCATTATTTTGACAATCTTCTTCGAGATAAATCAAAATTGCCGTACTGGCCAGACACATGCAGGCAGCGGCCGGCAAAAGTTGTATCTAACTTACATTCATAGCCGCAGTTCTAGGAAAGTAGTTCGTAGAGTAAGGATAATAGAAAATAATTTATGTTTAATATATCATTAATCATCAATACATATAATAAAATCGTAACAAGTCGCTGTCTGTGTGCTGTAGATGGAATATAAGAAAAACTATTATAGGAGGGCTTTATAAAAGTAATAGAACCCAAAACAATGATTTTTAGAAGTTTTGTCGGTTTGTCTGTATGTTTGTGCATGTTAATTTTAGAAACGGTTTAACCGATTTGAATGCAGTTTTCACTAATACGTTGCGGTTTGCCCCAATTATTATTTAGTGCTTGGTTTATTTCAATCGGTTCATAAATAAAAAAGTTATATCAATTTAAAGAATCACATATAAAATACTATAAAATAAGCGATCAGTTAAAATGGCTGAAACTTTATTAAGGTATATAATTATTATTTAAGTAACTATATAATACACTATAGGACCGGATTCATGAAGGGTTCCAATGGGAATGATATACGCGAACTACATAGAAGCGGGCAACGCCTCAGGAAACGGCTAGTACAGAAATTAAATTAGTATGCTATAATATATTATTATTAAGATTGCTACATTTTTTGTTCCGTTTCTTGCCCAAACTTGACAGTAGCTAGTACTGTCTTCTTTTTTGTTATATTTATTGAAGGAGAAGGTTTTCTGAAATTACTTTAACAAGAATACCACCTTTTGTATTTTTTTAATGAATTATATATTTTGTAATATTTTTATTATTAGTATTTTATTTGGTATATCGGTGTATAATATTAAAAGGTTTTTTACTAGTTTGTATTGCTTTAATATATTTAAACCTGGACCCCAACATGATACACATTTTAGAGTTCCGTAGTATACGAAGTAATCAACGAAAGCAGCACGAATTAACGAAACGTGTGGAAGGCAAATTTAGCAATGGATAGTTTTCATTTTAAAATAGTGACGAAAAATAATATAACTCTGAAGGTAAATAGTTACCGTATAGTATATAGATTAATAACTTATTTTAAAAAATAATGTGTGATTGATGTGGTAATACCTTAGATTGTAAAGTACTATACTTTATACTACGCCTATGGGTGACACCTACTGTGAATATTATTATACCTACACTTATTTTCAATGCCAAAGGACGCTGATACCCATTTACATATCTGTGGCTATATAGTTTACACATGTGTTAAAGGATCTCTAAACAATACGTAAACAAGAGCATACTTACTTCATATGCAGACAGGCAGTCTGTTTCAAGATGGCAGCTTCGAATGTTGTGTTTGTGCTTTTAATATGCTTTATCATAAATTCTTTCGCAAAACGGGATAGTTTATACGACTTCTTGTTCAACGGTGATTATGAGTTCATTGATTTGACACACCCCTTCGATAACCAGACTGTCTATTGGCCAAATGCGCAGGTATTCCGGTTCACTAAACAGATTGGAGATTATGACGCAACAGGTTCTTGGTACGTGAGAATATTTATGTTCATTTAAAATTATTTAGAGAGTGTCGTGCCCTAGTGATATACTACCCTGGCTTATAAACCACAAATGTCGTGTGTTTTACCGAACCAAAGACTTTGTGGCAATTTAAATTTGGGACTAACTCTACAATTTATTATTTAATTTTGTATCCTTAGGCTGGAAACTTGACACGTTAGGATTCTAATATGCTCGGTGAAATGCAGAGGTAGGTACTTACATGTCGAATGTTACGTGCACCGTAACGATAATAGTAAACAAGCCTTCGACTACCTCATCAGACGGTTTACAGTCGTAAAAATTATTCTTATATTACATGTTTTTTTTATTTAGCTATAATTAATATAATAAACTGGTAGATATTGCTACCGTCGCTGTACATGCTGAATGTTGAATAGTTAGCTCTATACGATATCAAGCTAATAATTAAAATATATGTATATAAATAGTATTCGTAATTAGCTTTGTTAGCTTGTAGATCGCTGCTGTATTCCTTCAGTCATTTACAATTAAGAATAACTAAGTACACAAAACAATTTTCATTTTTTTTTACAACAAGTAAAGGTAAGGGGTAAGTAGGCTACTAACATGCGGCTCATCTGATGGTAAGTGACTACCGCCGCCCATAATCACCCGCAACACCAGAGGCACTACAGGTGTGCTGCCGGCCTTTTAAAAAGGATTACGCTATTTTCTTGAAGGTTATGAACTGAAATTAAAACACTACTCACTACTATTAGTCACTTTAGCTTATTTCCGAAACAAAATTCTACCACTACTACAGTAATAGAAAATACAATAGGCACAGTACACATTAAAGCTTTAATATTTTGTGATTATTTATATCGATTTTATTCACGTTCCAAATCCAAATCATGAATTATTTTTAATTTTTTCTTCTAAATTGGAAAAAACTGCATTACTTATATAACTGCCGTCAGGTTTTTTTGTCCTTTTTACTCAGTTAATAGTTAATTTACTTTCGACTCACACACTTATGTAAGATAAGATATATTTGTCCTGTAAGGATCTTAATTCAGAAAGCAACACTACAAGAATTTTGTTTAAAGAACTGTTTCTTTCATCGGTATTGGATAATTCCAAAGGTTTATTATCAACCGACATCAAAGAGGAAGGTTCTCAGTTCGATTATATTTCGTTATATTCGTTACACTATAACTCCGTTAGGTATGGACCGATTTGGAAAATTCTTTTTTTATCTGAAAGGATATATTTGCAGATTAGTCCCATAGAAATTTTATTAAAATCGGTGGAGTACTTTAGTTTTTAAATCAAACTGGTTTTGCCACAATTCAAATCAGTTTTTTTTAGTAGAACATAATGTTAATCTTATCTATTAAGTATAATACAGGTATGCAGCTAATGATTTTACGGCCGGAGAACATGGAGGCACTCACATTGACGCTCCTTATCACTTCGCCAAAACGGGTTTACATGTTGGCGAGTTACCTCTCACAAAATTAATCGCAGCACGTATGTAGTATGTCGTTTGCTATTTTAAGTGTCATAAAAAATTTTAAATTGTTTGTGTCCGTGTAAGTATAAGTAGATACGCGGATGACACCAAGGCAATTTTGTCTTCCCAGAATATGACGTGGATGATAAAAAGACAGTATTCACTTCGGAGAAAAAGTCATCTATACGTTTAAAATAATTCATTGTATTGATATGCGACTGCGTAAAACAGGGATTTTGTGTCTGTGCAGGATAAATTTCCACATGTCTATAGGCGACGGTTACCACTTTCTATCAGGTGGGTCGTCAGCTTGTTTGCTATTCTAACTAGCATAAAAAAATGCACCGAAACTTATTTAAGAGCTTCTTTATTTAATAGTTAAATAGATGATAATAATATGTAATCTATTTACATTGTGGCCGAATGATTAAAGAATAACAATTTTCGTTTACAGTAATAATAATCGATATCAGTAGTATAGTGAACGATGATCCAAAATTTGTGCTATATAAAACTCACTTGGATCATTTACTATATTATGAAGACAAGCCGTCTTTGCTAATTTTCAAGTTTGGATGGAGCAAGTATTTTAACGATACTAAAAAGTATTTGGGTCAGAATGACAATGATAATACTTTAAATTTCCCCGGTAAGTATTACAAATGGAACGTAGGTATCACTTTTATAATGCAGTAACTTCTGCCGTACTTTCAATATCCCATTTCCTAATTCTCGTAGTACGGATCCTTGATAGAATCAATAATCATCATTCTTACTAATAATAGATATAAACGTGAAAGTTAGTTTGTGTGTTATATTATAGCGCCTTAATATCTCGACTAATCACTATGAAATTTTATATATAGGTACATACTATATGGAATGGAGAAGGATATAAGCTACTTTTTATTCTGGTCACGCGGACGTAGTCGCGGGTAGTAGTTTGTAGTAAATACTGTAATGTTTATCAAATTCAAATCCATTTAATGTCAGTACTAGACTTAAAATTATGTTATTAAAAAAGTTTATAATTTAATAAACCATATATCTAAGAGGCATTCGGTCAGGGTGGCAACAAATCAGGGAATGTGAGTTTTAGTTATCGTCCTGACGAAATGCCCCATTACAGGTGCATGGACATCCTCAGCTATCATTTTAAGGATGATGTTGTCACTCACCGCATTTTTTCCCTATTGACGCGACTTTTTTGCGAATGATGGCATGGAAACCATCAATTCGTGTTTGATTGAATATTTCTGAGGCATTTATCATATTTGTTATTAGAATAAAATACAAAGGCGAGAATATTATATGAAATCATCTTTTATTGGAGAATATTCATTTATCAATGTAGAAAATAAAATGTATAAACGCCTGTCCATATCTATTTTTGATCAATATTTTGTTCCCAACGGCATTGACTTTTTTGATGATGAAGGTAGCAAACAAGCATACGAATCGTCTAATGGTAAACCAGTTACCGCAGACTGGGGCACTTAACATTACCAGTAATGTCACATAGAAAATGTAATACTGGTGACCACAAAGACCTTGCATTAGTATGTAAATCTCGCTCGAAAATAAAAAAAAAATTACAAAGCTGTCTCAATTTATAGAATAATTACCAAGTTTAAGTAACGATTTAATACCAATTTTATGTTTCTTTATTAATGAACGATGACATCAAACTTCTGCATTTTATATTTTCTTAATAAACGGCTTCGGAAATTTGAAAGAATTGAGTACATAATAAATAGAAAAGTAACAACTTTAAAACGCTGTTTATGAGACATCTATTTATATAATTCATAAATCAAAATGTATACCAAATTCTTAATTGTTTACAACCAGACCCTCAAAATATCCGACTTTTCGTTGTTTTATGCAAAAAATGTCAAAGGCATCTTAAATAGGTTATAAATCGAAATTAATATATGTACGAGTAGTAAATTTTTTTAGGTTTGAGTGAAGAGGTAGTAGAATGGATTATTTCTGCCAATAAAAAAGTCGTTGGTATTGGAGTGGATGTGGCATCTGTTGATCCTGGGTCCAGCACTAACTTTCCAGTGCACAAAATACTATCTACGAAAGGTCTATATGGTATAGAAAATGTTAACTTAAGTCGTCAAATTCCTGGTAAGAAAACATTTTATGTAATTACCTAATATCTTATTAATAAAATTGTAACTAGACGATGTATGTACATGGAAGATATTTAAGAAAAAATAATATGAGAGTCTTTAATAAGATCAATAGAGGTCAAAACAACTGTCCCAAATTGGACGCGGATCACAGAGTCTATCTTAAAATTTGGAGTGTTCCATCTTGATATGTCGTCTAGAAGTAGTCTATTACTTTTCCTGCTTTTGAAAAACACGAAATAGCGGGTAAAAAGCTAGTTATGTAATAACATTAATTAAATTAGATGGACTATACTTCAAAGGGATTTTAATTTCTCCTATAATAGAACATTATATTATGTGACAGAAGCAGTAACTATGAAGAGAAAAGCATTTTCTATTTGAACAAGTTTAAATGTCCAATTAAATTAGTGTTGCCTCTAAAACGTTTAATGCTTTTCTGCGTTTGCCATGGCTATGAACGACTACTACATTATTTATGATAGACTTCACGCTGTAAATTACACGTGCTTCACATATTTTGACGACAATTTATAATAATTATTTTATTTTAGAAACAGGATGTACAGCGTTGGCGTTACCAATGAAGATCGCTTTGGGCACAGGGGCTCCATTGCGTTTGGTGGCAATATGCTCTAAACAAGAGCCTAAATGAAATTTTAAAATAAAAGGAAACTAATATAATAGTAAATCGAAAATATATTTAAATCAAATAATGTAACATTTTTATGTGGTTACAAATATAGAGATAACAAAAATAACTTGTTTATATTTCTAGAAAATTAAGAAAAGAGAGTACTTAATTAACATACAAGTAAGATATATTTAGATTTTTAAGAGTACCCCTTCATCAATGAGATTTTCATATACTAACAAGTCATTATCATCTCTTAATTCAACTACTGGTATCTTATCATCATGTTTAATCACTTTAGCCTTAAACGGTCCTTTGCCTAAGAATGTCTTGCTATATTCTTTAGTAATAACATCAATATCTACATGTGGGTTTAATAAAACTCCATGTAATTTTACAGTAATAGTTGATGGTGGAAGATCTGTAAATTCATCTGATATTTCTCTAACATCACTTAGAGGAATAACTTCAATGTTGCCGTAATCCACATATTTTACTTTAATTTGATTTTTCGCTTCACTATATTCTAAAATGGATGCCCTGTACCATAGGGCATCTTCTGGAAACAAAGCAACACATGCTTTATTTTCAAATATTCCATTTAATGGTGATAAATTGCCACCCATTTTTTGAACATTTGCATATAATTCTTCATACAGTAAATTTGTTTCATCATTATGTATAACACTCAACTCTAGTAAATTCATATCGTTTATTACTCCAATGTTACACAAAAATTCGTCATCAGTATTTTCCGGATAAGTAACATATTTTCCATCTAGACATTCTTGCTCCTCTTCTTCAATAAGTTTATTCCAATCTTTGCCTTCTAAACATTTTATATCTAGTGAACTTTGTGATGATTCTAATGGAGTATCCTCCTCTTCGACTATGTAATCTGGTCCTGAATCATATTCAAAATTAATAGTTTCGCTTTTACTTTTAATAGTTTTGGGCATTACAAACTTAGGTATAATTGCTTTGGAACCATCCGTGTATTTCGCCATTTCAAAGTCAACTAAATGATCATTGAACCACAATTTGTCATATTTCAAGTCAATTGGTATTAAATCACCAACTTCTTCACCAGTTATTTTAACCAAGCAATGTTTCTCAACAACAGATTTGTGAATGTAATCCAGTGTTTGACGATCCCATTGAGGGCCGGCGGGCCGTATTCGATTCAGAATACATTTATGTGCTTGTGTTGGTATCTGATACAGTGCAATACTTTTTCTTAAGTTTGAGAATGAACATATTTCCTCATTACCATAATCAATGTAATGAATGAGGCAGCTGGATGTATCATTATTCACTTCCAACACTCTTCCTCTATAGAAACGATTATCTAAAAAGAAAAGTGCTATACACGGCTCACCGACCGTCCACTTGGCGTATTTCGCTTTGGGATCTGGATTTTTAAAACGGACATCGAGTGCTTTTCGAATTAAATCCAGAGTATCTTCTTGTGACACATCATGTAAATAAATGACACCATCATTGTCAATGTACCTGTAATGAATGTTTAATTTTAGTTATCCAAGGAATAATCTAAATAAAGATTTAAATAAATATTTTACTATAATATATGTTTATGCCTAATATTATTATTTAATTTGTTATAAATTTGTATGCAACATTTCTTAATTATTTGAAAATAAGCAGTATTTTTTTTCATTAATGCAATGAGAGAGATTACGATTCAGAATTTAGGAAATTGTCACTATAGTATTAAGTCTTACCCAAGATTATTCACGCTATTAGTTTATTAAGTGATAAATTAAAAGCTAAAGCCACAAAATTATTCCTATAATGTTGTGAAATGGTTTTTGACATGATTCAAAATTTAAAACAACAGCAAAACGATAACATATTTAATTTTTTCAAGTTTTTTCTTTTAACTTACGTGGGCACTGCTGTAAATTCCTTATTCTGCAGCGGTTCGGGTGGAAGCCAATCTGATATAAACACTGTATTTGACGAACTTGGTTGATCTTCTGTTTCTCTAGATTCTTCAAAATCAACAGGACTAGAAGGACAACTATCAGATTCAGGTTTATTTGTTACAGACTGTGACGGTAATGGCTCTAATTGTAGCCATTCACGGACTGATCCAGTTATATTCAAGAATGATAACATATCATCATTTGACTCTGTAGCGCTGTCGGGTGTAGGTGCCTGTGAAAGGAATAATTGTATTAGAAAAGGCAATATCCATTGCTATAATATTAAAATATAAATCAAACTTTGTATTACCTCCTGCATTTTATCTGGGATACCTAGGCCTTGTTCAATTATCTTCTTGTTGAGACATCGCCATTCTGATTTATTTGGCTCTAAAGCGCCTCCTTGAATTGTATGGTATACCCAGATTTCTATAGGCATACTTTTATCCTTGAAATTGCCAAGTTTTGTGATGAATACTCTTTTGTAGGCATCAAGTAACTCTTTTAAATATTCTTTGGTAAGCGATGGCCATTCTTCTCCAACGGCTGGTATTACTCCACATAAATGACATTTTATGGCAGCATCCCCTATGGATGCAAACTCAGGTGGTAGCTCTCGCAAGTTGTCGATAGAGACTGTCTCTACACAAGCGAAGTCGGAATAAAATATCTTAGCTTTGCTGTCTTCTATTTCTACGATAGCAGCGCGCCGCCATGTTTGTGACTGAATGCAAATAGTACAACAACGATCTCCGACTTTCCATTCCGTCTTACTCTGGATTTGCTTATTGCTTGAATAATACTTCTGTATTTTTTCGAATAGTTCATTGAAAAGTTTTTGCTGATGAACTAAAGAAACATACAAAAGCGACGGTGACGTATAGTGTAGAACTTTTGCCTCCAACCTCAGAGGTCCTTTATCTTTTGCTTGTAAATCTTCATCATTAATTTTCAGCTTTGGTGAACCTTTTTTTTTTAGTATAACAATTTTTTCAGATTTTTTAATTTTTTTGGGTATTTCTAAAGGAGATTTGTTAGTGAATACTTGATCCTCCACAGCATTATTTTTATTGAACATAAAGAGACTGAAACAATATAATAGTACATAAATTATATTTATTGGGAAGATAAAAAATTACAGAAAATGTTAAAAAAAAGTCAGGGGAAATATTAATAATGTAACAGAACAATACTTGTATATACAAACAGACATCGCCTTTTTTAAGACAAATGGTAATGATAAACAGGTTAACATCATAGAACTTATAGGTCAAATATTGCATTGGCTGTCCTATCCTTTGGACCTAAACACTAGGCACATATTGTTACTTCATACAAGATATAGGTTCCTAAAATATGTACAGTTAATTGTTAAATAAAATTTTGTGATAAAATTTGCTTACCCAAAAGTCACTGCAAATTTATATTTGATCATTTCAGTATTGATACAGATAATGTTTTCTTCGTCAGCTTTGTCATAAAGAGTGACGCCGATCGAACCTCGATTGCGGCTGTCCTCCACATGCAGTTCCAGGATACGGTCTGCAAATCTTTGTAACAGTGCCACAGAGCCAGTACTCCATTTTTTATTGAGAGGCGTCACGCCAGCCAAGTGGCATTCGATTGACTGAAAAAGGAATAATGTTTTTGTGGTATAGAAAAAAGAAACGCAAAATTAAATGTATTTTTTTTTTAAATATTTTACTGAACTAGGAGAACCTAGTAATGTTGCAGAAATCCGTATCACTGGTTAGACGATTAGAATTATTTTGTTTAATTCTGCTACAATTAGTGTTCATGTGACTGTCAACAAGAAAGTCGTTCAACTTCTTAGTATTTTAAATGTTAGTCACACAATTTTAAATGTTAGTCTCACGTATACCAATTGTAGCGGAATTAAACAAAATAATTACTATTGACTAAACAGCCATTTTTAAATACATAATATTAAAAAAGAACAGATTGATAAAAACAGATATACATATGAATAGGGGATTATCGGATAGTGAGGTAGTGTTAAACCACTACACCACCAAGGCGATCTAATAAGTTACTGATGTACATACGAGGGCTTTGAGCGTGGTGAATTTGGGGTGTAGCCGGCGGAGTGCGGTCCAGTGCACCAGGAGGACTTCGCCGGTATCAGGTAGCAGGACACGCACGCGGCCGCGGCCGGGCAACTCGTAGAGAATGCACCGCGCCCATCCGTCGCCGTCGCCTGCACTATTCTGAGCCTTGTCTAAGTTCACTGCGTACACCATACCTACAGATACGAAGACGTTTACTATATTTTGTTTAATATGTGATATAAAATATACAAGTACGAAGTTTGTGTGGACTTTAAAAATTAAAAAAAAAAAAATAAGGACCCATGCCCACATACTGAAGGTGTAGGGATGGGATTGTTAAAGTGAGATTAAATCATAGACAGTACAACGTACTCGTACTTATATTCTAGCAGACTGGAAATGCAATCACTAAAATGAGACGAAATAGTTATTACGCTTGTGCGCGTGAAATGTAAGTGTGAGTATGAAATAGTGTTGCACCATGTACATTCTATTGTCACATGATTTATTGATATTGATAGGTAAATCTTAACTCAAAAATACTTCAGTACACATGGATGAGTTATAATTTCTACATATGTAATAATCATGATGTAAAATAATTACATTTTTAGAAACTAAATATCCTTATGGCTTTTACACAATTTATTATATTTACACATATAATAATGTATTTTTAACAGATTTCAAAATAGGAGGCGTTTTTATATGTTTGTTACCTCAGAACAGAACTCTATTTATCTAACTACCATTTTACTAATATAATTGTAACTAGACGATGCTCTTAATATCAATAGATGACAAAATAATAACTCATAAATTTTTGTCTGCCTGTCTGTATATATATTCCGTCATCACGCAAAAATTACTGCTCCAAATCAGATGTGATAAACAGTTGAATTTCTGCAGGCCTAACTTAAAATTCAGTGTAGGTATGTTTTATCTTGATACGCCATCTGGAAGTGGCCTATTTTATTGGTTTAACTTAATAAAAATCCACGTAAAATACTGTCAGGTCGATTTCTATGCAGTTTACTACATCACACATTATCAATGTATGAATATTATCAAAAAATGCTATTAAGTGTAAATTTTTCAAGTTCTATCATTGCTAAAATAACAAAATATCTATTAGTAGTGGGGTTAAAGTGTAATCATTATATAAATAATTAATTTCATTGCAATATAGATGTCTTACCCATTTCAGGTAGGTAAACAATTCCAGTATTGTCACTGAAGCTGTACTCTTGCAGTAAATCTTCAGTGAGTTTATCATAAATATTTTGTAAATGACGCTGAAACAAACAGTTATTGGTAAACCTTAAGTACTACCTTTCTTCATAGTTTACTATTTTACAAATAATGTTTGGATATAAAAAAAAAAAGTATATATTTAGAATCATCTTACCTTTCTGACAAAGAATTTATCGGGACTCACGACAGTGGTTAAGTAGACTTCTTCAACAGATTTTGGTTTCAAGTCTGAGTTACTCATAAAAATTTTTGGTTTTTCAATAACACCAGGAATATTTGGGTACTGAAAGTTAAACATATTTTTTTTTATAATAATAAATAATAACATTAAAAGCACATTACAAAAATCTATAAATTTAGATGGTAGCAGCTTGTGCTGAATTAAAATATTGATGTATTAAAAGAGATGTATAACAAATAGATTGTAATATAAAATTCCTATTTCTATTAGATTAATTAACATAAAAATCAACACTGCTGAAAGTTTATTGTTATTGTGCAAAAACAGTGAGCTGGCAAATTTAAATATTTTTTTTTTCAAGAGAGCAAAATTGGCTTTGTTTTAATATATGGTACATTCCACCATTACGATAACATAGTGTACAAGATATACCATCAATATATCAAAATTCTTATATAAGAGAAAATGATATGTTTAAAATATTGTAAAAAAAAAACCGGAATTGTGACTGGCGATGAACAAAAAATGTCTATTTTAAAACTAAGCTAAGAAAATTTAATTTCTCATACTGACTTGTAGCTTCGGGTTAGGCATTCTGGCGCGCTCGTGAAATACTAGAGCGTGTGCGAGACTAATTCCATCTTCGAATGTGGTCACATCGCATTCCAGCGTAACAGAGTAGTTGGACGTGGAACTAGCCCGACGTACGTGGATCACCGCCTGTTTACTGACAAATAGAAATGCAAATTTAGCATCTAGATGTCGCCTGTGACCGGGATATGTTCACTGGTCGGGTATAAAATAAACATGTCCTCTATCCCATAAATTATTCGTATATTAAATTTTATAGTGATTGGTTAAGCTGTTAAGGCGCCAAGATGTAGGAAACAAACATACTTTCACCATTATATTATTTGTAAGGATTAAGGAATTATATAAAATAAAAGTAATCACTATATGATGAATGTAAATCTCGAGTAGTATTAAAAATAAGTTTCTGACGCGAACAAGCTGTATATATTAAAAAAAAAGAAAGTGCGAACAATACGCGGTTTCATCATCATCATCATTATATTAGCTTTTAACTGTTCACTGCTAAACATAAGCCTTCCCCTTGGAGGGTTTTGCCAGTAGTTATCCCGTTTTGAAGGCGGATTAGCACCACTGTGAGGGCTTTAGAGATGTTTTAAGAGGGACGCTGCTGACCATCCCTCGCTCTCTCTTAGTGACCTCTAACACCCACGGAAAACGAAGGGATGGTCTATTCTATGCTGGGACCACACGTAATTTGCCTAGGAATAGGTAATTAGTCTTATATGCCATGACAAAATGGGATAAATAATCGTTTCAAATATATTTCTAAAAATAGTATGGATACACGCTTGTAATTTTTTATATGTGATTTTTCCTTTATCCTCATTTATTAACGAGTACGATTAACGCCTCTTTCTATGCAGATGAGAAACAACAAAGATATATATTCCGCATGTGCAGAAAATATAACAATGTATGCAAGGACCTTGATATTTTCCAACAATCCTTGCAATGTTACATTAAGGCTGCCAATTTGTTACTTTAAATTTATAGCCGTCATTCTTTTAATGTATATAATATCGAATGTTATGCAGAGCAGTTATTGGAGTGCAAATTTAATGCCGTTTTATGTAATATTTATTTTATAAACGTATTAATTTGTAATCTGTTGCCTTGCTATAAATATTTTATTTTAAACATTTTATTTCTAATATGGAGGGTAATCCAAAAGAAAGCTATGTAACCTTTAAAAGAAAATTGTTTAATTATCTGTCGAATCAATAATTTCAGCTCTAAACACGTATTACCTATTAGTTAAATAGGAGGGGGAAAGGGATCGTTAGTAATGCGGACTATTAGTAGTATTACTAGCAATATACCCTATCAAGTCGACCTCCACGTGATCCCCCTGGTAACCATCGTGCTAAATTCCAGATGTATTCACCACGATGGGCTAACTGACCTGCTCTTTTATTCTCACCTATCATCCCTCATTGATGCCCTGTCAGCGTATATCGTTAGCGCAGGCGGGGTTACAGTTATCATAAATTGAGAAACAAAAAGGTTAAATAGGTATATCACAACATATTTACCACTGTGTAAAAAAATTAATATATTTATGTGTACAGACATAAACACACATGCGCACGCGCAATAGGTAAATTTAATTTTTATTTCTACAAAAAAAATGTTGTACCTTCAAACGCTCTATTTCTATCTAATGGTTTTTTTTTTTATGGGTGTAAATGGTATGGTAGCCCCGCCTGCGCTAATGGGATACGCTGGCGGAGCACCAGTGAAGGATGATAGGTGAGGATGAAACAGGTCAGTTAGCCCATCGTGACTAATTCAACAAGAATTGTTCACGATGGTTTCCAGGGGGAACCACGTGGAGGTCGACCTGGTAGGGCGTATTGCTAGTAATGGGGCTGTCAAACTCCATTGCTAACAATCCCTTTCCCCCCTCTATCTAATGGTTAGCTGCTAGAGAATGCCATATGATATTAAGTTTGCTATTTGTACAAATTTTATTGTGCAAACAATAATGAATAAATAAATAATCCGCTCGGCTCAGCTGAATATCAAGAGGTAGCTGATACCCGTCAACATTACTTAGTGGCAACACACACATTGCGATTCCTCATCGGCACACCAGATAAAACGAGATTAAGAATTCTATTTTTATTATTACGAAATTATATTGGTTTAAGTTTTTTAATGCTATGAAAACCAAAAGCTATATTCATAAATGCACCGTTTGCTATTAGAGGTCGATAAACCGGGTGTTCCAACCCAATTTACGTTACCCAAATTAAAATCGCCTCGTAATAATGTTTTATCGCAGTCTTGCTACATGCATTATTTAAATATAATTTAAGAATATGTAGTTGTAACTGACGGGGTACGTATAATCCATAATTTGTACACATAATTGTTAACGTTTATATCGATACATACTCAAAGATCTTCACACTCTCGTAATTCGATAATCTATTGGAAGACAATCTTTTCGATGCAGCTAACAACACCCCACTTCCGGATATATTATAGTGAAAAACACCGGACTCTTGGTCGCCCTTATATATTACACCTCGTATATACCGATCACAGAATATTTTCTAATCCAAAATGTCATTAGCTACCCACATTTGCAAAGAATAACCGCGTCGTAGTCAGAAGTCAGTATGTTTAAACAGAAATCAGTAGTTTTTGTCCAAGGACGTCTTACATTTTTAAAATATAATTTTGTGAAACTAGAGAAGTTTAACAGTATATTTTCTATAGATTTATACGACATATAGCCAAAACGCTGGAGTTTATTTTTTCTTTATGGTTATATTTAATCCTATGCTAATTTGTCAGGTTGACTGAAAGAAATATCTTTTAAAGTTCGTCTTTGCTAACATTGTTATTAACTTATTGTTGTTACTGTATGTTTTAGTGCAATAAACAATATATATATTTATTGTATAAAATTGTGACAGCTAGCAGAGAGTTACATGACGTATTCAACATCACCAATATTGAGCGTGGGCGCGAGGTATACAGTTGACCGACTCATCTGATCAAAACGGCTTGAGAACATTTAGTTCCAACATAAGTCATTCATTTTCCTAAGTTCCTTTATGATGGAACTGTGGTTGATTATATAAGATTTTAATCTGTGGTGTTGATCACTTAAAAAGAACAAGGAATTCTTAAAGTAGGTCAAATGATCATCTAATTTTCGCAGTTTAATATTTAAAGTATTTTTTTATATCATCTGTAAACTAACATCGTCGATCGCATTTCCTTACATATCATGAACTGAATGTCGACATACCCATCGCGTCTCCTGCCACAGATGGCGATAATTCAGTTTATGATTTCATCCTACGATGTGCAACATCAAACTGCCAACCCTGTTGGTGTAGATGGATGGATGACCCCGTTTGAATTATCACACTTTGGTTGATTGTCGATTGCAAAAGTAACCATTTTTGCAATCGAAGCACATCCATTTGAATTTCTCGTTTAGCACTTAGTCATTATCTAGTACATATATTATTACAAACAATGCAAATATTCTTCGTATTTTTTGGTGCACTTGCACTTGGTTTTTGCACTTTCCTCTTCCGTGGGTGGTACTTCTCAGATTATTTTTTATGTTATAACGGTTATCAAGGAAATATAACCGTATATTGCGTTCATACAGCGAAATATAAAATTTACATAGCCAAATAAATTATAGAATAATTTGAATACACGGTTTATTTGGTTGTCCGGTCGCGGTTAAACGATAATGGAATGCTAACATTTTCTATCTAAATGAGGTGGTAGTTGTTACGATTGCAACTACTGGCAATACTCCCTAACTGGGGCCTATGTTCAGCAGTGGAGACTTAACAGCTAATATGATGATGATACTCGTATGATACGTAATTTAAACGCAAATTTTTTATTTATTTATTAATGTAATGGATAACCTCAAAATCTGTTCAACCGATTAAAACCAATTACCTATAGAAAACGACATTACTAATGAAAAATAGAGGCTAAAACTTAAAACAACTAGAGATCTCTACAAAAAATACTATAAGGTAAGCCATGATATTAAAAATTTTTCTATATAAATTTATTATAGGAAAATTTTTAATATCTTAAATAGTTTATTGGCATGGGCTGCCAAAACTATTGATGATATTTAAAATAATGTATTACAAGTTTAGTACTCATCATTATCCACAAAAATTGCGTAAGACTATATATCTGTTATAGTTGTATACCTAACTTTTAACGGGTATAAACATGCTGCGGCGTGACTGAATAACCTCAGTATTTGTTGTTATCAGAAGATAAGAGAATAATATATATATATATATATATATATATATATATATATATATATATATATATATATATATATATATATATATATATATATATATATATATATATAGCTAATAGAAATTGGTCTAAGTAAATACTAATTTCAAATGCTTATTTATCTTTTTATCTTCCTACCTGACCGAATCTAAGGTGGGTCCCTAAAAGTGGCGAAAGGTAGTTAGGGATAAAATAACCCCAATAGAAAGGGTCTCGCCGTGTTTCCTTATGAAATCTGCATTGGCGTCGCCATGGAGGTCGCTAAATTACTTACATGTGAAGTAAAAAGTGACGACGCCTGTTTTATTTGCTGTGTGTTACCTGATAAAATTTGTCGTATGCAGAATGCATTGGAATAATGAATTGAAATAAAAAGTATTTAAAACTTTTTTTTAGTAAACAAAAATTATAATTACATTCTAAGAGAATTATTTTGTACAATTGGTAAAACAAACATATATAATCTAATATATAAAATTCTTGTGTCGCAGTGTTTGTTACCAAACTCCTCCGAAACGGCATTACCGATTTTAATGAAATTTTGTGTGCATATTGGGTAGGTCTGAGAATCGGCCAACATCTATTTTTCATATCTCTCAATGATAGGGGTGAATATATTTTTTTAATTTTTCGACAATTTTTCAAATTTTTATTTTATTATGATTTAGCATTGAAAAATACATATAAATTCAATTTTTCACGCTTTTAGTAAGTCAGTTAAGGGGTGTCTTCCAATCAAATGTTACGAGTAAATTATAGGGCATATTAATTTTCTAGTGTAAACAGTTCTTTTCCTTTTTAAAACAAGCAGACATGCAGACAGACATTCTTTCTGCACAAATTCGAATTATTTTCTTATTCAAAGTTATTTATTTATATATTGTGTATATATTTGACATTAGTTATGTTTATAAATTTTTATCGATTATAAAATAAACTCATTACAGAGTTTATTTTATAGTCAATAATAATAATAATAATAACTTTTAAAACTACTTACTTGTCAATAATATTTTGTATCAGGAATGACTCTTCACTGGTCCAGCCTCCTGATTTTGGGACACAGTTTGCCAGTGAACAGTTTATGGCTAGGGGGAATGGTGATTGCAATCTCGCTGGCGGCAGGAGGCGTAATCTAAAAAAAAATTAAACATGTATATTTCTTTATTTACTCATTAACTTAACCGATAGACCTTAAATTAAACAAATCTAAATTAAAAATAAAAAGTTGCATTTTTTACATATTTTTATTATGATGGATTTTTATAATATATATAGGTTTTTTTAATAGTCTAGTCGATCTCAAGTGATACTAACAGGCTTACCAAAATGATTTTCTTTTTTTTATATAAATAAGTCAATGAATTGCAAATTTAGCACTGCAAAATGTGCTTAGGGTCTTTCTTGGGCTGAACACCGTTTTTATGATAAAAAGATGGTAGTTTTAATAATAATTGTAAATACTTTTGTTCACACAAACCTCATCAGTTTCGCATTACTACACTTTCAAAGATCTTTAATATAATTCATAACTTATAAGGTTGTTGTATGTAACGAGTCGCGACTGTGTCCTATTGCCGATATCCAACGCAAAAACCATTATTTCGTGCGATGCTTTTTTTTATAGACATTGAAATGGTAATCCAGTTGTCGGCCTGACCCGACGGAAAAATTATATCCATTATTATGATGATACAGTAGTATCAGTATCATCCCGCAATACCCTGTGACGCTCACGGTATCCCTGTTGTATTTGGCATTTTAAGAGCAAAGATAAATATATAACGGCATAACACCTTAGTCCGTAGCCATTAATTCAACTACCATATTGTGATGATAAATTGCGATCCTTCAGTTATTGTTCCTTTTTATCAATTTGTATTGTAATTACATATAAAAACAATATATGAAAACAGTACCGATATTATGAAGATTGAACGAAGAGATATTATGTAATATTAAAAATAAATTATTAAAAGTATATACTATAAATGCTTACTTACTCGTCAATAGTGACAGACTCCGTGCTACCGAAATCAATACAGAACACTTGGAATATTGGTTTATTAATATCCCTTCTGTCGATACTTATGACACGGCACCTTTGCCATAAGTTATCTGGTTTGTTGAACACAAGGTAGAGCTTTCCTGAGTACAGCAAAAAAAATACAGGTATATGTACTGTGAATGGTGATATCAAGTTACGAATACTTAGAATTTAATGTCACACACAGCATGTTATTGTTCTGACTAAACACTTGTAGGTACTTACTAATACTTATTGCATATACGTTTAAAGATGTGTATTATTAAAAGTAAAGAAATAAATACCTTCTGCAACGTGATTTAGAGATGGTTTTGGCAGGGAGACTGCGTTACGAAAGTCTCGCATCATTTCTTTCACAAGCGGTTGATGGCAAGATCTTTGTACGAAGAAATTATGGGGATTTACAATATGCGATATGTATATTAATTCTTGTGCACCTATAATAAAAAAAATAACAATACATTATTGAGACTAATGTTGAGACTGAACCTAATGAAATCAATAGTCAAGTCAATTCAAGTTTAATATTTAATTGTAATAATAATAATATTTAAGAGCTTTTTTTTTTTGTTTTTGTAACTTTGGTAGTAGTAGTAATATTAATAACATTTCTTTTAATTGAAATTTCTTCTTTTCGGACAACTAATTAATGTATTCTGTTCCAGCTAGCTCTATTCCAGGCCATGTCTTTGACCTTCCTATACGTTATATTAACATTTACAAATATATAATTTCCAAAGTAATATAAAATGCCGTTTTTCCAAAGTATTGTTTGTTAGCGATGTTTTCCTATTACAGGAGAGTAATAATTTTTAACAATATTTTTGACATCGTCAGATTTGAACCTACAAAATTTGGCTAGGCTACGATAGTCTCTATAAATGCCTAATTGTAATTGTATAAAAACAGAAACATGCCTTCTGTGAGTTGTTTAGGGTGTTGACTTTCAGCAAATGGTGGAACATGTTGAACCGCTGGTCTTTGGATGTAATCATCTGAAATAAAAAGGCGCTATTGTAGATATATTGTAAACACACGCTCATCATATGTAATTAATTTTTATATTTATTAATTATTATTATCTTTATAAGTTATTAGGTACACGGTGACATTGCAGTTTTTTTTGCAAGCAATCTGATCTGATTTATTTTGTTCAAACAAAAAGATTGGAGTAATTTTAAATTTTAGTTATTTTGTTCTACTCGCGAAAGTGCTACCATATAAAAAAATAAAAAATGATCAATGGTATCCAATTTGATGAGATCTATTGAAAAATTTCTATCTAATGTTTTTGTGATGTACAATTTCAACTTTTGTTTATTATATTTCAACTACTGTCTCTGTATTCCTTTGGGTCAAAATTTTAAACCTTATTAAAAAAATTCATTAAAATGGCACTACAATTATTAAAGAATTACTACATTGTGTGTGATATATAGGTTGACGGGCAAATGGAGAGACATGATTACATTATAAGGGTATCGTAAAAATTGTAGCTTATAGACATCACAGTGTAAACTATGTCGCCCACGATGCTGTAATGCGTCATCACTTATGATTTTATTAATTTCTATAGATTTAAACACACACACATTGTTGTTTTACAGCAGAAATGAGTAAAGGTTGTTAATATCGTTAAACATGCTTGTTAAGCAGTTTGACTGAATAGAATCAAGTAAGCAATTGACAAGCGTAATAAATTTTAATTAATTTATTTATTTAATGTGATCTTAACGAGTGGAAATTAATTTTAGGTAGTAGTAGTACGTATGTAATACATGTAATTGTAATTTTTTTTATGCAACTGAGAATGGCAAACAAGTTTACAGTCGCTTATAGACATGAACACTACTATGGATATAAGAGAGTACACTGTATCGCCCTTCAAATGTTGCTTTTCCTGAGGACCAAGGTGTTATGACCTTGTACCCTGTAATTTCATTACCATATCCTACCTTCCAAATCGAAAAACAGCCATGCAAATACAACTGTTTCATGGAAGAAACAAATGGGAGAAAGAGGTAGTAGAGTCTTATAATTATTATAGAAATAAAAATATATTGTGTATAAATGCATAACAGGAATTTTATGAAATTTCTATTTGACTTCTGGATGAAGCCGAAACAAAAACAATTGTTGGAAACGACAAACAGCAAGTTCATAAAATTCACGTTATTCATATATACATACATTGTTAAAAAATGAACATAAGTTTAAAAAGTAATGTCTAATATTAATACGATGACTATAAATGTATGAATTTTGCATGCGAAGCAATTTCGGCCGTTCAGCGAGGAATGTATTATAATTCTATATCATATATCATTAGCAGCGTCCGATATGAGTAATGTTTTTAAAATTTTATTATTTAATTTGCGGAATACAAAATATTTACTTTGTGGAACCGAACGACTTGAAGATTCACTGCTAAATGAGTGGAGCGACGTGATTGAACCAGATTTGGTGCGATAATTAGGTGCAAACTTATAAAATGTGGGCTTCACGCTCGATTTGTCTTCCTTTGTTTTCTTGGATTCTCTGACATCTAGAAAAAAAAATTATCATTGTTTATTTATATTTGATACACATTTATTACACATATAATTTTTACAAATCCTTACAAATTAAACGCTGTCCAACGTATAAAAACATTAACGATTACTATTTACTTTTAATAAAAAGAAAAGATGGAATTGTTTCAGTAATTACTTAAAAATTTATTTTTACAATAATAAGTGAATTACACCAATTAAATCAATCGCTTGATCCTCAAGCTTGGATATCGTGTTACGGGAACCAGACAACGAAAATTTGAGTTCACAATAGAGAACACTTAGATCCAAGCCAATTTAGAAAAGTTTCTTAAATTGGCATTTGGCAATTGAACTAGAGGCCTCATTTGTACAAAGAAACGTGCACACCACTGCGTCACTGTTATTTCGTTATTGCTTAGCTGGACTAACCTTTTGGCAGATCTGGAGGGTACACAAGTGTAGGAGGTGGTGGGGGTATTTCTACATCTTCGAGTTCTGATGTAGAATACAGTTTATATACCGAAGTTGCCTCCCCTTCCAAGTGAACATAATCACGGACTAGATCAACAATGTCTTCTTTCACTACCACTCTGTAGAGCAAATTAAATAATAAATTATAGACAGTTAATAAATAACCCTACCCTTTGTTTTTATTTAATTATTTATTTACTTAATTGTTTTATCAGCTTTTTCATCTTTTTTTAAATACCACGGAGTCTTGACAATTTTCTGAGCATCTTCATATAGTACAGTGAGGTTAGCCTGTAAAATACAAAAATAAAACATAATTAACAGAAAAATAAAGTAGTAGTAAGTGTAAGTAGTTAAATGAAGTCATTAATTATAGAATATATTATTAAATCAACCTTTTTTAGTATTTTAGGGTCAGTAGACAAATTTATTGCATTTAGAATGCCTTTTGTCTTTTTTATTGCTTCACAAATATCATCTTTAGCATTAACAAGAGAGTCCTTTTCAGCGTACTTATGCTTTGTGACAGCACTTATGACTTTTTGTTTATGTATTTGAATTTGAGAAATAAGTTTGGAGAAATGTTGTTCAATGTCAGCAATCATTTGTGTAAACTGGGACGACTCCATCCCATTCTCAATATTGTACAGCAAATGACCTATATCCTGTAATAAAATAATAATTAGTTTATTGTATGTTAAAAAAATGAAATAATTTTAATGTTATTAAAGTCATATCTGAAATTTGCACATTTGCGATTAAAATTTTACTATTAGATAAATTCAGTCAGGTAATTTGTGCGGCTTTAATTCTTTGATAAATTAATACTAGTTAAATAACTATCACAAAACTATAATCAGAAAATGCCTTAAATTAAAAATTTAAATAGGACCATTAATCGTAGCGACAAGGCCGATTGCTTGGGTACCTCTGTCCCATTCGTGTTTCAACCGTGAAGCAGCTGTGTTTGCATGTCTGTGTTTCGGTTTGAAGGGTGGGATATGGCGTGAATTTACTGGGTACAGAGAAATAACACCTGAATCCTCAGGAATGGCAACGCATGGGGGGTATCATGGGCGAAACAATATACTCTGTTATGTCCATGGTACTGTTCATGTCTATAGGCGACGGTTACCACTTTCCATCAGGTGGGCCGTCAGCTTGTTTGCCATTCTAAGTTGTATAAAAAAAAAAGGCCTCGCAGTGTCGTTTTCCGGGGGGCACGGTCATAAACTGGCCCAGGACTAATAGTATTGATGAACTATTAATAAGGCAAAATATAAAAAAAAAAGATCTAAATAATACTTACAGATGCAGTTTTAGTTAGTCTCCTAAATATTTCGTCAACTTTTGGCGAAATATTGTTTAAATCTTCAATAAAATTATCATTCTGAAAAAAAATAAAGAAATTTATATATAAATTGCATTCAAATATACAAATTAGAAATTAATAATATACACATACGTATATACTTACTATTTCTTGTATGGAGACAGTGTCATGATTTTTACAGGAGTTCACTCCACCAACCATCATACAGTCCATACAAATAGATTTTGAACAATCCTTGCAATAATAATCTAAGCTCTTGTCTTTGTGAGTAGGACAATTGTTTGCATTGTTTATTGGTTCTAAAATATAATTACATAATACTTTATTAATTTTAAACTTTATTTTTATTTAAGTACTAAACAATTCTGAACAGAAAATATTTAAAATTTGAATGGAAAACATACGCATTAAAAATGACAATGCATCACAATATTGAGATAAGATGTATTCCAAGTAATTATTATATTGCTTAAAAAAATAATCTTCCCTATAAATTTAATCTTGCTGGTTACAGTTGTTTTATCTAATTGTTTTATATAGCAATATTTTATATACTTATTTATGTATGTATGTATTTATTGCATGTATATATTTATTTATTTAATATATTAGGTGTATGTTTATATTAGTGTAATTATATGTTTATATTATATGAATGTATTAAGTATTGTTTAATTTTTCTTCATTCAATAATGCACCACCTACATATTTCTCAGTTTGCCCAATGGTTGACTGGTAGAGAACATCGTCCTGTGTTAAGTCTGCCAAATGTAGATAGAATTTTACTGTGCATTAAGTTTAAATTAATAAATAAATAATGACAGGTAAGTACTTATATTTCTACCACAATACTTATTTACCAAGTGAAGTGTGGTCACTTCAAAACGCTTTAGTAAAAAAATTCTAATAAAAACAACAAACCTATATTTTTAAGATAGTGGTTTTTGAAAATAACAAAATTCTTGTGTGTTTTGTTGAAGCATGTATCACATAGAATTATACCACACTGTTGGCACATTTTTACTGTGGACATATGGCACTCCAAGCATTCTTCTGAAAATAAAAACATGGAATTATGTTGACATTGGACAATGAGTGGTATATAGTTATACATACCCAATGAATAAAGATATTATAGCCATGCTGTATTTTACTGTTTTGTATTATTGAAATCTACACAATATTTTACATAATTATAAGATGATATTCTATTTAAAGACTTATATTGTTTAAATGTATTGTTTTTAAAACATGCAAAATGGAACTAACTCTATTTTCGAGTTCAGTTACTATTTAATATACAAAGATACTGGGCGGCGGTAGTCACTTACCATCAGGTGAGCCGCATGCTCGTTTGCCCCCTATGTTGTAAAAAAAAAAAAGATTGCTTGAACACATATTGCATGTAATCTGTTGTTGCCTACTAAACAGTTTTGTTGTTCTAAAATGAAATAATGTTCTTATATATTGGATATGCTAATGTATATTAGTTTAAATATAATAAAGTACCTTGAGTATTATCAATACTATTTATTATTGTTTTTATATCAATGAAATCATTTATTGGTGCTGTGCTTCTTTTTGGTTCAGATTTTTCCTGTAATGCATATAAAATTATGAATAAAATAGGGGTCAATAGAGGTACAAAATAAATATGCATTTAAAACATTCATATGATAAACATTGTTTTTAAAAATTATAATATTGTACATTATAAAAATATAATATTGTATATTATAACAATATATAGATGTAAATTTTATTAGTATATTCATTAGTTAACATATCTGAAGCCTTAAATTTTCAAAACAATAGCAACAATCGTGACATATATTTAATTATTTTATACAAGTTTTTGCTGGCAACTTTGTATGTATGGATTCAGTAGATAAATACTTCTAGATGGCGTATCAGGTTAAAAGAAACAGATTTTAATTTTGACCTTTTAGAATTCTACTGTAATAATCGCATTTAGCTTGCATGATGCCAGAATAAACATACACACAGACACAATTTCTAAAAATTACTGTTTTGGCTTTTTAACCCTTATTATAAATTTTCGTATCAATTTTTCTTAAATATTTCTTATGTAAAAACATTGTTTAATTAGTGCGACTTGAAACTTCTAATTAACGTGACGTGAAAAATCGTATGCGGATTTTAAAGTATTTCCTCCTTAGGAGCAGAATTTTAAATAATGCCTTTTTATTGTTTTATGCTATATAAAGAACCTATCTATAAAATAATAAATGGGTCAGCCAGTCACTCAGCATTCTCTTTTATTATATATATACATATATAGATTACAATTTTATTATATTAGTAAGATTATATTATTGTTTTATATAATTATTATACTGTTATTTTATATAATGCTTGAATTATATGAAATTATTCTTATTCCATAGACATACCTCCAGTAGCTGCGAGTAGATTTCACCAAGCATATGCACATTTATGGGAAACAACTGATATAATTTTATTTTGTTTTGCATCAACAAATCCAACTCATTGCTGTCAATGGCCATATCACGATGGCATACTTTGCATTCTATAGGTTCACCAAATTGCACAATGTTTCTGATACATTTCTCACACATGGTATGCCCACATGATAGAAACAACGGTATATTGTTCCCTTTTGGTGGATTTTGAACTGAAAAAAAAATACAAAAGTAACAGGTACTTAGCATTGAGTATATACAATGTTCAGTTTAAATCCTTTTATACTAAAAACATTAAAGTTCCCCCAAAGAAAGTTTATTATTGCTCTTTTCCAGGCAACCTTAAGCAATCATTACTATTCTTTTTCAAATAGTCTATCCCCTTATTTATAAAAACATAAAATCTCAAATAAATCTATTTTGGCTATTTAAGTGATTTGTTCTTTATTTTTGCACAAATTTTTTGAAGAAAGACCAATAAAACACTCTAATAATTAAAATAGATTTGTATAACGTTTCAGTTTTTATGAATAAGGGAGTATTACTTTTAATGAAAAAAGAATATTTAAGCTAGGTCTGTGAAATATGCCAGTAGTTTATTTAATTTTAATTAAGACTAGGGGCTCCTTTGAACATTTTTACAACATTTTACGTTTTTATCTAATCCTACCTAGCTACCTATTTCACAAACGTGTCATGTGGCTGACAGTTTTTTTTTCTATTTCTATGACTTATTAAATTCGTAATATCTATTGAATGGAATAGCCAATTTCAACAATTCAAAAAGTTATCTACATAAATTGAAACATTTTCGAAAACAATATGATTTATTTGGATAAGGATTTAAACAGAATAACATGGTGTAATTTTGGTCTGTATGTCTATCAACTTTTAAAATGTAAAAAGTGGTCATTGTGTCATAACGATAATAGTTGGACACAAAGTATATAAGTAGTATATAACAAAGTTATTTGTAGTTATTAATATTTTCTTTAATATTGTAGAACATACTTTTGATCTATCACCAATAGTTTCCACAGCGTACACAACAAAATATATTTTATAGCATTTTTTTACACCTTGAGTTACGTTACTAAAGTTTTAGTAAGGATCCCTAATCTTTTCTAGCAATAAATATAGCCTATGTTACTCAGGGTGAATGTAGCTTTCTAATGGTGAAAGAATTTTTGAAATCAGCAAAGTAGATTTTGGGTTTATTCATTACAAACATACACACAAAAATTCAAATCTTTCCTCTTTATAATATTAGTGCATATAGAATACTTGCTTTATACTATCATCTAATTTATGACTGCTATACCTACTCAGAGCTTGAGTGCAGTTAACAATCTATACCTATTATAGGTTGCATTTTGTGATATATTTGAGATTACAAAGAATCAAATAAATGGCAATATTTGCTATAACTTTGATTCCAACAAAATTCAAACCTGGTGATCACTAATAAAAATAGATGTTGTTTATTATTTTATCAATGATTTAGTTGCTTTACAATTAGAATAAGCTATTTTGCTTTCAGTGTGTTTAATTATTACAAAACTTAACTTCAGGTTGGAGGGAAATGGATTATTAACAATGGGGTTTAACTGCCTCCTGATATGAGTATATTGCTAACAAAGCAACCAGGTTAATCTAAATGTGGTTTTTTCTGGAAACCATTTTGATTAATTATTGATGAATTCATCATGATGGGCCAACTGACCTGCCTTATGTCCATCTATAATTCCTTACTTACCAATAGCAAACTGGAATTGCTATTTTAATATATTAAAAAACTTGCATCACTTCAAGAATTAGATAGGTGCACTTTATGGTATGGGGGAGGGATTGTTAGTAATGGGGTTTTACAGCCCATTAGCAATATATTCCATTTGATGCATTGAAAAACAGTACAAAAGTATTAACAGAAGAACACATACAATTTATATAAATAATCAAGATATTTTAAAGCAAAACTAATAATAGATACTTTATTGTAAGTATTGGTAAGTATGTATATTTACTTAGTGATATAATATTAAAATGATAATACAACATTGAGCTTGTTTAGATAAAGGGCACCATACAATAAATTTTACCACGGACCCATACGGTATGCATATACGGTACTGTATATAACCTAAGTTTACTAAATAGGTAGTACAATAAAATAAATCAGCCAATATAAGCTTCTTAAATGTGTTTACTAAGGAAATTCTAAACAGGTATTGGACTATAATATTTTCTAGTTTTTAAAAATCTAATACAAGATGAAGCGTTAATAATTTTGCCGGTGGATGAATTTTGTATTACTAAGTTGTAATTAAAACTATAAGTGCAACATATGTACATATAGTATTTAATTATTACTTTTGAAATGAACTTACCTAAATTATATAGTTGACTGCAGTTGGGGCAGTATTTCTGAATGTTAGCTTCCATTATTAATGTTTAAACTTTAAAATCAAATTGTCAGGATTTAAAACATATTTACCATAGCGAATATTTTTTTTTATATATTCTGCAGATTCAGCAGTAAAATAAGCAAAAAAATAGTAAGGTAGGTACTTATATAGATATAATTACAAACGGAACCTGCCGCAAAGACGAGTAAATGTAAGTGTTCATGGGAATTAGTGATGGGATTCGAGTTGCTTTTCACTCGAGTGACTCGAGTAGTTTTTATATTACATGCACTCGAGTTAAATTTTTGACGACTCGAGTTTCGAGTGACTCGCGTCGACTCGAATTACGAGTGACTCGAGTTGACTCGTACCACTCGAGTGGTTTATACCGAACCGAGTGAGAAATTCAAATTGTGACATGTTTACCCGCGGTAGCAGGAAACTTTTAAGAGAGAAAATTCTTCCTGATGCTTATCATGCCGCACGCACTATAATTGTAGATATTCTACATTTAGTTGAATATACGGCTGCTACAACAGATTTATGGACTTCTGACAATAATAAAGTATACCTAACTATTACAATACTTATAATTCAAAACTTTTTTCGCAAAGTATACCTAACTATTACAATACTTATAATTCAAAACTTTTTTTGCAAACTGTTACTACTAAAGAGGTTACGGAGAAACATTCTTCTATTATTTTAGCAAGTGCTGAAGTCGATATTATCGAAGCCGTTAGGGAAAAAATTTATCAATTTATTTTTTTAAAGTAGTTATTACACCAATTTCAGTTAAATTTATTATCTCATTAAAGATACATTATTTTTGTTTTTTTGTTGAGTTTATTTAAGTTTCATTTAAGTTAATTTTAAAACACGTATATTATTACATAAATTATGTAAGAACATAATAAAACTGTTTATATTTGGATCTCATGAAAGTTCCTTGTTAGAATAAATTAAATTGGATTAGAACTTATTAGTAGTAGATTATAATATTTTAATTTGACTGATAGTTGATATAAGAGGTTTCTTGATTATGTATGACAGGTTTAGTTTGAAGGAAAATTCTATTTTTTACATTTTGTTTAGATTTTTTTTTTGAGAAAATGAATACACATTTTCTATGTAAAATTAATACTGTTTTATTCGTTTTAAAATTTTGGTCACTCGAGTTTTATATTCCGAGTGACTCGAGTCAATAAAAATCACTCGAGTTTTATCTTCACTCGAGTGGCATTCGAGTGAGTAACTTATTAGAACCGAGTGACTCGAGTGAAAAAAACTCACTCGAGTCCCATCACTAATGGGAATATAACACGAATGAAAGAAAACAAAACAAAACGATGAAAATATGAATTCGTTCATTTTTAAATAACATGTTTTACGGCTCTGGATGCGAGGCCATCCGAATAACATAAACTTTTTTTATAACACATGGAAGTATATTAATTATAAGTATAATATCAATTAATTTTAATATTATTTTATATATATATATATATATATATATATATATATCCGCTCCGTTTTATTTAACGGTTGAACAAGAAGTGCCTTCCAAGCCAAATAAGAATCTTTTTACATTTACACGGTCGAATTCGACTAAACAAGTCAGCGAAACCACGTGTTCTTATAATTTTTTTATTACTTTTTATTCAAGTGTCATGTTAATAATAATAAAAAATATTATGTATTTTCTTTGCTAACGAGTCGAAAAGGAAAACCAAAATGTGATGCCATATAGCTATGCAAGCACAACTGTTTTATGGCTATTACCTGTGATATGCTCTTTCTACGTAACACATTCGACATCTCCAGCACAGTCGAGTTCTAAAGATATTTGAAGCTCAATCTGGCGTCAAAAAAGCTCGGAAAACTAAATAAAGTGATGCAGAATTCTACTCCGCAACAAGAGCTACAATTATATAAGTCATAAGTTCGATCCACTATGGAGTACTGTTTTCACTTATGGGCGCGAGTTGCTGGATACCAGTTTAGTCTTCTTGAGTTTGTTTAGAGGCGTGCTATTAAAAGTGTCGACGATCTCAGGCTAACATGGCTAACAGGACTCTGGTATCGAGCCCCTTAATTTAAGACAAAACTGTATTTCTCTTTGCTTCTTCTATCACCCGTATAACGGATTGTTCTAAAGTTCTTCAATATGATGCCTACTGGTATGTATATATATATAAGCTATGTGACCAGCCCATTGCCACTTCAGCTCGCTTATCATTCAGGCTGTGTCGGTTATTTTGGTTATTTTACGGATGTCCTCGTTTCGAATTCCATCTATCTATCGTGGCTGGAAGTCGTCGAGTTGGCGCGTAAGACGATTGGTCAGGACTCTCGAAAACAGTATGTAGATGCGATTTAGAAGGGATATCGGTCTATAGTTCTTCGATAGGGTATTGTTACCTTTCTTGAAGAACAGGACTACCGCACTGCTATTTTGCTATATGCCTCTGGTGTAACACCGTTATGGATGATGAAATTAAATAGCTTCTCAAAGACTACAAGTACCGGTTTTCCACCCGCTCTCAGAAGCTCTGCTGTAATTCCGTCCTCCTCAGATGCCTTGCCGTTTTTAAGCTGTTTAAGAGCCATTTTAATCTCCTGCAAACTTACGTCCGGGATATCACCGACATAGTGTCGGGTGACTTTTGCTCTTTGTTTGTTATTCGCATTGGTATGCAGTGTTAATGGCTTGTGTACAGTTGTTCATAGAACTTCTTAATCTCACTTAAAATCTCAGATACGGCGAAAATTACATCACTGGTCGGTCTTCAACTTTGTCAGTCGACTTCGTCTAATAGCCAAATCACTGGCCAACATTCTGGAACCTTGGTTCCGCTCCATTGCCTGTTCAATGCATATAGTATTGAACTGGCGTATGTTACGCCGTATATATTTGGAGATTTGCCTATTAAGCTGCCTATATTCTGACGCAGACGTTGAAGACTGGGACCATGATTCACGCAACCTCCTCATAAGATCCTGACTGCGATCAAAGAGCTTTTGGGTTCTTTTTGAGCGTTAGGGCTTGCAAAATTTAACTCCAACTGCTGTTCGTTATTCGTCTTTGAACTTAAAAAGTAAAATTGTGTTTTTGATTTCCGCGCATTGTTTGAGAAAAGTACTATACAAGCCTTGGCCACAACTAGGCATTGATGGACTAACGTATGTGTACCTCGGTTACGCCTAGGCCCACATTTGGACGTTCGTCCATCAATGGCTCAGTTGCTGGCTGCTGCAGTAATGTACTATTCCAGCACTCAGTACACACATTATTATCGTTTTCAATCGGGTTAAATGTATTCTGTTGTAAGGATGATAATGCTGATGCACCAGCCAGCTTGCGCTTTTTAGCTTCTCCTTTTATTAATTTAATATTAGCTGTTCTTGTGGACGTTATCTGAAGATGTTAACACACAGGCAAATAGTGTTTTTTTCACAGTTGATCGTGATAATTTTGATATTAGGTTCATTATCTCTAGAATTTCTGAAGGTACAGTGTTGCCAGTACTAAGACGCCTAGACAAGGTACGAATTGGTATTCCATAGCGTCTTTGTTCCTCATTTTTTTGATATTTCACCTTTTCCATTGCGAAACCTAAATTTTTTTCGGTCCACTGACCTCTGACCACTCTGTTGTTCCTAATATATTTTTTTGGCATACTGCATACTTGGCATATGGCATAATACATAAAAGTAAAAAGAAAACAGTTAAACAATTACATAGTAAAAGCAGCTCAAGTAAAGGATGGCATTTCTCCTCAGAATGTGGGAGAGATGCCACTTAGCTCAAACTATGACAAATTAAACAAGCATGATAAAATACTAAACCAACACATTAATAACACTCTCAGCAGTATTAGTATTGGTTTAGTAACCAACACTTACTTTGCTGACTCTTTGTTTTTATGAACTATGTTCACCGAAACCATATAAACACGTAATTCTTAGCAAAAAATTCTACGACAAAACATTCATTCCTCAACACCCAGTTACGACCGCGTGCAGCCGAGCAGGTACTGACAAGTCTATGGGGTAGCGTCTAAGAGCTGTTGAACACAGTAAGAAATATGCATTTATTTCTTTCCTACACGGAATTAGCGAAGGTATGGCATCTCTCCTCATATGGCGTCTCAACCACTTTTACCCTATTATAAATAATAACAGTGTTTTTGCTTTTACGCGCGTGACATCCTTTATGTTACGGGTGTCCATAGGGTACGGTAATACTGTTTACCAACAGTTAACGACGGTAACGGACAACTTGTTTTGCTAGCATAATAGTATAAAAAAAACTATAGGTCTACCAGAATCTGATAGCAAAAAGGGAAAAAAGAAATTGATTGCTAGCATCAATTTCTTTTTCCCTTTTTGGGGATACTGGGGAAATTGGAGTAAAAAGTTTTGATACTTTTTTTTCCTTACAGCGGCTGATTCTGTGTGTGATACATGCAAATATAAAAATTTATCCAATGATCAAGGATAACTTTTGAAAATCTTACTGTGGCGAATGTGGGGTTCGAAATTTAGATGTAAACTCCAATTACTCTATTCATGAGTTTATTAATTAATTATAGGCTATTAGAACTTGAAAATGGTTCTAAATATTGCACATCCATAAAAAAGTCTTCATCTGAAAAGAAAGACGAAGAAGACGCAGTATTTATGATAAACCTTTCCTCTGGCTATCAGAATTTGAAAATGGTTCCAAATACTGCACATTTATAAAAAAGTCATCATCTGAAAAGAAAGACGAGGAAGACACAGTATTTATGATAAACCTGCATCTCAATTAATCGATCTTGTTCTATGAACTGATTTTCAATTTTTATTACATGTTCACAAGATTTGCGCCATTTATCGATCCCTATTTGAGAGAAAGCTTCTTCTGTTAAAGAATTTATATCACTTGCAGGTCTGTTGACGTTTTTACCCGCATCTTTTTGTTTCATTATTCCCCAGATTAATTCTATGGGGTTGAACGTACAATGATATGGTGGGAGCCTCAAGACTTCGTGGCCGTGTGACTTTAAAATCCCATCTATCTGATATTTAGGTTCAGATTTATGAATTTTCACTGCTTCCAGTAATTGACATTTACGCCAATTATCGTCGTAAGGGATATTGTTTGATTGAAGCCATTCTTTTATAACAGCAATACGGTCGGCTTGTGTAGTTGGTTTGTTTAATTGTACAGAATGATACTTGGCGTTGTCCATGACAATTAGAGAAGGTTTTGTAAGGTTGGGAATCAACTTCTCCGTAACCCATTTTGTAAAGTTATCTTTATTCATATTATGGTGGTAGTCAGCAGATGTACTCTTCGATCTATATACCAAACAACAGTTTGGCACAAAACCATTTTCTCCACCAGCATGTACAATGATCCATCTAGGCCCTGCCGAAATACTTTTAGATGGGCCTGCAATATCTTTATTTTGCCAGCATTTGTTCACTGAACATAAACCGTGTATGTAGGTTTCATCTAAATAAACCACATCTAGCTTATCATCACCTTCTCGATTCTTTTGTATACGCTCCAAATACTTGAATCTGTGTATCTTTATGTCATGTCGCTCCATTAAAATAGTCCTTTTGATTGGCACTTCACGAATTTGAATCAGATGTCTTTCAAAATAAGTTTGAAGACAAAATAAGATTGTTATTTTTAGATTACTATGTTTTTAGATTATATTCAAACTGAAAGAAGATGAAATTCATTTTTGTTAACTTTATGATTCTCTTCCTCTATGGAAATTGGTTTCCTCCCGAAGAATTTGTAGCAATTTCATGATAGATAGATAAATAATTTATTTGCATTACTTACAGCATACAAACAGCAACAAACACAAATGCAAAGTGAAAAAAGAAAAAGTGGGTATTTCTTTTCGTACAGTGTAAAACTCATTTAACTTGTTTCTGATCAATTCTAAATCAAAACTATCCAAGTTAATTTTTTTTGCCACCTTTCCTCTTTTTACCGGGCGTACTAAATACGCCTCTGTAAGATCTGCCTTCAGCAACAATTCGCCTTATGGTAGTATTAAAAACCCCTGAAATAAATCAAACTTTAGTATACATATTATAATACACACGAACAATTAAATAAAAGAAAATCGCTATTTTTTAAACTTTTTTTTTGCCATCAGATTCCGGTAGACCTATAATTGGCTGTCACTACATAATTAAGTTATAAAAAAATTAGGAGTCAAAAAGAAAGACATTCTAGCTATCGGATCGCTTCGTCTATATTCCTAGCTTACATGAACAACCTAAAAACAAGGAATTACATAGAAGGAATGATAAAATAAAAACTGTAAATCATATGGTTGCCTCCTTTCTTCTTATGCAAATATAATTAGTGAAAAGAGAACGAAAGATAGAAAAAAGACATAGCAAATTTATTATTTGCCAAAAAACACAAAGTTACAAACACAAGATACATAAAGTTAGTTTTTCAGGCTTATGGGCATATGGTAAAGCATGGGGACTGAAACCACAAATAATGAGGTGGATCTATGAAATGATGGTGAAACTCATTTTAACATATGGTAGCATCGTCTGGTGGCCTAGAACTAAGTTAGTAACATGCAGAAATACACTTAGTAAAGTACAGAGAACTGCATGTCTGGCAATATCTAGTGCTTTTAAAAGCACACCAACAGCGGCAATGGTAATGATATTGAATCTCCCTCCACTGCATATAATGATTGAAAAGGAGGCAAGAAAGGCACTTCATATACTGCAAGAGACAGAATTATGGAACAGATCTATGCCACTTACAAATCACACAAAAATGGAGGTCGATAAAGACTTAGACATTTATATGAACATGAGGTGTGACAAAATAACACCTAAATACATCTTCAAAAAGAACTTTTAAGACGTTCACACTGTGCAGACTGTGCGGGGAGAAATCGGAATTCATGTAACACTTGATGTGCAACTGCGATTCAGGTGGCTTGGTAAAGAATTCCTTTTTAGTAATATGTTCTTTATCAGAAAATAATGGAATGATAACCTTGCCTGCGCTATTAGTATATGCTGGCGTGGCACCAGTGAGGGATGACAGGAATTTATTAAAAATTTACTACGATGGTTTAAGGGTGTGCGTTTGCAGTAGCATACGCAAGTTAAAGTTTTTAGTTACCTTTTACGATATTCTGGGATAAAAAGAATGGTGACATATTCTCTGTAGTTACACGGAGCACTTGCTTATACTGAGATACGAGTACTTAATGTTCCACAAAATGAATTGGATTGATATTCTTTTGATTTTGCTTACAGTTTCTCTTAGCGCTCAGTTGGGGAAATGTAGAGGTCAGCTTCATCTTAGGAGGTACAATATCAAGTAAGGCGGTCGCAGCGCGAACATTGTGCGCTCGGCTGTCTCCGATAGAGCACGCAAGTATAGTTGTTGCGTAACCATCCAACCGAGCACACAAACCGCGTCGGCGACTTATCAACCACGACAATTAAAGTCATAACCCATGTTACGAAATACGTCAATCCTTTTCTGAGACCTTCAGTGGCCTTCAATGTAGGCTGAAGCCTTAACGATTGTGACACGATCGAATTGAATATGTGTGTATACTGTGTACGGTTCTGTGATTGTATTTGAATCTAACGGTATTCACAATCAAGATGAGGGAAAAGTTTTTTTCAACACTATGCATGTATATGCTGCCGCTTCTCACGATTATTGGTAAGAACTTTATACATAGTTTAGGAAAAAGCTCTTTCTCGTTATAAACAGTGTTAGTTTTTGACACTAGCCGCATACCTATTAGAATATTACTACGTTGCATTAACCAATTAGATACTATGTATGTATGTGAATAAACAACAATTAATATTTCCATTTTATTTTATTTTTTTACTATTACAATAAACTTTGTATATATCAGTTCGCAAAACAGTATATAATAGTTATTTTATTATACAGTATATTACGAACATAATTAATTACTTTGAGTTGTTGCTAATATTTTAAAAGGTCAATGCCAATAAATATTAAGTGTACTATAGATTATTAAGATTTAAATAAAAATGAATCATATCTATTTGCAATTTATCAAATTGTGAGCAGGATAACATGACAATCATTCCATTAGTTGCTACTTATAGGATTATAGTGCAGTAATTTCCCATCTTGCTTTCTGCACCGCAGCTCAGAGACCGATATTTCGCCCTCTGATCGCTGACTAGAAGCCCTTCCAGAAATTTCTTTTTCGGCCTTATACCAGTACTGATACGACTGCTGCCCCATATCAGAGTAATGATTATTTACTGGCGGCATTTATTTGCCATGTCATAGTATTGTCATAAGATTCTTGTAGCTTTTTATAGGTAATCTTGACTCACCAAGATTCCCACTTCATCCTGTTGACACTACATACTACACTACACTACATGGGACAGATAAAAGAAACACTAGATCGATTTTTTTAAGAGCATAATAGAAGGAAAGATAGAGGGCAAAAGAGGAAGAGGAAGACCGAGGATTAACTACATGGGACAGATGAAGGAAACACTAGGCGTCATGTCGTATAGGGATGTCAAGGATATGGCCTGTGATAGAACTGACTGGAAGAAGATGCATGAATTAGTTGCACCAACAAGAAGAAACTCTTAAATGAAAAGAGAGAACATGTCAATAAGTTTCCTTTAACTGCATTGTAGTCTAAAATGACAATTAAGATTAGATTAATTAATCTTTATAATAAAGCAAGACAATCCTCAAGTAGGTATATATTACTATTATAAACGCGAAAGTTAATGAGGATAGTTAGATGTTTATCACTCTTACATGAAAACTACTTGAATGGATTTAAATGAAAATTGGTACACGACTTAGAACATAGGATACTTTATATACTGATTCATGCGGGTGGAGCTATGGATTGCTAGTGGTAAATAAAAAGATAATAATTTAGCCACCACCATCATATCATGTTAGCCGTTAACTATTCACTGTTGAACATAGTCCTCCCCCATAAGGGGGAGGGGGGTTGCTAGTAGTTGCCACGCTTGGCCGGCGGGTTGGCAACCGCAGTTAACCTTCAGTGCTATTTTAAGAGGGACGCTGCTGCCCATCCCTCGTTTATTAATCTCTCTTAGTCGTCTCTTATTACATCCACGGTAAAGGAACGGATAGCCCATTCTATGTCGGGACCCTACGGCGACGAATATTAACTATAAAGTTACTAAATTTTAAGCTAAATGAACCATCGGATAGTGAAAATACAGGTTGCCCCTGTTAACTAATAGAATTCGTGTTTTTTTACCACGGTTTAGGTTCTCAATTCATCTGTATTTTTGTTTATACTACGCAAAGTGAGTCGATGTGCTGTGCCTAGTATAGTATTATATTATCTGTGCAGCAATACGTAATGCAAAAAATAAATCCCTGTGAATGCAAAAAGAAGTTACAGTATAATACGTATACAAGGGGAGAAAGGGATTGTTAGTAATGGAGCTCACAGCTAGCGATATACTCTGTTGTGTCCACTTTTACGCGGTTCTCCCTGGAAACCATCGTGGTTATTTTAATGGGTGAAAATGGAATAGTGAACCCGCCTGCGCTAACGGAATACGCTGGCGGAGCACCAGTGAAGGGTGATCGATGAGAATGAAAACAGGCCAGTTAGCCCATCATGATGAATTCATCAGGAATTTACCATGATAGTTTCCAGAGAGAACCGCGAGGAGGTCGACCTGGATGGGTATATTGCTAGCTATGGAATTCTCAGTCTCAATTACTAACAATCCTTTCCCCCCCTTACCATCGTGGTTAATTCTTGTCGAACTCATTACGGTGGTACTAACAGGTCTGCTTTTATCTCTATCAATCATTTCTGATTGGTGCCCCGTCGGCGTATACCTACTGATAATGCAGGCGGAATTACAATTCTATTTTCACCAATTAAACATAAAATGTAAGTTATGGAGAAGAGTTTCATAAAAATTGGTATACATAGATCATAGGAGGTATAAGGAGGAAGCTTTGGTCTAGCAGTGGGTCACCATCATAGGTCATGAATGAAATGAATTGATGATACTCAATATTGATAATTCTTTTTGCGATTTACGAGTATAAGCTTTACTCTTGTGTTAATCCCATATTAATTTTGTTTTTGTTTTTATTACGAAGCAAAATCCAATGTTGGTTTTTTAAATGTATGATAACAGAATGATAACCCTACCTGTACAGGGGAAAAGGATTACCTGGAAAGGGATTGTTAGTAATGGGATCTAACTGCCCCATTGCTAGCAATATACCCTATCAGGTCGACCTCCACGTGGTTCCCCCTGGAAACCATCGTGGTTAATTCTAGTGCAATTCATCTCACTGGTGCTCCGCCAGCGTATACCGATAGCGCGCGCAGGGTAACCATTTCATTATCATCCATTAAAAAAAATCTTACCTGTACAATCGGTATATGCTGGCAGGGTACTTAGCAGTAATAGGCGATGATAACAAATCAGGTAACCTATCATGACGAATTAATTAAGAGTAAATAACGATCGTTTCTAGGGGGAAACGCGAGAAGGTCGACCCGACAGTATATATTGCTAATAATGGGGATTAATGTTCTCATTACTAGCAATTCCTCTCCCCACATACCAATCTTAGATATACTATGAAATATCTATCTGGTAATATATTACCTCCTTATTTATAAAAATTAAAACATTTTACAAACCTATTTTAAGTATTAGAGTGTTTTTTTATTGTATTACAAATTGAGAAGTTAGCGCAAAAAAAGAAAGACAAAACACTTCAAAAAACAAGTTAGGGTTATAAGAGGTTTGACGTTTTTATGAATGAGATGGTTAGATAAGTTTAAGTATACAGTACGTCGTACTACGTCTGGGTACCTATAGACGTAGAGACGTAGAGATATGTTATTTTACAATTATACCGTATATTATATTATTGTTTATTATTTGGTACTACACCACGTAGGAGTCTTTTTTCGTAAATATGAATATTCAATTGACAAACACTTAGCATTATGGGTCAAGTATAAAGTAATAGTCGTTCAACAATTTTTTTGTGATGAGATAACAAATAGATAATAATTTTTGTTAAAACAATACGAAAATTATTTTAAAAGTTTATTGAAATATAATAAAATGCGACACTTTTACGTATTTTCGTGCGATAATATAAATAAGTATACGTGATTGAAAAAAATTATAAAATAAATAATAATACTAACATTTTCAGGTGGTGCTGAGGAAGGGGCTCGTGTGAAGCGTGTCCGGGCTGATAGCGCGGCGTCACAGGAACCACTTCAGGCTCTGGATGCGCCAGACCCTGAACCTGAGTCAGCGCCTGCGCCTTCTGCTTTTCTCAGCCCCTCCGTTAAAGAATATCTAGAACTTGGAATGGCTATTCCCGGTAAGTTAGTCATAACCATTAGTAACTTGATATTATTTAATAATTTATAACCGAAGTGTGCGTTTAAAATCATACAGCATGAAAGTAATTGATTCTTCCTACTGCTGCGTTAAATTATTATAGAAATTGTTTAAATATATTAAAGTACTTAAAATTTTTGAAGTCTAAATTTATTATTAAATTATATATAATAAAACATCAATAAGTTGTTTTGTTGCTAAAGAATAAAATATGGTATATTAAGATGGTATAAAAAATATTATATACCAGACTTAGAGTTAGACCTTAAGGAACACAACTGTGAAAATTGCATCCAATTTGATGCAATGTCTTTTTTCTTTTTTTTTATACCACTGAGGTGGCAAACAAGCATACGGCCCACCTGATGGTGTGTTAGGTCCACCTGAGTGGTTACCGTAGTCTATGAACACCTGCAATACCAGAGGTATTACGCGTGCGTTGCCGACCCTGAAAAAACCTCTTTACCCCCCTTTTGAAGAACCTTGTCTTTATGGTTCCGTATCAAAAAGATTCCGTACCGTCCGTCCGTCTCTGTCACAGCGTTATATATCAATAACTACTAATGCTATCAATTTAAATAGATTTTTTTTGTTTGATGCGTAGTTCTGTACTTATGTTAGAAAATGTGAGAATTAAACTATCCCTCTTCCTTATTCCCGAATTTTTTGAAGCGAAAAATCTGAAATATTTTAAATTTATAAAGGAGAATATTACAAGAAAAATAAAACAATCTTTATAACTAGAACCGTTTTTGAGTTCTTAAAAACCTCTAAAAACAAACCTACTTAATGTGGCCTAATTTAAATTACAAATATGGCCAAAAATAATAACTTATGAATTGTAGTATCAATAATATTAACTATTAGGTCTCTTTTATTTATTTTTTTGGAGACACCGACAAAAATTATTAAAAATATGTTTTGGGTTTGTATTTATTGCTAGTAAATACATTACATAACTTTTCTTACATTTTTCCCATGTTCAGATTTTGTCTAGTTACAATTTTGACGTCAAGTATTATTTTGTACTAGCGGCCCGTCCCGGAGCCGCATGGACATTTTTACATTTTAAAAAGTGGCCATTAAGGCTGCTCACGCGACGGAAGCTTAGAAATGGAGTATCTTCTCCCGTTTTCCCAATATTTCCCTTCACTGCTCTGCTCTTATTGATCGTAGCGTGATGAAAAGTATACTATAACCTGCCCAGGAGTATGAAGAATAATTGTACCAAGTTTCGTTAAAATCCGTCGAGTAGTTGTTGTTTCTATAACGAACATACAGACAGACAGACTGATTGATTTACTGATTGCATTTTTGACATCAGTATCGATCACTAATCACCCCCTGATAGTTATTTTGGAAATATATTTCATGTACAGAATTGACCTCTCTACAGATTTATTATAAGTATAGATAAAAAAAAATATATTTTGATTTTTCATGCAAAAAAAAAATATTAGGTTCGTTCTTTTACTATATAGGTATATTTAATGTCATTTTGATAACAATAGACGTAATATTAGGAAATAGTGACTGTTTTGTTTGCTATTTTAACGACTTTCAGAACTAAGATATTTATATAAATAAACTGTCCATTAAAAATAGCATTAAAAGCATTCTCTACTACTGAACTTAACTTTACTAAAAAGGTATAATCAGGCTAATAAGGTAGCAATTTGGCTTCTTTATTGTAAAGGATGTAATATAAGATAAGGATATTATACAATAGGTATGTAAATGATAAATACTCTTATTGTTTTCAAAAACTATTTTTGTAGACCAGTCTACAGTCTGGGAGAGGATTGAAATTGGATCGTATGGAAGTTAACTTTATTCTTTCTTTCTGTATTCAATATTTTTTGCGTTTAATGAAGAGACTAGACAAGTTGTACTCGTAGGTTCCAGTTGTACTTTTTTTATTCTCTCCGTATTTGGGCTAAATATTATGTACTTATTTTAATATATGTAAATCTAAGTGTATATAAATATAGGTGTATAAACAGTGCAATTTTTTATTCCTAATTAAATTTGTTTGTTTGAATTTTAATAATTCGTGTATATGTAAGACCATTCAAAATTTTATTTTTCGTAATTTTGACAATTATTTTTGCAATCAATAAGTTCCAATACTCATGTTACTCTAATCGTGTATTACTTTTGTGAACGATCAATATCGCTGTTTTATTTTGTGAAGCAAAATTATATCGTGAATTAGACATTCAAATTAAGCTTTATCCGGTAAAGTGAATGATAGGCCGCGTGAGAAGGCAGAGAACGTAGCGAGGCGTCTTTTTGATCAAGGCATCCTAGTGTAGATAAAGTCACGCTATTATTTATTCAGGTTCACTAAACATGAGTCATGTGGATTAGATATCTTATGCACGTTTTTCGCACTTAGGTACATAGAAGCAGGATCTTCGTGTACATTTGTTGGCCCATCGTGATGTTTTGTATCTATATTGAGGGCAGTGCGACCACCTTGGGAGTATAGCAGTTTAGTATACTGCTTTAATTTTTTATCATTGCGGGTTTCATGTCTGCATATTATAAACGTTTTGACTATTAATATTATGACTACATGTTTATTAGATTTGAGCATTTTTTATTATATATACATACGCCTTTCCCATAAGGAGAGTTTTGCCATTAGTTGGCACGCTTGGCAGGCGGATTGGTAATCGCAGTTAGGCCTTTGGGGATATTTTAAGAGGGACGCTACTGCCTATCCCTCGAATGTAAGTTTCTTTAGTCGCCTCTTACGAGACCCACAGGAAAGGAAGGGGTGGCCCATTTTGTGCCGGTACCGACACGCCGAAGGTGTTGGGGAGTATGGTAGATTCCATTACATAAAATTATAATATTTATACACATAAAACACAAAATTTAAAACATAAAACCAAATAAATAAATTGTAAATTCACCATTACACTTGGTACCGCAAAGTGGCTCTCAATATTTAGGGAAACGGTATTCCCTAGAAAAAAAAGTATGATAGATTTCTCATTTTGATGGTGAATATTAAATAAATAATTGTTTTTTAATAATGAATTGCTTCAGTACATTTGATAGAAGAATTGAAAATTTAAAAAAAAATAAGATCAGTGACAGATAAAATAAAAAATATATAGCTATTAAAAAAAAAATAAAAAAATATATGGTTATTAAAATAAAAAAGGTTTCAATCTTCAACAGTAGGTATTAATTTAAGCATGTCTAACAGTTATCTAAAATTCCTTGACTTGAGACTTTGATAGTGCTGCGTTATATGTTACTTGAGATATAATACGGAAGGCAACCCCATAGAAAAAAAAAATAATGATAATGAATTCGTTGAAAGAAGCTCAGCCATTTTCATAACAAACAGATACCAATTCTAAAAAAAATATTTTATATGGATTTCATTATTTGTTTCTATTTTTCATAGCTACTTTCTTTTTAAAATTATCAGATTTTTAATCCATATGAGTGTACAATTATTTATTTGTAGACAATAAAATTTATGCGCGAATTTACAGATTTTATCTTATTGGGCAGAATGAAGTCGTCCCGATTTCATTCTGCCCAATTTCCGATTCCATTGTGTAGCAAGATGATAGTTATGGTAGCATAAGTAGCCTTGGTCCAATAAGGACTTGTTTTATGTGTATGGCTTACTACTTAATTGTGCTAACAATCGTGCATTAAACCAAGGTCAAAATCATAGTATTATTGCTTTAGGCAATTCTCTTACTAAGTCGGCCGCTTGAGGTCATGTGTAGTTTCATTAATCCTTAGCGATTAGAAATTCTAAAGTCCTTGTTTTTCGGATAAATAGATACCGATTAATTTTGCTAAAGTCTGTTTTTATAGTGTATACGGACGGAATAATAATTCATTGTTACCATTTTTTTGTTCCTAGGATATCAACAGAGATAAAGAGGAAAATTAATGAAAAGTATAAACCCTTATACAGCGTAACTAAGCCACTTGGCTAACGAGCGTGGTAATAGTAGGCTAATATCCTCCATTTTTAGAGAGAAATCCTTACTCAATAATGGCACTATGAGTATAATGTGTAATTGTTTAAAAGACAATGATTAAAAGAACCTAAATCATATTCAACAGGAAGCCTGTTTAGTAACAGTTGCGAGTTCATTAGAGGCAAATGAGAGCGTACTGTGAATACGTCTATGCGTATTAACTAGTACTATTACTAGTTACTTATAGTACCTGCGATGTTTACGCACGTTTGCTTGCATCGCTGTGATTAGCACATCACTAGTTTATTGGCAACGTACACACTAAGTTTTGATGTCTGTTAATATGGGTCATACTATGCGCAATAGTATTTAAGATTGGGTATGGTATAACCACTAATATACATCCTCATACATTCACAATTTAAGTAGTCTTAAAATAGATATTGTTTTCACCTTATTTCACGACTGCTCAAAAAAGTGTGTAATTGGTTTAAAGGTTCACATGTGTGAGTTTTTTTATTCCGCAATAACTTCTAAATGCCTGATGGGACTTTGTTGTATTGGATATAGTTAGAATCCTCATATTATACCGAATGACAATGGTGATAATTCTTTTTAAGTCAGTTCCGTTTATCTTTTGTCGTGTTTTTTAACTTGCGGAGCAAAATGTACTTGTTTTACTACGTAGGTGGGAAACTGTGCATTACTGAGTGGACCTTTACAACGATGGAGCGTTACAAAGATAAATTCGCATTGGCTGTTATGTCCGAAAATTCGTACAGAATACAATCCGTTTGGCAAACGGTCTTTATTTATTGTAATCTATGATCATAATTATAAGTCAAAAATGAACTGAAATTTATCAATTAAAAGTAGCAGTAAAAGTAATAATATCACATAAAATTAATAAATATTACACACATAATACAAGTAATGACTCGTATATATATATTTTATTCAATTTATTAGACGGTAATAATACTAGTAGAAAATATAATTAAAATTTACTAATTGCTATTAA